CCCACCCCCATCCACCGCCTCATCCTCGTCATCACCTGCAGCCTCGCTATAATCCCACCTTCTTTGACCTTCCATCTAAACCAACAATCTACCAACCCCCCAGCTGCCTGACTGCCTAACCGCCGATTATCATCTCGCCCGCTCGCTCGCCCGGCGACAGATTCGTTCCAACGCACCAGCAGTGGCACCGCCATGGACCACGTTGGCTAGCCCTGGCTCCAATTCATCCCATCACTCGTTTACCTCATCGATCCCTGGCGCGGCCTATTTTTACTGCCCTTATCACGGACCAGCGAACGCCCTCGACACCCTTTCCCGTCGATAGTATGTCTCGCAGCGCGCATTTCCTCAAATTTTTCCCTGTGCCTCGTTTTTAACTTTGGCCTCGTTGCTTTTTTTCCTTGGATCACCAGGTAATTGAAATACTAACTTCCGACCCACCCGCAGCTCTGCTCTAACGATTTACGACTCCTGATTCCCCCGTTTTGGCGTTGTCGGGTGCCCTCCCTATGCTTGCTGTTCCGCTTTAAATGCCGTCTGAATTGCTATCCTCCCCCTCGTCGCTCCTCATGATTTCCACCATCCCCCCTCCTCGTCCTGTCTCGGTCAATTCGCTGGCCAGGGCGTCGGCCTCGACAGCCATTCCCTACTCCAAACCGAGTCGCTGCACCAGTGCCGAGATCCAGATACCCGATGGTCCCGTCAACCCCCCAGCTGTGGGGCCTGGTCAGCTGGTCTGCCAGTCCCCGGTGGATACCGAAATGGAGGATGCGCGGATAAGCGTGGAGACGCCTCGATCCTGCCGATCCGAACTGCGCTTCGAAGACCTTCCCATCGAGATCCACGAAGCCATTCTAGATTATTTGTTCGGGGAACGGGCGTCTGCATTCACGTCGTGCGCGCCCGGCAAGTCTGTGCGCAGCTGGAATAAGTCACTGCGTCATCCGCGTCGAAAAGCGCTGTCCAATCTGGCATTGATCACCCCTGTCTGGAGAGCACTGGTGCAGGACCGGATTTACAGACACAGTTAGTGCCTTTTCTTCCTTACTCTGACTCCTTCACACATTGCTTTTTCTGGTCTAACGCGATGCCTTCCAGTCAAGATCAAGGGCACCACAGACGAACTGGCACAAAGTGCCCGTTGGTTCCGTGCGCATCCCCATCTAGCCCCGTACGTTCGCCATGTCGAATTGTGGATCCCTGTCTGGGGCAAACGAGCAGCCAAAGGCTCCCATCATCCTCCCGCTCGACGGTTTAATGACGAGGATGGTGACTTTGTCGATCCCGTTGCGCCCCAAGCCACGACGGCATGGGATGATTCCGATACTAATCATAGCACCGATTATCGGTACCACTATGCTAGCCACAACGCAACACTGGAGGAGATGTTCTCTCACGTAAAATCTTATTTCCCCGAAGCACGCATTCTGACCCTGGAAGGTGGTCACTGTAAGCGACCGCCAATGGTGCGGCAATTTCGCGAGGATCCGTGCGGTCACACGGGACGGTTGCGTCTGCCTACGCTACCGGATATTCAGACGTTTGTCATGCGTGGGGCCTGGAACATCATGCGCGACTATCGGCACTGGTGGAACATGTCGCAAGCCTTACCAGGGGTGCGTGAGTGGCATTGCGCCTATGCCAAGCCCAAAATTGAGGGCTACGAAACCGTGGCGGAGATTTTATTGCGGCTTTCCCCAACACTAGTCCACGTCAATATCAGCCTGGAGGGCTTTTATAACAAGGACAATACGCAATCCGGCTGGATCCACGATGGCATCAGCCCACCGCATCTATGCCGTTTGCTCGGAGAGGCAGCTCCGCGTCTGGAGTCCCTTGCATTTACCGGCAAAGTCTGCGCCTGTCTCTTCCACGCAACGCGAGCGTTCATGTCCACCTGGACCGCCAAGTCCAAGCTCAAGTCGTTGGACTTGGTTGTAAAGACCTGCTGCCGCGAAAAGCGAACTAACCCGGGTCTCGGATTCCTCGACGACTTTTCCGGAATCACTAACCTGAACTTTATCCGCTCCTTTGAGAAACTGGTCCTTGGGGCTGTACACAGTTTGCAGATTCACTCGGCGCTGACTTACATGCGTATCCGCTTCATCGACCTGGATTCCGCCTGTCCACCGCTGAATCCCTACTTCCAGCTCGTGGACAACGAGTGCACGGGTCTGTGGAGCGAGCGAATCCTCGAAACCCTGCACGAGGCGCGTCCTCAGGCACACTATGTCGAGCTGTCGGATGGCATTTATCCCCAGTATGGACACAACCGCCAGATCGTGGGAGCAGTGTACCCGCGCACTCGGCCGTTGAGCATCCACGCGTCGACGTACAAGGTGATCGCCGATGTCTCCAAGCCATAACTGATTGACGATCCGCCGTGCCATAGACTGACAAGTGACGGATGACAACGGCAAAAGTCATTCTTATGTACCCCTTTTATCTGATGATACCTAGGTCCTGCGGACCGAGATAATGAAGAAAATCTATCCTTTCCATTCCAAGCCTGTCTCGTCACATTGTACCATCATTGATGTCTCCAGCTAGTCATGAACCAGCCTGTGTTATTGACTGCGTAGCGGGTCTTATCAATCGAACCATCTATCTATTCTCACAAATATCCACTCATTAAAGATCCGAATGATAGACGAATATACACACCCAACCACAAAAACATCCTTGATATAAATACAACCAACTACATCATCTATTCTATCCCCCAACACATTCAGAAATCCTAAGAAGAAGAAACGTCCTCAACAATAACCCCCAAAATCCACACATTCACCGCGAAGAACCCTATCGAGGCGAGGAACAACCCCGGCACAAAACTGCTTAGGCCTAGGAATTCGAGATTGTAGCCTTGTTGGAGCCAGAGGGCCTGTTTGATGTTAGCGGACTACTTGGTTTGATGGGGGGCTTGTGTAACGAGATATGAATGGGAAGTGTAGGGAACGGGGAGAAACATACCTGACCAACAACCCACAACGCAGCCACTATCCCTCCGAATCTGGGATTCCGACGCATCGACGAAGTGGGAAGATAAAAGGGGAGAAAGATAAGATACCAGAGGAAATACTACCATTTTTCCCATTAGTATATCATATATCATTTATACTGGATTTCGGGACAAGGGAAGCGAACCATACCTGACTAGTACAAACTTTATTGAAGGTCACGAACGCGAATGTCTGTGCAAGCATAGCGCCAGGGAGACTCTTCTTTGCTAGGATGAGTGGGATCACGATCACGGAGAGGAGCAGTTGCGGGATGAAAGCGAGGGATTCAAAGTTCCCTTGTACTTCGCCGGCGGCGGAGAGGTAGAGGAGGGTGCTGTAGGGGGAGAAGTTGTGGCGATGGTCGATGCGGGTGAGGTGGTGGAGGTAGGTGTGTTGGAGGAAGGGGGTATCGTAGAGAGAGTACATGAGGAGGTTGAGGAGGAGGAAGGTGGTGAGAGAGGTGAGGGTTAGGATGATGCGGGGGGGAGTGATGAAGGAGAGGATAGTGCTGGTTGTTGGCTTTGGAGTGGTCTTGGTGGAGGAGCCATCATGTTCGCGATCCAGCCACCAGATGATCGAAACTCCATAGATGAAGGGGTAGATCTTGAAATGCACGCTGATGCCGAGAATGATACCCGCGAGAATGACTCTTCGGCGCAGAACCGCCCATAGCAGCGCAATCACTAGCACGCCGAGAAGACCCTCAGAGGATCCGCGGGTGCTGATATTCGCGACCATGGGGTTGAGAAGCCAGACGCTGGCGTACTTGAGGGCGCGAGGAGCGTCCATGCCGTAGGCGGAGACGAGGGATCTGGCGATGAGCCATCCGGCTAGGACGTCGGAGAGCGCGAAGAGCGCTTTTCCGAAGGCGAATAGGAAGGATGGCCCGGACCAAGTGGTGGGGAGGAGCAGCCACGCTAGTAGGGGCGTGTAGCGGTAGGTGTCGCGTGCGTAGGGCGAGACGCCCTGCGAGACGTACCGCGCTGCGTCGGTGAAGACGAGGTAGTCGATGTCGGTGTATTTGACGGCGGAGTGGGCATCCTGCCAGGCTCCGTAGAAGAGAAGGATGACACGCAGGGCTATGGCGGAGCCATATACCAGGGATGGCGTCTGGAAGAAGGATGTCATTTTGGATGACATGGCGAATTGGGACGTTGGTGTATGTGGTTACTTCATCCGTACTGACCGTCTCCTGATGGCCTCGGGGTGAAGGCTTCAGCTGGATAGACTGCGTTGTATGCCAGTTCTGGATGAGTAAATTGGGTGGATATGTAGGTATCACGCTGCCAGTCACCCCATCTATATGTCCATGGTCGTGGAGTGCTAGTTTCTGGATGATAGATGAAGCTATCCAAACGTAGGCGAGGAAACGTGACCCGTTCCGGCTGGGGGATTTCAGGGGCTGAGTCAGCAGTGGATCGGAATCAACCGCTTTACCCAAACGGGATATAGACTATATTGGCGACATCCATGAAATACTGATTTTGTTCTTGGATATCGATAGTTAGTTAGTGTTTTCCCGATATGAGTCAACCGGTATGGGTTTATCATGTAGCTTCCATTCTACGCGCGCGCTACAGCTAGGTTCATTGATCATTATCTTTGTTCTCTGCGATCATCTCTTAAGCCAAGGGAATTTGTTAGATTATGCTAAAAGCAAGACTATATTGCTCATTATTCATGACCTGTTCTCACATACGTAGTCCAAGAGTTTCGAGTAATTTGAGGACAAAACAAATCTTTCAATTCCATTCTGCTTTCAGTTTGAGAAACAAAAGAGAAAATAGTGTGAACCCGAAATCCTCCGCAAATACCGTTATCTTCCACATCCAGAGATCCCCGTTGAAAACACTCCTCTCTCCTCCTCAGAAACAGCGACCAATCGCGCCTCAAACCAAGCCAATTCAATTCTGCTGCTCGATCCACCGTACGGGATGAATCTCAAAGACTTCCTCGTAGGTCTCCCTCCTCCAGGTATCCAAGTCCGTATCAGACAGCAATCTGCCTTCCGCTTGCTGCGTAAGCCAAGCCTCAATAATCTTCCTATCCTCCTCATCATCAGTATTATACTCCGTTCTCTCCGGATTCTCCGGATCAAGGGAAACAATCTCAAGAGCATCCCCATCGGCCATAACACCCTCCTCCCGGCGCCGATTCACAACGAATTGCACACGATGCCGATCTTGAAAGAAACCGTGAAAGATTTGTCGGTCCGGTTCATCCGCCCATCGCTTCTCAATCCACTCAGCCAGCAGATCGTGGTGTCTCTTCTTCTCCTCTTCCGTGGCGGTGGTGGGAAGAATCCATTCCACTTTGGTAATGGAATACCGGGAGGCGATATGATACCATTTGATGAAGTACTTTCGGACTTGGAATTGTATTTCGCGCTCTTGGGATCGAGACTCGATTAGGTTAAGGACCTGGCGAGCCTCGTCGGAACTTTCGTCCGTGTCGGACATGGTCACGATCGTTGGAAAAGGGCACGGAGGGTCGGTTTGTGTTGGGTTGAAGTGTAGTAAGGGTCTTTGAATATGTAAGAGCTAGATGAACCAAATGTGAGCAGGTAATACCGAAGCCGCTCCAAGTGGGAGGGATTTGGCTCATACTTATAGACTCGGGTGGGCCCTGAATTATTGATATTTCAGTGGATCTCGAGGAGAGCTCCGATATCTTGCTCAGTCCCAATGTTAAAAGTCCTTGCTGGCTTAGGTGAAAGCCAAATTGATAAAGATTCTGTCGGAGTCTGTCGGTATCATTCACTGTGTAGGTATAATTCGATGGGGAGACCGAACTGGCGGGGTGGCTACACAAGTGACGTGTTTGAACTTTGCAGCGTAGGACTGTAGTCTTCTATTGAATAGTCATGCTAGCGGCTTTGATTATTTATAGTAGTAATTCACCTTGAGGTGTGTATCGAGGTGTGGATTCATGATTGTGAAGGGGCCTCCAGGAACAGTCTCTCGTGGTAGGGAGAAGACATTAAGATACCGCTAGAAGAATTCCGTACAATGTCGTGGAGATCGAATAGATAGATACAGATAACTTTCCTGCATGTACAGAAGTAGGATAAAGGAATGTGATTAGATCCTTAACTGCTATCTCTTTGCATGGGAGATATTCTACAAGTTTCAAAAACCTTTGTATGTCTCTACCTTCGATTTTGGGGACAGGAATAATCCATGGTTTCACTAATATACCCCCCCTTTCTGATATAGTAATCAAGAGTCTGTTGTCATCTCCTGTTTCTCAAGCCTCTCTCGCCTCGAGGGGTTGTACAGACCAATCTCTAAGGAACGTGGGTGTTTTCTATGCCATAAGTGCATGGCAAGATTGTTCAGCACAATAGACCTTTGGGTGTTGCATAGCAGATAAACCGGATAAAAGGGGCACTCGGTAAGCATCTACACACAGAATCTTCGATAATCACTTCCTCAGGTTCGACCGCGAAGCAAACCTTCACCACACCACAAGAGCATCGAGAAAACACGAAGATGATATGAGCACATCAGTGTCAGGATGCGTTGTCTTCCGAATAGAGAACTCTTTCAAGCCAACTTTCCCTTCTTCTGTCAATTTCATTCGTAGCAACTCCCATGGCTATAATCCTCTAAGCAGGACTTTTTCTAGGGACATTTATGCCTCAGGTGTTATATATATGCCTGAGGCTGCAAGATGCTTTCTGACATGTCTTCACAGTTGTGGCTTACCTGGAGTGGAGAGTTAAAACAGGTCTTGCTTAGAAGATCCATAAAGGATCAAGTTATGCTTCCGAGGGACGTCAGTAGAAAGATAATATCAAGTGGTGTGACGAGCATCGAAGATACAGAGTAGTATGTAGAAGTAGTCTGTGCTAGTCTCTAGCCTGCCCTTATCACCGCGATGCCCAGATTCATTGTTCTTGACCCCAGTCTCTAGTAGCAATCGCTGATGCTTACTAGTTCAATCCAACCATCTCTCTAAGTACATGATATCTGAAAGCTCCTAAATTGATCACCCTCAGAACCGGCCAAGTCCCCTTCACCGGCGCCAACAATACACGCGGGAGTGCCAAGTAGTTCGATACCTTTCCAAGCACCAGTGCAGTTCTCCTGTGCATAGATATAGGGTGTACAGTTGTCTGCAAGTCTGGTCACCCACAAGGTAAGACTGTCTGGAACAGTGACACACTGGCCGGGGAGGGTTGTCTGGCCAGTAAACCTTTCCGCGGGATGGGCGCCGCATTCAGAGTCATAAGAAGAGGTATCTGATATGGCATATGCTGTGCTGTTGAATATACGAACCAGATCGGTGACGAAAAGTGAGGATTTGAAGACATCGAGCTCTCTGGTTCTGTGCGTTGAGATGGCGGCGAGGATGAGTGCAGCCACGGCACAAAGGGACAGGAAAGTAAGGTATGTCCTGAACAAAAAGCTACCCGCTCTTGAAGGGCCTGGTTTGGGGTAGGCAGGGGGCTCCTCGACGGAAAGGGGCTCAACCATGATGGGATCTGTGGGCTTGACCTGGATGTGTTAGGATTTTCCTGTATTAGTCTTGTTCTACCTCACTAGATCAGGAACATCCATACTCACAGGCACAAAGATACGTATCTGCGAACAACGCTGGTCCTTCGAACGCTTCTCAAGAGTGAAGGGTGCAAGGTTATCGTGGTACACAAGCTCCTATACTAGTATTTATGTCCAAGTTTGGTCGGCTCCCAAAGTCGGCAGATGGGGTTCGAACCACAAGGGACACAAGGCATATCGGTCAGTTCCATAACCAGCGCAACCACACAGGATAGGACGAATCTTTAGATAAGAAGCTAGCCCACAGAAGCAATTTAGATTGGATGACGTAGTATCCTGCTCCCACGAGTAGGAGTGACTTCCGCGAGGGAGTGGATCAATACTACGATGCCAATATGTTTCCGAAGCTTAGTTTCTCTTAGTACCTCATACGGCGCCAGCTCCCCTGTATCCACTTTGCAGACTTGCGACGACGCGATAAGAGATAGTGTGAGATAGAATTTTCAAGCCTTTTTCTATAGGTGTCATGTAGGATCTCCTGGGCAGATTCTTCACATGCGGACTGGAAGTCGGTCAACCAAAAGAGTGAGGACCGGTATCTCTTGAACTTGAAATGAATTAACCCAGAGCATGTGCTTCGGGCTTGAATGCCTTACTTACCTCTTTGGGGCGCAAATGGTTGGACCCTTGATCACTCCACTGACTGTGTTGGACCCACCGTCGGAAAGAAATGACCCACACCACATGAACCATGAATCTAAGTTAATATACAACCAAGCAATGCCACATGCACCTACTCTGTACACTGCCCGAATATAGCTAGCATGCTTCCTAGTCTATGTTAGCTGCTTCCATAGATTAATTCAGACAGTTCAAGGGCAGTCAGATGAATCCGTTAGACGGGCGCGAAATAGTTGTCGGTTTGTGCGCACAGAAGAGCAAGCAACAGTTTGGGTAAAAAAAAAAAAAAAAAAAAAAAAAAAAAAAAATTTGGGAAAAAAAAAAAAAAAAAAAAAAAAAAACATAAAGTGCTCCTTTTCAGTAAGGTCAAGTCGACACCTCCAATTCATGGAGAATGATATCTCTCTGAAGCAATCCAAGCTGTTAGGCAGAGCCACTAAGCTCGGCCAAAGTGTTGCCATCCGGCTTGGGCCTCCCGAGACATCTCAATACGCTAAGTCTACCAGTACAGACTCATATGTAGATTACAAATCCTAACTTCCCTGCGCTAGCTGAATTGACTGGAAAATGTTTTGAATCAATCCCTAAAAGCTATCCTTATCATCATAGCCGCTCAAGCTTTCTGGTGAGGCTTAGATTAACTCAACCCTTACTCCATAATCATCACATAGATAGAGGCAATGGAGGGGCCATATCTGCGATGACTGATGTGTGATACACTACATTAACCGAGTGAAAAGCACGAGTACTGCTGGTTTGAAAGAGAGTTATATCGGCGAGACAAGGGGCAAAAGGACATTATCCGATTGAATTGTTGCTAGTAGTGGTACAACTGTCAGAGGTGCTCGGCGCTGATAGATCTCTCAGATGACGCAATCAAATTTTCACTCGAGTGATATGGGAGATACTTGACTATGGCATAGATTAAAACTACCTTTATCCACCGTTATCAGAACCAATCATCATTCACATTTCCCTTCCGATGATACCTCAGTAGAAGATAGCCACACCCGTTGCAGGTGCGGCTGAGACCCTGGCACAATCACCCAGCATAATCCGCTGTGGAGGCCAATCTACAAACCCTTGGTTCCGCCGGGAGTGCGGGAATTTGTCCTCTTGCCTATTGGAGTTAAGTTAGTGCTGGACTGACTCCGCCAATATCCCCCACACCAAATAGAAAGACACAGATACCATACCGCAGGGCGACCATAGCGTGACCCGGCTAGCATGCGGTCTGGTCAATGACTATTTTGGCCATATCAGCAAGAGAGTCGCATGTAGGACTAATGCAACCGGATGACTAGCTATGGATAACTGATTCAGCCTGTTGATATCTATGACGGGGTCAAGGCTTTCAGTCAGTCTCGAACGGTCAACTAATGTACCGATTTGCATAGAATGGTAGACGATGCTGATTCACTGTCAGGTCTCCGGAAACCAGACATAGACCTAAAAGTATTCCAACTTGGAGTGATTGATGATCTCATGTCCATCCATGTTTTATAGTGTTGTAAAGAGCAGGAGTTTCCCATATCGCTTTGATGTTCGATATGCTGTATCAGGGTTGGTGGGAGTAGGTCCATATGCATGCACGATAGGACAAGGAAATAAAACGGGAAGGTTAGAATCTGGAAATAATCATCATCGACTCAATGGCATTACTACCATTCTGGATGGGTACCTTCTAAGGGTTAACTCTTCTTATACACTATCACTTGGGTAACAGAGTCAATCGGCGTCTATATTGAAAAGGCTATGTCAAACCAGTCCGTGAGAATTGCACACCCAGTTAGATAATAAAATACCTAAACTTGACTCTTTGCGAGCAATGCCCGTGTCCAAGCATTGCCAAGGTCCTGTTTCCTCCGTACTCCATATCAAGATAGTAATGTCCAAGCTACTGTTAAACTCATAGCCTTTTCACGTCCAAGGGCACTAACTTCACTGACCACAGCTAGTCGCTTGGGACATCTGACTAGCAATTTAGGATGGTAGCACTACATATCTTAGTATAAGGGGGTTTAATTATCTGTGTCTCTGATTACATTATATATCTATCCAGCGAATATAGGCGAGTTACCAGGGCGTGGGGCTTCTCCTCGTCGCTGATCACGCTATATAAAGTCCTGTTTCCTCCCCTTCTTTCCATTTCTCCTCATCATCCTAACAGGTGCGACGATCTACTTCATCTACACTCCTTCAGATTTTCTCTTTTTTGTCTTTCGCTACTTCTAATACGGTCCTCACTACTATTCTCTGCAGTGACCACTGTGTAACGGTTGGTCTACCGTCCCTAGATCTCCCATTCCCAAAGCTAACACCACCAGCTGCTGTTACATTCTACAGTCATTATCAAATTTCTTCTATCAATCAACCTTTTCTGCTATCTTGGACATCATGAAATTCTTCGACAACCCCGCTCGCGTCCTCGCCACGCTTTTGGCGCTCGTCCAAGTCGGACTCTCTTATCCTACCTCCATCGATCTCACTGCGGAGGACTTCATGAACATGAAGACAGTCACCGTGAGACGGGATGGTACCCCTGTGAATCAGACTGACTCTTCGGATATCGTCTGTGGTGGTTGTACCTCGACCTTTCGCTACACACTGACGGCCGACGGCGGCAACCCCCATCAGAACTTTGTTATCACCCAGAAGGGCGGATCGCTGGTGAGCTGCCCCACCGCCGGTACGTCCACCGGGACCGGCTTCGCGACTACATTGGGATAGAGCTTGTCTCTCGGTGTCAACGCTGGATTCTCTTCGGCCGGATTCAGTGTCTCCGAGTCCGAGACCTACTCGACGACCAACTCGTTCACCTGCAATGGTGTAGCAGCCGAGGGCGGGGACATCTGTGTCCTCTTCTACCAGGCTGTCACGGCCTTCACTGTGGACGTGACGGAGGTTACCGCTTGTGAGTGCAGTGGTTCAACTGTCATTGATCGGGGTACTGCCGTGGTCTATGCCCCGAACGCGAACCAAAAGGGCAGTGTAGCGGGAAGAGGCATCAATGTGGACCAACATGGTGTTGTGCAGTGTAGCGGGGATGCTGACCGTCGAGTCAACTACTACTGTGGACCTCCCGGAGGCCCTGGATATTGGGATGGGAAAGATGCAGGTCCCTGGAACCCAGATTATGTCAACCGGCGTGCCCCGGCCGGCTGTGCTATCCCGATTGAAGCCAACAGGTATTCGGACTGATGCGGTGGCGGACGGAGATGGGTGCTGTTAGTCAACGATACACATGTACTTATCCTTGTACTTGTCCTAAATAGCTTATCCATCACAATACACTGAGGTGCTGATGGCCAACCAGATGTTGACCGTCGATCTATACTTTTCCCATTATCAGAATTGCTGTCGTTGCTTTTTGCTTTCTTCCAACTCAGCATATAACATTGTTCGCTCACTTACTGGCCCAGACTATGCCAGTCCTGGTTGGTCTACTGTCCACCCTTCTACTCGAGACAGACAGGGTCACCTGATGCCTTGGTTCGGCTGCCTTTTCCGGTACTAATTATACTTTGTCTTTCCATGTTCTTCTACCTACTGACAACTAACTAAACATATCGCTTGGTTCTCACACTCTGCTTATGTTCTGATAATCCTTCCTATCTACAACTCCGAACCCCTCCAAGCTAACAGCGACATCCGTCCCGAATGGCACAACCCCGCCTACCGATGTCGTGATCTCACACCACCCACTTCTCATGTCAGCAGCTTCACTCCATTTGTAATCCTACAATGATTCAATTGCTATATAACCATCTGCTCCAGCAGCCCTCACCCTACTCGCCATAACCCACATCGCAACTCTCATCACATCTACAACCCAACCATCACCACCACCATGTCCGAACCCCCCCAACCCAAAACCCTCCACCTAACGGCCTTCATGCGGCCCGTCAGCCTCCACACCGGCGCCTGGCGATACCCCGGCTCCTACCCAGACGCCAACTTCAACCTCACCCACCTGAAATCCTTCATCACGCAACTCGAATCCGCCAAATTCGACGCCTTCTTCATGGCCGACCACCTCGCCGTCCTCAACATGCCCACGGAGGCCCTGAAACGCAGCCACACCATCACCTCCTTCGAACCCTTCACCCTCCTCTCCGCCCTCTCCGCCATCACCACCAAGATCGGCCTCGCCGCCACCGCCTCCACCACCTACGAATCCCCCTACCACATCGCCCGCCGCTTCGCCTCCCTCGACCACCTCAGCAACGGCCGCGCCGCCTGGAACATCGTCACGACCGCGAACCCCGAATCCGCCAAGAACTTCAACCTAGACGCCCACCTCGAGCACAGCAGTCGGTACAAACGCGCACGCGAATTCTACGACGTCGTCACCGGCCTCTGGGACAGTTTCGCGGACGATGCCTTCCTCCGGGACAAAGAAAGCGGGATCTTCTTCGACCCGGAGAAAATGCACGTCTTGGATCACGTAGGCGAGGAATTCAAAGTCCGGGGACCGTTGAATATCGCTCGTCCCGTGCAGGGTTGGCCGGTGATCATCCAAGCCGGACAATCGGAACCCGGGAGACAGTTAGCGGCGGAGACGGCGGAAGCGGTGTTTTGTTCGCCGAGGGATATCACCTCCGCGAAGGAACTGTATGCGGATATTAAGGGGCGGGCGGTGGCGGCGGGGCGGAAGCGAGAACATATTAAGATTCTGCCGGCGGCGTTTATTGTCGTTGGGGATACGGTGCAGGAGGCGCAGGAGAAGAGGTTACGGTTGGATGCGCTGGTGCATTATGATAGTGCGATTGGGTCGTTGTCCGTGGTGTTGGGGACGGATGCGGCCGGGTTCGATCCCGATGGTCCGTTGCCGGAGGATCTGCCGGAGACGAATGCGAGTAAGACGGGGAGGGAGGGTGCGGTCAGGTTGGCCAAGGAGGAGGGGTTGACGGTGCGGCAGTTGGCGCAGCGGTATGGGGGGTACTCTGGGTTGGCGTTTGTGGGGACCCCGGAGTCGATTGCCGATGAGATAGAGCAGTGGTTGGTTCAGGAGGCGGCGGATGGGTTCACGGTCGTGTTTCCCTTCCTACCGCAGGGATTGGAGGATGTCACGCAACGGTTGGTACCGGAGTTGCAGCGGAGAGGCATCTTTCGGAGCGAGTATGAGGGGAGTACGTTGCGGGAGCATTTGGGGTTGCCGCGGCCGGGGAATCGGTTTTTTGAGTAGTGGGGATGTTGATTGATTAGCATTAGTTGATGAAAAGGCAATCATAATACAAGAATATCGCCCAGTTGTGACATTTGATCTAGTAGTTATCATATCCTCAACGTGAGGCACGCTGGCGCGTGGGGATAGGTTTACAAGCTAATATTGAAATCCTGAATATGAATTGTGCGAGTGAAGAATGAATTGAAGAGAGAGAGAGAGAGAGAGAATCCAAAAAGAAGAGTATATTCACAAGCTAATGTCATACCGAAGACTGTGTACTTGGTAGATGACATCCATAACATTGCCCGTATATGCATCGTTCATAACACATGACATGAAGAAAACCTGATGATCGCTGACAAAAGGGTAGATAAACAAGAAGAGAAAGAACAAGCCAGAAACGACTGAAAGTAACAAAACACCCCGTATCCCTAAAGCGAATGGCAAAATCGATCACATAACACCAAAAGTTGAGCTAGTAAAAAGGTGTCGCGGAGTTGAGAAAGTATGTTGAATCCCCCATTTGGGCGCCAAAGAATGCCGCGTCATTGTTGGTAAATTTGGCACCTCTCTCCTCCTGAGTAAATAAGGCGGCATGGTTGACATTGTCAATATCGACCAATCCTTGTAGCAAATTGCTGTCGCTCCAGCTCAGGAAATCCCAAAGGCATTGCCCAGCCGAGTCGTCAATGAATGGAGGCTCGAATGGATCAACATATCCATGCTCGTGGGTCATCATCACCCGAGTTATATCGGCTTGCGATGGAAGGACGCCCGGGGCTATTCTAGGAGTAGACTCTTCGCATGATGTGGCACAACTCCCACTGGTAATGCTGTGGGCTTCGGCAACATTGGAGCCTCGTTTGCTGGCCTCAAATATGCGGGAGACGGCCTCTAGCGTCGATTTTGCGGCTGGGCTCCAAGGTTCAAGGCGTGTAAGAACAAGCATGGTTGTTTCTACTTGCGCTCGGCAAGACTCGATGGTCGCTCTCGGGTCATCGACCGTACCGTCATTGAGAAATAGCCCCAGGAGCGGAACCATTGCGGCCTGGAAGATAAGCCACACTGCGTTCCAGCCGGACATCTGATGGAACTGAGCCTTGGTGGCCACATCCTGGATGGTAGCTTCTGCAATCTCTCTACATCGTTCGATCGCTGTTCGCTCCTCAGAGCGGAGCACAATGTATGGTACTCGGCGCATGGCATAGCTCAGCAGTGTAGGGCGGTACAGGAGCATGCGCTGGTTGTAATATCGCCATTTCATGACGGTCCTTGTAATTGCAATCGACTCGGAACACGGCTCATGGTCTTTGAGAATGTAGGGTAGGTTATCATACCATTCGAGAAGTTGACCATCAAGTTGTGCCATTTCATGTGGTTTGGTCAGCGGTGCCACGGCCAGAACCTCCTGTATCTGAGTGGCGATCTTGCAGAAGCGAACATTTTCCAGAAGCGGTAGGATATCAAGCACGTTTCCCTAAGTATGTTAGAACATGATCTCGAATTGAATGTTGGGTGCATACTGTTTCTCTGTAGTGTGGCAGCTTAACAGTGATGGTCGGACCAAGACGACCCATACTGGGTCGCCCTAGAGTCATGCCGCCCCACGTGTCCAGACAGAAGAGAGACCACCATACTCGACGTTTCTGCTCAATTGAAGATAGCTTCTGTCTGCTATTGGCATACTGACTGTCAGAAACCTCCTTGTGTAATCCCAGAGCAGCCGCCATGCGTAAGGCGGCTCCCATGATGGAGTAGGCTAGGTTGGGCTGGCTAGTATAGTGAAGATAATAGCCACCCATCAGGCCCAATGTTTGGATGGTCTCCACGTGTGGAGACCCAAGGCTTTCTAGAGTCAGATAGCTCTTGCAGCGCATGTAATAGGTTTGGTGGGACATGTCCTCGGCAGGGCAAGCTGCTATGCTACCCAAGGCAAAGACAATGTTCACTAATGCGAGCCATTGCTCATCTTTCCTGCGCCCAGACATGTAGGTCTGGCGGAACGATTGTTCATCCAACATCGGTACAAAAGGTTGAAAGTAGGTGAAGTAAGAGTCGAGCAGCTGTGACTCGGGTACCTGTAGTGGGGAGTGTGTTGGCGTGTCATGACCTTGCTGGGAACTGTAGGCCTGCCAGTTCTGCCCCTCAGGAGAAGCGATATCCATGACGGACTCTCTACGAGCTCCAACAGTTGGAGCGCGAGAGAGGTGGCCAAGGGATCCTGGCTCCAACCAGACGATCACTTTGAGCACAGCATGAATGGAAGACACACCAAGATAGGAAGATGGTTGCTTGGACGAAAGAGACAAAGCATTGACATCGTCAGATATAGTCCCCGTAAATTCAGGGCTCTTCAAGTCGCGATTATCACTTGTATGATCGGGTATTGTCTGCAACGACTCGAGGTTGCCGTCTTCACTGGACGCCGGAGATGCGTGTGCCTCCATCGATGCCGAGGTTGCTGGGGATGCCGGATGTGGCGCCTGCGTCTGCATCTGGGATGACCCCTTGCCGGTCAGCTCCAGAAGCTTCTCCCGAGGCAAATTTACTAGGGTCTCCGCGGGAATGCCAGGGAAAAGCTTTTCCAACACCCCGCGAAACTCGTCCAGCGTGGTTGACAGTTTCTCCACATGTCTGCATGTCCGATCCGCTCGTTAATCCCGTTCTGGTCCTGATTCTCCCGGACGCCATGACAAAAGAAAAGGGGTCAATCGCACCTGCGAGATGGCCGAGGATCTGAGTACTGACACAAGTCTGCTTTTTTGTACCATCTACATGCTTCACACGGCTTCTCACCGTCACATTTGATTTTCCGATGTCGACAGGATGTGCAGGCCCGTAGCGTAGTGACCCGGCGACCGACCGATTGCTGACGCTGGCTGCGTTCCCGCGCAGAAGTCGGAAGGCCGGGGTTCTCGAACCCTTCAAAAGTATGGAACATTGCTATGCGATCGGAGATTATTTGCTGGGTTGCCTTGCGGAGGGATAGATGCGATGTGCCACCGGTTGACACTCTAGGGGGGGTGTGGTTAACTCAAAACGGCCATTGGCACCGAGTCGCAGGGAGACCAACAGATTAGACGCACCAGGGAACAGGGATTCTGTTTGTCAGGGGAGGAGGGAGGAGAGGGGATCGAATAGAATCGAGGACAGAGGCCCCAGTCAGCTAGTATGCAGGTAATCAGTTAGTCGCTGCAGTGGCCATTGTCTGGGGAAAGAAGAAAAGGTGGACTGGTCAGATGCAGACGGCGACGAGGACGTAAACACGATATATCAATGAGAAACGGCCCTACCCTCGTCTTCGGAGGTGAGCAGGATGTCCACCGGGAGTTTGAGTGGAGAGCATGATGATGATCATCGGCACGGTTGACGCTGGGGAATTCGACGGTGTGAAGGGAGCCGAAGCGCGCTGGCTGGCGGTGCCCAACAGGTCCCTGGACGAGAACCCTCGGAGTCCGTCACTGGCCAGCATCGCCTCCACCCCCGCATTTCTCCCTGTTAATTTATTTTATGCAGGAAGCGACCGTTTCTGTCTGGTGTCTGCATGCCTGGGAACGAACCGACCTGCAGGCCCCGTTGGTTGCCTACTATATTCACCCCCGGTCCTAATTATATCCAGGGTTCCTACCAGCGCGAGGATACGTCCGAGAGAGGGTTGTGTGATGTGCCCACAGACTCGCTAAGCACCACGCGGTGGTCTGTTCCCCTTGGGGTCGGAGGTTTGCTGTCCAGTAGCGCTCCCTTCCTCAAGACCATACACACTTGGATGTGATGATGGTGCCATCCTTCCACCTATCACAGAGGCTTCATCCATCCCCGGGTCTCCGAAGGCTGGGAAATCAGCATGGCATCTGGGTATCCCTATCACCGCTTGGCTTCCACTCATCTCGGGGATAGCATCGCGCCCAGATCGTCCGCGAGAAGGTTCTGAGGCACCATGGTCCCCAGGAGATGGATTCTACTACCCTGAACCTTTACCTGCTCAATGATGAAATGCCTACGTTCTATCACAGAGTCTGGAAGATTAATCGGTCATCAGAAGCCTGAAGAAATATAGTCGGCTTCCGCTGGATTCCGCTTCTGCAAGAGCCAAAGAGCCCCGCTGCAATACTGGAAGCAGTAAATACAAGAATGCACCCCCATCACAATGCCAAATGTGGTGCCACCTGATCGCTTAGAGGCCGGGAGGGCAGCAAGAATGTCTGTGTGGGTGACAAGGTTCGCCGGAAGTAGTCGGCGCAGAGCTTCTTGGAAACCATCCTTTCATCCGCGAACTGGGAGCTTACTGCTCCTGACTGGCAGCGCAACGACATTGACCAGATGTTCGAGGGCAAGCTCAGGGTCTCTGAGTCCGCCCATGTGCAGGGCCTTTACCAAGCTCGATTGTTGGGTGAAATCTGGCTCCACCAATTGCAGCTGTGACCCCGCATAAGGTGGCCAACTTCTGCTATCCCTGGGGGCCAGAATAAATTAAACCCCGTCCAGGAGGAGTCAGATGCCGGAACACACCTGTCGGGCAACTCGGTGGATTCTATCTGCGAAAGGCCTGCAGAAGCTCGTCTACTCTTAGGTTCTTGCCATGCCACAACAACAATAGATTCGGTCGTCACAGTAGGCTGGATCTCCAGTTGAAGATCCGGGGAACTGACAGTGCACATCAAGTCTGAGAGGCAGTCTTAGCAGTATTCCAACAGCTGGAGACTCGGGACGAACCGACCCGTCTCAGGGACAGGAGGCCTTGCGCTGGACAATCATCTCGGCTGGTCGGGAAAGGGACAGCCAATCGCCGAAATGATCTCCAATGGTTCAATTTCCTTGCTGACGCGCCGCCTTCAATCAGGCTAATTTCGTTGGGCGCCAAGAATGCGACATTTATCCATTTCACATGCATGCCAAGGGTGACCAGCATCTGATCGGAAGGGTAGGCCGATTAACCCAAAGGTCCTTCTACCCAGGATCGCAGGCACGAGAACACCGAGGTAAGATGAGGGGGGCCTTCGGTTACTGCCGCCCAGGATTCAGGCCGTCAGTCCACCCCCCGTGTTTTGCAATGCAATGAGTCGTACGGAGTAGTCCAAGCGACGAGGGGTGGGCTAGTGGCGAAAGCCGGCGGATACACCTGGCGACAGCCTTACCGTGATATGGGGTCGCTTATTTATTTGGTGCGCCCAGACCATCATGGGCGGCCGAAACCGAGACGGCAAAAAGGAGAGGTGATCATTGGAAAGGTTGGTGACGGGTGATCGATTTATCTGGAGATCTCGAGGACTGTCAGGTACTATCTATCTCGGACAACAAAGAAGCACCCCTACCGGACGAGTCTCCCCAGACCGTGCACGGAGCTGCGTCCGTGCCAAAAGCGGCAAGGTCTGTCTCAGTTCAGAGACACGAGGTTTCCGATAGAAGGTGAATTGCTTCAGTCCGGCCCGACCAGGCCGGGAGCACTCCTCAGTACAGGCCCTTCTTGGATTGAGGCTAACAACAGAAGGCTCTTGTGTCTGTTCTTCTGCCTGAAGTGACACGACGGTGAGAGAGCAGGAAGAGACGAAGGAGAAGGTCGGAGCCCGCAAAGGGCCGTTGGACCGATGCCCCTTTGGGAAAGGAGCAGGCCCGCCAGGGGATGGCCCAAAGAGGAAAGGCCAGCACGTGGAGGCGGGGAAGCCTCCGCACAGCTCCCCCAGGCTCACAGCATCACCGTTGACCGGCCCTTGGAACTATAGCCAGAGCTATCGATGTCCCCTCGAGTTGACAGCCTATGGGGCTCTATTTATTCGGCATTGATTCTCTGCGATCGGTGACCAAGTTCGAGCAACATCCAGGCGCCAGTTAGTCGGCCATTACCCCTCCCAGGCCACGGCATGGCAATGTTTACATCGCACATTTTGTCAACAGGATGGTACTTCAGAGATAGCGAGGACAGCTCTCCAGAGGCATGGATGCCGGTCCCTGAAGTACCGTCCGTCGTCCATCAGGACTTACAGGCGAATGGAAGGTAGGTACCAGACGAACCCATCCGCTAGAATCATGGCTAATATACCGGATGAAATGCGTACAGACTTGAGAATCCATACGTGGGATTCAACGAGCTAGATGCCAGATGGGTCAATGAGAAGTCATGGGCCTACCGGAAGATCTTGCAGACGCCAGCCATACCCGCAGGCTCGGTAGTCGTTCTGGCGTTCGACGGGCTCGACACATTTGCCACAGTCAAGCTTGACGACACGATCATTCTGGAGAGCAATAACATGTTTCAAGCTCATCGAGTCGATGTTACGAAAGCTCTGGAAACCGAAGGCGAGCACGTTCTGGAGATTGAATTTGATTGTGCATTGTTGCGCGCCCAGGAGCTTCGGAAGCAGGATCCTAATCACAAATGGGCCTCTTTCAATGGAGATCCTGCTCGGATGAGCGTCCGCAAAGCTCAGTATCACTGGGGCTGGGATTGGGGGCCAGTCCTTATGACTGCGGGTATCTGGCGGGAAGTGCGGCTGGAGGTTTATTCTGCAAGGCTAGCAGATCTCTGGACGGACATCGGCCTGGATTCCAATCATGAGTCCGCTCACGTATCTGCATTCACAGAGTTGGATGCTGTAAACCTGGACTCTTCATACAAGGTCAATTTCACGCTAAGTTTTGAGGGTGAGGAAATTGCCCGAGAAACAGCCACACCAAAAGACAGGATCGCAACGGTTGATTTTGATATTCCTCAACCTCGCCTCTGGTGGCCTCATGGATATGGTAACCCAAACCTTTACGAGATTGCAGCAACGTTGGAGAAAGGCCAAGATGAAGTCCACAAAATTGCCAAGAAGATTGGCATAAGAACTGCAGAGGTTATTCAGCAGCCTGACAAACATGGGAAATCTTTCTTCTTCCGGATCAACGGCGTGGATATTTTCTGTGGTGGCTCATGCTGGATTCCTGCAGACAATCTCCTTCCGAGCATCGATGCGGAACGGTATCGGAAATGGATTGAGCTGATGGTTGCAGGTCGCCAAATTATGGTCCGGTCCGTTTATCAATCCAAGATAGTCGATACGTGCTGATTCTTTCTAGGGTCTGGGGCGGCGGTTGCTACGAAGACGACAGCTTCTACCAAGCTTGTGATGACTTGGGTGTCCTGGTGTGGCAGGACTTCATGTTCGGCTGCGGAAACTACCCAACCTGGCCCGAGTTACTGGAGTCTATCGAACAAGAAGCCATCTACAACGTACGCCGGTTGCGACACCATCCTTCCATTGTGCTCTACGCTGGGAACAATGAAGACTACCAGGTACAGGAATCAGCAGGACTTACTTACAACTATGAAGACAAAAATCCGGAAAATTGGCTAAAGTCCGATTTCCCAGCCCGGTACATCTACGAAAAGCTGTTGCCAGATGTGATACAGGAACTGTCTCCAAGAACCTTTTATCATCCCGGCAGTCCTTGGGGAGATGGTAAGGTGACGTCTGATCCGACAGTCGGTGATCTTCACCAGTGGAATGGTAAGTTGCCTATTCCCCCTGCTCAGATACACCATGCTGATGGTCTTAGTCTGGCATGGGACACAGGAAAAGTATCAGATCTTCGATACACTCGGCGGTCGATTCAACAGCGAGTTCGGGATGGAAGCATTTCCACATCTATCAACCATTAATTATTTTGTCGAGCACGAAAAAGACAAGTACCCGCAATCACATGTCCTGGATTTCCACAATAAAGCTGACGGGCACGAACGTCGCATCGCTACATACCTTGTGGAAAACCTGAGAACGGCGACTGATTTGGAGGTAAGTTACCCCTGCCTTAGTATTCTGAAGTGGGTGTTAACACGGTGTAGACCTACGTGTACCTCACCCAGGTTGTCCAAGCCGAGACAATGATGTTTGGATATCGTGGGTGGCGTCGCCAATGGGGTGATGAAAGACACTGTGGCGGTGCACTCCTCTGGCAGCTAAATGACTGTTGGCCGACGATCTCGTGGGCCATTGTGGACTACTTTCTTCGACCGAAGCCTGCCTTCTACGCTGTAGCCCGGGTATTGAATCCGGTTGCTGTGGGCGTGCGACGCGAACATCATGACTGGAGTATAACGCATGCACAACCTCCGAAGACAAGCAAGTTTGAGCTCTGGGTTGCCAGTTCACTGCAGAAAGAGCTATCCGGAAAGGTGGAGCTCAGATTTCTTTCTGTAGACACTGGACACGAGATACGGGAGCGTATTGTGCATGAGGATGTTAAGATCGTGCCAAATGGCACTACAAACATCATCACAGACGGAGTCATTGACCATACAATTGATACCGAGCCACATGTCCTCGCCGCTCGACTCTGGCTGGACGGTGACATTGCCGCGCGGGACGTGGACTGGCCTCAGCCTTTCAAGTATCTCGATTTTGCGGATCGTGGGCTTGAGGTTAGCAGGGGCTCTGAAACGGCTGATCAGCAAACATTCAAAATTAGCACACAGAAGCCAGTCAAGTGCTTGGTGTTTGAGGAGCGAGACGGCATTCGGCTCAGTGATAGCGCGATGGACATTGTGCCTGGTGATGACCAGACGGTTACGGTTACGGGACTGCGGCCGGAGGAGACCCTGAAGTACAAATTCCTTGGACAATGATCAGCAGGACGGATGAGTGTGCCGGTTGATACTTTACTATAGAAGTTGGCTATCTATGTTTTGTCGCCCTCAACTTTACCTACACCCAAACCAGTAGTAGGCGGGCTATAGCGGCCATCGGGCAGACAGTAATCTGGAGTCATCCCAACCTATAGCACAGCCGCCGCCCCATCAACCGATCCACTAAGGCCCTTGAGTTGGGCTCCCGGCCCAAGTACCGCGTCAACAAGCCCAGCATATCCCCATGACCTCCACCAATCTGCAAAAACTCCCGCCGATACTCATCCCACGTGCTTCGATTGAAGGGGTCCTGGGCGAATTTAGTCGCGAAAACGTCTTCGGCAAAGGCGGCGCAACTTTAAGATAAATTGGATAGATCAGCAAAACAATACGACATGAAACTGAATGACTATTGAAGAAGATCGAGCCCTTCTTATACAAACGGAAAAAGACTGAAAGGAAGGAATGAAGAAGGCGGAGGCGCATACCATAGATAAGAATAATAACCCGCATCATACCCAGCGCATAGATGAGTAAAGGAACAGTAATCGAAGCCGTCTCGGCATTCAGAGAAGTCCATGCCTTCGAGCTGCTGGCGGAGGTCGTACCAGAGTTTTTGGATGTTGAGGGATGCCAGGTCCTGAGGGGTTTGTAGGGAGTGGATTTGGAGGTCGAAGAGGGAGGTTGTTCTGTTCTTGTTAGACATATATACTGTTGAAAAGTCGAGGCAGGGCATATAAGGGAGAAAGGAAGAAAGAAAAAAAAGGGGGGAGGAGCGCTTACAGTTGCTCCAGATGATAAAGGCCCCGTCCCCAATAGCGATGCTTAACCAGGTTCTCCACCAACTCGTCAGGAATCTTCTCCGGTGGATCAGGCAGGTCAGGGTTCTGGCTTCGCCATTTGGTAAGGTAATTTGGGTCTATTGTAGTGTAATGACAGCTTATGCTCTTTAACACCTCGGGCAGCCAACACCAGTTCTCGAGCTTGGTGCTGGGCATCTCGGATAAGTCGCGGGGGAGATTAACGCCATGGAAGCGGATGTATTTGGTTTTGGAGAGGAGGTTGTGGATTCCGTGACCAAGTTCTATCGATCAACGGACTGTTAGCGAGTAGAAAGAGAGGGGATGGCTGTTCTACAGACCGTGAAACAAGGTTATCACCTGATGATGCTTAAGTAGAGCACAGCTGTCTGGCGTTGGGGTGGGAAAAGAGCACATGAGGATGGTGGAAGGATAGTATCTGCTGCCGTCTGGCTTGGTGAATCCCTATCATGTTGGGTTAGTTCATCTAGACTTTTTCTTTGGTGATCCTTGGTTTTGACCTACCGCCTCAATAGTCACATTCTGGTTTCCTCGATACTTATTCTCTCGCCACAATAGATCGAAATAAAGGTGTCCAACGAATTCAGAAGTACGTTCGTCCCAGACGGAAAATACTTGGACACTTTCATGCCAGAGCTGGCCAGTATCTGCAGTGATGGCATCGAAACGTAATCCCAGCAGAGACGCAAAGATCCCAAGCATAGCCGTCGCGGTGCTCTCCAATGGGAAGAACTCGGCGATGTGGATGTGGTCGATATTGAACTCCTTCTCGACCAGACGCTGGTAGTACATCTGATCCCATGCCGGAAAATTATCCTTCACTGTATGGCCCTGTGCTTGTTGATCCTGGAGTCTGTGTTTCTGCAAAACTTCAACTTCTGCCTTTCCCCGAGCCACCAAATCATCCCGTATCTGACTCAAGAAGCTCTCCACCCATTGTGGTGTCTTTGCTATCCTGCTTTCCAAGACAAGGGCGGCATGTGAAGGGTATCCCAGAAACTGCGCCTGCGAAGTCCGTCGCGCGATGATCTCCTCGAAGATAGGCCCATTGACCGCCAGCTTCTGGTTGTTCTTCAAGTACATCTTCTTACGTGTGTTGGGATTCTTCGCCAATGTTCTAACAGTCAACATACCCCCATTGGCAAATGGTGCGAACACATTCTTCTCTTGACCTGAAGTTTCTGCTTTGACCATAGTCTTCCACTTGGCGATATCATCAGCCGGGATACCGTCCAGTTCCGACTCGGCAAACCACACCCCGCCGTTCTCCTGGGCGAGATTGCGATTGAATGCGCTCTCCAACTTGGATATTTCCCGCTTGACTTGCAGGTATTGCTCTCGCTGAGCAGCACTCAGGACACCCCACCCAGCTCGTTTGTACACCAGCAACTCTTCCTTTAAAAAAAGCGCTGCCTCGGCGTCCAGTTCTTCTTTTCTATCATGAACGGCTTGGACTAGACAATAGAACTCTTCGCTGGAGGCCCATTCTGATTCTGCTGCGAGGAGAAGCTGGCGAGCTTGCATAAATGCGTTTTGAGTAGCCATGTCAGGAGAGCCGTACTGAAGCATGTAGATCATGCCTAGTTCACCTTGCACGAGATTCTCGACATCGGCCCAGGGACGGAGAACGGTGTCGAAAGTGGCAGTGATGGGGGTCACAGTATGAAGGATCTCATCTCGGACGTCGTTTTGCTGGGCGATGATGCGTTGCATGGTTGGAACGATCTCGTGAGCCTTCAGGACCCGGGGAAGGGTTTGACGGGGAAACATATTGTGCTTGCCACATACCGCGACTAAGATGGCTGTCTTTGAGTAAGGGACTGTGGGTTTATAACTTACTCCATTCTCTCAGTGTCAACTCCTTATCAGTTGGTTAATATCTGTGGAATTGGCACTAATGCAATTGCATCGGCACATGACTTGTCCTGGCCAACCATATGGTACAACTAGTGCAGGGGTGATTTCCAGGTAGACACTTTCACACGTCAATCATTGGATGGACGCTGCTATAGTGACCGGGAGAGAGGGGTATGATTATTGCACAAACATAGTCGAATGAGATGCGGTTATCCTCAGAGGAGAAACACTGAATTATATTCTCGACAGGCCAAAGAGTCATAGTTGGCAAAGGACTTCACCATTGCAGCTCCACATCTATCTTGAAGAGTGATCTTTCGACCGGGGTTTTATCCATCATTGTCGAATCACCCCATGCCACTGACGATCACAAATCATGGTTGGAAATGCCAGGTCTTCCTGTTCGTACTGGAAGAATTCTCCATCCACGGCCTTTATTGACTTCGACCATGGACAAGCGGGTTGACGTACGGAGCTTGGAACCTCGAAAGCTCCGATCTATACCCGGGGGACGAGCATTGGGCTAATCCTCTATTGCCATCAATGTACTCCGTATCCATGTTGGCAGATTTATCCTGTGTTGTGCTGAAAGGTCAATGCAAGTAGCATTGTTGAATTTCTCCGCTACATCGCACAGATTCTGCTCATTCATGGAAGGTTAGTCAAGGTACCATTTAAGCGAGAAGATCACATGTCCTGTATCGCGGCATGAGTTAGCAGCACTAGGAATGTGATATTGCAATACAGCAATATATTTTTGATATATTTGCAGCTATATTTTATCCCACGAGGCTGTAGAGAGCTCTATTCGGTGTGGATAGGAGTCCGTTGTTGATTGCAGTATACTTGAGAATACAACATATAACATCATATCACTATGAGTGACTAGACAGATTAAATTAGCCAACATAACAAATAAGCTAGAGAAACAATAAGATTTTTTTAAAATTGTGAATAGGCCTATTTTACTCCGTACACTATGTTTTTTTTTACCCGTTTCCAGTATGGTATTCATTACTATCTAGTCCTGGAATTGTCGCTGTTGATATTTAATAGGAATTCTACATCCCATATGCAAGTATATTAAACCACATCCACTCACAATCAAAAATCCAATTAGGAGAATATACTGAGTCCAATCCGCTGTGTTCCAATTCATCGCCATCCACCGACCGCGATCAGATAAGATAACATCACCCCAAAGCAGTAAAGCCCCGCCGCAACTGAATGACATCTTCCAGTTCCGTCGCATCACAATCCTCCTCTTCTCGACCTCTCACACCCCACCACAACCACCCACCAATTCAACCCATGGCCGGAACCAAACGCACCTGGGACGGTCAACCACTACGCGACGAGGCCACCAACACCACGATCCCAACCCGCACCTCGACCCAAAACCAGCCCACCATGGCAACCCCCACCACAGAAGCTCAAGAGCAACAACTAGCCAACCCCATCATCTCCATGTTCGAGACCTTCCGCGACGAACTAGACGAGCACCATGACCGTCGCGAGCGATTGATCAAAACCAGTCGGGATATTACAGCTCTGAGCAAGAAGATGTACCCCTCCCCACCTCTCTCTCCCAATCCCACCATTACCATAAACCACCGCTAACCCTCTCGCTCACAGTATCTTCTCCCTCCAACGCCCATCCCAACCCCAACCGCACACCACACCACCTAACCACAAAAACCCTCACAGAATCCGAACCCTCAACGCCCCCCTCCCCGCAAACATAACCAAAGAAACCACCACGCGCTTCACCCAAATCAACACCCTCTTCACCTCCCTCCTCCCCGATCTCCTCGCCCCCCCAAACACCTGGCGCTACCAACGCCAACTCAGCTCCGGCATCCAAGAATTCATCGAAGCGCTGTCCTTCCACCACTACCTCACCACCCAGACCCTGATCACCCTCCCGGAGGTACAAGCACACCTCCCGGCCCCAATCCTCGTCACGGAGGAGGATTATCTTCTGGGCTTGTTTGATTTGACGGGCGAGATGATGCGGTTTGCGGTTACGGCGTTGTCGGCGGGGAATGCGGATACGACTGGTACTAGTGCTGAAGAGGAGGGGGGGGCAGTGGGGTTGGGTGAGGAGCAGAGAGGGATTGTGGTGGATTTGAGGGTTATGAGGAGTGGGTTTGAGGGGTTGAGTGTGCCGAGACGACATGTTATGTTTAAGGATATGGGGAAGAAGGTGGATGTTATGCAGGGGAGTGTGGAAAAGGTGGAACGCGCGGCGTATGGCATTTTGGTTAGGGGGAGGGAGAGGCCCAAGGGGTGGAGGCCGGATTTGGTGGTTGCGGGGGGTGGGGGTGGGGAGGAGGGGTATTGATTTTTTTTTCTCCTCCATTTGTTTTGTGAGTGCTTGTTGGGTGTAGGTGGGTATATGGTGGGTGCATATGGAAGTAGAAGGAGTGTATGCCGTGCTATATCCGGCAATTACTAAACACCATAAAGCACATAAACATCAATATCAATATCAATCAATCAATGAAACCACAAATCCATGAAACCACCGCACCCTTCCCACAGAGAAGAGAGTCCTAACCAGACACCACCTAACGCCCACATCCTCATCCTCATCCCTATCCCTTACTCCATCTCACTCAAACAACCGGAAACCTCGGATCCTCATCCTCCGTCAAAATGCCCTGCGAGATTAAATCCTCCGGATTGGGCCGACTCTGGATCTTGTGGTCCAGATGATCCACAAGCATATGTTTCTCGAGCTCGCGCGCATTCGCCTGCAACGCCGGGGCAGCGTGAGTGGTGGGGAGGATGTTCCCTGCGTATTCGTTTATTCCATTAGTATTTAGCTATTCAACATTATATGTAGTAGAATGGAAGAAAAGGGAGGTGGTGGTGGGACACACGCTCAACAAGTTCCTCGCGATCCGGTCTATGTTCGAGATGTTTCTTCAGACTGTCTGTTGTGCGCTGGCGGGCGAGTTCTTGATGGGCGGCTTGGAGGGAGCTGGGTCTTGGTTAGCTAACGTGATGTTGTGGAGGAGGGGAAAGGTAGTGGGGGAGGTAGAGAACGTACGGAGCAACGTTCGTGTCGAGAAGAATGTGGCGGTCTTTGAGATCTTGCATGTCGGGACGGGTCTGGAGGTGCTTCTCCAGAGAGTCGCGACGGTCTGTGGGGGATGCGGAGAGAGGGGTCTCGTCGATGCTGGGGGTGGTTATGGTTGGGTCCATTGCGGGGATCTAGTCGGGTTGTCTTGATGGTGGATGATGGATGGTGTATGTACAACGGTGCAACTGTATTTGGGAGGAGGAAGTGAAAGGCGATAGATGAATGTGGGCTGACGAGGAGAAAAGAATAATAGATGGTTGCTCAGGAGATGAAGAAAGACCATTCACGGGGAGGGGAAGGTCAAGTGATGCATGCGGAGGAATCCACGGGACTGGCGGCGAGGCCCACTGGACGATGTCATCGACACCGCGACACCAACACCTGGACAGCCAAGTCACTACAACACAGAATACACAGCACACGCGCGAACAGGTCACCTCGGCTTGCATTCGTAGTTGGTTAGACAGCTAGTGAGCTAGTTATAGGTAAGCATCGTTAATACACACATATCGCCCCAATCTGCTCCCCCAACCAAGTATCCTCGTAGCAATCGAAACATGTCCAACAAAAGTAACGCAAAGAATGACGGCTATATCTGTTTTGTAACTGCAGAGTAGAATGTCGAACAGCTGGCTCGGGAACCATCACCCACGCTCCCGATCTCCCGCCGGCAACTGCAAGGCGAAATGAAAGCAACCGCTCATCCTCCATCCGGAAACGGAAAGCAACGCCATGAGATCACGACCGTCATGAGCAAACCCAGCGTCTGACTACCGCCTCGCAGAGGGAGCGCATGCCACGTAGCCCTAACGCCCATAGTCCCCCCGTCAGGATGGTCATGTCTGGATCGAAACTGTCCCGTATCCGATTCGCTCTCGTCTACCGCTTTTCGCATCCATGCCATCTGTCCAGGATCCGCTCGTCCCATCCATGTAGTCACAGTCGAATCCGACCAAAGTCTGACCGTAGGCAACCCGGGTATGGAGATCAATCCTTCCTGCTTCAGGACATCCATGGTGGTCTATTTCAGAGTTGAAAATTTTTGATCCGTCCATCGCCAAAGTATCGACAGACCTCGACCATGGGATCAAGGAACCCAGAGCTTACCACGACCCCGGCTGCTACCACGAGAGGGACCCCGAGCCGCTCCCCGGCGATTGTTCGAATAGTTCCGAGACGCGCCCGCAATGCCACGTGCGGCCCCGGACTGGGTGCTAAGATCAACAGTGTGCTGTTGCTGCTGCTTGGTCACCCCCAGCGACCGGCTGAAGGAGTTGGGATCGATCGGCTGGGTAGGGATCTCCATCGTCGCCTCCACGGGCGGGGCGGCAGTCTTGAACGGAGCCGCCTTGCGAGGGGCGCCGCCGCGCGATCCACCCCCTCTGGAGGCGCCTTTGCCGCGACCACGGGGGACAAAGACAAGCTCATCCTCATCGCTCTCATCCTCATAGGCAAGAAGCGACTTGGGTTCTGTGACCTGGGTCTTCTCGACATACTTGCATCGGTTTTTGTATTCGCGCTCTTCGTACTGGATCGAAGTCCGCAGCTGGTGAATGTTCTTGACGCCAATGCCAAATTTCTGAGCCCAAACCTGGGTAGGCCGGTCATTCGTAATCAAAATACAAGTCTTGGCTGCATTGGACGCATCGGGGCCGTGGTGGAGTCGCCACAGCAGAGCGCTGAGCAAAGGTCGAAGCATCAATGGCACTGTCGGGATCGTTGATCCAGACGCAGAACGCCGATGGCCGCTTTCCGGCTTCTTTTTGGCATCCTTGGTGACTCCTCCGTTCGCAACCACGTGGGAATTCGAGCACTCCGGGCTGGTCCGGGAGCTCCTGGATGACGGGCGGGATGCGGGAGCACTATGGGTGCCATTTGAGGTGATCGAAACAGCATCGGACTCTTTCTTGAAATTCAGCTTGTTGAGAAGCATTTGCGACAAGTCGTCCGGAGCGGCGCCGTTCTTCTTCGTGTCTTTGACCTTATCCTCGCGATTCCGCTGCGCCACCTGGTCGCCCGGGAGAACTCCGTTGGTGGCCTCCGGCTCCTCCTCGAACTCGGGGAGGAAGAACTTCTCCGCCTCAGCCCAGTTCTCATACTGCTCCATCGGGCCCTGCAGAATAACCCGTTCGGCGGAAATATTGTCTTTGCCGGACGTGACACGGTCGAGGAAACGGACGGCCTCCCGAGCGTTGATGGCGACCTGAGATCCGGCTCTCTTCAAGGCATGGAGGCGTTCGAGGGCTACAGGAGACGTCAGTCAGCAGATGGAGGGTATCTGTCGTCGGATGACTCACTGTAAAGGGGAACGATGAGAGTAATGGCCCCGTTGGTGGTCCATTTTTTGATTTCGCTGATATTGGTGGTTAACGCCGTCTCGTCCACGGCACAGTGGAAGACCTTGCGTCCGGTCGACATGGTTGGTTGGAATCGGTCGACAGGACCGGTCGCGTAGTTGAAGGGTGGGATACTGAAAAGGCACAGCGGCCCTAGACCGAACAGCTAGCTTTGACGACTGCGACCGAGCCGCAGGCGTGGTTAGCGTGGTGCTGAAGCCCGCGAAGGAGGTTTGGATTGGGATTAATGGAGGCGGAGGGCCTGGGAATGTGGGGGCCCTGGCTCGAGGACAGAGAGAACAATACGCCCCAATACACCCAGTCGCCAACCCCGTTGCCAGGTAAAGACAGGGCTCACTCACAATGAAAACCGCGTTCACCAAGAAAGATCATCTGCAGCATTTTGCGTATGGAATAAGCGATCGTGGATGGAGCAGAATCGAGGCGAGATGGTGAGCGAGGAATGATCCATCGGCGGATCAACTGAAAGCCGCGGGATTCGCCTGGCCCTGACTAAGCGCCGGACGAACTTGACCGAACAGTCATCAGCATCATCAGCATCATTCACGCTTCATCGCATCCATGCCTCAATGGCCGAGTGACTCAATGGCTGTCTGTGAATCACTGGCCAATGCACTCATCACTACACATCTACTCTAGCCGAAGGTCTCTGTGTACCGTCTAGATTCTATCTCTGGTATCGGCGGATGCTGTAACAAGCTCGAAATGGAGGTGGGAGAAAACGCTATGTCATACAGGACCCGATGATCATCAGGTCATACCAATAACCTCCTCGTCTTCAACAACAACAACGTCAGCTGCCTGACTCTCCCATCCCTACGTTTCCTTCTTGATGAGACCCTCTTCCGGCTTGACACGTTGTGCCCATTCACTGCCACCGTCGTCAGCCACGGAACGTTGTAGAAAGTCAGGGACCAGGGAAGAAACTTACGTCCAGCTGCCATCGTATACCCTCCGCAGGTTGGGCTCTCCGAACTCCGCCTCGCCTAATGCCGTCTCAATGATGGTCGCCGTCACACCAGTACCACAGGAGCTGATGATCGATTTGGACGTATCAATGTCTTTTCCCTCGAAGATTTTGCGTAGCTCAGGTCCAGGGAGATACGTCTTGGTCTCGGGGTCCAGCAGCTCCTGGAATGGCAAGCTCTGGGAGCCAGGAATATGCCCCGATGACAGCCCCGGACGCGGCTCAGGATCGGTTCCCGCCCAGCGGCCGTACGAACGTGCGTCCAGGATCTCCACTTCTTTCGCACCCTCCTTTCTGTGCTCCTTGGCAATTTCCTTCAGCTCCCGGTAAGGGATCACGAGCTTCGAGTCATATGTAGGCACCGGGTAGTTGGTCTTCTCCGGCACAGACGCCTCGCCAGTCTCCGTCGGGTATCCTTCGCGAACCCACAATCTGTAGTTGTTGAGGAGATGGACGCGGGGGTGTCCGAAGACTCGAAGGGTCCAACCAACGCGGGGCGCGCTGAAAATTCCCAGCTCCTCCGTGTCGTAAACCACAACCTCGTCGTCGCGTCGAATGCCAAGCTCACTCATCGCCTCGGCGAACGTCTCGGCGGTGGGAAGCATATGCGGGTAAGGCGAATCATGATCCTTGACGCCATCCAGATCAAAGAAACGCGCCTGAGGGATGTGGTGCTTGCGGAAGATGTCAATTCCTTTGCGACCCTCAGGGTCGTTCGGCATGAACCAGGCCGCGCATAGAGGAACTACCCGAGGGGAGGTCGAGATCTTCGTGCGGGGATTTTTCTTGAGCGCGGCGTCAAGCTCCTTGGGCGTAATCAGGTACGAGGAGAAAGAGAATTGGCGGGTTTGGTGTGCGAGCGACATGGTCGGCCGAGATAGGCGGGTCGGTGAAGGGATGGAATTACGAAGGGCTGCGAACGCCATGGTGAGGGGAAGACAAATGGATATAAAGGATCGAGTCAAGGATTATTTACATTCCGCTCAGACAGCGGCGTCTGGTTAATCAATCCACCTGCAGGCACGAAAGATGGAAGGATGAGGGGGAAAGAAGGGAGTGGTTAGTGGAAAGCGCAAGATGCATGGACAATGACGGGAGCGTTTCCTATCAGTCCATCCATCACAAATGCGGAGAGCGGCCATGTGAAAATCGGGACAAACAGGCCGCTTATCGCCCGCTCCACTTCCTCGCACCTTTGCTCCCCTTCGTCCCGACACTAACCAACCAACCCATTGTGATCCAATCCAATCATCCCCAGCCATGAAGGTCACCATCAAGGAGTGGAACGCCGTCGCCACCTGGCGCTGGGATATGCCCGATGATGAGGTCTGTGGCATTTGTCGGGTTCAGTTCGATGGTACTTGTCCAACGTGTAAATTCCCAGGTGATGACTGCTCCCTATGTAAGTCACTGACCCAACCGCCCTCATCCACTTGCACTTGTTATTGACTGGGCAATTTTGGCAGTGCTGGGAAAGTGCGGGCATTCATTTCATATGGTGCGATTGTGGATCTAAATGTCCTCATCCGAAGAACCAACACTGACAGAACTAGCACTGCCTCATGACCTGGATTCAACAAGAATCCTCCAAGGGACTTTGTCCCATGTGCAGACAGAGTATGTACCTACTATCCTTGTTCCCCTCTCCATGTACTAAACCGAGCTGCAGAATTCGAGTGGAAGCAAAACGATGACGAGGAAGAGGAGGAATAGCCAACCTCAACTGTTTTCAACTTGACTGGGCTGCTCAAGGCGTTGGAGGTCCCTTACACATGATACCCTGCGCTTGTATTCTCCTACTGCTAGCATGAACGCATTGTCCCTTCTGTCTATATATCCTTAGCAACAAGGCATTCAGGCATCCTGTTTGTTTACCTCCGCAGATCGGGTCACCTGACGCTATCGATAAGCAGGCCAAATGATCCGCGGCGAATGCGGCAGTTTCCCCAGATACGGGAAGCTTGCCTGTCTCCCAGTAGTCATCTCAGGTACCTGCTGCCCTGCCCTGCCTGTCCGCTCCAACCCACCTCCTCGACTCCATGCTAACCATGTAGCTCCGATCCACCAGACATGTCTCTCCCCAAGCACACCTCCCCCTCTCCCTTATCCTCCTCCCCCTCCCGGCAATCAATCCGCCGTCCCTCAGGATCTCGCCCCCAGAGCATCATCGATCGACCCGGCACAGCCCAGCCTGTGACCGAAATCCCAGAAGAGCACGACGCAGCTCCAGCACCGCCAACAGCAGCTATCCCCATCGACCAAGAAAGACCCCACGATACCACACCCACCTTCCAACCCTTCTTCACTCTAATCGAAGACGTCAACTCCTCCGAATACTTCCACCCGACCGTCCACTACATCTTCTCCGATGACGACACCGATATCGTGACCGAGGCCGCCCTGCGCTCTCTCGAATCCGAGCACGACCTCTTCCCATCCAACGGGAAAGGCAAGTCGAAATCAACGCGTGATCACACTCAGCACCGGCACGACGCAGAAGGCACAGATGGCACATACCCCGAGGACGACGAATACGCCCACCAGAGAAAGGAACCCCTCCTCCCCGACCCGATCCCCGGCATCCGGGACAATTATGTGATCCTCGATGTCGATTATGCGTCTCCGGAAGTCGCGCAGAACGAGACTCTGGGCCCGAATAATAACGACGGCGCGGCAAGTTCTCATGAAACCCAGGGCACATCATTCCCGCAGCAGCAGCAGCAGCAGCAGCAGGGGACCTCATCTCATAAGTTCAGTGTGACCTCCGCGCATAGTTTATCGCCAGCCTGGCAGGTCCTGAACACACAGATCGAGAAGAATAATTCGTCCGGAGGACAGCCGCCGAACGGCGGATTGATGCTGAAGATCCAAGGCACGGCAGGATTACCCATGACGATGTTGGGGAAGGATAAAGATCGGGAGAGGAGTAGTCAGCGATTGGAGGATATGATGGATCAATTTGCGAAGAGACTGGCGGAACTCAGACAGGTTATTGAGGCAGGGGAACAAACAGGGGAACTAGTCGGGGACACAGGGCTCCCTGAAGAAACAAGCACGGACAATGGACCTGCGGTGAACCCCGAAGAGCCGATCGAAGCCCAGACTCAGGTCGAAGGTGGTGCGGGGAACGAGAATCACTCTGCAGAGAGAGATGAGCTGTTAACTACAAAATAGTCCTGGACATGTCGGCGGGAGCACGCATTGTGGCACCCGTCCATGGGCGCTAGACTAATAAATCTACGGTTCTACAAACATTTCATATAGCCGTGAAGAGATCAACCATGTTATCTATAGACGACAACCGAGGTATCTATACCAGAAACCCGATTCAAAAAAAACACCTAAACACCAGCCTGTAGGACTCAAATTATCCCGTGCCGCAGTAAAAGTAAACCCAGATAGTACCCATCTCATCCAGCCGACCAAGGCCCAAACATGGTGTCAAACAACTGTCGTTCTCCAAATATTCCGCCAATTCCCAGGGTATCCCATAACGCCTGCCACCCACATGCGAGCAGTGTAATATCCGTGCACAGGAAAAGAAAGAGGTTTTTAGCGTGCGATTTAATTAAAAGGCTGGTTTCTCAGCTTCCTGGCGCTGGAGGGAGGGACGTTTTCCGGTCCTTCCCGCATCCCAGCCATCTTTCTCGTCAGCATCTTCTGTGAGAGCTTGCTATCCGTCATTGTGAGATTCGAGCAGCGTCGTTTCGCGGGCGGTTGGTCTGTCCCCTCATTGCTTGGTGTGCGGTCCAGGGTATCCAGAGGCGTTTGCGCAACCGCAATAGACGACTTGCGCGCGAGGGCATGGTCCCCAATATTAGATGCGCGCGGTTTTACGACGTTTGCATCGACTTCCCTAAGTCCCGTGTTGGAAGGAGTGACCGCGGTTTTGGGTGGTAGAGTTCCTACCTCGTCCTCAGCATCGTTGAAAACGAAGCCTTTGGATGGGGGAGATCCAGGAGAGCTGTCAAGCACCGGAAGCTGGTCTTCACCACTGAACGGCAGTGCGGAGAACTGCCTGGATGTTCTCATCCGGGTTTTCAGGGAATCGTGGGTCTCTGTCCGGGGCAGATCAGACGGATAGTCGTATCTGCATTTCTTAGGAGTAGCGCCGGTAGAGACATAGTCCTCGAATGACCGATTTTGGATGTTGTCGCGCAGGTCTGACAGTGGCTTCCGGACATCATCCGAGAGTGGCATGGCTGACTCTTGCAGGTTGATTTGTTGCTGGATTGCTCCCTCCTGCAGTTCGGCCAGGCGGCCACCGAGTTCGGTGAACTGCGTATTCACTGAGGAATACGATTGGTGAACATTGGATGCCATATTCTGTAGACTGGACAGGTGGGCATCGCGGTAAAGCCCGTTCTGAGAACGTGCCTTGGCCACGAAATCATCTAGGGCTTCCATTTGCTTGCTCATGTTGTTCATCTGAGCATCGACAATACGGACTGTCTCCTGATGAACCGACTCCGTTGCCTTCTGAATCGAAGCATTCCGTTGATCGAAAACCTACAAAATTAGCACCCCGCAGACGGATGAGTATCTATGAACCAACTCACCTCCCAGTCACTTTGCATCTTTGTCCTTATCTCGTCTTTCGATGCTGTAACGTCCTTTGCGAACTGCTCCGACTTGAACACCCACTCGTCGACCTGGCGATCGTATTGCGCGGTTGTGTGCTCCAGGAAATCGCCTGTAGAAGTAAGGTCGGTACGCATCGTCTCCACCCTGCCTTTCAAGCGTCCGAATTGCCTTTGACGGGATTCATCGATCAATGACTTCATCTGTGAAAGCAAGAGCTCGCGCTCAGCTTCTCCGTTCGCACATTCTTCTTCAAGCGTCTGTGCCAGCTGAGAAGACGCCCTGCGGTTAGCCTCTACGGCCTTAATGTTCGCCCCCTGTAGCTCCAGTCGCAATCTATTGATCTCGGCTTTTTGTCCGTTAAGATGCGTGACCATATCTTCAAACATCGACTTGAAGTCTTTTCCGAGAGCGCTATAGGACGAATGCAGCTGTACGGGTTTTAGCATGACGCAACCTAAGTGTGCGGTCCAACTTACCTGGGCATGGAACTCAGCAAATTCGCCAATCACCTCTTTGGATATACGAGCGGCGGCAGCTGATAGACCGTTCAGGCCCTCTCCAACCTTGCGCTTGACTTCCTCACGTAGGTCCTTGATCTCTTCGAGGACCTCATTCATCTCATCATGAGCACCCGAAGTTTGAGCGTTTGCCTCGCGCTCTGCCTTCTCAAAGGAGCCAGCAGATTCCAACAATCGGGAGTGGTTCTTTTCGATATTGCCAAGCTCACGCGTGACGAACTCATTGATCTTGTCTGACATGGCTTCCACAAGCTCTGAGTGCTGCTCCTGAAACGCTTTCACTCTGGAATCAATCACAGTGGTCACATCCGATACTTCTGCAGCGGACACCTGCCACGCCTGCTTATTGGCAGCGTCCAAGTCCGACTTGCGTTGTATCTTAGCGTGCAGACCATTGATATCTTCAACAGTAGTATCAAGAGTTGACAGGAGGCCAGCGCCAATATCGCGAAGTCTGACTTCCGTATCCTCGTGTGCTTTGCGCAACATTTCCTCCTCCTCAAGCTGTGCTTTGGTATCCTTGAGGACAATCTCGGTTTGCTCAAGAACATCGTTTGTATCGGCAAGCGCAGCACGCGTGTTTTCGTTGTCCTTCTTCAGATCATTAAAGTTGCTAGTGAGCGTGAATAGCTCCTGGACTTTGTGCCGTAAGCTGGACTCCATGGATTCGATCTTGGCGCGCTGTTCCTCATTCACAATTCTTCGGGATTCGCTTTCCATGGTCATTTCCTCATAGGCATCCACGCTCATATACACGCCGTTCCGGTGTCTGGTAGCAATGAGCTCTCCCTTCAACTTTTCGATCTCAGACGTGAATTCACGCAGAAGTGTCTTCTTCGGCATGGTGGAATTGATCTGGGGCTTATTCCGGATGTTCTTCGCCCTAAAGGCATAGTCCAGGGTCGATATTGTTTCTTCTAAGTTGCTGCGCGAGGGCGAGATTGTAGCAATTATGCAGGTCTTTGTCCGTCCTCCTAGAGAATCCTGTAGGAGGCGGGTGAGCTTGGATTCTCTGTACGGGATATGGGCGCTCTTGTCAACCAAGGCGTTGATGACGCGACCCAAAGTCAGCAAACTCTTGTTGATCAATCCAGCTTCAGTCGCACGCTTGTTCTCAGCACCACTCCGCTGGATATTCTCACTACCGGCCAAATCGACCAGGTTCAACTTTCCGGAGCTAATGTAATCCTCGCCGGACTCGGTGGTTCGCTTTGTCAGTACGGTGATAGTAAAAACTGTGTGAGACCGAGAACTCAAGTCATTGCATTTCGTCGCAGCGACTTGCCGCTTATGGCTGCCATTCTGTAGCAGCTTAATCCCGGCCGATGCCGAGTCGATAAATGTTTCCTCCATTCCCTGCACGAGTGTGCTTGCATGTCCTTTTTTCGACTCGTTCTCGAAGATCTTCAGTTTCGGGTTTTCTTCTGATGAAAGCAGGTCGCGGAGCTCTTCGTTATATAGTTCAATGAAGGAGCATTTTACAGTACTCTCTGTATCCTGAAGCTTGTGAAACAAGGAATAAAGCACCCGCGGAATAATACCGGCGTTATCCGATAGTATGCCCAGGGTATCTGTCATATCGCCGGACATTGTGTACGTCTTTCCGGTACCCGTTTGTCCGTAGGCGAAGATTGTGCAGTTGTAGCCAGCAAGCATCTCGTTGACAATCGGCAGTACCACATCTTCATAGACAGTGACCTGATCGGCAGCTGCGGAAAAGACCTTGTCAAATGCGTAGGCCTTGTTGGCCAAAGCATTCGGGCCCATGGACAACTCGACCGACTTTCCCTTTACTCCCTCAGGCGTGGACACCACAACCCCGCTCTTCTCTTTGATCTCCCTATCATTGCGGCCTCGGCATCTAACCACAACATGGATGCTGGTGTCTTCGTTGATCTCACGCTCAAAATCTCTTTCTTTGCGCTTCGAAATGATACTGGATGGTTCGGCCGGGGATTTCAATACGCGCGAACTGCTGGAAGAAGGCGCCTTGGCGGCAATTGCTGGAGAGCTTGCCCGTACCGAAGGCGCCGTCGAACCGGCCCGTCTTGTCGGCTGGCGCGTAGTCGCAGTACGTCTTGTTGGCAGCCCAGAGGCAGGCCGTTGTGGGCCGGCCATAATGGACTATGCAGTGAGAACCAGTGTCAAATATTGGGTCGTGATGGGGCAGTGAGTATCAATGCCGCAAGTTTGTGGACCATGCAAGCAGCATAAGGCGAGAGTGTTGGTGGCGGTTGTCGGGGATGTCGTCTAAGGAGGTCCAGTTATTTATTGATGTTGTTGCGGGAATCTCAAAACGGAAAACGTAAACAAAGCGGTCACACCGCCCACGTGCCGCCCACCCCCGGTCATGCCCCCCTCTCACATGATCCCATGCGTTCATCGCCTGGCCCCCGCCGCTCTCCTCCTGACTATCAGCGACTCTTCCTTTGGTTTCTTCTACGATTCGAAGCATCGAGATATCTTCTAGTTGAAGCACTGCTCACCTGTAAAACGTTTGACCCCAGTGGTGGCGCCTTGCATGCCCAATCTCTACCTCTCGACGTATATACGTACCAACTACTAACGCCCCCGGCCCCTCATCTACCCGCCCCAGGATGAGCATCGGCCGCAATCCATCATGAGTTCCTCCAAGCCTTCGCCGCAGGCTCAGATCTTCCCTGGAAAAGGGCTGGGTTTTATAAGCATGTTGAGTCACTACCGTTGGTTCTGGGCATGGCTAATCGGTGTCGCATAGCTCTTGGAGCCTCCCTTCACAATGTCCTAAGCCGCGTCAAGGCCCATCCCCAGATATACCCCGCTATTGATATTGCATATTCCTCGTCGGAGCCCCTTCACAAACCGGTAACCTTGCAGCTTCCATCAAGCGGCCTTCGTCTGCGGTTCGACGGACCCGACCAGCGGCTTCGTTTAATCGAAGTCCTGGATTTCTCCAAGATTACACTTGTCTATAAGAATCAGGAGGTGCTGAAAGGCGCAAAACCACAGGAGCAGTCTGTGACGCAGCAGGGTCCCAACTTTCGCCATGTCTACAATCGTCTCTTCGGGCCTTCCTATCCTGGGGAGTACATTCCTCCAGATAGCCCTCAGTCACCATATGGCACGTATGTGCTATCGTACCCTGGAGTCGCATTCTCTTTTCCGCTCCAGAACTCAGCATGGTCCGACCAGTGTGACTTTGTAGCATTGCTTTCCTCGTCCGCGGCCTTACCAGCAACATCTATGGCCATTTTCCAAGGCCCCTCTTGGCCCGAATCTCGGAACAAACTGTTTACCCAGCAGCCGCAGTTTCCGCGCTCGCCCGCTTTGGCAAGTAAGAGCAGGGAATCGATTGCGGACGAGATCGAGGAATTTCTCATCTTTGGCGCCGGCAAGATCGAAGTAGTCCGGAGATCGACACCATCTGCACAGATCACGTTGTCCGAAACCACTCCGCAGGACCTAGTTGCTGAGTTCGGGCCCCCGGATGCCATCTACCGTAAACATGACCGGAGAATAGCCATCCATCGCGCCGCTGGCCGTAGCGGTGGAGAGGACCCTCTTCATATGGGGCCATCTCCAGGTAGAGGGATAGATGTTACTGACATCGATCAATCTTCAACTAACAGTGTCACTGATGACTCAGATGACGAACTCTTCCAGCCGAACGCACTGGACCCTTCGTCGCTACCAACCGAGTGCTTTTTCAACTACTTCCATCACGGCTTCGATGCGTTCATCTCCTATCCGACCACGCCTGGCCCTGCCTTTCCGGGTTCTGATCAGAAAGATCCTACCCCACCGTCGCCTTCGTCGCAGCTGGTGGTCACCAAAATTATTTTGCATGGGAATGTGCCGGGCTCTTATCCTTTCAATCGTCACCGCCGCAGCCGCTGGAAGATGATCTTCAGCCCACCCGATGATATTGTTACTTCGGAGACTCGCTATGAAGAGGTCTCGGAGCGCCTCAGGTCAGTTTGGAAGGGGTCTTATGCGAGTGCGGCGGAAGAGCGGGCTCTGCAACGGCCCATGGTTTTGAACCGAGGGTGGGGCGACAGCCCAGAGAGCAGCGTCGAGTTCCTCGGCGGATGGGAAGAGAGCACGGGCAAAGGACAGCGAGCGGGCCATGACGCCCAAGATGGCGGGCTAGGTAACACGGAGCTTTTCGGATTCCCCGGTCTGCTGTTTGAAGTGATGAAGAATGGCGCGGTGAGCTGCTTGACTGTCTATTGACCACGATATTTCTAGGTTGGACCGGAGTTTCAGGTTTCTGCATATTTGGGCAAGGCATCAGTATCATGGACTCAATATAGCATATGTCGATAGAATCATTGTAGTAATCACAAGTCAGCGTCCAGAATTGGAGACGCTTTTCGGGTTTGCGCGGTGTATTAATTTTGTTTTGGTCGTGTTATCTAATGACAGACTTGCTACGGAGGTAATTGCTATGATTGGCTATTTGTATAAATTACTGTAATACCGATACTTGCCTTTCCCGGCGCATCGCAGTCGAGATTCTTTGAACCTCCGCTTCTCGATCCAAGTCAACCTCGCCCAATTGACCTACTGAGAAGGTGGGATATGATCCAACGGTAGTATGCCGGACCTGCCACGGACGCTCGCTCGGTCCTGGTCGTCGACGCTCAAGCTCCCCAAATCGACGTTTCCCGCACGCGTGACGCCGGCCGATCAGACAAAATACCTGCAGCGATGCACCGACGACCTTTACGCCTGGCAACAACATCAGAGACCGGCCAACCGACCATTCGTTCTACATGATGGACCACCATACGCAAACGGCGACCTTCACGTCGGTCACGCCCTCAACAAAGTCTTGAAGGATATTATCTGCCGTGTCCAGCTGGGCTTGGGAAAGAGGGTCCGATACGTACCTGGATGGGATTGCCATGGCTTGCCCATTGAGCTTAAGGCTCTCGAAGCGCAGAAGGAACTACAACAGGAAAATGGACCCGTCAGCGCGGCGTTGGTACGGAAGGCTGCACGGAAACTGGCTGAGCGGACCGTCAAGGCGCAGATGAAAGGATTCCGGAGCTTTGCGGTCATGGCCGATTGGGAAAACCATTGGAAAACACTGGACAAGGCCTTCGAGAAGAGACAGCTTGGTGTCTTTCGGGAAATGGTCGAGAGAGGATTGATCTATCGGAGATTCAAACCGGTTTACTGGTCACCGTCCACCGGCACCGCGCTGGCGGAGGCGGAGCTAGAATACAAGGAGGATCATGTTTCAACGGCTGCCTTGGTGAAATACCCTCTGGTCAGCATCCCGGAACACCTGGCACAGGACCCTTTGCTCAAGGATAAGGAAATCAGCGCTGTCATCTGGACTACTACTCCCTGGACACTCCCGGCGAACGCCGCCATCTCGATCCACCCGTCTTTGGAATACGCGATCGTCGACTCGGATACGCAGGGCTATCTTCTCATCGCGCAATCTCGACTGGAATATCTTGAGGCTATTCTGAAGGAGGACCTGTCCGTCATTGTGCCGGCTATCCCTGGCTCGGAATTGGCTGGTCACACCAGGTACCGACCTCTGTTCAAGGGACCCGATGCGGAGCCGCAACCTATCATTGCTGCGGATTTCGTCACGGCTGATTCTGGATCGGGACTTGTTCATTGCGCGCCAGGTCATGGTATGGAGGACTACGAGGCTTGTCTGGCTTTAGGAATACCCGCTTTTGCTCCTGTGGACGACCACGGCAGATTCACCGACAAGGCTATGCCCAGTGACCCGAAGACGCTCAGTGGAAAGAGCGTCTTGGGTGGTGGCAATGCCGCCGTTCTCGAATATGTCGAATCGCAAGGCCAGTTGATTACCAAGCACCGTTACGAACACAAGTACCCTTACGACTGGCGGTCGAAGCTTCCCATCATCATCCGGGCTACAGAGCAGTGGTTCGCCGATGTGGCCGACATCCGTAGCAGCGCCATGACCGCGCTGGAGGAAGTCAACTTTGTGCCGGCCACCGGGAGACAGAGACTGGAGAATTTCGTCAAGAACCGTAGTGAATGGTGTATTTCCCGCCAACGCGCCTGGGGTGTCCCTATCCCCGCGCTCTACCATCGGGGCACAGGCGATGCTTTGCTTACCAAGGACAGCGTGTCGCATATCATGAATGTGATCGAGGAGCGCGGCATTGATGCCTGGTGGACGGACGAGGCCAACGATCCGGCTTGGGTTCCCCCATCTCTGCGAGATGCATCTGGCCCTGGTTACAGACGAGGAACCGACACCATGGATGTGTGGTTTGACAGCGGCACCAGCTGGACCGAGATTGACATCCCTTACCGTGACGGTGAATCTCCTGCCGACGTCTACCTCGAGGGCACGGATCAACATCGGGGATGGTTTCAGTCTGGGCTTCTGACTTTCGTCGCCCACCAGCTTGCCTCCGGACAGACCAGTTCCCCTCGCGCGCCATTCAAGAACCTTATCACCCATGGGTTCACTCTGGATGAAGAAGGTCGCAAGATGAGCAAATCGATCGGTAATGTGATGAGCCCCCAATCGATCATGGATGGGACCCTCTTGCCGCCTCTCAAGCCGAGAAAGGGCAAGGGAAAGAAGCAAGCAGAAAACCAGGCCCCCGTCTACGATGCGCTCGGCCCGGACGCTCTCCGGATGTGGGTTGCAAGCAGTGACTACACGCGGGATGTTGTGATTGGGAAACAGGTACTTCAGACTGTCAATACCAGCCTGCACAAGTACCGTGTGACCTTTAAGCTGTTGCTGGGTGCCTTGTCGGACTTCCAGCCCCAGGATTGTCTTGCATATGATCAGCTTCAGCAAGTCGATCGCATCGCACTGAAACATCTGTCCGAGACGGTTTTGGCCTGTCAGAAGGCGTGCGAGAACTTTGAGTTCTACAAGGCTGTGAATGCGATCAACCGCTGGGCCAACCTTGAGTTTTCTGCCTTCTACATGGAGGCCATCAAGGATCGTCTCTACACCTATGCGGAGAACAGCACGAGCAGACGTGCTGCACAGACAACGTTGTTCCACATCTACCACCACCTGCAGGAGGTGCTGGCTCCGATCACTCCCATGCTGGTGGAGGAGACTTGGGAGCACACCCCCGAGGCCATCAAGGCGCACTGCGAGCATCCTCTCAGACGTATTGTTTCTGCGCCTGCCTCCGAATGGCAGGATCCGAATCTGGAGGCAGACTACCAGGATATTGTAGCCGTCAACTCGGTTGTGAAGACGATCCAGGAAAAGGCCCGGGGTCAGAAGCAGATGGGCTCTTCCCTGCAGTCGTTCGTGCACATCGTTCTTCCTGAGGGCGCTACGCCGGAAATGGTCTTCCAGCGCAACCTCTCGGAGCTCCCTGATGTATTTGTGGTCTCGTCCGTCAGCCTCGGGGCGCACGAGGAGCCAATCCCGGAAGCCATCAGCACTGCGGAGTGGAAGTACAGCGAGGAGTACGAGCTGCCGAACGGAGGGAAAGGCACGGTACATGTGTATACCCCGCAGGCGTGCAAGTGTCCGCGCTGCTGGCGGTATGTTGTGCCCGAGGCAGAGGCCACGGAAGAAGCCGTGTGTGGGCGCTGCGAGGAGGTGGTGCAAGAGCTGGATGCTTCATCCTGACTGGACCCTGCCTTGGTCGCATTGAAGCGTACACGCTAGTGCTGCATGTATATTATAATAGTAACAAGAGTCACCCGTTAGTATATGGTTAGCCAACCGATGGTACTCCGTAGTTGAAGTGTGGACTGATTAGGGATGGCGTCATTCCGCGGCAAGCGTCGGAGCTTCACTCGCGACCCAACTGCGACGCTCTCGTATCCTGCAACTCCCGCCGTCTGGACCTCTGAGCTCAGCCAGGATGCCCCCGGGTCCCAAAGGACATTGGCCGGCACCGATTCCTACAGGTTACACCATTCCCCTCAATGCTGCGGCCGTATTCGCCGTGATTGGCTCTCTTCCGCAGCCGACTCTCAATGACGACAACGTCGAGGTCAGCATGACGACGGTCGCTGGTTGCTGTGAATCCCCGACATTTTTCAGACATTCCCAGACATTGATGGCCAGCCGGCACTTCAGGCCCCTTGTTAAATACTCCAGTTGATCCCCGTCATATACCAATTTTCCCCGCAAGCTCCCTCCCCTGCGAACCGTTTCTGCACCATCGTGAGTGTCGATAAGTCTGTCGAACGTCTTCAACATGATCGAGTCTTTTGTCAAGGAGACGCAGCCTCTCCCTTGGCCGGAGCCCACGCCGACCTCGTCGGTGGCTCCAATTCCCACCGTCGTCCCCGGCAGTGATCCCATCTTCCAGATGCTCCATGACACGGGGAAACGGACCTTATGGTAGTCTCCCTCTTCAAATGTCATGGATCGAGCTAACTCGAGAGTCGAACAGGGTGGTTACCGTGCTCATGGGCCTCTCTTCCCTTGTGTTTTACATTCTCGGCGCCAGAGTGCCTCTTGTAAGTCTACCACACCATTCCCGAGACCAGGGACATCGCGGGGCAGACAGCTAACTAGATCCTTCTAGAGCAAGCGCGTGTTCCACGTCCTCGTCTCCCTCGCCAGCACGGTCTCTTTTATTGTCTACCTCGCCCTCGCCACAGGAGAAGGCATGGACTGGAAGCTGGACGTCGTCAAGGAGCACAACAAGCACGTCCCCAACACCACACAAGACTACTACCGCCAGATCCTCTGGCTTCGCTATATTCTCTGGTTCCTGACCGAGCCCTTGGGCCTCATCAGCCTGTCCTTGCTCTCCGGTCTCCCGGGTGCACACCTGCTCATTGCCATCGCGGCAGACTATGTGATGCTTGGCTCGGGCGTTCTGGGCACCTATGCCGGCCATACCTCGCGGAGATGGGTGTGGTTCACCATTAGCGCAATCGGATATCTGACGACCGTGTATCACATCAGTGTCCATGGCAGTCGCGCGGCGAGCAACAAGGATGTCCAGACCAAGCGGTTCTTTGGAACTCTCTCGGGCGTAATGTTGTTTGTCAAGATTCTGTACCCTGTGTAAGTCAACATTCTCAATACCTCAAAGAGACGAACTAACTTGAATAGGGCGCTTGCTGCCGGAGCTCTAGCGCTGAAGATCAACGTTGATGTTGAGACCATCCTCTTTGCCATTTACGATATCTTCTCCCAGGGTATCCTCGGATACTGGCTGATTTTTGCGCATGATGGCGCTCCTGGAATGTAAGTAGAGGTTTAACGGCGCTATGAAACCTGTACAGGACAGTACTAACTGGCCAATCAGCACCCTCAATGTCGACGGCTTCTGGTCCCACGGACTGGGCAACGAAGGCGCCATTCGCATTAGCGAAGAGGACGGAGCGTAAGCTATATGCCATGTCCTGACCATCAAATACTCTGAGACGTACACGGAGAACCATCAGTCCGACTTTGTCTGGTCCGGTCTGATCTGGTCTCGACATGACCCACCAATCCACCCCACAGTCTCTACCGAATCCACACCTTCCTTTCCCAACTTTCACCCCCCTACACTACACTCTCTAATCACGACATGACATGACCTGCCACTTCTAGCATCATCAACAGCCCGTATGACCCTAATTAAGCCCTGAATAACCACACACATGGGAAAAGTTCGGTGCATTTTCCTGGGAGGGTATAATAATGAAAGTTCTACTTCCTGACCGATCCTTGCATGTCTTGATTCTGCAAATCCTGTCTGTATAGTTGGTTTTGGGCGTTTGGATTCAGTAATAATCTGCTGCCGTCGACATCTGTGTATCGTGTTGCATTGTCTTGTGTTGTGCTGTTCGAAGGAGTACTATTATGATTGTTTACTCGTAGCAATAAGATCAGAATGTGACTGGCGTGCATTATCAGACTTACCTCGTAGAGTAAGTAGTAAGACCGACTGGTTCTATTCAATATCATGGAAGGAGTCATGATGTTTCACTACGTAGGACAGTGTCCTTGATTTTCCGGTCAAGTGATCAATACCTGGTATTGATAGCTAGCGATCCCTGTCGAGGAATAGTAGAGCGGGCACCTGATCTAAATCGTAATTGAAGTGAGTGGACGAGCTTTATTTCCTCTTTCGGAAGGCACTGTTGATCTGAGGTTGTTCGTTGCCAAGGCATCACGGCATGGATTATCTACCCCGGGAATATATATATTGGAGATTATTTATAGGTAATTGAGTCTTTTTCCGTCGAGATGGTATAACTGATACAATCAGGATGAACTAGTTATTGTCGACAGACATGATTCTACCTCCAGCACACCTACTAGTACTCAATATATTTACATTAGTAGTTCCCACCTATTATTATACTTCTACATCGAAGACAATGACCCAACCAACCAGAAGACACCTCAAAAAAACCATACATACCCAGCTCAAGAAAAGAAGCCACAAAGCATAAAACCGAATGGATCAAAGCAAGACAATTACAAATAAGACCAAGGATAAAGAAATAAAAAACAAAAGAAGATGTCTGCACCGGATGGGGATTGAACCCACGACCTTCGCATAACCAATACGAGTGCGACGCTCTACCACTGAGCCACCGGTGCTGACTTAGTAAGCTGGTGGCGAATTGTGTTTTTGAGGAGATTGGTATATTTGGGATTGGTGATTCATTGTTGGTAGTATTAGTTTAGTTTCCCTAGCTAAGGTAGTGGGGGAGGTATGGGATTTGTTTAAGGTAGGAAAGACATTGATGAGACCAGTGGGGTATGCATTTCGGGTATTCTGTAGTTGATGCATATTATGGGATGATTGATTAGAGGTGTTGTAGTTGAAGATCCATGGTTCAAGATGTCATGTTATGTTGATAGGAAAAGATCGTCAGGTCGTTCATCCGTGTTGTGTCGTAAATCGTTTCTCGTTATGGTATCGGAGCGAGGATTAAAATCCATGCGGCTTGGAATCACACTATTCCCCAGTGTTAGTACACAAGGATAGACTCAGTAGCAAAGAACTCACTCAGTGATTCCGGCCCGGTATACTTCTTCTCACTCACTTTCTTCCCACCCTTCAATTCAATCACCTTCAACTCAGAAAGCCAATCGACCCGTCTCGCCACGACCGCTTTCTCAGGGACCTGGCGCGGGAAAACCACCTTCACCTTCTTCATCGGCTGGCACAGCCAGAAGCCCGCATCCACGCAGTAATCCTTAAAGTTGATGCACTTGAGGCGCTTCACGTCAAACCAGTGCAGGAACGGATCCGCGTCGACCACGAAACCGAAGAGAATCAAAGTGCGAATAGACAGTTTCTGGCGCGTACGACCAATTGCCATGGCGCAGACTTTGGCCTTTTCGATGACCATTTTGTCGAGGTACTCGGCTTGGCCGAGCTTGGGGTCGAGGGCGCCACTGCCGTCGCCGCTGATGTCATTTTGCGTTAGGGGCTGCATGAGAGTATATGTGGTGAAAAGGAGTCTACTTACTAGTAGACTGGTTCAGCGTAATGAGCCGGGTCGAGCTTCCAGCCCCCCTTGATGTAGGGCCAGTCGCCGGTTCTGCTCTTGCGGATACGAGGAGGCAGCGCCATGCCTAATTCCAGCTCGTCGAGATTGTGATTGAGCCAGGCGGTCCGCCAGATGTATTTCTGATACGACTGCATCATTCCGGTGATCTTAAGGCTGCGTAGATTGCGGAACTGGCTGAGGGGAGACATTTGTTCGAGATCAAGCATCACGAGGTTCGGCTTCGGCTTTTTGTCGCTGGATTCCTCGCCATTGGCGTTCTTGTCCTTTTCATCTAGGTCCTGCGGCCAGAACACGTCGATACCCAGCAAGCGACGGTCATTGGTAAGAAGCGTCCAGGTCTCGCCGCCACGGAATTCCATAAGCGGCTCCTCTGGGGTGGCCTCGTCTGCGGGGATGAGTTGAATGGGTTCCGGCTCGGCCTCGGCTTCGGAGTCCTCTTTCAAGAGGAGGGCCATTCTGCTTAGTGCAGAGCGGATGAGCGAGCTGGAACGGCTAGAGGAGGTGCTGGAGCCACCAGCAAAGGGCCGCAAGCGATCACGCGATTGAGATCGAGGGCGTCTGGAGAGCTCGATAACACGAGCAGTGGCCAGCGGGGCACCAGTGAATGCATCGCTCATGCTGAACCGACGACGTCCGGGTCTCTCTGTGATGGGACCATTACTTTCAGTGGCGGGGGCGTGGGTATTCTGTTCATGTTCAAGATTGAACAGAAATCGTTCGTGCAGGGGTGCGTCTTCCTCTAGGGGTTGGTTAGATATTGAGTATTGGACAAACTTGGGAGTGGTAAATAGGCATGGGCGAGAGTAAACTGACCGGCTTCAGTGCTCTGATCAGCTTCAATACTGTCATGGATAGGCTGGTTATACGCTTCGGCATCTTTCCAGAACTCCTCTCCAAGCAGTGAAGCTTTCCAGTGATTCGGATATTCCTCCATCTTGAGTGCTTGTTGACGCCCGCCGGAGAAAGAGCTGGAGCAGGGACGTCCTCAGATGAACGGATTGGAGCAGCGCCGGGAGTTGCCTGAAAGCGATCAGGAGGAGGGGAAGAGACTAAGAAAGAGAAGAAAGCCATGGAGGCCAGCGGATAAACACATATCGACAAAGCCGTGGGATGATTCACTGTTGCTAAGCGGGGAGCGGTTCTGTGTGTGAGAGTAAGTCAATGTGCTTTCTTTAGTTCTCGCCAGACAAGGGTGTCTCAAAATCCGCCTTCACAGCGGGATGAACAAAGCACCCACAGAACAAAAACTTTCATGATGCTATCAGCTAGGAGAGATTTCATTGTTGGTTGTTACAAATTCTTTGTAGTACGTCCTGACCCTGACCCTGTCTGGTCCCTAGTTGTTTTAGAATGTCCTTGTGTGCTTTGCCAGCCTTTCCACCACACCCACAACTTCTCCATATAATCATCTCTTACGGAAAAGCAAAGGAACATTCTCCTTCATTGCCAGGGTTATAATCGTGGAACTCTGTGCCAAAATTCGTTCTGCATCTCGTCGGCCTTCTTCACTGTTGTCAACCAACTCGACCCGATATTCGCGGAGAAGCGCTGTAAGCGCGGCAACGAATTCGACTTGCGCGAATTTCTTCCCCAGACAGGCGCGGAACCCATCGCTGAACGGAATGAAAGCACCTCGAACCGGTTTATGAATGGTGGGGTATTCCAAACCAGGACCAGAAAGGCCTGGTAGATCGTCGTTCTGAGCCAAGAAGCTATCCTTGTTGCGGGCGTCCCATCGCTGTGGTTGAAAGAGCCTAGCGTCGCTTCCCCAGTACTCTTCAGAATAGTGAAGACTGCCCGCGTTCAGGTTGATATTGACATGAGGCTCTAAAACATAGTCCTTGCCGTTGTAGTGGATGGTACTCGGGGAGTCGCCCGTATATTTGGGCACAGAAATAACCGGTGGGTAGAGACGCATTGTCTCGAGCTGAATCTAAGTCAGAAATGCAGCTCAAATACAGAGGGAGAGAGTATCAGGTACCATCATGCATAGAGGAGTAACGAGCTTCGGGAACACGTTGTCATAGTCCCAGTCCTCGATTTGTGACGGCTCGTCCTTGGTTGCCTCCGATATATCGCCATACACCCAGTCCTGCACATCTTGGTGGAGGGCCAGAAGCACAAGAGCAAACCTCAGGGTCGTTGCTGTTGTTTCATGTCCTGCAATGGTGAATATATGCATGTTGCTAATGACCTCTCGGTCGGACAAACCCTCATCCTTGGCATTGCCGGGTTTTCTGGAGATCAGCATTCCCTCTATAAGGTTGGAGGCAGTTTCAGTGTCGCCCAATCCAGATTCGGTTGTACTGATCAACCTCTGCAGATAGTGGTCCAAGTCCCGATGAGCCGCAAAGTCTTTCTTGAAGAATGGCACCAACGCTCTCGGCACCCATTTAGGCAGTATATTATTTGCCAGGACCATGTTGACAATGTTCAAATTCATATATGCCACAACCGACCGGAAAGTAAAGTCGAATCCTGCCGGTGGCGTGGAACTGTCCTTGAAGATGTCCTCTGGGTTCTGGAGAGAGTCCAGCTGTACTGGCTTGAAGGGCATTGGTACCCCAAACCCTGCGCCAGTGAGCACGTTCAAAGTCAGTTTGTGAATATCGTCCCTGGTACTCTGAACCGTGAATCCTGGTCCTTGTGGAGAATCTACAGGAGATGCGCCCGCCCATTGTTCAATCATTTCGCGCGTCTGCTCGACAGACTCCTTCCAAACCAGGGCGTTGTTCTTCTCGTGAAAGGTAGTTGCTGTGTGTCGGCGGTGGTGTGTCCATTCTTTGTCCTCACACTAGACTGATCAGTTCAAACTGTACCTCCAACAGCTGAAAGGCTTGTGCTCACCAGGACCACGTTGGGTCCATACATGTCCAAGATACCTGCAACGGCATGAGTGCCTAAACTGATACTTCGCGAAAACTCTTTGCAACAACTTACGATAGAGAAAGGTCGGCTTAGGAAAGTCCTGGCGCGCGTTGACGATTTGACAGACCACCGACGCATCCGCGACACTGAGCGTAACATTTTTGGGACTAACAAGCATGTAGAGTTTCCCATATCTCTTTACCTGGCGATCCTTGATCGACCAGCGAAAAGCGCCCAGATTATCGTACAGGATATCGCCGATCCATTGGGGAAGCCAGTTTTCGACAATGTACGGGAGCGCTGGACCGGAAACGGCAAGGAATATGATGCTGACGCTGTACGGGGCCACAGCATAAGGAAGCTTGGAGCGCTTCGCGATACGAATGTTCTTGGCAAGCCGCCAGATATAGTCAAAGACAAGCAGGCCTACGAGGCCTAGAATGAGGGTGTATGCGATCATCGTCCTGGTGGGCTACTTCGATAGACACCTCACATTACGAGGATGCAAGTAGGAGCCAAGGGGGTGAGATTTAAATGTCCGACTGGTTGCGTCTTACTATCTTGTCGGATCATTGTTTTCCCCCTGGAAGGATGCAAGGCTATCCTGTCATGTGCGAAGCTTGACACCGGTCAGCAATGACATCCAGCCGTCGTAGTACTACCTCGTATGGTTAGAGTTTGGCCCGTGATACCGCCCGAGGCTTTCAATGGCCTCGACGAATGAATGTGATTCACGGTATATGATGAGAGGGGGACTATAACGAGATGGTGACGTTGCTTCCTCACGTGGTCCCCGTCTATTTGGTTAATATATATAGACCCCCTGGTAACGACGCAGGCCGCTATCTTAGTTGTCGCCCCGGCGGTGCCAGCAAAGATATCAGCCCCCCTTGTCCAATGGACCCCTCTCAATCGTCCCGCAGAATAAAAACAAAAAAAACAAAAACAAAAAAAAAAACATCGTCCGTGCTCTAGGATTTATATGGGTTGTGCATGCACCTTGCATTCCGGATGGTAAGCAGAAGAATTTCCCATCAACTCGTTGGGCAGCAGTAATTAATAGGAGGAAGAGGTTGCTAAACATGTAATTTATAGTTATAATTCACTTCGAGCAACATAACGACAGTAGCTCTGCTGGGACGGTGACGGCTCGAATCATAGGTGGAGGCTTGGACGGGCGAGATAAGCACCGGATAATGGATATGCGGAGTCCTATGTGGGTTGTGGAACACAATCCACGCGCATTTCTCCACTACATAATGGTTTAATAAATCGAGAAAGCCCAGGAGTGTCCTAGCCTACGTCATACGGTTCTGGGGATGTGGTATGGCCCGTGGAGAGCAATCGCTACGGTTGATCCTCCCATAGAGTGGATCTACTCATGGGCCTAGCCCGTCTTACAGAATCCAGTCCAGACGGGTGTGCCGGCAGTGCAGTGCGGGATAATGTGCCAATATCCACCTTGTGTACCGTCGATTGTCGGATGGAGACCTTCGATCGACTCCACGTGGTTTTCCTTATTCAGTGTCCGTAATCATTACATCCATGGATACCGTAAATAGCGTAGCATAGCGCGAAAGTCAGGATTTGCCGGTACTGCCGATCCTACAACCAAAGAGACTTTTGAAACCCGTAGGAAAATAGTTCGATTCAAAAACAATCATGCAAGTTTATTCCCATCACAGCAGCACTACCCTAGTACTTCTTGCCCTGGCGCAGGACATCACCGAACTCCTCCAGAGGGCTGCGGATGAGCTTAGTCTCCTTCCAGAGGTTGGGGGTGAGGAAGCCGTAGGTGTTGACGACGGCAAGGAAGGTGGCCTTGAGGGTGTTCTCGAGGGTCTTGGTGGAACCGGAAGAGCAGGTGTAGGCATCCTGGACACCGGCAAGCTGGAGCAGACGCTTGACAGCGGGGGAGGCAACGAGACCGGTACCACGGGGAGCGGGGATAAGCTATCACCGTGTTAGCAGATTGATTCGTAGAATGCGAAGCCGGAATTCGAGACGAGTCGCAACATACTCTGACGGAGACGGAACCACACTTGGCGCTCTGCTTGACGGGCAGAGAGTGAGGCTCACCAAGGTTGGTACCCCAGTAACCTCTACGGACGGGGAGAACGCTGAGCTTGGCGATGATGATGGCGGCGCGGATAGCGGTAGCGACTTCCTTGGAGGTCTTGATACCGAGACCGATGTGACCCTCGGAGTCACCGATGACAACGACGGCCTTGAAGCGGGTACGCTGACCGGCACGGGTCTGCTTCTGGACGGGTTTGATCTAGAGTTGCAACCGTCAGCACCTGCCACTTGCATATCCTCTCTCTACCGCATGTCTGCAATTCCGATCCACGTATCCATTCCACCCGCGCTTCCATTGTCCAGCACCCGCGCACACCCGTAGATCATCCTTGTCGACATGGCGGTATTCAAGTGTTGTTCGTTCCGTACCTTCATGACCTCATCCTTCAGCTTGGGGAGGAAGAAGTCCACGATCTGGTACTCCTTCACGGGCAGGGAGTGCAGGTAGATCTGCTCCATGCTGGTGATCTTGCCAGCCTTGACGAGACGGCCGAGCTTGGTGACGGGCTGCCATTCCTTCTCCTGCTCCTTGGCACCACCGCGACGGCCACGACGGCCACGGCCACGGCCACGGTCACCACCACGGTCACCGCGAGAGCCGAATCCTCCACGTCCACGGGGAGCGTCAGCCATGTTGGATATATATGGCGATTGAGAAAGTCGGGGGGGAGAGGTATCGGACGGGAGGTGTCGCTGGAGGGGTTGTCGACGTCGAGGTTGACTTTCTTCTCGCTATCCACAACTGTTTTGGCACCATGGGAAATTTCGCGGCCGGGTGCGCTAAGCGAGCCCGCAGCCCTGTGCCCTAAGCCGCCCTCCCGTTTAGGTAACGCGATCGGGACCCCATCAGGACCATCATGTGACGGGTGGGCTACCCCATTGAGCTGTGCTCTCTCCAATCGCTGGCCGTCGTGGCGCTGATTTGTCGCGGGTTTGCTTTGTTTTTACCCTGGGGGTGACGCTGTTGCTCTTATCGGCGGTCTGGGGCTTGGTTACTTGTATCACTATCATAGCTCCCAGAACAACTTCTTTCTTCCCCACTCTCAAGTTATCTGGACCAATTTCAATTCTAGTCCCCGAATTATATTGCTCTGTCGTCGATAATGTTGCGGTGGTGTGTTCATTTCCGCTGTGGTACCATGTTCCTATCCCATCGCTAATCCAGGCACAGGTACCAGACAAAGTTGGCCAAGCAGCCTATCCTGACGGCTAGTGTGACGAGCGCGGTAAGTCTCGCACTGATTCTGCTGTTTGATTTTATTAGCCTTATATTCTGGCTTCTCATATCCCATTTTATATCTTATACGATCGCCACGTGCGCTAACTTGACGTGAACCAGGTGTTGTTTGGCAGTGGAGATGTTCTAGCCCAACAGCTAGTCGATCGCAAAGGATTTGATAAGCATGACCTGGCGAGAACGGGACGCATGGCCCTTTACGGAGGAGGTGAGTGAGCTATGCTATGCCTGCCCGAGGTTGTCGGGTTTCTGGCTTATAGCACATACTCACCGCTGCAACTGCTCAAATGTTCTTCTGCATAGATCGTGGTCAAGCTAACATGTGCCAGCGATCTTCGGCCCGGCTGCCACTGCCTGGTACGGTATCCTCCAACGTCACGTCGTCCTGAAGAGTACCAAAACCACCCTTGTTGCCCGTGTCGTCGCAGATCAATGTCTTTTCACCCCGGCTCACCTTACTTGTTTCTTGTCGTCCATGGCTATAATGGAAGGCACTGATCCAATCGAAAAGTGGCGTAATGGCTTCGTTCCCAGCTACAAGGCCAACCTCACGATCTGGCCTCTCGTGCAGGGGGTCAACTTCGCCATTGTACCACTTGAGTACCGGGTGCTTGTAGTTAACTTAGTCGCCTTAGGTAAGTGTTCCTCTTACCGCCTGGATTCCTTTAATGATGCTGACACCACTAGGCTGGAACTGCTTGTTGAGCTTGATCAGCAGTGGTGAGAATTGATTGGAATGGATCTCCCGTATATCCGTATATGTGAGCATTGAGGTCAAGAATCCCTGGGTCGTAAATTCGGTCCGCGAGTTCTCGTTTTCTATGCTTCAATCTTCTCTGGGGTCGTCGACATGGCCCGATCTGATCGTTTGTTTTTTTCTAGAATTGTTAGATCCATTTTTTCGGCGCATCATGTATATACATTTTGGGGGGTTGAGTGCACATGCTTGGGTTATTTGGCGGAATGGCTTGGGGGTTGTATTGTTCCCATCAGGCTCACCAGTTACGTCGGTATTTACTCGGAATAGGGAGTCCGGAGGCAACAGTAACCAAGCCATATGAGACAGCGGACAAGTCCGTGGTCACTGATGACAGAGTAAGAGTGATGTCGAGATGTCCCAGAAATGATGCCATCCCCGGGCCGGCAGAACCCCCTCTAATGGTTGATTAGGGCTGGGGTTGGGCAGCGGCAGCCTATAAGAGGTCTGGAAAGCGGCGTGGCCCAAAAGGGTAAGGCTTCACCGTCGGTGCCATGAATTGCGGCGGCCATCTCCAAACCCATCAAATCTTCATGTTGTGAATTTCCGTCGTCTCCTCAACATCGCCTCCAACACGACACGAGCCGTGATTCTTCTGCCTGGAGCAGACGACCAAGTTTGCCTGGACCCTTTGCGCCATCCTTCGCTCCTACTTTAAGCCCCTCACCACCGGAGCTGCTCCTTCCTCCGACAACCTCTCCCTCCGACACAAAATTTGCCATCCGCTATTTTGTCTCTTCCCCTCCGACGACCGCTCACCCTTCCGTCATTACAATCCTGCCGTTGCACCCCCCACGCTGCCTTTCGCACCCGCTTGATCTCCATATTCAACAATCATAATGGCCGCTGTTGCAGAGAACGGCCACGCGCCCGTGGCTGATGAGAACGCCGCCCCCGTTGCTGCCGCCGTTGAACAGAAGGAACAGACCGAGAAGACGAATGGAGACTCCGTTACAGTATTCCACGACCCTGAGAACTTCAATGTGAAGCATCCCTTGATGCACGAATGGACTCTTTGGTTTACCAAGCCTCCCAGTGGCAAGGTATGGATGCTCGCTGAATTCTGGAGCGCTTTATCAGGCAACTGACCTTCCCCGCGCATTAGGGCGACAACTGGAATGACTTGCTTAAGGAAGTCGTGACGTTCAACTCCGTCGAAGAGTTCTGGGGTATCTACGTATGCTTTCACCTCCCCGTTCCTTTCTGGATCACTCTCCGGCTAACCGACGCTATCTCCAGAACAACATCTCGCCCACGTCCGAGTTGGGCCTCAAAGCAGACTACCACCTTTTCAAGAAGGGTGTCCGCCCTGAATGGGAAGACCCACAAAACAAGCACGGCGGCAAATGGTCATATTCTTTCAAGGACAAGCGCTCTGTGCCGATCGACGACCTGTGGTTGCACGCACAACTTGCGGCTATTGGCGAGACTCTCGAAAACGATGGAGACAACGAAGTTATGGGTGTCGTTGTGAACGTACGCAAGGGCTTTTACCGTGTTGGTCTGTGGACACGGACTGTTGGCAAGAGCATTCCCGGTGACAAGACCAACCGGACACCTGCGCAGGGCAAGGAAATCCTCGAATCCATTGGTCGGCGCTTCAAGGAAGTTCTCCGTCTCAAGGAGGCGGATGCTGTTGAGTTCTCCGGTCACACGGACAGCGCACACAGTGGCAGCACGAGAGCCAAGGCCAAGTACACCGTCTAAGGCACGAAACTCGCTATGCACGTTCCATTTACGAGGTATTCATTGCGGATTTGCTTCTTTGCTACGGAATAATGGAAAGGCTTTGTGATGATGGGTGGTAACGAAAGGGCTCGGCTTTGACTTGCTGGCATTTGCGGTCACCATGATGAGCATGTATCTTTTCCTCAGTACGTATTTCTGACGAGGTTTATACCATATTTCATCGAGTTATAGTTTTACGCCCTTAGGGGGCCGGGAAAAAAAGTGATAAATACCTGTTAAACATTTTCCGTCACCCTGTTTTTAGATTGGTGTCCTCATTACTTTCGCGCTGCCTCTTGCGGCGGCTGCAGTCATGCATCTGGGCTGTTCTTCAGCGGGCTATACTTTAACGACGCAGTCCTGTTATAAGCGGTTGACTCACGGCAACTGGAGTTTTTGTACTCTATCAAGGTTCAGCCATGGTTGAGTGTATGGTCCACCAATGCCGTGGCCTATATGGGCGAATCATGATCTGTTCCTGAAGCCCCGAGTCATCCAGGGTCTAGGCACGGTCCTGAGCCGGAGCAAATGCCAGCCCTATCGTCCGCACGTCACCAACTTGACTCAGTTGGTCTAAAAATACCTGGCTGTGACTGTTCCAGGCTCTCTAGATGCCCTCATAGATGGGTTATCCTTCGAGTCATCCAGCTGGGGGGGCTCCCTATATAAGTGCTGCCTCCTTCCCCTCCTCTCCCTTCTCTTTTTCTTTTCGAATGTATCCCTTCTTGCCTTCCTGTGTCTTGGTGTTTCTATCAACTTACAGCTTCTGGCTGTTGCTTCTGTTTAGTCTGCTTGTTGCTTGCTGCTTTATCTGCTTGTTCTGTTTATTTATTCTTATTGCTTGTTCTTGTTGCTTGCTTTGCTTGTTCTGCTTTATCTACTTGTTCTGTTTATCTATTCTTACTGCTTGTTCTTGTTGCTTGCTGCTTGCTTTGCTTATTCTTTTCTATTCTTATTACCTTCTTGTTCTTGTTTATTCTTATCACTGCTTGTTCTGCTTCTTCCTTACTTTGCTTGTTCTGCTCGTTCTGCTTGTTCTGCTTGTTCTGCTCGTTCTGCTTGTTCTGCTTGTTCTGCTTGTTCTGCTTGTTCTGCTTGTTCTGCTTGTTCTGCTTGTTCTGCTTCACCTGTTTTATCTACTTTGCCTGCTTTGCCTGCTTGTTCTGTTTATCTATTCTTATTACTTGTTATTTACTTGTTCTTATTGCTTGCGTATTCTTATTACTTGCTTGTTTTTATTTGTTCTTATTGCTTGCTTGTTTTTGTTTATTCTCATTCCTTACTTGTTCTTGTTACTTGCTTGTTTTTGTCCATTCTTATTGTTTACTTATTCTTGTTCACTCTTATTGCTTGTTCTTATTGCTTATCCTTGCTCTTGTTACTTGTTCTTGTTCTTACTATTTGTTTGTTCTGTTATTTGCTTGTTCTTGTTTATTCTTGTTTCTTATTATTTGTTACTTTTTACTTTTTATCTGATTATCTTGTCATCTTCTTATCTCATTGTTCTATTGTTGTTTCATTTTCTTGTTCTTTCTTTGTTTCATTATATCTCTTGTTTCCTTGTTTCATTATATCCCCTATTTCATGACTTCGCTGTTTTGTTGTTTCTATGCTTCTATTTCATTGTTTTCTTTCCTTGTCCTCTTTTTACCTTTTTATATTTGTTTTCTATCTTTTTGCATGTTCTGCCCCCGCCATGTATCCCCCATAATGTACACTCTGGGCCGTGGCTGGTTGGAGGAAATCGGCCCAGAGCATCATTGTATTCTACCTGTCATCTGTGAGAATCCGCCAAGGTATCTTATGGGTGATGTATGTTGTGAAAGTGGCTCAGACAACGCATTACTTATAAGCTACTTGGGTGGATTCTCACTATTCGTCTATTCCATACTGTGGAATGGATTCCCTGTCTTTCACTTATATGGTTGTCCTTTTTGTTGTTGTTGCTGCTTCTGTTTTTCCCTTTTTTTTTTTTTTTGTTCTTGCTCTTGGTTATCTTACAATGTCTTTCGCTCCCACGATGCCCTCAATGCAATGAACCACTTCTTGTACAAACGTTGGAGCAAGCTGAACATGTCGGCTTCTTCTTTCTGCTTTCAAAACGTGGAACGGCAGGTCTGGCAGGCGTGGCATGTATGAGCGGTGGAGGACAATGGACTGTCTTGGTGGAGTTGTTGTCGTCGTCGTCGTTGTTCTTGAGGAATGGTCTCACATCATCTAATTGTTGGGTTAGATAGGGAATACACGTGTTGAGACCTCCCCATACCATTTAACAGAACTTATCATAGCCATGAGCTCGACGGTAGTGAAGCCTTCTGTAAAATGTAGCATGTTGGGGAAGTGATAGAGCGCGCGGGGAGGCCTGAGGGATTATGATAGCTTCAATAGTGCATTGCATAGAGTAATGGGAAGATATGCTATCTGCTAGGATCTAGCTATAGAAAGGACATCTAATATAAAACGATGCATATGAGTTGGGTTAGATAGCGGATAGCTACTAGATTCAATGGCCCCCTTGCTCATAGCACTGTTATCATGCAGGAGGTGGCAGGTCTGCTATCGTGAGAAAGTTGCCAGTATTAGTACAGGTTATAGCTCAGGTTACCAGTTGGCTGTATCCTTGATATCTCACGTGGAGATATCATGTTACGTTGGCTGGATGCGGGTGAAGCCTCAAGGAGTCTTCTCACCGTAGTAGTAGTACTGAGCAAACGTTACCATCATATGCTGAAGACGGTGATGTGATCCTGATACTGAGAGTCCACGGAATGTATCAATGTATCTCTCTACTAGCTGCAGCTCTGACTGATGATCTGGTTCTGCCTGTAGCTAGAAATTAGAGCTAACCTATAAGGCTCTGGCTCATGTGGTGGTAGCTCTTTATGACATATAGAACTATGTGGGTGAACTAGGGGGAATACATAGGAAGAATAGCTAATGTAAGGATTAAGTATCTAGCTGGCGCCAGAGTCTGGATAGTCGGTATGCTCAACAGAAAGTATAGATGTAGAGATCAGTCAGTCTATGAGTTAGGGAAGATTATTTTACCCAGCTACAGAATGTCCATGAGACATTCGTTATCCCGGGTCGCAGAATATAGAATAAGAGTTATTAGTTCCGTATCGCCTCTTCGATGTCATTTCAAAATTAACTTTGCTAACATTAGGGATGACCAGACAGCAAAAGTGATTGACAGATAAGAGGCCCGGTTGATATTCTTAGTCTAGTTAGCAAGTCGCAGGGCTGTCTAGGTTAATGAGTATTCATGCAGTAGTGATCAGTCTCCTGCATTTTTATCAACGCAATTAGTGGTCGATCTTATAGTACACGTACACGCAGTATGTCGAGTGAAATTATAGCCTAAACATATCATTCTCTTGCTGCTACAGCAATGACCCCTTATCCTGTATTGCCTCTTTGCATATACCTTGAAGCTATCTCTAACAATAACCTCGCTCAACCGCCATCTAACTACGTGCGTCCCTTGTTCTGACACCTTTTGCGCGTGCTTACAAAGGCAAGGCTATAGAGCTTCGCTTTAACAAAGCCGTATCTGGTAATGAGAAAGAGAAAAGCAGAAGTAATATGAGAAATATGAGGGATTTTTGTGCGTGGTCATTGCCCAACCGAAAAGTATCAGATGCGTGCGTAATTAATTGCCTTATCCTACTACGTTCATTGAGCAGGCTAGTTGAAGAAAGGGCCTCTTTCGTAGCTGTCCCAAGGAGGGGATTGAACCTCACGTCTAACTTTGTATTCAGTCTGTTTTATCAGCATTAGATATTGATCGATATTAATAGCATCCCTACTCTCTTGCATTTACTTTAGTACAGCAATTCCTGAAGATGATTTTTCCACGATAGCTTCATCAGTCCGCGCGGTCATCCCCCTATGGTATCTGGCCCCATATCAACCACAACATCTGATTTCCAGAGCTAGATATCTCACTCGAAGTAAGGCTTAATTTTTAAGTAGACTGAGTGGTCCCGACTCTGCGTATGACCCTAGGAAGTCATAGGTCTCTCTGTTCAATAACTCTGTAAGACATGCCACTGCTGGCGATCCGTCGTTCTGCTTGACCATCTAGGCTGTTGCCAAGGTTAGAAGGAAGCGTAAGTAATGAATCTTCTGCAAAATCGCATTTGCTTGAAAGCTTTTGTATGCGCGGCAAGCTTCGTAGAGCTAGGTAGAGGGCTACTGTGCTTTGTTGGTTGTAGCCAATAACTCAGCAAAGGAGTGGAGTATGGTTAGGGATTTGAGGCTTTTTATTCAAAATCTCAAGATAATAGATATCCACTAGAGCATAAACCAAGATAAAGAGAATGTTCTGTGCCTAAGCCTTGGTTATCCAAGGACGAAGCTGTCAAGAAAAGTTACACCGAAAGATGTAGGCATACTATGTATACCAAACCCTGTTGACATTCTTCAACAGACAGCCCTTGTAGCTCAGTGGTAGAGCGCTTCACTCGTATTCCAATACTGCCATGAAGAGGTCCGCGGTTCAATCCCGCGTGGGGGCAAGTTGTCTTCTTTTTTTCCCTCCGTTGTGTTGGCCCCTTGAGGCACGAATGGGGTGAGTGGATACCTAGCTGGGATGTCGACAAATGAAAGTCCCGCTTACTAGGATTAACCAAGCACCCCCCGTAGCTCAGTGGCAGAGCACTCCACTTATTCTTATAAGTATTCTTAGGAGACGGCCGCGGTTCGAGTCCGCGCGGGGGGATAATCTTTTTGGTAATCTTTTTCTTCTCTGAGTTGGTTATGCTCTACGCGATCGCTATATCTCTTCTGATGAATTTTAAGACATGCCGATCGGGGGTTATTGTTGTGTTGGTCTTTCTATTCTCGTGCTTAGCGGGTTGCAGTGGTCTCCACTGCAGTTGACGCCTTGGGCTTAGTGCTTATACACCAGGTCTGATATGGTATAGTATGTGCAACATGCAGATGGAACTAGCTAGAATAGGTGCTAGACTCCCCTCCTGTCTCTATAAAATGGTTGAAATATCTAGCGCTTCACTTGTACATAGTACTTCTCATCTATGAAGAGGTCTGCGATCTGATTTCGCGCAGAGCTAGCTGTGAGGTACCAGCCATCGCCTGAACTTGCCTACCACTGTGAATCTTCCTATTGAGAACCTATAAACAATGCGCTTGCTGGGTCTAGGGACTCGAAGCTTCAGCCTTTTGTCAGATGGATCTGTCGAATCCCTGGAGTCACTCTAGAGGAAGCGCACGTAGCGCGGATCCTGGCAGCAGCTTTTCCCCAACTGCGCCATGCCAGATGAGAGTCCCAACAATCATTCGTAGTTGGTGATCAGCTTGCCAGTTTCTCTAGGTACCAATTGACCTGGTGGCATAGTGGCAAGAGTGCTCGCTCTACCTTTTTAGTGCTGGAGTATGCATGGAGGCGTTCTTTTTCCTTCCGCCACGGGACACGGGCTGAGTAGGGATAGTTAGCAACAGTATATCAGCTCATACATAGTACAAGCAAGCTCTTCAATGATGCCATGGGCTAGGATATTATGATTGTATAGCATGGCATGGCCTTCAAACCTCTTGGACTATTCTGTCCTAGCAGTTTTTCTGGGTGGGTACTTGGGGCGGTGAAAGCCAATGAAACAGTTAATTAAGAGTGGGCCTTGTTACTGTAACCAATCCCCCCCGTAACTCAGTGGCAGAGTGCTCCACTTATTCTTATCACAAGTATTCTTAGGAGAAGGCCGCGGTTCGAGTCCGCGCGGGGGGAATCCTTTTTTATCAGCCACCAAGCACTTTTCATCAAGGCCTCCCACCCTTCTTTCCCATCCTTTTTGGGGTTAATTTTATGGGCTTTCTTTTTGTATATTCCTTTGAGGACGTTTTTCTGGCTTTCCTTTCCTCTCTTTTGTACTCTCATAGTGAGCAGAGTGTGCACACTGTCTATCTCCATTCGTCGAGACCGATGACCCCCTCCACCTAGGATCGTATCGAAAGGATCCCTAGCACACTCATCCGTGGATATGGTATCTGCTCACATTTGATTTCCCCTGCGTCCAAAGTCTCTACAGGTCTGCGTTCACCCGTACCTAGCGCTCCAAGTGCTTTAGTAAAAGAATGCAGATTGTTGACTCACAGCTTCTTGCTTTGCACCGATATGTGGAGTTGTGGAGCTTGACAAGAAGTGATCGCCTACTTTAAGAGCATTAAAGGGTAGTTTAATGCCCAATAAGCTGCCCCAGCCGCATCTCAAACAATTTGACTCACGAAACTTTTCAGTTTGTTTCGCATTTCGGCCGACATCGTGTGGGATATGTTGTAGAAACCTAGGACCCAATCCTGATGTCTCGCAAGCTTGAGTATGAGAGGGATGCGATAACCTGAGGTATTGACATCCCGTGCTAGTTGAGCCATTATACCGGTCAACGAGAAGGACCCTGACGATCATCATGGCAGCTTGTTTCTGCCGCCATCCTATTCACGAGCCAAGCCCGTTGGGGGCAGCAATGAGCCGTGTCCGTAGGAGTCACACGCAGGTTCCCCGGACTGAGTCATTATAGCGAGTCGGGGGAGTCCAAACACCTATTAGGATTGTTTCCCCCTGCCCAGTTAATGTAATCCATCCAATTATCGATGTCAGACACCAAGGTTGGCAAGCACACCATCCAGACTAGGCTTGATATTGTCGCCGATTCGGTCGAACATCGGAGGTGTTGGAGTCTAGTGCATGGATTGGCCAGATAAGAGGACGATTCAAGGCCAATCCCAGCAGGTTCGGCGATATCGTTGGCTGTTTCTCGGTCAGCTTGGGCGGAAAAGGACAAAGTCAGCGAGGCGGCGGATGACGAATCACCGTTACAGGGAAAGCGAAGTCGGACTTCGGAAGGCCAGGAAGAGGATACTTAACCACAACGGGTGCGCCTGCCGAGTTCTTCTGCCTGCGTGTTTTTTCTTGTCAGGCACGACTTGATTGTTGTCATTCTTCTTGCAGTGCAGCTGCAGAGATGCGATGCAGATGTTGCAGATGTTCTGAAAGGACATTTGAAATCCGGCTCCAGTGATTGCCTCAAGCCACTGCGTGCCATAGTCGACTGATCCCTAACAGCCAATTCCGCCTCTGGCCTGTTCTGGGCGGCTTGAGCCGGTCGGCTACCAACTCCACCCCAAATTGCCTAGGCATGCCTCGATCGTCGCTATGAGCAGAGGGCCTTGCATATGGCTACCTTTATGATTACAGTCAACTGAAAGACTAATGACCTCTCTATCTACTTGCCAGGACACCGTCATGGGTTGGTCTCCCACCTCCGCGCTCGATGGGGCCATTGTCTCACTCGCCGCTTCCTATCACCGTGCCTCCAACAGGGATGACCGTGACTGCAATGCGAGAAGGAAGTAAGCAGGGTCTTGGCCGGGGCGCGCTACATCCTACGCCTATCAAGCAACACGAGTGAGCTGATGGGCCGCATCTACACATACTCCGTACGGAGTCAGCCATCGCCAGGGCGCGGGGAAACCCGACGTTGCAGCCGTCTTCTGCTGATCGTCTCATGAGCGGGGAACGTTGGACTGCGATGAGCCGACCGTGAGCGCCCTTGCGCCCTACGACGACACTGAACGGAGTTTGCCTCGTACTCCGCTGCGCTGCGAATGAGACACGCCAGGCTTATCAGCAAGTCGACAGCTTGAAGATTTATGTTACCTAACGCGTTCCGCATGCGGTGGTGCTACCGACGGCACCAGTGATTAAGCCCTGGTCCAGCTTGGCGTCCGACTCGATGAATTCGCCGTAATACACCCGTCGACACGCGATCTGGAGGCTCAAATTGAAGGGAGGAAGGCTGCCTGATTGACACGGAAATGAGACTGAGACATCATCCGCCATCATGCTGGGCATAGGAATTAGGAACAGGGAAGAACAAAGGAATTGGCAAACCCTGTGAGGGGAAGCCACGAGGGAGTGGAAACTTGGAAGAAATCGTCGCTTCCAACCGGAAAACTCCGACTTCTTGGCGTTCCATTCTGCTGCCGGGCTCTGGCCGGGCGGGCCAATCACGGCGGCCATTTGCCATCTCGGCTGGTGCTTAACGCTGCTTGTCAATTATTGTCATATCGAGCGTCGCCTCCGGCCTTTGGGTTACATCCGGAATGATTCCTCGGTCTAAGCGGTTCGGTTCTCACTTGACCACGGACAGGTACGTTTCATGGTGGTCATTGGCCACGCTGGAACCAGACGGTCCCGCTTCGGCTACCTCTCTATATCGCCCACCGTCAGTATAAGGTGAGGGCCGTTTCCCTCGTCAGGATCTCGTGCCTACCTACCTTTCCTGAGGAAAATTGCGCCCAGTCCCCCGCTCGTCCCTGGGTTTTTCCTGCCTGGTCCCTGCAAATATGTCTGGAGAGCATGAGGCTGAGATCACTCAGTAAGTGTCCACCACTCTGTTGTTTGGTTTTCACCCTTCCATTATAGCCACGTCCATGGCCTGTGGCTCTAAGAGTCATTCTCCCGTCACATCTCACCCTAGAACCACCCTCAGAACCCCAGTACTAATTGGTATCTCAGGCCGCAACAGGGCCATGGCACCGTCACCGACAACATCGTAAACGAAAAGGCAGGCTTTCCCGAGGCTAGCGAGAAGGCATTGAGTGCCACTCCCGATGGTGAAGAACCCAACGCCGAGGAAACCGCTACTCTTCGTCATGTCGCCGAACATCTGCCTATCTCCGCTTGGCTTGTCGCCATTGTCGAGCTGTGCGAACGTTTCACCTACTACGGAATGTCCGGCATGTTCCAGAACTATGTCGACCGCCCTCTGGACGGGAGTGAGGGACGCGGTGCCCTGGGCATGGGCCATCAGGGAGCCACTGGTCTCACCACCTTCTTCCAGTTCTGGTGTTATGGTTCGTTTGTCACCTCATGCGCTCTCAAGCTCTCGTACTGATATCCTGGCCTTAGTTACTCCCATCCTCGGTGCCATTGTCGCTGATCAATACCTCGGTAAATACAAGACCATCGTGGTCTTCTGTATCATTTACCTGGTCGGTCTGCTCATCCTGGTCTGCACTTCGATCCCCACGGCTCTTAGCCATGGTGCCGGCGTTGGAGGTTTCATCGTGTCTATCTTGATCATTGGTCTGGGTACTGGTGGTATCAAGAGTAACGTTGCCCCTCTCATTGCCGATCAGTACAAGCGCAAGAAGATGGCAGTCTCGACTACCCCCAAGGGTGAAAGGGTTATTATCGATCCTTCCCTAACGATTCAGCGCATTTACATGATCTTCTATGGCTGTATCAACGTGGGCTCCCTGTCTTTGTTGGCAACCCCTTACATGGAGAAGTACATCGGCTTCTGGTCCGGATATCTGCTTTGCTTGTGCATGTTCGCCGTCGGTACCACGGTGCTTATCGTTGGCCGCAAGTACTACGTTGTCCGCCCTCCGCAAGGCTCGATTATTACCGATGCGTTCAAGGCCCTGTGGATCATGATTGTCAGCCGCAACATGGATGCCCCCAAGCCCAGCTGGCAGGCGGCCAACGGTGGTGCCAGGACCAACCTGCCCTGGGATGATCACTTTATTGACGAGCTCAAGCGTGCCTTGGTCGCGTGCCGGGTGTTCTGTTTCTACCCGATCTACTGGGTTGTCTACGGTCAATTCTCGAGCAACTTCGTCACCCAGGCTGGCCAGATGGAGGGCCATGGAATCCCGAACGACCTGATGCAGAACTTCGACCCTATCTCTATCATTGTCTTCATCCCCGTCCTGGAGACCCTTGTCTACCCATTGCTGCGTCGCATGCGCATTCGCTTCCGCCCCATTACCCGTATTGCCCTGGGCTTCGTTGTCGCCTCCCTGGCTATGATGTACGCCGCCATTGTTCAGCACCTTATCTATTCCGCCGGTCCCTGCTACGAGCATCCCCTGTGCGAGGCTTCGGAAGTTGATGGGTCGACCACTGGCAACCACGTGCACATTGCGATTCAGACTCCCGCCTACGTCTTCATCGGTCTGTCTGAAATTTTCGCATCGGTGTCCGGATTGGAGTATGCCTACACCAAGGCCCCTCCGTCGATGAAGTCCTTCGTGCAGTCGATGTACCTCCTGACCAACGCATTTGGTTCCGCTCTCGCCGAGGCCCTGACCCCCGCCGCCTACGACCCTGCTATCATGTGGATGTTCGTGGGTCTGGCTTGCGCCTCGTTCATTGCCGGTATCATCTTCTGGCTGGTGTACCACCACCTGAACGACCAGGAAGATCAGCTGAACGCGCTCGACGCGGATGACCCGGATGCTCCCACGCCGGCTCATGAGGAGAAGAAGGAGCAGGAGAACTGAGCTCCGCTCACTCTACCATTCTAATGTACTATAATACTTGACCCGCAGTTTTTGTGTATACGCGCTGAACGCGATATGATCTCGCGCCGGGCCGCGTAGAGCACCTGCAGAGCAGATGAGGGGAGCGGGTGTACATACGATGTACGGATTATGCATAGCTTGTTATTCTTATGATTAAATATAATTGATTTGCCTGAGATCCTCTTGAGTTGGACGTATAACCATCCGCCGGCGGAATCAGACCGACCGACAGACTTTGCAGCGCCGTCGTCGCCAAGCCGTGCCTGAAATTATTCTCGAACAACCCACCGAACCCAATTAACCTACGCCGGTAAGTGGACCCCGTTATCTACCATCTGTAACTAGTACCTTAAACCATTGCGGTGGATAAACTCCTTAGGTAATGGGTATCCATTCTGCGGTGAATCACCGGCAGTTCTTATTTCTTCACCGTAGGTGGATCGAAACCGAATACGATCTAGCATTCAGTTCCCTCGCAACCAAGAAACCTTCCACTGCTGCTATATACTTACTAGATTGGTAGATCTTCTGCGACACGATCGTCGATTCATTGGCCGTAGTGGGAAGTAGGGCGTAGGGCGGACGTATACAGAAGTGGTATCTAGTGGTAGTGGTAGTGGTTGTGGTTATGGTTGTGGTGCGGAAAACCGTTTACTGTCACTTATCTAATTCGATAATGCACAGGATGGGTGGGTGAGTGGAAGGTGAAAAATTATGCATGAGTCATGCTCCCCTCTTCTATCTAAACTAGTAGCCTTTGAGCTATCTAATTAATCCATGGATTGGTTGGGATTGGGTTAGATACGTATGTACTATGTAGGGTTAAGAGAGGGGTTGGGATCTAGGCTGGTGTATGGAGGAGATAGATTATGGTTATGTGTGTACTGTGTAGTGGTTCTTCGTGTTGGGTTGGTTGGTTGGTTGGTGGTGGGTGGGTGTAGCCTTGGACCGGCCGTTGTGGTGGTTTGGTGGGTTGGATGGTGGTGTGTGGTTTGGTGAGGTTGTTCCGTGGGTTTGGGGGGGGTTGTTTTGTGGATGGTGCTTTTTGCTTCTGGATTTGAAGTTAATTGTATCTTTAACGATGGTATTATCTGGGGAGGGTTCTCGGGAGGGATTTGCTGGGGTTTGTGGCATACTAGATACGACTAGGTGTCTTTGGAGTGCTGCTGCTTTGGAATTTGGGTAGTAGGGCAGAGAATGGACAGTCGGATCTAGACCTCAGTCTAGATCGGTTATAAGTTGTATGTGGAGGTATGTACCTTGCTTGTTGTTTGATGCTTCATGCTCCATGTACTTTAATGGTATGTAGGTGGTTAAAGTACGGAGGACAGATGGAGGAAATATATCTCCTTACCGCAATGCAGATATATGCAGGATGAATTATTTGCGTTCTTGATCATTGCATAAAGTTTATTGCAGGATCGTGTTCATCTCGTTTAACGAGAGTCAAGCATTCCGTTTCCATGAAAATGGTATGCTATGCCAGGGATTCGGGAGAATAGTCCAGAGGTTCTGGAAGTTAATGCTGGCTGCATGTGATGTTGCTCCCCTCCACTTTTGGGTCACACGTGTTGAATGGCTAATTGTGTCGGGCGGTGCTAGGCTACACAATTGTTGTGGGATTTTCAATATCAGAAATATTGATATAAATGGTTAGTGGCTAATGGCTATAGTTTGCTGACAGGCTTCGTCTGGTTTATGATAAAGTTCATCCGAAATCCGGATGCAAAAACGGCTGCCTGAGGTTACTTTGGGGATTGGGGCAGTGCCCGATGCGGCTCCCAGGGTTTGAGCGCACGTTGCCATTTAGACACCGACATTTCGTTCCTCGATGATTTGGAGACTGGATGCACGCACCTGCAGTCGAATGGGGTTCGTTGCTAATTATACTCTCGTTTGTGGGTTAGGCTGACAGGCTTTGCCCTGGAGGGCCAAGAAGGATCGCGGTGGTGGAGCTGCAGTGGAATCTTCGATCATGGCACTGGACCACTGCCACTGTTTGGGGTGTTCTGTAGTGGAAGGTATAAGTTCTAGATATTTGAGAGTACTGCGTATGCGTAAGTAGGCCAGCCAAAATAGCAAAGTTAAATACAATAAGGCAGATGAAATTGACGGGATGGTTCTGCCGCTCTGGAGATTGGGTATCTGCGCGCGGTGGGGAAGCGGCGTCAAGGGAAATGAGCACTAATGAATACTAGATCCCCTCGCGACTCATTATTGCTGATGCGGTGTTGGGGTGTGTATGGGGTAGATAGATTGAGCGCGTAGGCCGTAAAGAATAGAGATGTTTGGCAGGTGGGGAGACCGTTGAAGCTGTACCTGCCAAAGCCCAGGTTAATTAAGTTTCCAGGTCATAAACATGTGTGACGTGCAGACTGTTGGTTCACCTCGTGCTGGTTGCTGGGTGCAGAGCAGAGCCGATGGTCGGCTTGGGGGCGGATCCGAACAGGAGTGGATAGCTCAAGACACGGTGTAGCTCTAGTCACTTCCTTTGTTATGTCGGTGGATGCTGTCTGGGAAACCTCTTTCTTGACGGTCTGGTCGCATGATGGCTTACCATCAAACGTGAAGAAAAAGCAAAGAGCTGGAAGTAAGGAGAGACCCTGTCAGGACCATCCTTCTTTTTCCGCAGGCGAGGAGGACCTACTATAATGCCTGGGGGGATGATAATTGATATCGCATCGTCCCAGGCAATTGCGATGATCGTCCACTGCATGATATCTACATAGTCCTGCGATCCACCGTAGCATCACCCAGGGCCTCAGCCCATGCCTTGATCCCACTTTTCAGGCCCGACCGAGCTGTTTCAGCGACCGTTGACGGTGGATGTTTTGATTATCATCATGGTGGAAAAGGGGACTCGAGGATCGCCGGCCGGCCTGTGCAGCTAGTTGGAAGCCCCCTACTAATAATATCGAGAAAACCCATCGTCGTAGGTTTCACCCCTGATTGATGAGCGCAAAAGAGAAAACAGCTTGACTTCCTCTTCTTCATGGTTCTCTGTTGTCGGTTTTCTACCTCCTAACCTCATAATCCCTCACCCCCAGTCGTTCCTTAATTGCAGTGACACTTTGCCATCGGCGGGCCCAGAGCCAGTCCAATCCGTCCGTTCTTTCGCAGCCGCCAGTGGCTCAGCCGCCTTGTCTCAGTCTCACCCGTCACTCTTTCGTCCTCCCCATCGTTTCTTACCTCACTTCCTCTCTGTCGCTTTTTTTCTGCCTGCTGCTCTCGTGTCTCCCCCTCGAATTCCCCCACCTTATCCCTCTTCGCTTCTTGGACTTAATTTTCCTCAACCTTGGTCCACCTTTCGTCGCTTCTGGGGTAGTCGCACTTCGCCGAGTCGCGCGTACTCTTCCATCGTCCTCGTTTCCCGTACGACCCCGAGCTTCCATCACCGTCCGGAATACACGCTGCGACCAGTAGTGACCACCACAGTCACCACACTGCATCACGATCCAACTGTCCCAAGTGACGACCGCTTGAGCAATTTGACCTATAATTATCCAAGGATCGCAATAAATCATCATCATGAGTGTACGTTGACCTAGCCAGCCGTGGTGCTGACCTCTCCCTCTCTGCTACCCCTCTCCCCTGATGGCCGACCACCGGGGCGCATTCCTCAATGGTCTGCTAACTTGCCGATCAAAGTACGGCGGCAACCAGGGCGGCTACGGCCAGTACGACCCTTATGGTCAAGATCACACCAACCCTTACAGCGACGCCAATGCTATGGAGCAGGGAAACGGTAGCTATGGTAAGCGCACCATGTCCATGACCTGACTCGATCGGGGCCTAACGTTTCGCTCGCACTTCCAGAGATGGGCTCTTATGACCCTCCGATCGACACAACATCTATGTTGAACAAGTGCAGAGAGATCAACGACGGTATCGCGGATCTTCGCGCCAAGCGGGAGGGCCAGCTCGCCGCCGCTCAGAATGCTTTGCTGGACTCGAGCACCGGAAAGGAAGATCAGGTTTCCCGCCAGACCCTGGATTACATCGAGGACGAAATCAACAACGGCTTCCGTTACCTCCGTGACCTTCTGAAGAAGGTCAAGCAGACCCCGGGCTCCGGAGACAACCGCGTACAGACCCAGATCGACGTCACTAGCCGGAACCTTCGTCGAGAGATCGAACAGTACCAGAGGTGCCAGTCCGATTTCCAGAAGCGCCTGCGGGAACAGGTCCGCAGACGTTATGAGATCGCCAACCCCGAAGCCTCCCCCGAGGAAATCGAGCAGGGTGTTGACAATGTCCTGATGGGTCAGGAGCAGAGCTTCCAGGTACGCCCCCCAAGGAGAAATTGGATAAATTATGCTAATACGCCCGCTAGGTCACTGGTAGCCGGACAAGGCAGGCCAACGACGCGAGACAGGCCGCTTTGGAGCGATCGGCCGCAATCCGCAAGATCGAGCAGGATATGATGGAGCTTGGCCGACTATACCAGGAGGTGGCGGAGCTTGTCCACCAGCAGGAGCCTGCTGTGGAGCAGATCAGCCAGGACGCCGACAATGTCGCCCAGAATGTTTCGCACGCGAACAACCAGATCACGGAAGCTATCGCCAGCGCTCGTCGGGCAAGGAAGTGGAAGTGGTATGCTCTGCTTGTCGTCAGTAAGTGGAACCGATGTCATCATCCGATATGTAGGCCGAGCTAACGCAAATTTCTAGTTATCATCATTGCTATCATCGTCGGTGTTGCTGTCGGTGTCACCGAAGCGAACAAGTCCAAATAAGCCGGTGAATCTCGTGGCAACATGCTATATTTGGCTTGATCTGATGAATCGACTTGCTCTGATAATGCTTCGCCATGCCAATGCCCTTCATATTCCAAGATACCCTCTGAGGTATCAACCCTTGGCCTGTTTCTGTTCGTTCTCCGTTCCAATTTACGCCAGGCTGTAACGAACCTCATATCGTCTGTGTACCTTGTTCTCGTCCGGTGCTCTACTTCTGTTGACCACGCTTACGGTAAGCCAAGTCGAGGACGTTCGCCTGCTGTGATTCTTCTGTTGTTATACCACTTTGTCATTTGTTTGTCTTGGTTTGAAAAGCACGTCACCTGCCGATCCTCTCCTTTGTTTGTTTGGTCGCCTGTCGTTCTGTATCCACTGATCGGTCGTGTATAGTTTCTGCGTCTTGGGGCGTATGCGGCCTGATGATCCCTGTCGCTGCTCGTTGGCTAGGATGCGCATGATGCTATCGCAGTGTATATATTAGAGTCTCTTCGTTGCCCCTACTTTGGCGCTAGAATCATGTAATAATCGACTACCTTAATAATAATGTGTCCAATGAGTATGGTGTGATGACGGCGCTGCCCTAGATGCCGCACCTGTTCGATTTTGTATATGCATTGTGGGTATCGCAGACCAAGTGAACAATATCAACCCTTCCTCGTCTAAGCCTGGGCCTGTCTTTCCTTTTCCCGCTCTTCCTCCTCCGGTGTCTTTGTCCGCAACTGCAGCGCATGGATGCCTCCCTCCTGACTCATCTCCTCCTTCAACAACGCATAGACCATACGGTGGCGCGCGGGCTGGGGCTTCGACTGGAACGAGGGGGAGGTGATTGTGACACTAAACCATGACTATCAGACCAGCTTTTATCATATGAGCTTAAGGGCGAATGGACGAACTGAAAGTGAGTTTCCTTGGAAGTCGCTCCGCGCATGGCGGCATGATGCGCGTGGAGATGAGAATCGTTGCGGATGATGAGGGTGGAGGGGGAGAAAGCGGTGGTGACCTAGAAAACTTGGATTAGCATCGCTATCACCTATCATGGATATGTCTTATGCGGACCTTCTCCCGGATGAGATCTTCGATGGGGGTAGCGGAGGTGGAGGCCATTCTGGAAGCAGTGAGGGAGAACAGGCGGCGGGGTAGGAAGCCTGGGAGGCTGGTGCGGGGGAGCATTGAGGGGCGTAGTTCTGGAGACCCGTCTGGGGGTTTTGTATTGCAAGGAAAAGGAGGATTGAACGACGAGCGCAAAGGGTCTGGGTCTGGAGATGACTTGATGGATGAGAATCGAGTGGCCGCAATTGGCGGAGAGGGCGGGTTACTGTTTCGGGAATGGTGCGGAGCGACGGTTAGTTCATGTTGTCCGACAGCAATCGATGAATGGCTGCTCCTCTTCCCCTCGGCCCTGTCAGATAGAAGCTTCCACGATCTTTCTCCCGGACGGACGGCTGAGCCTTGGACCTGACTGGTTCGATGCATTATCTTAGCCTTTCTATGTCTGTTTCAGCGGCGTCAAGGACCGATATCCGGAGCAAAGCACCGCCAAGTTGCCGAGCCGAGACCGCAAAGCTCCGATGCGCTTCCTCCTCGCCCAAATGACATCAGTCCGTCGCGCGCTTGCAATCCGCCTGAATCTTTTGCCTTGGGTATGCATGCCGGATCATTGAGGCTTTATAAACCCTACAGATAGAGACGGAGGGTCATGTTATACGGACCTCAGTCAACACAGCAAATATGCCAGGACGCACCTTGATGCCGCTCCTCTCGCGGAGCTCAACTGCCTCGTCTCGACCTCCGCTCCAGACCCTTCGAGCTTGGAGAGCTTGTACCCATCGCCCCCGGTCTTTAGTGTCGCCTGTTATTCGTCGATCGCTTTCGTCCCTACCGAACCTACCGCTCTTCCGTGCTCTTCACAACCACGATCAGTCCAATCTCGCCGTCGTTCACAGCGCGTCTGCTCGTTCCTTTACATATGGCAACTTGGTTGCGGATGTACTGCAGGCGAAGGAAAAACTAGTTGAGTCTGCTGGGGGTAAACAAGATGGCTTGTCTGGCGAGAGGGTCGCGTTTCTGGCTGAAAATAGCTACGACTACGTAGGTACTGTGTTTCCTGCTCTCTATACTCTGTTGGAATGCCCTTGCTGACTGTGTATTAGTGACGCTTCTTTCTATTCTTGCTAGCGATGCGATTGCCCTTCCGCTCTCCCCGGCCTTTCCCATTGGCGAATTGAAGTATATTATGGATAATTCTCAGGCGAAGGTGCTGGTCGCTACGGAAAAGTATGCGGGGAAAGCGCAGGACCTTCTCAAGGCGGACCTGGATCGGACACCGGTCCTGGTTGTCAAGGAGAAGATTAAAGTTGGCGCTCATAATTCGGGGTCTGTGTCATTGGAGGATCTCAATGCGAAATCTCGTGGTGGCATGATGCTCTACACTTCTGGCACCACCAATAGACCGGCAAGACCTCTGCGTTTGTGATAGCTAGGCTGGGCTAACAGGTATTAGAAAGGTGTACTGATCCCTCAGTCAGCGCTGACAGCACAAGCCGCATCTCTCCTCGAAGCGTGGAAGTACACCCCTGAAGATCGGTTGCTTCATCTGCTTCCCCTGCACCACATCCATGGCACTGTCAATGCAATCGTCACTCCGATCCTGGCAGGATCCTCCATTGAGTTCATGTTTCCCTTCAACACCGATGCTGTGTGGAAGAGGCTGGCAGCTCCATTCCTACCGAATCCTTCAACGACTGACAAGATCACATTCTTGACTGCCGTTCCCACCATCTACAACCGGTTGCTGTCCTCGTTCCCGGGCTTAAGTCCCGAGATTCAGGAGGCGGCACGGAAAGGCATCTCGCCCGAAAGCATGCGCCTCAACATCTCCGGCTCCGCAGCCCTACCAACGCCAACCAAAAAGGCCTGGCAGGATCTCAGCAATGGGAACGTTCTTCTGGAACGCTACGGAATGACCGAGGTCGGAATGGCCATCAGTTGTGGACTGGACTTTGCCGATCGCGTTGATGGTAGCGTTGGCTGGCCACTGCCATACGTGGAGGCAAGACTGGTAGACACAGACACCAACGAGGTCATCAAGGCCGGAGAAGAGCGCGACAACAACGGTCGAGAGCGTGAAGGCGAGATCCAGCTTCGCGGTCCAACCATCTTCCAAGAATACTGGGCCAATGACAAAGCCACCAAGGAGTCCTTCGTCCCCGGCGAGGACGGCAAAGGCGAATGGTTCAAGACCGGAGATGTCGCAACACGCCGTGTCGTCGACAACGCCGGCAAAGGGACCAGCGGTGAATGGGCCCAAGGATCCATGTACTTTATTCAAGGCCGTAGCAGTGTCGACATTATCAAGACCGGCGGCGAGAAAGTCAGTGCGCTGGAAGTCGAGCGGGAACTGCTTTCCCTGTGAGTCCTCATTCAGCTGCCAGCTAATCCAATCAATCCGCTAACCAACTTCAACAGTCCCCAGATCGCTGAAGCAGCTGTCGTCGGCCTTCCCTCCGACCAATGGGGTCAAAAAGTAGCCGCTATTGTCGTTCTAAGACCCGAAGCAAAGACGGCCGGGCGCAACGGCAAGACATGGGGTGCTTTGGACATGCGTCGTGCCCTCAAGGACCGTCTCGCCAGTTACAAGATGCCACAGGAAATGAAGGTTCTGGAGGGGCCTATACCGAGAAATGCGATGGGGAAGGGTGAGTGTCTATATCTGAAGATCAAGCAGTCATTGCTAATACTTTTGTAGTCAATAAGAAGACGCTCGTGAAAGAGGTTTTTGGTATCTAGGTAGGATTTGTGAAGGTATGCTATGTGTGATAATGTCGCTGATCCTAGACTTGGGATATATGGTGGACTGTACGCTGAACATAGATGAGATGTCTTGCATACTGAGTAGCATTGGATGAGGTTCCATTCAGACCGTAGGGGATATACACGTGCACATGTCCCTTTGGGGTGTCAAGTTAGAAGTGAAAGTGACAAGGAAGGAAACGCTGCTGGTCCTAATGTCTCAAGGTAGGGGAATAAAGAGCCACTCACATTGGTTCGTCTCCCCAGAGTCCTAATAACCGAGCCATCAAGAAGACGAAACCAGCCAAGACACCACCACCGCCACAGCCCAGTAAGGCAAGCCCCCTTCGAGGCTACCTTCCCCAAATATCTCCCACCTAGACAGATAGTAGCAGGAGCAGGAGCAGTTGCCTGGTGCCTAATATCCAGTAGTACTGAGTACTATAGCTCTACCAGCCCACCGCTACTTACTTTACATAGCTAAGCCACTCGGATCTGGTTTGATTCTGTGGGCGTTGGCGGAATATCCCGCCCCCGTTAAAGCACGGGTGAGGCGAGGCGAGGCGAGGCGAGGCGACGTGATAGCTGCACGTCTTGCTGCAGGAGAAAGTTCCCCCTCATTTCTCATTTCTCATTCCTACCATCGGTCGTTAGGGATATGATAGATAACTCCTGTTCGATATTTAACAACAATTTACTGTTTTACTATAGGTCCTGCTTCTAATTTGGTCATTCAGAAATTATCTTCTTCTACTGTGATAATCACAACCCCTTATGAGAACCAATGCAGTATGGCTTGTAGGAGAAATCGGAGAATAAACAAACATTTTAAAACAACACCTATGCATGCAGTAATCACATCCCTGGGATGTGGCTTATGTCAATATTAATTTCCTGCTTGTACATAGAGTAGACTAGGACCTTGCAGCGGTGGTTCGGAAGCAAACATCTGGCTGGGAGCACCTCCCCTCTTCCCCGCGCACGCTGTTGATAGGAGGAGAATGTGTGGTGCTCAATGAAGTTGAGATAGGTCTTGTGGGGTTTTGGAGGGGATTGGGGTGAAGAAAATTGGGGAGGGGAGGGGATGGATTTGTGTCCCTGTTGCTGTTACTGATTATTTTGGTGGACGTTGGACTGTTGTAGTACTGTAACCATTAGTCGATTAGATGCGATGATGTGCTGAGGGAATGCAGAACAATGGAGGGAATTGAGGGTGTATACTTGCGCTAGCGACAACGGCCATAGGGTGAACAGAAGAGCACGGTGACCCGCACTGACCGCTAGTGTACATACGAACCACTACAACGCAGTAATCACTTGGATATGATACTGTCATGCCGGACAAACGGATGGTAGTGGCTAATTGTGTGGCTCGGATAAATAGCTGAGCTAGCAGCATAGCTACTAGATAGGCATACAGAGTGCTGAAGTACAGCCCTCTAGCTCCACTGTCACTGTTTGGGGTGACCTTCGTTACTGGTTATCTGTGAATAGCGGCTCTCCTCTTCCCAAGAAGTCAGCGTCAGAAGTATGATCAGGCCATGAGAGCCTCACTGATGCTGTCAAGCTGCAAGCCAGTGTCTGTTCGCCGGCCCAACGATCTCGGCAGATCAAGACAGCAACGTCTTTCTGACCAGCGGGGTTGGAAATTGGGATCGTCAACGACCCATTTGCTTTTCCTAGTGACACTGACCCGGTTTGGGCGGCTCTTTGGCGTCACCCAGAATATTTGAACCATCCCTCGAAGTCTTAAGGCCGTTAACGGCTCGCTCGCCTCAGGGGGGCCTTATCCAGCCGCAATGGGAACAGAAGCCATATGATAGGTACCTTGCGGAAGGTTAATCATTGCGACATGAGTCGAGTCAGGTCTGGCCCAAGATATCCATCACATTAGGCGGACACTTGTGCCTGTGCTCAACGTGTGCTGGGCATTGGCCCTTGTCATCTGAGGGGTTCGTAGCTGGATGCATGTCATATATGCAGGGATCATTAGCAGTATGTCTGAGAGAATAGTCAGTATATTATGCGCGGCCACGCCCACGAAGGTGAGCTTAATGAGAGTAACGCCTCCAATGGAGCGGGGACACTAACGGCCACTCAAAATGTACATCGTTTTCCTTCTCCCACTTGTCTATCTCTTCACGAGGACTGTCTACCGTATCTACTTTCATCCTCTTAGCAAGATTCCAGGGCCCAAGATAGCAGCAGCCACTCACTTTCACGAATTTTACCACAATGTCATCCGTGGTGGAAAGTTCATATGGGAGATTGAGAACATGCATAGAAGATACGGTATAGAATACCAGACCTGGTTGGATTACATGCTGAGAATACCGATAGGCCCAATTGTGCGAATAAACCCGCGAGAAGTGCATATCTCTGATCCATCAATGTACGACGAGATCTATGCTGGTGGTGGACGAAAGCGCGAAAAGGACCCGTCCCTGGTGTCATCTTATGCTTCATCATATGCGGCGCTGGCAACAATCGACCATGACCTTCACCGGGCCCGTCGAGCCCCACTGAATCCGTTCTTTTCAAAGAAAGCTGTATCAGAGCTCTCGGACATTCTTCATGAGAAGATATTTCTTCTATCGTGGCACCTTGAACGGGCACATACAGAACGAGCTGGGATCACATTAAGTACTGCCTTGATTGCACTGACAGGCGACATTATCACGCACTACCTTTATGGTCAAGACAACGGGTACCTGAAAGACCGAGACCTGGCGAAAAGAAACATGGTATGGGAGATCATGGCTGAGGGCACTAGTGCATGCCATCTGTTCCGGTTCTTCCCATGTATTCCAACGTTAACAAAGGCATTGCCTGGACGACTCATGCGCCTCATTCGTCCAGCGTTGTCAAATGTCTACGATATGCAGGAACAGATTGCACACCAATCAGAGGAAGCCCTATCGCTTCACGGTCCTTCGAAACTAAGGACGATCTACCATGCTCTGAATGACCCCTCCGTCCCTACTTCCGAGCGGTCCCTAGCTCGTCTGCGCGACGAGAGCTTCATCGTCCTGATCGGAGGAACCGAAAGCACAGCGGCGACATTGACATTTGCAATATATCACCTTCTCCGCAACAAGGATATGTATCTCAAACTCCGGCAAGAGTTGCAACAAGTCATGCCAACACCAACCAGTGAAGCGAACTGGCCACAGCTGGAGCGGCTACCGTACTTGGTAAGTTATCAAATCTGGATAATTGAGATAGTCGTATGTCTAATTGCAGGGATGATATGGAGCAGACGGCTATAGTCAACGAAGCCCTTCGACTAGGAGCAGCAGCCTTGCGACCAGCACGAGTCGCACCCACGGAGACACTATATTATCAGGGGCACAGCATCCCACCTGGCGTGAGCATCGACTGCCTGGAAATTAGTACGGTTGGCTGACACTGTAATCTGCAAGACCCCGGTCAGCACCATCAGTTATTTCATTCACAGAAACCCTGCCATATTCCCTAATCCAGAGAGCTTCAACCCCGAGCGATGGATCGAAGCTGCTGAACAAGGAGACAATCTTACCCGGTATCTCGTTCCTTTCACACGGGGTAGTAGAGTCTGTATTGGAATGAAGTGAGTGTTCTCCACATCTCAGCCAGATTGCCCGGTCGTCAGCTCGCTATCAATGAGTAATCGAGCTGACTGCATATCCAGCCTAGCCTATGCAGAGCTGTACATGACTCTCGCGTCCATTGTGCGCCGCTTTGACCTGGAACTGTACGGGACGCAGCCTAAGGATATGGAGTTTACACGTGAGATGGTCGTACAGCGCCCAGAAAGAGGGGTGTGGACGCTCGATGTTCGAGTAGTCGGCGTCACTAAATGAAGGAGGATGGCGGAGTCGGTGGTCACATGGATTGGCCTTTTCCGACATGGACATCTGTTGGAGATCATGTCACCAAATAGAGCACAACCTCGGTTGACGAGTTAAAAATCACCCAGAAATGCTCTACACTCGTCTTTAGGTGTAACAAATGAGACTTGAATCCACCGTCGTCAAGGAAGTCAGCTCCTTGATGATAGTATACCCGGTGTAAAAAGAAGAAAGGAGAAAGTATATCTACCCCTCAGCGGCAGGGCGGTCAGACGAATGGTTTTCACCCCCCAAGCAACAATTCTTGTCCGAATCCTACAGGTTGACGAGGCCCTTCTTGAAAGGTGCAGCTGCATCGAACTACAGACCCCGGCCATTGACATTGACTGAGGAGCTTCCCCTCTCCCCTCCACCCCCAGCAAGCAAGTCTTGTGCTCTTGACGATGAGTCGATCTCACGGGATCAAGTATATATATACTAGCTCCTTCCAGACTTCTAAGCACCTTAGCTCCTCAACCAAGCTACGGTTTCTCGTCTTTTGGTTTGCACAGTCATGTGTTACCAAGGCTGATATCGAAAGATCAGCTTGAGCGTGCGCATCTAGAATTGGCTTAAAGGGATTACGCAGTATATGTTCCTCCATAAACGAGAACACGCTGAGAAGCTAACGGTTTACTGGCTCTACAGTGGTTGGCAGGGTCCTCCTCGATTTCTGATCCTCTTTACCATGGTCTCGTCCTATATAATATCTGCATAATCTCAACAATCTACCAAGTTTCAGCTTATAGCAAACACAAATATATCCAGACTCAAAATCCACCTAGTTCGGGCTTTCCCAGTATAAGCCAACTTACACCAAATAAGTCTCTTTAAAAAGACTCGGTCTCCCTCAAGCACCATGCATCAACTCTCGGTATGGCAGACTACTCTGGCCTTGAGTATGGCTCTAGCTACCCGGACAGCTGCAGACATATGCTCGAAGCTCAAAGCAGACGGGATAACAGTCGAAGAGCCTCTGACTTTAGACTACAACCTTGATGTTTGGAGATACTGGTCCGCTGCATGTGGCGACCTCCGTCCACTATGTATCACCGCTCCATCCAGCGCACTAGAAATGTCACAGATCATGAAGGAGCTCCACCACTTCGAAACTCTCTTCGCCGTAAAGTCCGGAGGGCATATGCCCAACAGTGGCTTTGCCAGCATCCAGGACGGTCTTCTCATTTCAACCAAGAACCTTGACCAGGTGTTCTTTAACTCTGACGATCAAACTGCAATCATCGGGCCTGGACTGTCGTGGGGCGATGCCCATCAAGGATTACATGGGACTGGTCGAACACTTGTAGGTGGGCGTATGGCAGGAGTGGGTATCGGAGGATTCATGCTTGGAGGTATTTGCTTGCTCTAGCAACTAGCGTCCTTACTCTAACGTATGTAGGCGGAATGAGCTTCCTGAGCTCACAGTACGGGTGGGCGGCAAACAACGTCATTAACTTCGAGGTCGTTCTAGGAAATGGGACCGTTGTGAATGCAAACAAGAAGGTCAACACTGGTATGTTCTGACGAATGGCTCGTAGATTTTCACTGATGGGCAGACCTCTTCGACTCACTCAAGGGAGGGGGGAATAACTTTGGCATAGTCACGGCATACACTTTGCAAACACACCCACAGGATCACAAGGTCCGCCTTATGATACCTGATGTGTTGAATCCTGCTGACCTTGCTAGGTTTGGGGAGGAAACTACATCTTTGCATCAGACAGAGGCCCTCAAATACTGGAGGCGCTTCGAGACTTCGTCGAATACTATCCGGACGACAAGGCTGCTATAATTATGACGGCAGAGCGCACCGCACTACTCGATACCTGGATTATGTTTCTGTTCTATGATGACCATAAGCCTCCCCAGGGCGTTTTCGACAATTTCACAGCCATTGGTCCACTTGATCTCACCAAGACGTGGAATAGCTATTACGATCTGGTTCGTGGTTTGTCAACATTGGCTGCTAAAGCAAGCTGATCCTGCGTAGCTCAAACACAACGACTTCTTCATCTTACCGTAAGTACCATGTGCCTAGCCATCTCAACACACGCTGACCATTTAGTGGCAAGCGATACGTCATCGCTACTGAGACAATGCCCCTTCCCAACAAAACAGTTGGTGCAGAAGTGATGCAGACATACCATGACTACTGGCACAACGTTTCCAAAACGGTACTTGGTGTCCCGGGCGTGATTGGAACACTCGCCTTTCAACCCATGCCCAAAGCCATCACTAGCAAAGCCAAGGCGAGAGACGGAGTAAGTCGCACGGTCAGACCACCAGCATCCACTAAGGCAGGGGCATTGTAGGACCTGATCGACTTCCCAATCGACCAAGACTACATTGTGCTCGAGCTTGACTTTTCCTATGAGCTTTCCAAATCCGACAACAAGATCGATGCGGCCATCAAGAGCCCTTTCAAAGGGTTCAACAACATCACCAGCGACTACATTGACAATGGCATGTTACCCAACGCCTACCGACCCCTCTTCATGAACGATGCCAACTACGCACAGGACTACTGGGGGCGCTTGCGCACGACGGAACAAGCCCGACAAACTAGACGCCGATATGACCCCGAGGGCTTCTTCCAAAAGCGGACCAGCGGTGGCTGGAGGTTGGAGTAGATGAGGCTGCGTCCCTCACAGCCAATACCTGTCCAGGAACCGCCCGTCTCCATCCTTCCCCAGCACGAGCATACATTGTAAATCAGCATCCTCCTTCACAGAACCCCAATCCATCCAGATGCATATTCTTAATATAGCCACAGGCGGCTCACCCGAAGACCGGGCGCCAGGGATCTGCACTGCAGGCGCCTCCATCCATTTATCACAGAGATTGGATATCAAGCAACCCTGCATAAAACAATCGAGGCTGAGCCGCTCCTCCTCCACTGCAATTAATCTAATATACCTTCCGCGCCAATCATCCAGACGCTGGCGGTCTCAGGTTCAAATAAGCTCGCGTGGCTGTTGGCCAGGAACAAACCCGCGATTGTGTCTCCAAGCGCCGGAGTGGAGAACAACAGCCCTAGCTAGCCCACGGAGCTCCTAGCTGCAGTCATTCCCTCCTTAGCTAGCTGGTATCTAAACAGGTACAGCCAGGTAGGTGTCATCTATCTTGTAAGCGCTCGCTTCACTTCCCCAACAAAGCGCACCCTGTTTCCATTGTCAGTCCAGACTACTACGTGCCGTGCCGTCGGCGCTTCACCATGCAATGAGAGAGCGGGATTCATACCAAGAGAAATCGATCGGACCTAGAACATGGCTGTAGCTAAATTAGTCGGGTCTGGAACTTGAGCTGATATATTTATTGTAGATGGAAGCTATATAAGTCACGACTTGGTCTGGGGATAGGTCTTCTCTTTGTCTACATGGTCTTGTCCTACTTTGCTTATATTAATACGGATCGTGATACCTTCTCTCACACTCTCTTTGCACATTCCTTTGAAGCGGATTGTCCACGCTCCTTTGCCCGATTGTTTGATTTGATATATTAAACAGTCTTCACGGTCCTTACTTTGTGTGCTCAAGATACACCACTCATCCTCTGGAAGCGTCCACAGACAATCTCTGCTAATATACATCCATCTACAAGTTGGCAGACCACGCTACAGTCAAAGAAAAAGATAGTAAAATGGCACTTTTCGGCCTCCTCGGTGCGACCTTTCTCTGCGCCCGCATCATCCAACTCTGTTCCCTCATCGCCATTATCGGCCTCACGGCCAACTTCATTGCCGAGATCGTCTCCAACAGCGCCTCCCCTCCCGCCATTTTCATCGGGACCATCACAGTGGTGAGTCCATCCTAACCCTTCTCAATCCACACACCCTAATCAATTGATGGCAGACCAGCATCGCCGTGATCTACGCCTTCATCACCACCATCCTCTTCGTGGACAACATCCTCCCATTCCTAGCAACCGCTATCCTCGACACTCTCATCCTGATTGCCGTCATCGTCGTCTCAGTCATCATCGGCAAGCCACTATCCTATCTGCAGTGCAACAAGATCGAGGATGTGACAGGGGACGGATCATCGGCGTATACATTTGCCACGCATTTGGGCAGTTATTTAGATGATTTGAGCGGAAGTGTGGATTATACGAGCTGGATTGGCGGCACGAAGGCGGTTTGTTTGGAGGCCAAGTCTATTTGGGGATTGTGTATTGCCATGTGGTGAGTTGATATCTGGTCTGTTAGAACTGGTCGTGGCTAATCATGTGGGATGTGTGCAGTATCATGTTCTTCATCTCGGGGATTTGTGGTCTCGTGCTTTGGAGGCAGAAGAAGGCTGCGAATGCGGGCGTGGAGAAGTTGGAGGGTTGATGTGATCGTCGGTGTGATGCAGTCGTATGCATAAATAATCTGCTGGATAATGACGATGGTGATGAGAGTATAATGTTGATGATAATGATGGTGGCGGCGATGGAGACTCGATTTGCGCTCATTTCCCTTTCCTGTCTGTTCTTTCCTTCCTTTCCTATTGCGTCCGTGTGTGTTCTTCATCGCCTGTCTTTTTCCTGTCTCTTTCTCCTGCTCTGTTTCCCCTAATACTCCAGACTTCACGCACCCCAGTACCTGTACGTATACAAACCTAACCATCAAAAACAACCCTCCCTCCCAATATCTCCCCCCTCTCAACCCCCCCACAAAAAAAAATCTCACCCCGAACTAACCGGCGGAATGACCGCAACCTCATCCCCCTCGCCAATAACGACGCCCGCATCATCCACCACATCAACATACTCATCCCCCAAACTCACCCCACAACTCGAAAGCACTTTTTCCCCAATACCCGGGTACATCGATTCCAAGGTCTCAAAGAGAAGTGAGAGGGGCAGCGGGGCGGCGAGTCGTTCCGTTTGTTTGCCTGTGTAGCTGGATGCTGAGGCGAAGTAGTGGATTTGGAAGGTGGGGGGGTTGATGCTGTTCATTTTGGGGTTGTTGGTTGGAGTTTTCTTCTTTTCTGGAGAGTGGGGAGGGTTGGGATTTTGTTTGGGGTTGGGTGGGAGGGCGGTAGGTGAGGTGGGGTGGCTTTGTTTCTGTAGTTGAGTTGGGTTGGCCGATTGGTTGGTTGTAGGGATGGCGGGTTGGAGTCCTATTTAGGATGTAGGGTAGGTGTTCATGGAGGTTGAGGTTGAGATTGTTGTCTGTAGCTCGTAGCTTGGGAGGTGGATTGGAGAAGAGGGGAGCAGAAGAGGGGAGAAACGGAGCAAAGCCGTGCGGGGTCCGCTGATAAGGCCGGGATTCTCCAGTTGGTGCTTCAGCCGGAACTACTGTAGATCAAGTTCATATTTACGGAGTACACTCAGTAAACCGAGTACCCAGAGCATCTCGAAGGATATCATCATATAACTTATTTATCCTCAACTAATTCCCTAAACGCGGTCACCAGATCCTGCCGGAGATCCTCCCAATTCTCCAATCCAACACTGATGCGCAGTAACCGGCGATCCACGGTCGCGTCCGACATCGTCCGCCACTCGATCAACGTTTCCACGCCTCCAAGGCTGGTGGCATGCTGGAAGAAAGCCAGCTTGCTCGGAAGCTTGCGCGCAAAGTCCTCCGTCTTCATGGTGATCGAGAACACTGGGCCAAACCCACGAGGCATCTGCTTCAACAACCACGACTCATCCTCCTTCTGCAAGCTCGCATGGAAAACCTGCTCAAGGGCGCGCTGAACCACAGCCTCATCGCTATCCGGAGCGGGACTGGGCGCATGCAGCGCCCCATTCAGCCATGACACAAGGCTTGTTGCGTTCTGGCTCTGGCGCTGCACTCGGACTTCCAGAGTCCGCAAGCTACGAACGCCTAACCAGCTTTCCATGTTTCCCATCACGCTGCCCAAGTAGACCCGGTCCTGGAACAGTTGTCTCGCCCAGTCCTTGCGCTGCGTGGCAAGAACCCCGCAAAGCACATCACTATGTCCACCAAAGTATTTGGTCCCCGAATGCATCACCAAGTCGGCGCCCCATTGGAAGGGTTCTTGGAGAAAGGGCGGGGCAAACGTGCCATCGACAATGAGATAAGCGCCTCGTGAATGGGCCTTTTCAGCATACGCTTGGATATTGAAGGCGGTTCCCTCGGGGTTGACCGGTGTTTCCAGATGGATAACATCGCCAGCCTCCAGCTGTTCCGCAGGGCAGTCTAGATCTAGCTTCTGAAGTCCGGTCAGGCGGGTGAACAGAGAAATCACACCGTGGCATCCGTGATAACCGTTTCCAATAGCAATTCGGCGGGGGTTAAGCAGGACCAGTGCCGCATGTAAGGCTGACAGCCCCGAGGAGTAGCTGATGGCCTCCCCATTAAGGAGAGAAGACAAGATGGCTTCAAACCGGGTAGGATTGGGGGCAGTCAGCCGAGAGTAGATGTGCGTGGTCTTCTCCTGGTCATACTAGACACCGCACCACCGTTAGCACCGAGCTCGAGGTTGCACTGCGTCGAGCGAGGGACATACCCCACTGAGGTCCGCGACCGGCACCAGATCGTCAGGGTTGTCAGAGTACCGGAATGTAGTGGCAACATGCATGGGAGGAGCCACATCCGAGACCACATTCAGGGCATCGTCGGCATGCAAAGCACGCGTGGAGGGGCCCATTGGGCAATTGGCGGGAGCCATAGAGTGCACTTGATGGGAAAATATGGGAAGAGGAACCACCAGGCCGCGGACGCAAGCGAGCTTGTCGACGGACGGAGACTTAAGGAAGAGAGTGACTGGGGGGGAAACGAGGAGAGAAGCTCCACAGCGGGGAACCGGCACGTGATGGGGTGGGGGGTTGAGGTGATTGGATGGGTGGCATGACGAGACAGGAAACGGAAACGGACTCGGGTTGCGCCCCGAATTTACCGACGGAGCGAGCTCATCCTCGATGGCTCACGGACAGACCCCGGCACAGCCGCGTGGAACTTGGTCCGGTCTAGAAACAAAGCATCAGCATCATACGAGTGGCAAGGGAGCGGTGGGACGACAGACCTGCCTCGGAGTCAAAAGCGATTGAGATATCGTCATGCTCCATGGGATATTCCGGCGTGTCCAGGGACACAAAGTCTGATGCCGGATCATCTTCGGTCTTCGGCAGAGCAAACTTGGCATCCACAATCCGGACTCCGAATTTGCCGGCTTTGCCGAAGCTCTCCAGGGTGTCGGTGCCTTTAAGAACAAAATTCATGCACTTGCCGTGATGGAAGTCACTCAAGAAGACCACCAGCTGCACAATCCGCTCTCGTCGGACGACCTGGATCCGAGCCAGACTGGACTCCCATTTCTTGGTGATTGGGACCACCATCCGACGTCGTGAGATGGCAAAGGACGAAGCAACACTGTTGCCCGGATGTTAGATCCGAAACGTCTCGGACAGCAGGGTCATCCAGTCATACGTACCTGTCAAACAGTACCTTGTACCCCGTCACAGCTTGTTGAAACGTATGAAGGTCTGAGACACAGGTCAGTGGCCGATGCTGATACCAGGGATGTTCACGGGCAGTAGATCGTTACCTTGTACCGACATAAAGTCAAATCGTCGGATCATAGGTTTCGTCATGGCGATTTGTAAGAAATTTGACAATTTATCGGGCATCTCCGGCAAAATTAGATTCTCGGCGACAGAAACAGTCAGGTCTTTCTGTCCAGGTCGGTACAGACTGAGTCCCGTCCGGTTATTGATGTCGAGGCCCAGTCGCAATTCCCCAGGTGCTAGTGATTCGTCAGTGACATTCCCAAGGGCTGTGGCCGATGAACATACCGAGATTGATCCGGTCCGTTACAGAACCCCATTCGGTTGCGATGAAAGCCCGCAGATTTTCTGATAACACCGTTGGACCGTACCCATGATCGACGTGCGAATGCGCCCGATCAATGACCGAGACGGTACCAGCAGGGAATTGGAGATGTTCCTTGGCGAGCTGCCCAGTGTTGCGATCCGCCGGTTGTTCAATGGTGTAAGCACGAATGGGAATTTCGGGCGATTTCACTTCTCGGTCCTGGGGCAGGATTCCGAGAAGTAAAGAATGCATGGTGGTTCGATCTTTTAACTCGTAGAATGACATGAGCATAGACCGGGTTCTCCCGTCTTCCTTGACCTTGAGTAGCAGGGCCGGTGCCCCATCCTCACCTCGGAGCAGGCCGAAAACAATCGGTGTGCTGGACCCCAGAATATGACGCACACTGCTGAGAGTCTTGACTTTGGGGCTCGTGAGCACCGCTAAGCGGAAGCCTTGATGCATGCTTCTATTGCCAGTTCCCTCAGTCATGGTCACGGTCTTCTCAAATAGCCGTAGCCGACACCGTTCAACAGGGTCGGGTGGGAAGGATTTGGTCGTGCCCGGGTCAATGTACTGGAACGACTTAAGAGTGTTCTCGAAAACAACCGTTTCACCCGACTCACGCTGAAGGCCAGCTTCGGTCTTCCGGGTGTATTGAACAATGTTCCAAATGTTTTTGAAATCATCCTCCTGGAACACGACATCCAAGTCGAAACCGCGGGGCAGCTTGACCCGGATCGAGTGCGATCGGACTTGCCAATCCACACTATCCCAGGTTGGGCCCTTTTTCCTGTCCGACTGGATCATGACATTGACCAGTTCATTCTGGCTGGTGATGGCCGCAAACACATACCAGTCGGCACGATCACGGATTATGGACAATACGCAAGGCATCGTCAATTGCTCAATCTCATCTTCACTAGAGCTGACATAAACATGGACAAACATGCTCCCATAACTGAAATAGCGATTGCTATCGCCAAGAGGCATCATTTGCACGAAGGAAGGTCCCTTGCCCAGCATGTCGATTAGTGATGCCCTTGTGGCTGCACCAGAAAGGACCGCGGAAACGTCCGCAGCAAAAGATGGATAGCGCACCCAGACACTGGTGTCAATTGGGATTGCGGAATCCCCCTGGGAAGAAATTGCCACTAGGATATTGTTCCTCTTGATAGACATGGCTAATGAACGTAAATGATTCATGATCGCCTGATGCAGGCCAAGGAGGTCAGCCAACTGTACATTCCCGGTCGTGCTGGCTACGGCAATCAAAGCATCAATACCCATTGCACCATAGCGTGTCACCTCCTCGTGCTGGGGGACAATGTTCTCATTGATCCACATGGTTTTCGCAAGATCGATGATGGCTTGTTTCGCACTGTCGGTGGAGCTCTGCTGGGGTGATCGTGCTCCGGAGCTCGAAGGACGAGACCGTGCATAAGCTTCCAGCTGTTTCTTCCCCCGCAGAAACCACCATGCCGCAGCTCTCATCCATTCGGAGAGAGAGATCTCCGTTATAGGCTTCGCATCTTCCGCCGAGGATTGAATGGGGCCTCTAAATTGCGTCATATACGCTTTCAAGTCCGCGAAAGCAGTGTTACCCAGTTGATTAGCAATAGACCGCAACGAAATTTTAGGGGGTTGAGGGCTCCGGGAAGTGTCGCGATTGTCCCTACTAGATGGACGGGCAGGGCCATCGGGCTCGGCGATCTTGGGAATAGGGTGGCGTGTCTGAGGGGAAAGGATCTGGGTACTTCCGCCAGGGGAAAGTATGGAAGGATGGACCGGGGTCTCAGGGCTGCGATCAATTGGACTGCGATCAACGTGAGGAGGAACCGGGGGTTCTCGAAAAGGATCCTCTGGTGGGCTTGGCTCCGTCTCAGAAAGAGGAGGCGTCTCATACGTGGAACTGGGACTGTCAGGAACAGCTACCGCTGGACTTCGGACCTCTGCTTCTTCGGCGGGTGAGGGAGGCTCCGGCAATCGATGCTGTAAAGCACGCCCCTCCTCGGCTTGCATTTTGTCCCGGATGCGTTGGGCAAATGAATGGGACTCAGGCGATGCACGAAATGACAAGCGGGAGCCTTTGTCTCCCAAATTCAGTGTCATGAGGAAATCAGCATCCTGGGGGTTCTGTAGCAACAATGGCTTCCAGTCTTCTGCATTCATTCCCTTCTGTGGATCTCTCTGTTGAGGCGTGGGTCCGTTTTTATCACCAAAGGAAGTGTCAAGGCGAAGTTGAGGAAGCTTAGGCTGGCGGTCATCGAGACCACCCAGCTCAGTAGGATCCTGGTTTTGCGCGGTCTTGCGAGATAGAGATATTTCCATAGTCGGCGTGTCCGTCTCATCGCCCCCTTCTCCGATCAAGTCAGGCATCCGATTGCTAAACTTCACTTTCAAGCCCTTTCGGCGACTTTTGAAGGGAGGCTTCGTGAAGTCCACGGGCGGAGGAGTATCACGAAGCGAAGGCGCATTTAGGACATCTTGGGCAGACGGCCATCTGTGAGCGGCGTCCAGTCGCGGAGGCGCGATCTGGTCTGCTCCATAGGATACGGACTTCGAGCGAGTGGGCCCGAGGAAAGCCTCGATCTGCTGGTCTGTAGATCCCTTGGGCCGTTTCTCTTTTGAGAACAGTTTCTCCCTCCAGTGTGGCTTCTTAGCCGGCGCCGGTTTCTGTTCGCCAGCGATGAAGGCGAAAGGATCATCGGTAGACGTAGACATGTCGACCAATTTCAAGGTAGGTACACTTTTCCAATACGATATGCCCTGCTATGGAGCATCGCAGGGAATAAGAGATAGGCCTGTGCGAAGTATATGCGGTTCTTGTCCGTGTGTACTCCCGCCTTGACTCGTAGGTGCTTGTGCGCAGGTCGAGGATCGACAGGGGTTATCGTAGACAGTCCGTGGAGCAAATACGTAGCGTAGCGTAATAAGACACTGCCAGTCGCGGGTGACTAGTAATTCAGGCACGGTAAATGCTCAAGGCAACGAAGAATTAGAACGGGAGGGAAGTGGCGGCGGGCAAGCGACTCGCTTGGGTTAATAGTTTGCGCAGCAGTGAATAGAGACGCGCGGCGTGAGGACAAGCCAGCGGATATTAAACCCCAGGCGAAGAAATGTGCAGGGCGATTGTCCAGGCAGATTGGTGTTGCTCGTACTGACACTGGCTGAACCGGCGCGATTGCCGTCGTTGTCTGGTGGGGATTCGGAGACGAGCGATCTACCAAGACCAATTAAACAGCGTTCAGAAACGGAGCTGCAACAAAGGGGACTATGGGAGCAAGCTTCAGGGGTTAGGCCGAGGGGCATAGGCCAGTAATTAACTAACCAAGGAACTAAAACGTAAGGTAGGATGTCAGTAGACGCCTGCGCGAGCGGGTTTGGCGCTCCCAGCTTCTCAGGACGGTAACTATAGGTAGGTCCTGGACTCCGCAGAAGGAGGCGGGAATGAGCTTGTAGGAAGAGAGGGACGGGCAGAAAAACAAAAAGCTGTTCCAGCAGCTGCTCACAATATCTGGGGAGAGAGAGAGAGGTAGAGCAATGCTCCAGCCACGGGCAAGGAACCGAAAGAAGAGAGGGAAGGAAAGGGGAAGGGAGAGAAGGAAAAGGATCACAAACAATCAGGAACATGGGGACAAGTGATGGTACGACCCCGTGCTATTAAACCTCTCTCCGACCGAGGGACGGGTACCTCAGGCAGGCTAGGGGAGGATCTCCGCCGTGCTGTTCCACCGCTTGCGATTCTTCAATCCACCTCTCCAATCCTCGGGCTATCAGGAATCCCAGCCAACGTGGTCGGTCCCCGCCCTTTCGTGGATGCTATTTCTAGACTGTCTCGCGATGATGGATGGATACTCGGGGCTTGCGTGCGAGTCCCCTACGTACTACTAGTACTGTGTGAACTTGTATGCCAATGGCGAATCAGACTGGCCACGAACCATAAACTTCGTCGATCACGTGGGGGAAAATCGGGGGATAAAGCAAGAGAGCATGGCAGGTCAATTGCTATCGTTTAGCTGCAGGGGCCACCACTGGGTCCTCCCTAATAATATCCATAGGAGTCAACTTGGGAAATTGTAAACACTCGCAACATTCTTGTGCACCGCCTCTCCGCTCGGCTATCCTACAAGCTTCGTGGTGAGAATGCTCCATCCTGCCCAGGATGTCGGACTGTCGAGTGTCTCTGATGACGGGCTGACCATGGCTGCGGCCGTCAACTATTATTAACCCCGACTTCCCATCGCGGACAGCACCGCAGCAGCATGTTGAAACTGACGTGGACTCGTGAGACTGAAGTTGAATCAAAGCGAATAGAAAGACAACCCCTGTTATCAGCAAAAGCGATCAATCTGGGCTGGGACGTGTGATTGGAGCCCACTCCCCCCAGTGCGTTCCGTTGGCTGGCCCCGACCCTCAGTTTGAAACGACCCTAGACCTGCTCGGGATAGGCCCCGCGCCACCCTATCCTGCTTCGGGTGAGGCTGCTGATTGCTCGGTGGGCCGCTGACGAGCCCCCGGCGAACCTTGCACCGTTGCACGCTTGGTCCGCATGGGATTTTTGGGTAGTGCCGCTGCGAGGGGGACGAACAACGGCCCTGCTGAACTCAATCCAAATGCGTCCCTACCTACCGGAGTACGGAGTACTATGTAGGTAGGTTCTGTTAGCTGCTGTAGCTCAGTTGATTCCGGTATCCGTCGGGCTGGGCTTCTTGCCTTGCGTCTGACAGAGGTGGAGCCAAAGCACTAGATAGATGGAAGCCTCGAATGGTTCGTTGGGGGCTATCTATCTATCTGAACTGCTGAAGCGTCAGGCTGCGATCTAGGTAGAGAGGCGCTTTTTCCGACTAGTTCCTACCCTACTTACTCCGTACGTGTGACCTGCATTAAGATAGCAGGGGTAGCCCATAGGAACACTACAAGTATCTATACAATCAGCTCACCGAACATGCAGACCTGCCAAGAAATTCAAATGCCGCACATATAATCATTACTAGTATGTTCTTGTCAGAGTGCACCGTTCGGTCAAGCAACATAGCTTCGCCATCCAAACAGATTCTACCTCAAGCTTCCTTTGAACATAACAAGGAATGGGATGATGGGTAGGGAGAATCTACTGCCTAGGACCCTCTCCTAAGGGGGCCATAATGATCTCATCTCCGGTCAATCATTTCCCGCCCTCGCTACGGAGCAACCGTCGCGCTATCTCCAGTCCCTCGGTAGATCAATGAATGGCTAATTATTCGAGCAATTTTCGGCCGCTCAGGACCCCGACGAATAAGCTTCGTCGCAGGACTGGCTGCTCAGAACAGCAACCAGCCGATGGGCTAGTGTTCACTAATGATGATATACACATAGGCAATGAACTGAATCCATTTCGTTAGGGTCCCCACGCAGTGAAAAGCTAGCGGCTATTTCAGCCCCAGTGGCTGCCTGGCACAGAAATGTCGCTGCTATTGACTCCGCAGCTACTAAACAAATAACCGGTATGATAATCTCTACTCCGTACACAACAGAACCAGGCCATGCGGATGATACACGGTCAATAGCAGTACCTACTCCGAGAATTACATTGTCATCTAATTTATCGACGAACATTATCTTTGGGTATCCACTTGTAAACGCTCCTATGATGTGAGTGAAATTCTCCGAGACACATAGCAATTTCATCGGTTATGATGGGATTAAGTACACCAAATGGGTCAATAAAATTGGCCCCCATTCTTTCAGGGTCTTCCTGGATGGTTAACATTCATGTGCTACCGGGCGAATCAAAGGTTCCCGGCAAGTGCCTGGTGCCTGAAATGTCCTGTCCCGAGTCATTGATGGAGATGGATGGATCGGGCGAAGAGGTCAGTGAGGTCCTCGGCTTTCCGTTTTCATCGATGCCGACCAACACCTCTCATGCACGTACGTAGCCGCGCATCGCCAATGGTCGTACAGCATAACCTGCCAGGGAACTAAGTACCAGATAGAACTTTGGAAGGCCTGCCTATCCGCCAATCGGCGAAAGAGTGACGTTTTTAGAGTCGTCTAGGTAAGCTGTACCAGAATAAGGTAGCAGGCTAAGGTCTCCGACTGCAACCCTGCTGGATACTACGTAGTATCGGGTGACATGTGAATATATACTAGCGATTGGTACCGCTGACTGGGCATGATGCGGGCAGGAGGGATTGAATTTCTGGAGCTTCACTTTTGGTGCTCGGTCGTTCTGTCCCGAGTGGTTATTGCTAAGGTGACTACTACTAGTATACAGATATATGACCTCCTCACTCCTCACCAACCCCTCAAATTCTCTCAAACGTGTCAGTCCTCTAAGAGGAGCGAAAATTATTGCCAGTAGTGGGATACTCGCCCCCACATACCAATGTTCCCTTTCTGATCCATCTATGAGAAACACTCGTGGCAGCTAGACGAGATTCAGCTTCAGGGCCCCCAAGGTGGCCTCTAGTACGTGACCTAAAGCAATTCAATTTCAATACGATCGATCATACGAGGGTGTTAGTGCTTCCAGTAACAATGCTAAGCTTTTGCGAACGTGTTGGCTGTACTCCATGGGACGCGATTTACCGCTGTTAGGCAACTGCGTTTTCTCTTTCAGACTTCTCCCCCCTCCCCTTAATAAAAGAAGGAAGACCGCATCTCAGAAAGGAGGAAAAGAATAAGAATACAAATGTGTCGTACATAACAGGGAGGTGTCGCTCGAATGGTATGTACTTCGTAGCTATCGATGATCCTTCAGTGGCAAAGCCTTCGGGAGATGCAAGGACCGATCGTAGGATCAACCATCAATAGCCTACTTAGGTTGAGATCCATAGCCACCCGGATGCTCAGGAGGATCCTGGGAGTTGGGAGCTTGGAGGGAGCTGCTCGGTGGTTGGTGGACCCAGCCTGACTATCAGGACAGCTTACCGGGTTCGTGTTCTAACTTCTAGCTTCATTGTCATTACCCCAAGCGATCTTTCTTTCCCGATGTTACTTTTCGTTCGGATCATAGCCCACACACCGTACATACTGTAGTATATCGCCGTTGATTCAATTTCTCACATGATCCTCAGGTAAGAGACCATCTACAGGCTTGCCTACCTGAGAAGACGGTGCATGTAGCCACATTACGATGCACCGGGCTGGGACATGGCTGAATCAGAAACGCCAGGATCCACACCTGTCATTATGTATAGGGCTACATTGTTCTGTCTCACTCTCGGTTTTCTTGGCCTTCTGGCCACCCATGTAGAAAGGCCTAGAAAGTCTTCACTGAGACCTGACCGTTATTTTGAGTTTCATGGGGCCTAAACGAGCAGGAGGATTCTGCGGTGGTACAATGGACGTTATCGCCATGTATGCGGTCGTGGGAAGGGAGCAACCAGAGGGTCGTGTTTCTCAAAGGGAATCCACGGTATGACGGCAAGGGATGATGTTCTTCCCGGCCTTCCCTGGAGATAGATAGATAGATACTGGTGGGCTGGCAGGTTACACAATGATGGAGCATCGGATTCCGGATTTGTCCGCCCGTCATGTTCCCAAGTAAGAGTAAGCGACAGAAAAGGCGGTGTTAGCGATTCATAATGATAACAGTAACCATCAGGTAATCGAAGTGGCATGGGGTGAGACACCGTCCAGCATGAGCCTCTCTGGCCGAGAAACTAGTTCCGGTTGATACGGCCGGCCAGGCAGATCAGGTTCTGTGTGGTAACAGTAACCCGGTGGACTTGGTTCCTCAGGTTAGCGGCTTCCAAGTTTAGAAGTCACCGCCCACCGCCCACCGCCCACTAGGTACAATCCAGTAAGTACCGCCCCAATCAGTGGCTCCCCGGGGGTGCGGGAGCAAAGCGAGCAAACATGGCGGCGCAGTCAGCAAGTCCGGCTGATGGTGGATGGATCGATGGGCCTTCGCTCAGCCCGAGCTGGGGGGCCTCGCATACCAATCATGCCAACCTTTTTTTTTTCTTTACCCTTCATCCTTTTCCCTTGTCACTGACCCCCCCGCGAGCTGCTTTGCCAGCCCGAAGTCTAAACAGCTTATCGTCGTATCGGTCTTCCACTCGTTTTCTCGCCAACCACTGCCGACTTCCCGTGTTTACTTGCTCACCTTCCGACCTGGGCCATCCCCTCCCCGCCGACCCCCGAAGTGATGGTGCGCATCCCCTACATCGCCAACTTGGGGGAGATCGAGGAGTAATCCACTCCTGTTCTCGAATAGCCCTACCACACGCCTCCTTGCCATTCACCCTATCCGATTTTCCTTTCCCTCGCGACTCGCTACATCTATCCCGCTTGGCGTTCGGTCGCTCGTTGCATCTGACTGGGGAGGGTCGCATACTCGAAGCCTTATCTGGTACCTAAGGTCCTAGGATCATCAACGTTCTTCGACACCGGCTGAACAACGTGGATTGAATCATCTACGAGGGGACTGACCTCCCCGAGGAGGTCATCCCGATCGCACCCTACGGCCGAAATGTCTGTACGTCGCGACGCGAGATGGCACTGTGATTCAGGACCGACGGTCGTCGCCCAACGATGCGGCACTCCAGGTTCAGGAGTGGGGCAGGAAGTCTCTTATATTCGTTCGGGGAAACAAACGGCACGACGACGATGGCAGCGTAAAGATCGACCGTGGGTTGGCAGTGCTGGGTTGATGTTGTTCGTGCTGTTGATATCGTGGATACCTGCGACCTATGCTGCCTTGGTGAATTTCGAGAACTGCTTGCCTGCCACCACAATCGAATCAAACCCACTACAACTGCAATTCGTCCCGCTTGACGTCTCCGTCGTCTTCGACCTACATAACTCTCTCCACCCCCTAAACATATCGATCTACGGTAACGTCTCAGGAACTGCCAATGGAGAGACCTATCCAGCCCCGGATGATCCCCAGTGGTCGAACCCGAACGATACTGTAGGAAAGATTGTGAATGTGGATACCTCTAATGATATGTACACAACGCTTCTGCCTTCAATCGACGTCCTTAGTTTCAATCCCTATCATGACGCGTCACAGTTCTGTCAATCGGTCTTTCAGGGGTCTTGCCCCCTGGGTCCCGTCTTCTATGTTAACGCGTGAGCTATTTCCTTCCTTTGACGCCATTCCCCTCCCAACCGCACAGCGACTAATGGAAACCATGCCATCGTAATAGGTCGGACCTATCTGCTTTGCGCGCCTTCTCTATTGAGCATGATATGCTATCATCGTACCGCTTCTCGACCTTGTCATCGAAAATTTTGGTCGAATCTGGCGACAAAGCCGCTACGAAGCTCGCGTGTATTTCAGTTGACATTACCCCGGACCTGGGAACATCTCTGAGGAACACGTTATCCTATGTTCCCCTTGTGATCCTTATACTGGTAGGAATCGCTACTGTAATGGCGGCGATATATAGCCCATGGGGCACCACTGATCCTTTTCATTGGACCAGCAACTACGGTCGTGATGAGGATGTTCTCCGACTTGTCACACCTGGTTTTGGCGATTGCCTACAATACATTCAGTTTGCGGTCTTGACCGGTTCCCTATCGCTGAATTACCCTGGTTTTTACCAGCCTGCGATTAGCCAAGTTGCCTGGTCTGTACTCATGTTCAACCAGAGTTTCTTGGACCCTGGACAAGAGCAAATGCCTGTTAAAGATGGCGTTTATACCGTCAATTCTACGTATGGTTTGGACAGGTTGGATCAATATGTCGGCATGCCTGCAGCGCGTGATATTTGGCCGGGAATGATGGTTTGGCTACTTGTCATTGTGGCCGTGATCACGGTTCTGATCCAGATAGCTTTTGGGCTACGTTGGCTCCATCGTACGATTGCCAACAATCCGGATCAGGACCTTCGTTCCAAGAACATGCCCTTTACGGTCGGGAATGTCATCCGGATCGTCTTCAATTATCTACTTCTACCGCTTGTCTCGATATCATTTTTTCAGCTGGTCATCGCCGGCCAATCCCCAGCATACTCTGTTGCGCTAGCAGCTGTGGTCATACTGATCTTGGTAGCCTTTTCGCTGTGGACAGTCCGGCTAATTGCAACTACCCGGCCGAAGTCGTACCTCTTCGATGACCTTCCGACTGTGCTCCTCTATGGCCCGCTCTACAACACCTATTGTGATGATGCAGCTGCCTTCGCGTTGGTCCCAATCTTTCTAACGTTCGTTCGTGGTATTGCGATTGGGGCGCTGCAGCCATCCGGCATTGCCCAGATCGTGCTGCTCGCTATCTGCGAGGTGGTGTCTATTCTAACACTAATCGCCTTCAAACCGTACCCATCGCCAACTTCGATGAACCTCTACCAGGCCTGTTTCTCCATCGTTCGATTCCTGACCATCCTACTCAGCGTCGTCTTTGTTCCTTCCTTGCGTATCTCACAGGCCGCTCGAGGTTGGATCGGGTATGTCATACTTTTCTTGCATGCGCTAGTCATGGTCTTTGGCTTCTTCTTGAACGCTCTGCAGACCTTTATTGAGGTCATTGCACGTCTTGCTGGTGCGGGAGGCTACGAGGGGGGCGTTACTCGAGGTGGCCTTGTCAAGGTTTTTGGTATGCGGCAACTCTCACGGCGCGTACCCAGACAAAGCGTCGCCACCCGTCAAAGCATGGGCTCCGAAGCTGCGATGCTAGCACACACAGACGACCGACTATCGTCGCAGTTCGATGGATCCCGACCCCGCAGTCTTTCGGGAAGCTCCGCCATGCTTTTGAACCGAGCCGGTGCAAGTGAAGGGCGAGCTAGCGCGATTTTTGACTCGGGAAGTGCACACGGGGGAACGCACAGTCGGGCGAACAGCAGCGGGTTCTTTACACCCTCGACGCCGGGGGGATTTGCTGCAGCCGGGTATCATACTCCGGGAAGCAACTCCCCCAAGAGCGGTCCCGTCTTTCCCATGCATCCGCATGACCCTTACTACCGACCTCCTAGGCCCCGCAAAAAGGTGGTAGACATGGGAGCTGCCGGAGAGAAGGGTAGATCATCACGACATACGCGAAGGTCAGCCAGCTACGGGGACATAGATGATGATATCATCGAAGGACCCTCGATCTCTGGCAGAGGCACGCCGATTCCCGCATATATCCCCGCACCCAAGGATGACCTCGATCTTGACGACCCTCGCCAGTCAAGGAAGGATTATGCAGTTCGTGAAGTCGACTTCTACTACCGAGTACGCGGGCCTCCGTTGTCCCAGTCAGGCACTCGCAAATTGAAGACGGGCCCGGCTGATCCCACCGGCCCGGTTTCTTCTGCCACCGGCTTTTTCCGCAGCCTGTTTAGGGGAAAGACCAAGGAAAAAGGAAAAGGCTTTGAGGTTGTGCGCAGTAGTAGAGCGCCACCGCCTGGTCTTTTCCCGGAAGGCGAGGAATTTCATGATGACCATGAACCTTACAGAGACGAGCCCGAGGAACAGGGCGCTGCAGGGGAAACTCGTGAGATCTCGGAAACCGATGCTCAGTACCGCGATTCAGATGGCGACGGTAACGAGCGATCTACGGAGACGCAGGCTGTTCTGCCACAGGTGGAGACGGGCGGCGACATCGAGCTCCCAAGTCGCGTGGGCTCTCTGTATAGCTCCCAGTCGCCCTCTTCTGCTCGACCAGGTGCCGGGCGTCAGGGCTCTATAGGTTCCTTGGCTCCGGAAGAGCAGGATTTGGCGCAGAAATCCCTCTCGGTCACAGAGACAGCTATTGGGGAATCAGCTGAGCTCGGTAACAGGCACGAACCATCGGTTCATCCTTCCAGTCAACTACACCCCTCAGCCTCAGTCACCAGTCGGCTACCGTTCAGTGCCACCAGCTCACCCTCGCGAGATCGCAATTTCTCCATTGCGTCGACGTCCGCTTCCACGACCTCTAGCCGTCGTGTGAACGATGGAAGTATCCGGATTGAGCGTCCATCCAGCATGGGCTATGTTGCGCAGTTCCGCACCCAGGATAATATCCACGAAGCCAGCCCGGATGAGCCCTCGTTCGCGGGCAGCGCCGCCGAACTGGTGGATGAGGCACATCACACCGGCGAGGCACGCTGAGGATGACGAATTTCCTTTCCTATCTCTGTCGCCCCCCCAAAAGGATTTTGTGCAAGGAGTTTGTGATATATGGGTTGGATTTCCGTTACATATGCAACCGGATCCTGCAGCATTCTGCTGGCCAGCGTGTCTCATTTTTCCGTTTCCATTCTCCTTATATTTATTTTATTTGATCTCCTATCCAGCGCTCTCCTGTCCCCATTTCCCTGCTCTTGCATTGTGGCCGAGGTCACCCTCCCTACTTGTTGGTTCGGGGATCCTTTGCAACCCCCGTCCCGCCCGGGTCGGGACCGGCCGTTTGTTTTCATAGCAATCCCAGCGTCGCATCTTGTATAGGTTGGCGGTTTCTTTTCATGTATGAAATCTTAGGCAATAGTTCTATTTAACTATAGTGGGCGGACCTTGGAGAAGGCCAGGAGTGTGCGATAATGTCAAAATACCAACCCTGCCAGTTCAACGGTACTTCTAGAACCCTATGTAACTATGTATGGTGGGTGGTCTGACTGTGACGGGTGCCAGATCCACCCGACCAGGACTCGGTATGCACGCCGTCCCCACGATCTCCGAATCCGACCGGAAAGCGAAGAAGAAGGGGAGGAAGAGAGAGGAAGAGACTACGGAGTACTAGTCATGCTCCGCCGGGGTCATCGGTCGGGGGCTCGTGAGTTGACGAGCGAGAGAAGATCGTCTTCCCGGAACGCCATTTTGCCCCGCGGCGAATCTTCGGGTGGCCAGGTGCCTTGGGCCAGCAACACCGCGTCTGTTATCACGGTTCAGCGTCCACGCATAAGATCTCCCCGTTTTTGATCTGGTGCAGTCAGCCGGGAGGGACTTGAGCTGGCCAGTCCTGTCCTGAGGCGCGTGTTCTCCTTCTGGATCCGGAGTCACGAGACCCAACCTCCCCCTGGCCGACCCTCCTTCGCCTTCGACGCCCAAAAGTCCGAACGGGCGATTCCCTTTTCCTCGGCCTCTCCTGGCTGGGATAAGCCTGAACAGACAGTCACTTACTCACTTACTTTCCCACCCCCTCCTCCGGCTTCAGTGCCTTTGGTTCCTCTTCCCCCCTCCTCGCATTCACCACCCGTCTTCTTAGTCGTCTCTTCACGCCGCCTCCCCGAACGGTGCCAGTTCCGCCTCCCCCTCCCATCCTGGCCTCATCGCGCCACCCGGTCAATGACGGTCCGTCGTCCAAACGACGGAGATTAGTCTCCTCTGCAGTGCCCGGCAGACAATCAGCATCCACCTCGACCTTCCCTCCGCCTGTCCCCTTCCCTAGGTTCATGTCGTTCCCGTCGAGTTCGGCCTCGCCCTCGTCCAGTACCGCCGCCTCAGCCTCCGCCGCCTTCACCGCCCCACCGCCTCTTGCTGGTTTCAGGCCTCATGCGAGCTCGGAAATTTTACGGTTCAATGAGGCTGGCCCTGCACTAGATAGACGCACCGAGAGACAGCGATCCACTCTCAGCGGGTCGGATCGTAAGCGACGGATAGTCAATCTGGAGGGCGATGCGTGGTCGAGCCGTGCAGCTCCCGAGCCGCTGACCGACGCCGGCCCGAGCAGTAGAGCAGAGATGGATAGCAGCAGGTCGATCTCCCAACTCTCGTTTCAAACCCGCCAGGATTCGGCCCTCCCCAGTTCCTCCTATGCCACCCCAGTCGGTCTTACGACCTCACCTTTGGAATCCCGCCCTTTGGGAACTGGATCCTGGTCGCGTGCGGATAACAATTATGTGGAGTATATACGGCCGCACTGGCAACCTGATGCAGAGGTGACGAAATGTCCCATCTGTGGGTCAACCTTCACCTTCTGGTACAGAAAGCATCACTGCCGTAAGTGTGGCCGAGTTGTGTGTGCGTCATGTTCACCGCACCGGATCACCATCCCACGCCAGTTCATCGTGCGCGATCCCAGCCGGTCCCATGCGTCATCCTCCTTGATCCCTCCGCGGACGGCTCCAGCCCTTGACATAGAAGGGGATGACACAGTCCATTCGCCTACGGCTCTCAATCCGGCCCTGGGTGGCGGGGAAGAGGTGCGACTTTGTAACCCCTGTGTTCCGGATCCCAACCCAGAACCACTGCGTGGGTTTGCGACAGTTCGAACTCGTGGGGAAGCCGACTCGGGCACGGGCATAGTGCCGGGACCCTACGTTGTTCCATCCAGTCAATCTCGGCGTCGGTCATATCATTCAGTGTCATCCACCACGAATCCGTACAGTGGGGTGCTTGTAAGTTCCCTCGGCCTCCCCGAGCAGTGCCAAGGTTCTCCATCACTAACCACACTATGATCTGTTGTAGCCCGGTACTTTCCCTTCTCGATCGGGACGAAGGACAGTGGGCTCGAGCGAATACTCGACATTCGGCGGGTTTGGAAGCACCTTTGCTTCACGGTTCCACGAACGGCCTATGGATTACGGTTCGCTGTCCGGTCCCCGCGTCCCTCCTGCACCTATGGGTGCTGGTGCATCTGCTCGGCCACTTTATCCAGCTGCCGGAAGTGCCAGCTCATTGCCCGTGTCGTCGTCGAGAGTCCGGCCTCCGGCCCTGCAGACATCGCAGTGGCGTCGGAACCATGTCGAGGAGCGCGATCTCTGTCCGATCTGCGACCAGGCACTCCCGGCGTTGGGCGAAAACGGGAGCGAGGATGCTCGGGAGGCACATATCCGCGATTGTATCGAAAGCCATGGCCGGCAGGGACGCTTATCACCCCCGAGCGGAAGCCCCGTGGCCCAAGCGCATCTTCCTGTTCGTCTCGTGGTGTTTAAGGCCACGGAGAAGGACTGTGTTGGACAAGACGGCGGGCTGCAGGAGTGTACCATCTGCATGGAAGAGTATGAGGTTGGTCAGTCCCTGGTGCGGCTCGAGTGCTTGTGCAAATTCCACAAGCGATGCATCGTGGAGTGGTTTGAGCGAAAGAAGGAGTGCCCGGTGCATAAGGTATCCTGACTGAGCTGATGGCTTGCTGTCGCGGCTGGATTCGCGTTGTTTTGCAATCGCCCCTCCCCCCCCCGGTCGCATTCTGCGGGGTGGATGTTGATGTTTTGTCCGAGGGTTTTTGAGCCGGAGTCCTGGCTTGTTGTTTCTGACTTGGTGTTTGTGCTTGGCCCCCAATGTGTCTACTGTGATTCGGCGCTCGAGTGGATTTACGTCATTTAAGTAGAGCGAGTACAAATTCGACCCGCAATTGGCTTTGAGGAAGAGTCTCGAGATCTATCTAGCCCGAGAGGGAGAGAGAGTATGTGTAAAGACAGGCTAGATAGTGCACACGTAAGCAGCGAAGGGGTGGTCACTTCAGGAGATATCTACGGAGGAGTAGCCCGTCGATGGGGGCATGCGACACGAGTCCGCGTGTAGTACCGTAGTGATTTGTCGTGGGTACGGAGTATGTAAGAGGTTCTACTACGTACTCTGTAGTAGTGTGGAAGGTGCCCCCCTGATGGCCAGGGAGGGAAGGAATGATGGGCCGCAGATTGGGCGGAGCTGCCAGGCCAGGCAAGAACGAACGAGCAAAAGGTCGGCCGCCCCTCCACTCGAGGCTCCTTCGCTCACCTTTCGCGGCCTCCGCATTTTCCCTTCTCTTCCTCCTCTTCCTCTGCTTCATTCCTCGTCTTGCGTCTCATCGTGGTGATCAGAACATAGCGTCTCACAGACCTGTGACCGGAGTCCTGGATGTTCGATGCGCATCCCTCTCTCCGTTGCCCCTCTGAAATCCCTTTTTAAGCCGACGACCAACCGCCTGAGGCCTCCACGTCGGCCATCGGCCACCGACCGTCCGGTTCTCCGACCTTTGCGACTGCAGCCCAGCCTCCATCGAGCTCTGCTCCCCTTCTGTCGCCCCTCATCTTCCTACCACTAGGGTAAGCTAAGCTTCACATTTATTTCAACGGCTACTATCCATTCCGGGTAAAACCCGCCAAGCGATCGGGCATTTACCTGTCGCTGTCGCCATCGCTGACCATGGCGACCACCGCCCGTCAAGCAGACCCAGGCTGACATGCCATACCCAGTCCCCGCAACCGATGGAGATCGATCCGCGTCTGCGTGCTGGTAGTAATAACGGTCCTGCCAACGGCACAGCAGCCGGTCGCCCATATTTTCCACCCCCCGCCTCCAGACACCCCGAGACCACTGCCGGCCCTTCCGCTCCTGCAACCAGCGACTACCCCGAACCTCCTTCCCCGTTCTCCCCGGCTGACCAGCTGCGATCCGCCGTCTCGTCCTCGAGTGGGCCCAGCTACTTCGGCAGCACCGCCCAGTCCCAGTCGGCGCAATCCATATACCGCAGCGGACCTGATCCTGGCTCTGCTCTCGGTACCACTTCCCGACTTGACTCCGTCGACCCAAACGACCCTTATGCAGAGCTGAGACGTCCGCGCGCCTGTGAAGCATGCCGACAACTTAAAGTTCGCTGTGAGCCGGACCTCACCCACCCCAATGGAACATGCAAGCGGTGCGCGAAAGCTGGCAGGAACTGTGTAGTGACCCTCCCGACACGCAAGCGCCAGAAAAAGACGGACAGCCGCGTCGCAGAATTGGAGAGAAAGATTGATGCTTTGACCGCAAGCCTGCAGGCTTCCCAGGGCCGTGAATCTCTTCCGCCGCCTGCGCCTCTCGACCCACCGCGCGAGGAGCCCGTGGGAAGGCGCTGGCTTTCATCAGCGACGCATGCTGCCCCCAATGGACCTGTATCTATGGGGTCTCCATCTAGCACGGCAGGGAGCAAAAGGCGACACAGTGGAGAGATTAAAGAGGCCACCGCACCAGTGTGTTCCCGCCATTCGAGCCCTAGCGAAGAGCAAGTATTGTACAACAAGGCTATCAAACAATGGCGCGCCATGGGATACGGACCGGAGCCTCAACCGAAGGACGGTGCTGGCGGGGGGGCTGGGGATATAATTAACAGGGGTCTCGTGAGCGCCACGTTAGCCCAGGAGGCATTCACCAAGTATACAGATCGAATGGCCAACCAAATCCCTATGGTGGTGTTCCCTCCAGGGACAACAATGCATGAGGTGCGGCAGAAGAAACCGATGCTCTTTCATGCGATCATTGCATCCGCGGTCGCCACCATCCAACCCCAGGTGCAGTTATCGCTTCTAAACGACTTTTACAAGGTGCTCGCAGAACGAGTCATCGTAAAAGGTGAAAAGTCTCTGGACCTGGTCCAGGCCATCCTAGTTTGCTGCAATTGGTACTCGCCGCCCGATAACTTTGAGGAGGTAAAATTCTATCAGCTGTCGCATATAGCCGTCTCGATCGCCATGGATTTAGGTCTTTATCGAAAGGCTCTTCCTAAGTCCAGGCCTTTTGCTTTGGTTAGGGAACTCATTTCGAAGAAATCCTCTGCAGTATTAGACCTGGATTCCCCGGAGGCGAGAAGAACCTGGCTCGCATGTTACTTCATTGCCGTACAGTCTGTCTTCCCATTCCCACAAATCCAATGGTCGAGCTTATTGTTAACGTTGTTCAATAGGGTTTCTATCTCTTTGAGGCGTGTGAACCTCGTACGATGGCTTCCATACATGGATGAATGCGTGGAGATACTCGAGAAGTCGCCCGACGCCTTACCGTCCGACAAGGCCATGATCCAGTGGGCGAAACTGGCGCATATAATTGAAGAAATATCCGTTCAATTCAATAGTGATGAGGGCCCTTCGGCCATGTCATTCTCAGACCCTAAGTTTCTTTACACGCTTAGAGTCCTTGAGAGGCAAATAGAGCAATGGAGACGAGAGACATCGCCGGAGCACTACTCTCGTACGCCTTATCCTTACAGTTGTCGCTTCAGTACATACTGACAGGTATCCAGCCATCATGAAGCAGTGCGAATGCATCATCAATCTCTTCTTGCATGAAAATGCGATGCACATCGAATTTCACAAAGATGATCCGAAAACGGCAAGCGACGACCTCACAAGTCCTACCAGCCCGGCTCACATAAACGCCCTGAGTGCCTGCCTCACGTCCATCCATGATGCCCTCGATATCCTCTGCTCCATCGATCCCAAGGACCTAGTCTTGGCACCCACCGTCGCCCTCGCCCGAACCTCCTTCGCTATCGTCGCCCTCATCAAGATCTACTCCATCGTCTCTAGCCCGGATACCCGCCTGGGCCAGGTCATAGAAATAAGCAGCTTGAAAACAGAGTACTACCTGGACAAAGTAATCCGTCATTACACTAAAGCGGGCGAAGTTCCCGGCGGCCGAACCCCCGCCAAATTTAGTGTCGTCCTCACATTGCTCCGGAATTGGTTCATGAAACGTAAAGACCAAGGCCCAGTCCTCAAGGAAGCGCTGTCCCTCTACAAGTGTCCCAAGGAGCTTCCCATTGACGATGACAGAAACCAGGTTAGTCCAGGATATCTCACGTCGTCCTTATGATTATTCCTTCCCAATAAATCGAGACCCCTCTCACCTCCTCTGCATGTACTCAGAACTCTCCCGACTAACAGATCTGACTAGCAGCCGCCCAAGTCCGGTCAAACGCCTCTCCACCTCCTCAGCGAAGTCGCTATGGGTGATCCCCAAAACCGCTCTGCGACCGGAGGTCCAGGCCCAACCACCAGGCCGGTCTCCTACACCCCTGGGACAAGCTACACAGACCCTCTCAGCCAAGCACCTGCCACACCTTCCGCAGACCTCGTCTCCCACTCCCTCGGCCCCAGTTCCGGTCCCGGAACAACCAGCACGACCGACTCCTCCACCGAACCATGGGTTCAGTATCCGCCTCCACCGCGTCAGTTCTATCCTACGTTTGGCTCAGGGTACCAGGATGTGCAGGGGTTTACTGACCCGAGTGGAAATGGGATGGTAATGCCTGGGGGACCAAGTCAGGGATTTTTTGTCCCGGAATTGGGAGTGCAGATGGGGTTTGACCCGGAGAACTTATTTGCGCTGGGGAACATGCTGGGAGATGGGATCTTGAATTTGCCATTTCAGACGGATGGGGGGATGGGGTTCTATTGATGTATAGACGGGATTATAGGTCGGAGGTGCTTTGGGTTCCCGGTTTTGGCTGGTTATACGTTGATGATATCCCTACTCTTTTTGGTCAAATAATTTTGTTATTTGTATTTTACTGCCGTCAGGTGATGGGTACATATATATAACTGGACAGGCTACTGGATCTTGAAAGATCCCTTTTTGGCATGTTGGTAAATGCTCGGTCCAAGACTCGGGCCTTGTTCTGATGTACGGACCTCCAAACCATGCCTTGGAATCAGGAGGACGTGCTCCCGATGGGATGAAGATCACGCTGGCAACGAAGCCATTGGCACCCAGAGGCTCAGCAGCTCAACATGTTGTTGAAGACTGAAGTCGAGGAAAGACAGAACGCCCCACTCAGACCCAGTGCCCCGTAGCGGACCAGCGAACCAGAGAAGACCAAAAGTCTCTGCTCGGATCCACATAGGTGATGGTAAAAAAGTGTGCACAGTATCTGAGTTCGATCGGCCGAGGCTTCTTTAGCGAAAAGTAACAGCCGTCGCTGATCGGCGTGACGGGCTACGCCGGGTTGCTGGCAGTCTGGCACGGACTGGATCCGGTCTGCGGAGTGCGGACAGCCATTCTCCACCCGCCGATCAAGTTTCGCAGCGAGCCACCGAATTCTGTAGGAAACAGCGGTCAAGCCTTGCGAGAGGCCGCGGTGGCAGCAGAGTTCGAAATATTGGAGCAATTGCCAATTACCCCAACGATCTCGTGGCATGATTGAGTGGACCCTATCGAATGGTTTGGACGAACTGAATCCCTGCTTCTATCTTACCGCCAGACGCCAATCCTGGCTTAGCTTATGAACCATAAATGACCATGGCCAGCCATTCTCAGCCTCGGTTCTTCGGAGAAGATCCAGCAGGCATGTCTGCGCTAGAGGGTCCCGAATCCAAGAGCCACCTGGTAAGTCAAACGATCAGTTAGCGAGCCTTCAAATTCAGAATGTGCCCCATAGACTAGGGAAGTAAAGAAGACGTACAAGCACACAGGGCATGACATGCCATGATGCGCAGAGATGTCTCATCATCACCTGACAGTGCGATTCCAAAGAGGATGCCTAGACTCCTCATCATATATCTCTAAGATAGCACGAATCAGTCCTACTCAAGAAGTTGTTATTTCGAACAACCTACCTCAATTATCTGGATATCTTGCCGTGGACTAGGAGCCGAGTAAAAGTCTCTGAGTTCCTGCTGCTGGATCAGAGCCTTGGCCATGCAAACATGCTGTACTGCAGTAGCTAGGAATTCTGTTAATAGTTGAGGAGACCACAGCATCAAGGATTTATGAAATACCATGTAGGGACTTGGTAAACCAAACCACGGGGAACGGTCTTCCAATCCTTGGGTCTGCAGCTGAGTGATGCAGTGGTCGAAAGCTGTCTGGTTTGCCTATATCCCAGGCATGAATCTTTTGTTTCAGGGCGCTCATACTGACTACTTCAATATGCAACGATTGGCTCACGCCGTAGCAGTGATTGATCGTCTCTGCCAGAAGCCAAATGGCTCTATGCGTCCAATCTCGATCAGTTTGGGTCGATGTATGTTCCCACAAGTGGTGCAACCTTTCTCCAAATGGACTCAATGTCAATCGCAGGGGTTTCTGATAGGCTAATGCGAACTGTATATCTTGCATCACAAAAACCCAGAACGAAGCTTCCGCAAGTCCGCCTGAAGTAGCACATTCGACTTGAGAGCTGATATATACGGAACCAGCTAAAAGGTGTCGTTGGAGGTCATTCGATGGGTTATGAGCTGCTCATGAGATTAGAGGGTCATATCAAATTTTTGGGCTTCTGTCCAACCTCACGTACAGGAAATTTGCTCAAAGAAGCGCAGTATAACAGTGGAGGCAAGAAGAATATCGATACTGATTTCGGCCTGTCTATTTTCCAGAAGTGGGAGGAGTATCCCGATGCATCGCTCATGATATTCATCCGCAGTATTCGGGGGAATGGTGTGACTCGTGTGGGAGAGGTGACGAGCCGCTATGGCTAGACATGCGTATAGTAGGAGGGGATTTGCGGGCGCTCGTTCAACCACATCCAATGAGAAATGCCTCTCATGGTCGCAAATATCCAACTGTAAACTGACGATTAGCCTAAACAGAAGCGGATCAGGATCGGAGGATGGGGTAAAGCACCCATGGGCCGAGCGTTTTTCGGAAGTGTCGAAGGAGGAAAGCTTCGTTAAAACTCTTCACTTTCTGTAGATTGCTGAGTTCATCAAACGCGAAAGGTATATCGACGGGATCGAGGTGCTGCGCATTGAAGGTTCTTGATGGTGTCGCGTCATTCGGAGAAAGCACAGGATGCAGGTCATCCGACGACCTTGGTGCTGCCATGGAGGCCAAGGGCCGATGTTTAGATGCGGCCTTCCGGGAAGATGGAGATGCGTTTACTGGAATGACGTGGTAGTCGGCGGCTGTACGGTCTGTCTCGTCCTCGAAGGAAACTGAAACGTAGTCATTAGTGCGAGGATCTCCCAGCCATCTAATAGCAGAGGATGGACGAACCATGAGCGGGCATCCCAACCCATACCTGATCGGTAGGGAATGCGAGGTTGCTCTCTCCGTAACGAGGAGGGCCCTTTGGCCGCAGCGATGGGTTCTGCCCGTGTCGAAAAGTGACCTCTTCTGTCTTCGTGGGCGCCGGGATGCACTGTCGCCCCGATCGCTGGCATCGCAAGCACGAGGACCCAGTCTTGTCACCTAGGATCCACCATTAGAGGTTCTGCAACGTAAAAATTCGCGACCTTCCGTTCGGCGGACGGTTGTCGGAGGGAAGAAACGTTACATTTGAGATGGCGTTGACGGCAGGTGAGACTAGAAACCAACATTTGCATTAGCTGGCATGGCAAGAGACTGGAAGACAGGCACCAGAAGACTGTCACTTACCATCCCCTCATCACGTTGTTCTCAGGTCGGTCCTCGGCAGGCAATCGGGAAAGCAGCCATGGAGGGGCAGAGACATCAACGGCAGGACGCAGCCATTGATGTGCGATGATAAAGAGGAAGAAGAAGGGAGAGCAGCCAGAGTGCACGCCGACGACAGCGCTGCAGCTAAGAGGCGACCGCCTGGGGGGAGGGTGATTATGATGGGCAGAACAATGGTCAACGGTTAAATGCCCAATGGAGGATGGTTCATGCGGAGTGGGGAGCCGGCGTGATGGCCATGGACCCCAAGCAAATAAGGATTGGAGGGGCGAGGCAAAGGAAAGAGGAACCCTATACAGAAAGGAGGCCGGCTCGAGTCGATCTCTTGCTTAGCGTGAACACCAGAGCCGATGTTCCAAAGTCTCGCTCCAGGTTTCAGCCTTCAGGGGCCCAAACCGACCCCAAAGCATATTATTCGGTCACAACCGCCAACCGGCCCTCATCCGCAACCCCCCAGCGCGCCCGTGTTATTTCCTCGATACAATATTGGGGGATCTAGCCAGGGTTCGGGAAATGAAGCCTTCTCGAATTGTCGCTACTTCCTCCCCGAGGAGCGCATGGCGATTGACATACCCGCCTCTGATCACTGCCCGAAGCAGAAAATCCTCACGAGCTAAATGGGAAGTCCACCAGCGCCGGAACGTTTCGGTTCAAGCTAGCCTAGCGAGAAGCAACTCGGCACTTTTATTTGCACCTTTTCGTCAGGAGTGGTTTCATCCAACTTTCCGCTACAAGTGACTCGTTGGAACTTGGAGGAGTCCTCGGCGTGACCGACTTTGCTGAGCCAGCCGCGCATCGTCCTTGTGGGTTCAAGCCAAACAATCAGCCACCGCGGCCTGGGAAATTGATCATCCTAACCAGCCTGCGGGTTGTTAGTTAACGTCTCGGACACATCGACATTGTCCTTTAATGTCCATTCGACAGAGGCTCACTGCTGATTCCATGCACCCCTGCCAGCCGACGGGTCTAGATTGTGACCACCAGCATCATTGGCCAAGAGCATGAAGCACCCCCGGCAAGTCTGTCTTTGGTCCACGCAAATCCTAGGCGTGCACTCCCTGTTCTCCGGCGAATGGTTTTGTTTTCCACATCACCAAGGGAGGGGTCTGCCGCAGCCCCAGCCTCCGGCTGGTCCGTGAACACTGTTTTCCGCTAGAGAGGGTGTGGGATAGCGGCCACTGCCAATCAAAAAGGCCGGAGTATTTTCAGGACAGGATTACTAGACGGGAGAATCCAGCGACAGCTCATCACTGGGGCTGAGATGCGCTCGGTGACCCTTCGACCCATTGAACCAGCAATCGACTCGCGCAAAACAATTGCAGCAGCTTGTTGGAATGATGTAAGATCTAGCAGCAGAGACCTAAAGGATAACGCTTTCAATCGCACAATTGATTCCGCAGTAGAACCTTGTTCCTAGTGTTCGAGGGCAATATGCCGCTACTAGACCCAATGTCATGGGCTGCATGCAACCTCCGGGCACAACTGCAGCCTCTCTGGAGGTTAATGGGTGCTGAGAGCTTAATGGCTGGGGGGGACTGGTAGATCATAGAGCTAAGTGAGCCAATCGACACCGGATAAGCTTGTTGGAGGGTTGTGGTCGGGCGCGAGTCGATCGGGTTGGAGTAAGTCATCGTAGTAGTCATCAGAGAACCGGAGTAGCGGAGAAGCACGGAGAGAAGGGAAAGCAAGAAAGGAGGCGAGAAAAGCGAGGATAGAGTTCATCGAAAAAAAGAGAGAAGAAGAGACTCGCTCTTGGGAAGGAACGAGGAGCCTGACCGAAAGCAGCAGGCGCGGGGAAGCAGCAGTCAGGTGACGCCCACCAACGCCGCCGCTTCTTTGCCGCCGCCGCCAGAAAAACCCGGATCGGCGTGCAATCAACGACCGGCCTTCGTGCGCCTTGATGCAATTGATCCTCCGCGGCCGCCAGGGATTCCCGTTGCACGCGCTCTCTGCCCTACCAGCGATCATACGAACTGCCCCTTTGGATTCTGAAGCTTCTCCGCCCATCCCCTCTGATCTACGGGCCGAAAACGGGTCTGACTCCACAGCCAACCAGACATTGTCATAGCTTGTCCCTTGCGAATACGACCAGGCGTATATATACGAAAGCTCGTTGGACGACACGCACCGGGTAGGGGTTTTGACAAGGTACCCAGCTGGAGAGCCACTCCTTTTCTGTGGACAAGGCATGGCTAACTTCCCAGAACGCGAATAGAATGTCCCTCAATCGTGTCTCCTATCTGGAGTCCTGGGAACAGAACCCCGCCGCATTCCGCCGCCAACCGCGTCCAGACGACTCCGAGGATGAAGATGGATATCAAGACCTCCCAGAGACTTCGCTGTCATCGTCGTTCCAATCAAACATCAGCCGCCATTCTTATCGACAGCGCCTGAACTTTAACCCATACGCTGGGCCTGGTTGGAGCGAAACGTCTGGTGATGAGGCCGATAGACATCCTCTCCTCAGGGCTGCTTCACCGAGGCGCAGCCGGACCGACGAAGTTGAAACCGAACAGCCCCCAGAAAATCATGTCGCCCCGAAAACACAAGAATATGAGAGTCTGGAGACGACCGGGGCATTTGAGGTTGACCGCACAAAGCGAATCTGTAGGTTCCCCGAGCCGGAAACAGCGGCGTCTTGATGATAGTACCCTTTCTGACATTCGTAAAGTGCAGGTGTGTATCGCAGTCATATATTGCTTTTTCGCTGCAGGGATAGTCTTCGGTTTTGCAGCCATCAAGCCCGTCCTGATCAAAGAAGGTGTCTACCGCAACCAATGCTCGCAGGAAGAGCTCGATGGTGGTTTGGACGTATGTTACGGACAGGAACTTCGGTGCGTCAGCTGGCTCCGATTTGGGGACAAGTCGCTAGCTAACAATGCTCCAGTCTGAATTTGATGTTCACGATAGCGGCCGTTGCCACCAATGTATCTGCCTTGCCCGTCGGGACAATCCTGGACACTTACGGCCCACGGACGTGTGGTGTCATTGGCAGTATGTGTTTGACGGTGGGGAGCCTCCTATTCGGACTTGCGCCTAAGCTCTCATTCGATGCTTACCTCCCAGGATACCTCTTCCTGTCTCTTGGAGGTCCCTTCGTCTTCATCCCGTCATTCCACCTGTCGAACACCTTCCCGGCGCGCTCAGGTCTTATTCTATCCACCCTAACGGGTGCGTTCGACGCCTCCAGTGCTCTATTCCTCATCTTCCGTCTAGTGAACGAAAGGACGGGCGGTGCTTTCACCTCGGCACGATTCTTCATTCTCTATCTAATTGTCCCAGTCTTCATCTTGGTGGCTCAGCTAACGGTCATGCCGACAACATCCTACAAGACTGCTGGCGAGCTCGTCCGGGAAGCGCAAGCCCACATTGCCGCAGAGGCCACCGATCAGATCGATGAAGGCATCAACGACCGTCATGAAGGTGAACGGCAACGCAATGACCGCCGCCTTCACCGGCAAACAGTCATCAACCAGATTGAGGATCTGCTATCCACCGAGCAGCACCAACAGCCACAGCCAGAACCAGAACTGACCAAGCCTACGAATCCCCACACTGCCGGCGGCGTCTGGGGTGCGCTGCACGGCCTCTCAGCCTTGCGCCAAATCCGTACCCCCTGGTTTATCCTCATCACTCTTTTCACGATCCTCCAAATGCTTCGAATCAATTATTTCGTCGCCACCATCCGCCAGCAATATACCTACCTCCTGGACTCGCCCATCCTCGCACAAACTCTCAACTCGACCTTCGACGTCCTCCTTCCGCTAGGCGGCCTGATCTCGGTTCCCTTCATCGGCACGATCCTCGACAACGCAAGCACTCCATTTGTGCTGGGAACCCTTGTCACAACGGCCACCCTCATCGGGATCCTCGGCTGCATCCCAACCCTAATAGCCGGATACGCCAACATTATCCTCTTCGTCATCTACCGTCCCTTCTACTATACCTCGGTTTCCGACTATGCCGCCAAGGTCTTCGGCTTCCAGACCTTCGGCAAGGTATACGGGCTCATCATCTGTCTCGCCGGGCTCGGCAACTTCGCCCAGGCGGGCCTCGATGCCCTGACATTCCGGGTATTCGACAGAAACCCCACCCCGATCAACGCATTCCTCACAGGCACCACGTTCCTGGTTGGTCTGGTGATGGTGGTGTACGTATCCTGGGAGGCCAAGAAAATGGCCGCAGCCTCGAAAGCCGACGAAACCGACGTCGACGCGGCCGTCGCTGAAAATGGACTTAGCGTGCCTGGATTACACGACGGCGTCGATACCCGGGACTGGGCACTCGGTCGGGAAGGCGAGCGCGCGCCGTTGCTACAAGTCGGGGGTGGTAGGCACGGCGATGCATCTTCGTATGGAATCTCCGGCGCTTAGGTGACTCTCCCCTCCCTCCTTTTGCTCCATTCTTGTCATTTGGATACTTTGGTGAGTTTCATGCCTAGTTATACTTGGTAGGCCACTCGTTTGTAGATAGATGCCTTGGATCGATGGATCAACGGACGGATGGGTCCATCGCAAGTTTATATAGTAGTTACTCCAGATCGATGAACATGGATTATGACGAGATGATTGACGGGTGATTCGATTCTATCCTCCCCCGCCTATTCAGGTCTTCATTTACATAGGTATTGAGATAGTTACACACAGGTCTAATATACTGCAGTATTGATGATCGATAGGTACCTAGCAGGCGCATCACATCATCCGGTGCGTCAGCTTCATAATCTCGTAATTCATATCCTATCCAGGGTTCCGGGATCCACGTGGCAGGTGGTAAATTAGATTAAAGAGGAAGAGAGAAGATATTGTTCTCGGCATGCGCGCACGTGCCAGTTGATGATGTATTATGATGGCGACAATTCCTCCATTTTGATCAGTGATTGCTTCACCTCCGTCCAGAGGTCGCTGCCGGCTCGGTCGCAAGCCCGGTCGTACCAAACCATGAGGCCGAGGAGTTTACGCGCGTCGGACCACGAGCCAATCCCGTGGCTGGCGGCGGCTTGGCTGAGGACATGCACGAACCAGGATCGCTCGGGTTGGTCGTCTGCGGCGATGCCGCCCATCATGAGGACCCAAAAGAGAGCGATTCGGGCCTGTGGGTGGTTCCAGGTCGATGCGAGGTCGGAGATTTGAAGTACGTTTTGAATCAGTTTGGCGAGTTGGGCCAGAGGGGTACTCTGTGCGGGCAGAGGGAAAACGACGCCGACGCCAAAAACGAGGGCGGCGATGCGGCAGGCCTCGTAGATGATTTCCTGAGGTTGGTAAGCGGCGAAGCCGTCCAGTTGGCTGGCGGCCGGTAGGGAAAGGAGGGTATGATGAGTCAGGTTGCGTTGGTCTGCGATGAGGGAATAATCGGGATTGACCAAGTGGGCCTTCAGATGCTCCTCGACGACTTTCGTGTAGATGTGCATGGCGTACAAGACCTCCACTAGATCGGAGGTGAGACCAATATCTCGAAGGGGGGCGTATCGGCGCTCAATATCTACGGGCGTGAACCCTAGCATTTTCTGCAGGCTGAGGCCTAGCCGGTCTCTGTGGAGAGGCATAAATGGAAACACCGGGGGCATGAGGAAAGTGCTGCATGTCACAACGTCGGAACTAGAACGGGGATAGATAGCATCGTCAGCCATCAGGAGCGGCAGTGGGAAGGACCAGTATGAATGACTTACAAAGACAGGGTTGCGGCTAGCCCAGGCAGTGTCAAGTTCTGAAGACCACCCCGCAATCGCACCATCTGCACCAGACCTTTGATATGAACCAAGTTCGGAGGGAGGGCACCGTAGATATCAAGCCACTGCAGGCGTGGTAGTGGCGGATCAAACGGTGACGTCAGATGAAGTCCCCGTCCATTATCTTCAGCGACATTATGTGCCATGCAAACTACGCTCAGAATCACTGCATCGCACACCGCTCGGTTGGGATTGCTGACTTCCCGGGTGACGTTCTTGATGGTCTCCATTTCACAGTACTGCAAGATCCGCTGCTCTTCCGGCTGAAAGGAGTCCCGTGAAATCCAGCCATTCACCCACCGGACGCGTTTGTGAGACAGAGAGCCAAACACGAAAGCTGTAAACAGAGTTCGATCCTGTAAAGCCAGCGGTAGCCAGTTGCAGCTGGCTGGCCGCGTTTCTTGGCCAGGAGAAACAGGTGTAAGGCCAGGCCACAATACGTACAGACCTACAGGACGGTCATGGTTAGTTCACTGCGAGCGCAATGCACGGGAGAAGGGGAGCACGGACAATATTCTTCCGTGGCGGCAACTTCCGTTCTTGCCATATCCATTGGATTCATATGAAACGGATCCACGGCGGTACAGCCGAAACTCTCAATGTACTCCGGGGGTGTAGCTGACGAGCGGTCCGGTGGACTGAGGGATTCCGGAGACGTAGTTCTTGATGTAGTCTCGCTTTGGTCCCAAAGACTTCCTTCTAGATTCTGTTGCTGGAGCTGCCAGGAAGTTGCGGGAGATAGCTCCATCTCATCCGGATCAAAGTGGATATGAGACTCGCCTGCCCAGCCCTCGGTAGCGGGCAGATGGTCGGAAAGGCCATGCTCATGTGGGGGAGGGGAGATTGAAAAACTATGGCGGGCGGGTGTTCCGGGGGAGTTGCGTGAGAGGGCAGTCAAAGGGAGAGCAGGAGGCGTCAGAGAGGCAGGCGATGGCGAGCAGTGCGGAGGAGTCAATAAATGGTGACCGATGCCGGGCGGGGGTGGAGGCAGGGGAGGAGAATGACTGGAGGGGTCTGGCGTCGAGGGGGGCTGGCTACTTTCCGGCGAGTCCGCGCCGGACGAGCGATCCTTGGTCTGGTCAGAGATCCATTTGCCCACGTGGGCGCGGACCAGCCGCTGGATCTTGATCCGTTCGGTCTCTGAGGCTGGGCGCGCATTGACGAAGTGGATGGCATCTTTCTTCCGCCCGGTGGTCACAGCTTTGGTGGACGACATTTCGGTATTCCCTTCTTCTCCTTCTTCTTCTTCTTCTTCTTCTTCTTCTTCCACCGCCTAGGGCCGTGGCCCATCAGGAGCACAGGATGCGACGAGGACGGGTGTGCCAAGCAGAAGCCAAGGGTAGCATTCTGTTCGGAAGAGACCAGGCGAGCGAGGGCTGGTGGAGGATGGCGCTCAGAGAAGACAGGCGGCGACGCGGTGGGAGGCAATGGGGGAGTTGGCAGGGCGGAGGCGGAGGGGGTGGTTTGACTAGATCAGCGAGACAAGGACAAGCGAGAGGAGGGGAGACGTAGGAGCATCGGGCCGATTCGATCGGTATCCGGGGGCGACTCGGAGGAGAAGAAATAAAAAAGAAAGGGAAAAGACGGATGAATGGATGGAGTAACCGCAAGGAGGGAGAAGGATGAAAGGAAGGAAGAGAAGAAGGGAGGGAGGGAAGGAGAGGGAAAAGAAGAGGAGGAGCGGGAAGCGAAGAGGCAGAGAGGCCGAAGGGCAGAAGAGCGAGAGAGAGAGAGAGAGAGAGAGAGAGAGGGAGAGAGAGAAGACGATCGTCGCTGGAGCCGCGGAAAGCAGATAACTGCCAAAAAGCAAAACCTCACCATTGGATGATCTGTTCGGGTGGGCTGCTATTGTAAAATTTTCCAGCCAGAGCAAATCGATGGGGATCGCCCAGTCCAGTCCAGTCCAGTCCATTCCATTACTGCGAAAGCTGGTTGTGCCTTGATCCTCTTTCCTCTTTCCTCTCTCCCTCGGGGACTATCTACAGAATAGTGTCGGTGTCACTTTGATCGATCGCCGCCTTCATCTTCATTCTTTGTTGCTGACACCTCCACCTCCCTTTTGCTTTTTCTTATTATTTAATTTGGGTTCCCCTTCCCATCCCATAATCAAGACTCTTCATATTATCATTCTTTCTTTTTTTTTTTTTTTCTCGCTTTTCCCCCTAAAATTTGCGTTCTCTTTTGACAGCCCGGCTGCAACTGGTTCCGATCCGCCCATGGATCCGCCCAGCAGCCCCGTCGGTTGATGCGGGGAACCACCCAGAGAAGCCCACCAAGCATCCAGCCTCTATCATCTATCTCTTTTCTCTCTCACCGGACCAGTCCGGTGCAGACCTGACAGGTCACCTCCCATCACGTCAGTCGGGCTTTCCTAATTTCTTCCTCTGCGTAGCCCCGACTCCGGCACCCTACGGAATCGAAGCTATTGATTTCGCTCTCCGGAGACGCGCGGACTTGCCCCGAGGCAGCGAGCTCCCAGCAGTAGGCTCCCCAGCCGGTTTAAGGTTATTGCTTTGATCGCCTCGCCCAAGGGTACTGCATTGCGGATGATTGGTGGCGTTGGCTTCCTCTCCGCGGTCGGAAGCTTGCCATCACATGAAGGCTCGGCTGTGACGTACCCAGACCAGAGTTCCTGTCCCTGGGGACGGCACAAGGTTGAAATCTGGAGGGCTACGGCCGCAGCTGGCGCACGCCCCATGGTCCTCATCAAGCCACGCATGACTGACATACTCGGCGGTGACAAGGTGGTGCCATGGTTGGGACGTGTATGCTTGTTGGCTGTATCTCTATCTAGAATAACAGAAAGAGGTAACGTAACGCACTTCGTTTCATTAAATCCTGGGCACACTAGTCAAGCTCAATTAATGGGTATTTTCCTCCCTCGCCAGTCACCGGGTCCTGGTACTGCTCCAATGCGTCCTCCACCGCCGCCATGTACCCGAGCACCTTCTCCTCCTGCCATCTCCGTCCCACCACCTGCACCGCCGTCGGCAGACCCGCCATCTTGACTGCGTCGTAATGCTTCCAGGCGCCTTGTGCGATGGCGTTACTGGCCCCGAGCTGCTTCAGCACCTTCTTGTACGGGCCCGACAGCGCATCCTTTTTAGCGTCCACGTGGGACACAGGCAGGACACCCGCCGTGTAATCCAGCAAGTTCCAAAGGAATGTGTAGCCGCACGATGACACCGCGTCATGCATGGCCTTGTGGGGGAGGGCCGGGGTCGCGTTGACGGGGCACAGAATGAAGTCATACTGCTGTGCTTCGGCATCCCACCAGCTGTGCCAGGTGGCCCGGAAGGCTTCGCGCTGCGCGGTCAGCTTCCAGAGCTCGGCTGCAGACTTGGGTCCAAAGCCGCGGATCAGAGTCGCCCACTTGACGTCGCGGCGGATGTACCGCACCCAAAGGTAGTAGAGATAGCGCAGGGGACGCGGGAGATTGGAGATCCGGGTCAGCTGGTCTGCGCCGGGGTCGGAAGGCTCGAAGCTGTGGAGGTGAGAGTTAAACGTGACGCAGCCGTCAGAGTTAAGCAGCTGGGAGGCAAGGTTGAGACCAGTGAACGTGTCAGCTGTGGCGGGGGGTGTGATCTCAGACACCGTGTGTCCAGCGGCAGTGAGGGCAGCCACCGTGGTGGAGATAGCACGTTCAATGGCCGGAGTGGGGGGAACGACACCTAATGCGGATCAGAAGTGTTTAAGCAGGACCATACTGAAAATACGTACCATCATTAGTCATGAGCCCGATCCTCAGGGGCCTACTTTTGGCTTCGACCTCCTCTTCCTCCCTCCAAGAGATCGGATGGACAGTGTGGTCGTACTTCCAAGGCTGCATACCAACAATGGCTTTGGTGAAGTAGGTGAGATCGTTCAATGTACGGGCCATAGGGCTGAAGACACTGGCAACACCCTCTTGGCCAGCCATGCTGGTGTTGACTCCAACCTTTGGCCAACGGCCTGTGCTGCAGCGCAGGGAGTAGATACCACTCCAAGCAGCGGGGACACGAACCGAGCCGGCGACATCAGACCCGATACCAATGCGACCGCCAAGAGCCAGGAGAGCACCTTCGCCACCAGTCGAACCACCAGGAGAGTATTCCGGAACGTGCGGGTTGCGGCAATGTCCCCAAAGCGCGTTTGCCGACTCGAATGACAGAAGTGTAACGGGCAGCGCTGTCTTCGCATATGGAACCGCGCCTGATGGAGTCCATTAGCGCAGGTATCTTTTACCTGAGTGACATGGCAACCTACCGGCATCCTTCAGTAGCCTTGCCATAGGGCCATCCTCCGTGTACGGCTTACACGCAAGCTTAGTGTACCCCAAAGTGATGTCGAAGCCTTTGACTTGCACGGAGTCTTTCAGGGAGATGGGCACACCCGCAAGGGGCCCTTTAAGATTGACTTCCGATTGGACCCATGATTCGGCCTCGGGAAGGAGAAGCTCAGTCACGCAGTTGGTCTTCTCGTGAGCCTTGACCGCCACCTTGCCGTAGGTGCGGAGGACATCGATGGGCGCCAGGGAGTCATTCTGGACCTCGTAGACCAAGTCCTCGATGGGTTTGTTGATGATAGCCCTATCAATTGCCGAGAAAGGAGCATGATAATCCGGAGAAAGCGAAGCGAATCGTGCCGCCCGTTCCCTTCTCTTGAGGTCCCTATGAATAGTCGGTCAGTCATCACGAGGGCAGCATGCGTGCGTCGGGGCTATGAACCTACCGGACGCGACGGTATGTAAAGTAATCAAAAGGAGGAAGCATCGTATCACCAAGGAGCCTGTACGAGAGAGCCCAGGGAGCGAGAGAAAGGGAGAAGCTTCCGCACCAAAGAGGAGTCCGCTGCAAAGCAGGGGCGGTGCCTGCCTTTTATTGCGGGGGAGCCCAACACGTGCGGAGAACCCCGATAAGCCAGACCCGCTGATAAGCGTGGAGCTCAGAATCCGAGAGCTCCCCCGAGCGCCAGCGCCATTCTGCTCAGGAGTCATGGCCCTGTCGAGCTATACCGGCTCTTTCATTCAGTATAATCTTCCCGGGAGGCGACCCAAGTCTCTGTCTTCACAGGCAGATCTTTCACGCAGAGCCCATCTGCGTCTGCTTGTCTCCGATAGCGAAATCAGGTACCACACGTGACTGATAAGGATGCCGACCGCCGGCTCCTGTGTTACCCCATTGGGCAGGTCCATGCGGAGAGGTGTCTCTGTTCGAAATCGCTTATCTCTGTGGTCTTGCTAAACATACGACTACCTAAGCGGATTATAAGCGACCCGCTTGTCATTCTGAATAACAAAAGTCGGCTATCGTAAAATCGGGTTTGTCAATCGCGGGCTGACCTCTGCCAGAGATTGGCCCCGAACCGCGGTGGCTCTGATCCTCGATGTCCCCATGCCGGCTGGTCTCGACTTTCTAAACGTTATCTAAATGAGTTGGCATCAATGCAGAACTTGATAAAACTCGCTCATATCTACTCCGGTCAGCGCCTGCTACACGACACAAGTCCCACATTCACAAGTTGGGTATATTTCTGATAGTTAGCGTTGCACGCCGTAAAAAAAAAACGATTAAATATCATAGATGAGACCTGCTCGTCCATATCCAGCCTGGATGCTGATATTCACAGAGGCCATGGCCTGTCCAGATTCTAACAATCTTCTGCCCGAGTCTAATTCGTCCTGGCGCTTGGGGGTCCACGACTGCTCTCCACCTTGACACCCACGATGCACATCACTAAAATCAAACGTTCAGCCGGGAGTCACTGTGGATCGACCTCTCAAGTCGACCATAACCCACACGTTGTCCAATGTGTCCGGGAAAGTAAAAAGATTCTGGTGATTGGGATTCGCCCACAAAGTTGACAACTGTCAGTCCTCTCAAATCTGATCTGATGGATCTGTCGGAGTGCGAAGCCAGTTTCGAGATTTGAGCCACATGATGACAACTACAATAGCAGCTGCAATCAGCGCTATTATGAGAAAGATCAGAAAGCCGCAGATGAAGGTTCGTCTTTTCTTCTGGCGTTGGCTCTGGATCCAGGTATCCCTGTTTCATAATTTCAAATAATCAGCCAGATGATCATGACCACGCACCAGGGATCATGTTGCAGGAGTTCTACATACGACCAAATTGAGGGTTTCCTTTGATCTGTGCCGCCCTTCGCCTCTTCGTCGAGATGAATGGCGGCGGAGAAGCGTTTCCAGAACGCCGGGTCCCGGACTAGTGCCATCTCACTCTATTTACTGGTTGCAAGACATGGATGATGGTTTTCTGTATGTGCAGGGGTCGGAGATTTGTATCGTCTGGGTCGGCGAGCGGCTGTCCTGAGGCTCAGCCTCAAAGGGGGGGTGCCAGGTAGGTTCTAATAATATCAACCAGGCTATAGATATGCCTGTGAGTAGCAAACACTTGCTGCCAGCTGGAGCTCAAGTGAAGGATAGTTGAACTAGATTCAATAATCTTGATACCAAGGGTATCACCGTGACCGCGGGAATAGAACGAGGGGGGCCAATTGAGAGCCCACGAACACGTAAAACGACAGAACATAAAGCAGAAACATAAGACGGAGGGACGAGCCACGGCATTATTGTGTGAATCCAGCAGCATGGGATGCTGGTGACTTGCAATGCTGTTGTATAGGACCACGAATTCCCCGCGGCGCGGCGGGAATGACTGGACCGGTCCAGGGTCTGTGCGGAATCCGGATCGGCAGCTCTCGGGCCAATCAGCACCTCCGGAATTTGACAGACCCTGCCAGTCATCCAATCAGACGAACGAAAACGGCCCATGGTTCGATTCAGTAAGGTACGCGTCATGCCGGCCGGTTGGATCTGGCCAGGCACAACATCGCGGCCAAGTATTTACCAACAAACAAACGGGAATCGGGGGCGGCCTTCTTCAGACCAGGACCGACGAAGGTGCCGGAAGCGTGCCCGGCATGCGCTCCAGGTCTAAGCCATCCAGGATGGTTGTCCCCGGGGCCTGAGGGAATTCTGCGCATAGCTCCCGAGATCGGGAAAATCTTGATCACATTAGTACTACTCCGTACGTGTACCACATTCCCTGAGTCGAGAGTACCACCTAGCAACTTGAGAGATCGATTGAGGATCTTGCCATGTGAAGCGTCTGTGGTACAAGCTAGATAGTAGCTACGTACAAGCAGGTACTTCGTACATGAACTCGGACTGTGTCCGATGAAGCGTGTCATTCCTGAGGGATGCAGCTGTCACGTACCTGCATGTCCAGTACCACCGGGCTGGTATCTTACCGCAAACTACAGCAGCTCACGGTTGGGTGAATGCATCTAGAAGCAAGGTCAATGACAGACCAATCGACAGCGAATTCAGGAATTTGATGAAGGTCCGTCAAGAAGTGGAAATGGCTGGCATTCGAATATCTCGCGCACGCTCACGACGAGAAACTCGGTAGTTTTGCCCTCCTGGGGTCCCCGAGATCATCTGCAATTCTCGCGCCCGCGAGTCACCGGCGGGGCGGTCACGTTGGGACCCAAACAGGCCTCGTGCAGGCCTGCTTTTGTCTGCCTGTCGCGTCCAGCGCCAGATTCCTCCGATGCTCGTCTGATTCGTTTCCCTCGGGCGTGCAGATGAGGCGGATTGAGTTGTCTGGCGGGCTTGCCAGCAAACGACTTCATCCTTTGGGCTCCCCCGCAGTGGAGCTACACGGATGATGGGTGCCTGACCGCCGGCGGTAGCCTCGCGCATGACTGGCCACTCACTCGCCCTCACACTCTGCATGGCGAGGCGGATCGCGAGGTGCTCCAGCCTCCTGCTCCGATTTCTCTTTTTCTCAACGCTTTCAGCTCCATCAATGCAACGGACACTGTCGTTGTCGTCAGATGTCGCGCTCGCGGGTCCCATTCTAGCCCGGCCATGTTTTCCGCCCATCATCAGGGCCCGAGTTACTGGGGAGTGTTGATCAATGCCGACAAAAGTCCTGCCCCGCTGCTAGAGCAGCTGTGTCTGGAAATCGCTCGCATCATAGTAAGTCAGGCGCGGTGGAGCTCCATGCGATGGTGCAAAGTAAATTGGAGCTTATCCTGAGTCCTCTCTTCTCAAGACATCATTCGATGACTATGCAACCAGCGACCTCACCCCAGAACGATTGGCCGCGTTTTATCGCAAGGTGGGCGGCAACTACGATGTGCTTTTCCTCCAGACCAAACCGTCCGCTCTCTCCTTCATCTACCAGCGCCTAGGATGCTTCCACAGTATTCAACCAACCTCCGATCCTTACAAACCTCCGGCCATCCCCGCTCTACAACCGAACGGCTTCGTGCGATGGCAGACAATCCAGCTGCTCCTCGACCCAGATGAGCATTGTCGGTACCTTCAGAATGCGGTCGAGTTATGGGACATTGAGACTCCGAACGGGGAAACCTTTCCCAAACAAATCCCCCGAGAGGCTTTTCCAGAAATGCCCGATCCAGAAATGGTCGAATGGCACGAGGCAGTCAGCCGGCGGTTTGAACTGGACTATGTCAAAAGGAACATCCTGCGCGTATCTCCACCAAACTTTGGCACATACCATTACCACTTTGCTCATAAGGATGCTCCTTCTACCAAGGAAGAGACCAACGTACCTACTCGCCGCCGGACGACGGCACATCGCGCCCCTGTGGCTCCAGAGGAACCATCGCCTCCCAGCAGACATCAACGACGCCGAAGTGGCGAGTTCCCACCGTCGGCCACCCGTCGAGTGCAATCCACATATTTCCCACGCTCGCCAGAAGTTGAGATACCCCGTCGAGCCCCTTCGCCGCCGATGTGGACCAGACCTTCCCCCAGGGCGAGAGGTCGCGACCGTGTTTCGGCATTCTCACGCCCTGTGAGCCCAGGCGCATCACCAGGACACAGCGCGTCTGATGCATCGTCCGAGGACTCCAGAGGAGCAGCACGCGATGAATCTCCGTCTGCAAGTCGACACAGCCGTCATTTGCACCCATCCACCCCACACTATTCTCACTCTCGCCGTCATTCACACGAATCATATGCTAGGAAACCTCAACGGGAACACTCTCCAGATACCCAGCACCGACCCGCCTACCGGGACATGTACAACACTCACTCAACTAGACCCTACGATTCCGATGGTGCGCGGCGCACACGGCCTTCGAGGGTATACGCCGATGAGCCGGTCCATCCCCGGACTCCGGGCCCTAGCTTCCGCGACCACCCCTTCAGCGACCCGCCTGCTGTTCCGGTTAACACTGAAGTGCCGGTATATACGCACATGCACCCTCGCTACATGAACATGAACAATACCTACGTTGTCCGCCCCCCTCCTGACATCGATGTGTGCGGGGTAGACGGCCATCGAAGGAGTTATCGAGGGGCAACTGCTAATTCCAACGCACCTGGATTCAGCCATCCCACAATTCCGGAGCGCAGTCGATACCCCTCAGGTGGCTACCGGTCTCAGAGATGGGTCAATCCGGTACAGCCATCGCCATCCCGGGGGATCCCAGCCGGTATGCCGGACATGGAATATCCCCTGCGAAGCAGACGGTCGACCATGTATGACCGGTGAGAAAGCACGACAGTACAATTGCCCAATTTTCAAATACTACCTTATTCCCAATGAGACTGATGACTACAACTAATGACTTGTTGAATTAACGGCTGTTTTCCGGTTCTTATTCGTTTAACCTGTTTTCTTTTTCTAATGATTTCCTAATTCTTATTTTCATTTGCACATCCTCGCGGACCACAGCACTACCACCAACGGTACGCATGCACGCATTGATAACGACAGTAGGGACGGCGATTGTGATGACCGGCGTTCTGCTTGGGCGGTTATCGGAATGGTCACAAGTCATCTGGGAGTACTGATGACTACCCACTGACAGATCAGTCAGCTATGTTATGATTAACGACGTCACGAGAGTTAGAAAGTTAGACCCGGCTCTTGCTTTTCCTTTTCTCCTTCTATTCCTTATTTTCCATTTCTATCTTCAACCCCGGACTATCTCATCTCAGCTAGTATACGCTACCTACTATCAAATCAAATCAAATCAAATCAAATCAGATCAAATAACCCTCTTCTTCCTACCCTTTCAACCTCTTGTGATCTTGCATTCGGATCCTCCACGGAGGACAAATGACCCCACAGTCCTCTCTCACCTTGCGATTAATCAACCAGTAGATCCCTTACTGATCCACGTGAGTGATCAATCCAGGATGATATTAGTAAGGAACGTGCCTGGACTATCTCTCACCTGATGCGCCTAAACATAGATAGCTACCTACTTTCATCATCATTCAGGCTCGAAACCAAAAAGACAATTGCCCCTCTGGCTAGGTCATTCTTCACGTTTGAAGAGTATCTAAAAATAAAAACAGGGGAGTGGGGTGCGATGTGAGTATTAAGGGAGGTATGTGCATGTAGCATGCCATTCCGGCGGGGAGGCATTCTGGATTCTGGGTTCTGCAGGGATGAAAAGTGAGGGGGGGATGTGGTTAGTCTATTATTAGTAGTAGATGATCAGTATGGATCTAGATTATCTATAGGATTAGAGTGCTAGCTAGCTTGCTATCTCTGGTGATCGTACATATATATATACACCAGTCCTTGCTTCATTGAGGTATGCCTGTATCTACAACCTCAGACAGTAAGATTGGCTCTCTGGAAGCTGTACCCGAAATCCTCAAACACGGCACACTTCTCTGTGGTGCCTGGGTTGGTGATGATAGAGGGAGGCATATCCAGAAGACTGACGTTTCGCTCGGAGATTTCATACTCGGGCATGTAGTAACCGCGAGGTCCGAAGATCTGGTATGTCGATGCGTATGCGGGGCCACGGAGCTTCAACATCTCTAGATCGGGGTTCGGATTGCGGGTGCGGAAGAATGATCCGAAGATATCGTTGAGGAGGCGGGAGTGGAGGATATCCCGTTGCTTATAGTATGGGGATACGTTCTTGGTCTTGCTGTTGAGTGTACCCCAGGCGAGGAGGACATCTGAGGAGTGGCACGTGGCGTTGTAGTCGGTGTTGGGGGAGCAGATGCTGGGGACGCCAACGGTGGTCTGGATGTGGCCGTGTTTGATTTCGAGTTCCCAGAGGTGCGGCAAGGCCTGGCGGCCGCCATGGCGGAGGAGGTAGGCTTGTGGGCAACTCCATTCGCTGTGGGTCAGGGCGTCGGCGACAGTGTTCCGGACGCTGTCGGGGTCGGAGGGGTTGAGGGGGAAGGCGTTAGTAGCGATGAGAGATTTGATGAGCGAGGTGGGGTAGGCGTAGCTGTAGACAAGCTCGAGGGCGGCTTCGGTTGAGCCGGCATTTTGGACGTACTGGTCAACATACAGGGCAGCTTCGTCGGTGACGGTTGTGAAGATGGTTGGAACGCGGTTGGGGAGCTTGTTCGAGGCGAGGAGACGGTAGAATTGGTCGTCGATGACACCGCTGTCGGTATCATCGACTATGGGCATCAGAGGCTCTATAGATGCCAGAATCTCGGACGAATGAAGGTAGTCGGTGGCAATTGTCTCGGTGGAGGTTGTCATAGCAGCTTCGAACTCGGTCGTGTTGTCGAGGTATCGAGCTGCCGGAACGGATCTGAGGCAGGAGAGAAGGGCGGTTTCAGATGTGGTTCCGTTGCAGCCGACAGCACCAGCAATGTTAGGGGTGACAATTTTGGTGTATACCTCGCGAGTGAACCAGGGGAGGTCTACTGGGGCTGACTGAACAATGGCACCGGAGAAGAGGCCCCGGGCAGCAGTCGAAGAGAGCAGTGCGATAACGCTCTGACCTCCGGCCGATTGACCAAATATTGTGATGTGGTTTGGGTCTCCACCGAACGCCTCGATATACTTGTTAACCCATTTTAAGGCGAGAATCTGGTCGCGTGTACCGTAGTTTCCGGTCGTGAGGTTGCCCGTGGCCAGCCAGCCTAACGCGCCGACTCGATAGTTGATCGTCACAACAACTATGTCGTTGCGGCTGGCGAAATTTCCTCCATCATAATCGACCATGGAGGCAGTACCGCTGGTAAACCCACCCCCATAGAAGTATACGGCGACGGGTTTGCGAGCAGAATCTCTGTCATGTGGTGAAGGCAGGATGGGAGAATAGATGTTAAGGTATAGACAGTCCTCCGAGATACCGCCATTATCAAGAGTTCCAAAGCCCGAGACCGACTGAATGCACGAATCAGCCATTTTGGTCGCGTCGATGTTCCTCGGGCCTGAGTAAGGGCGTGGTGGTGCGAACCGCAAGTCCTTTACAGGCGGGTCTGCGAAGGGAATGCCTAGGAACCGAAACGACCGTCCATCACGATATCCGGTCATGTGGAAATCTTCGTACGAGATCGAGACCTTTGACTTGTTCACAGCTGTCCTGTCTTTATCGGTCGTAGGAGGCACGCTCGAGGTGCAGAGGGCAGGCAGTTGTTCGTCACACGACACCGAGATGATTCGTTTAAGGCCTTGGGAATACGCCTGGCAGCACTCTGGCGAGTGTTTGGCTATCCACAGGGAGCTATCTCTCTGCAAGCTTCCGGTGTGGACAAGATAGTCGAGCTGGTACCCTAGCTCCGTGGCGTTGTCCTGAGGTGCATCTTGCAGCGGGTATAAGGCTTCTCCGATAGAAGCACACCGAAACTGCGCGCCGGAGTAGGGTACTCGATCGTAAACCAAGACAGCAGCGGTGCCATTGTTTGCGGGGCTCAAGTTATTGTACTTCAGCGCCTGGAGGGTACCTAAAGAGGCAATGCTGGGAGGTGATGTTGCGGCTACTGGAGGAGCCGGGGCCGCCAAAGCTGGCCAGCAGAGGAGCAGAGAGCTCGCGAGAAATTGCAGCTGCATTTTCCGGGACATTGACTACTGTGGCAGTCGTGATCGGGAGACCACTGAACAAGGCAGTGGCCCTTTTAAATCCATGGCCGCCAAGCGAGAAGGCCCATGAGTTAGGCCTCCGGGCAAATGGTTGCTCGGAATAACCGGAAGCGCGAGCCTCGGTGATTCATGAGAAAGAGATTGTCAGATATTGGTCGTATGAGGCTTCAATCTATGAGTGAAAGCTGGGGTGCATTGAAGCGTTCCACCAGCGGAAAGCAGCGGAGACTGGGGCACCAGTGGTTCCTGAGGAAAGGTTCCAACTATCTAGCCGAGGGAGCCAACATGAATGGCTCTCTCGGCAAACCCACCCCAAGGACTCGCGTCCTTGGCGCACGGAGGTCAACGGGCGATTGATCATGACTATCGAAAATGGAGACAATAAGAGGTTTCTGTCAGATGTAATTGGAGGAAGAAAGAAGAAAAGGCACTCGGGACTCAGGCCGGCTTCTCAACGTTTCTCAGATTTGGTCTAGTCTGCCGAGGGCCCTAGCCCTATGCTCCGATGACTGCCTGGGGTTGATCGTCAGGATTTTGCTCAACGTGATAAGAACCAGGGAGATATTCTAAAATAGTACTGCGGGAGATTTATATCATGACCGTCCGTTATCTGAGGTTATATTCGTTTAGAATTCCATAGAGTTGCAGATGGTGGTTGTCCTTGTGAACGCCTTCCCGGACCAACTTCTATCTTTCACTTCGTATCGGGTGGTACTGCAGAGGTTATTGGACACTACCAGCCCTCGTCCTCGATGTATATCCAAGAGCGCGGTGATGTGCCCTGGTGGGCGTCTAAGGTTTCAGCTTAGTGGTTGAAATTGCCAAACGATGGTGTAGCTTCAAGCGACCTGGCTGACATCCACCATTTAGAATCAAACCTAAAGGGTCTGGAGAGTACCTTTGCGATGAGTACACTCTAGATTGCTGTCTAGCTCAGTGTGCCATGTGCAAACTTGATAACAGGGACCTGTACTTGTTGATGGGTGACTCCGGACTCTGTTAGGAACGGTCGCGTATGTTTTTCTTCGCATGTGGCTCCAGACAAGAAGATTCGTGGTAGGTTGATGACAGGACGCAGGCGGAGATATGGGCCTTTAGCATATGTGGCCATGATATCGTGACTCCTACTGCTTAAAAGTCGACTCCTCAGCAGGTACAAACGGTCCCAGACAACGTTGGCGGCTTGGTTCCTAAACGTGCCCGACTGTTTCCATCCTCGAAATCAGCCTTGATTTTCAGGTCTCAATTCCGTATCTTGTTCCACCACTCCAATCAGTATGACTGCAACCATGCGAGTTATTGGATGTTTCGTGTGCTGCAAGGTAGGCGTATCCAGGAGGAGGACGTGATATTCTTGAGTATTCGGATGGATGACACGAGTTCAACACCTAAGAAGAGAAACTGTGACATCTGCGGTTAGTTCTTGTGTCAATAGAAAAGATGGATACTTTTGTAATGCTGACAGATTTGGGTAGGGGATGTAGTTCAGAAGCCAGGTTGAGGATAAGAAGAGAATAATTATTGAGTCCTGTCGAGGTATGCGAGAGCGATCGAATCAATTATGATGATAGGTAGTAGGTGGTTCGTGAGTGCAAGGAGGTGAGGCAGTACAGGAGGAAGAGGCCGCAAGGAAAGGGAGCAGGTGACCTGGATAGCCAGCCTAGAGTAGCAAAGACCTTGTGAAGTTCCCAAATAATGATGGTTATGCCGACGAAAAAGATCAGGAAGAAAAAGGGATGTGTGAAAACATAGAAAGGTGCTGTAGAGTCAAGAAGCTTGGGTGGTTTTGGTTTGAATTTGGTGACGTAGGTGAAGAAAGGAAATAGGAAAACGGTGCATATAGTGGGCTCAGTGCGCTACTGGGTGATGTTCGATACTCATTCTCCAGCTTTGCCATAAAGCAGAGGCAGGACGATATTCCAGAGAGATGTAAGGAGATAATAGTGTCAAGGCAATAGGTCGTGCGAACGGGATTTGTTAACAACGTGCCAATGGAATGTGACCACTGCGACTAAAAAGCAACAATAATATACTATGGCTTTTTCGCTCTATATAGCTTCAAGAAGGTATCGGCAGAATGGGATTTTGGTCGTTACTGGAATCACAAGATGGCTGATATAGTACAAGGACTACAAGTGCACAAATTGACCAGGTGATCGGCCTACATATAGTAACATAGAAGGGCGGATGTCTCAATAGAGTCGCATCGAGGGAATAGAGACAAAAGCCAAAAAGAAAGGGAGAGAGGAGGGAGCGGAATAGTTATAACTAGAGACGGGCCGGCCGAGATAGGAAAGTGGGTGGGTCCACTCCCGCGGATAGCGGGTCCAAGCACGGGAGTATACACAACGACCGGGAATAGCCTCACCAGCCGCGCAACAAGGAAACCAGGCCACCCAAATCGATGCCTGTACAGCCAGGCCAGTCAAATTTCCTCTTTCAGACAACAGATGCGAACTCTTGAACAAATGCACGTCTGATACCTGGTAACAATCCCAGGGTAACCGAGTGGTTAAGGTGGCCGGCGCTCTTGGCACGAGCCCCCCCTTAAGCCCGCGTAGACAGAACCATGAGGAAGTCCTGGGTACGATTCCGACCTGGCGCACTTGGGCTCAGCCCAAGCTCGCCCAGGTGGAATTGTCTGTAAACCCCCTTCGGGGGGTTTCGTAGCCGATCGGTGTGGTTGGGCGACCCACCGATTGTGTGAGCTTTTTGCTTCTATAAGTATTGAACAAGGTTGCCTATCTACTTCTTCCACAATCTGCGATGGAAGAAAAGAATCAATAAAAGAATTGAGCTTGAAGCTGCAGCGGATCCGGACTTGGGAGATGAGAAGGGACGGGGTGGCTGCCTCGCTGCCTTAGGTAGGGGGGAGCTAGAGCCATTCACTGTCAGGCCTCAGGCGGTAGCAGCAGAAGTGACTCACTCGCTCTTTCCCACAAAGCTGACTTCGCTTGCGTCGGGGTGACGGCCTATGAAGCAATGCCAGCCCATGACGGACTCACGCTCCAGTGGTACGGAGAGAACGATGTAGATATTTGGAGGCTGATAGCCCCAACTGAATATGGTAACATCGATAAGTTCTGACACAAATTCTTTAGAGTACAACGCATACGCGCTACTTGCTACGGAACTCCCTCACATATCGCTGATTCACAATCTGTTCCTCGGGAAACCAATTCCCATGCATCCCATACGGCACTCGTTGAGGCAGGACTACCCGGCAAACCACATCTGTCATTCTCACCGCATCAATGACCCACAGCTCACTGTGTGAGCTAGGCGGAGCATCACCATTCTCATCCAGTTGTGACTCGTTGAAGACATACGTAACGAGCCAGCCATCATCCTCGGACTTTCCATCCCTGCGCGGCACAAACGAACACTCCTGAGCATACCATCCTGATGGGAAGGCAAAAGCTCGGATGGGGTCGTCACGATTTTTTGACGCGAGTATGTCAGCAATTGAGCGCTTGTCCACACAGCCATATACCGGGGATGGAGGATCAGACTTCGCCTGCAAAAGAAGATGCTGCACATCCATTTTGACGAGACAATCAATCTTATAGCTGCTGATGTGGGAGGTGGCAAAATTTCCATTCCGCATGGAACAGCCATAGACAAACCGTGCCTGCTTCATCTCAAGGTGCTTGGGCACACATGGAAATTCAAACGGAATGGCTGATAGCGCCCACTGTTGCGAGATCGAGGAGGATCCTTCTTGGCTTGGCGGGAATTGGTAATAATAAAGACGGCATTCGGGATCTGGCGGGTTCACAGCCCCTGGCGCATCCAGGTTGCCCATATGGTACAATGGGGCGACACTGTTCATGCGACAAAGGAGCATATTCACCTGTACACCGCGGGGGGTCTCTTCATCCCAGCTATTCACGGTATGCATAACCACACAGGCGGCCGTCTTGAACCATCGGATAAGATCCGGGAAGTGCCGAGGGAATACCCCAATCCTCGTTTGGCCATGTGGATCGTATTGCATTACTGGTTTGCCGTAGAAGATATTGGACGGGTCCAGTGAGAGAGGCAGGTCAATGATAATGGTATGTTGAGGGGAAACCCCAAAATCGTGCATCATTTTCCCTGAAGTAAGGCCAGGCACAGGTTGATTGAGATGGGGCTCCGGGGATAGCGAGCTTCTAGCAGGTACAATGGAGTAATGAACGAACGGTGGAAGAAACGTCGAGTGGAAGAGAAGCAGTTCACCAGTATGGAGGTCAACTTTAGGCTGAGCATGGGCACCAATTAACATCAGGGTATGTTATGATTCTGCTGTGATACTCACATGAGCAGTGGTCATTTCCTTATAGAATCCTTCCATGCCTGGACCGCCAAAGTACGGCTTGGACCTTTCACAGTCCCCAGGCTCCCCCTCTGCTGTGTTGCCGGTGAACCAGCCCACGGTTTGCAGCAGTGGAAGAAACACACGCATAGGAGGCCCGACCTCATTTGTAGCCAAGACACGACCATCGTGATGGAGAATGCTGGTATTCGCACTGCTCACCCGCCTGATCGGCCGGGCAACCAACCCCCAGATGGATGCAAATATCAATATTGTACTCCGCGTTACCTCCAGCAGAATTCGAAGGGTCGACAAGGCAGGGTTGGTCATGGTTGCAACACTAGGAATGATGGGACAGAGACGGCGATTCCGCACGGTTGCGCAGTACATGTCGGTTAGAACATATTGGTTGGTAAAGACTGGCTGGACACTGGGTGATTCTGGGATACGTTTAAAGTACACGCCCGTGAGCATGCCGTCGCCATCGAACCAGTGGAAGTCACGCTGAGCTTCGCTTTGGAGGGGATTGGTGCCATTCCTGACATATTGCCCGCCTAGGAACTCCTCAGGGATAGTGCCCTCAAAGTGGCATGTCTCGGCGGCAAGGGTCGTACGAACAGGGGCAAAGTTGCCCACGAGGTATCTGGCACATCATTAGCGTCAAGAGCACTAATGGCTAGAAGGTGGGCGTACGGATGTCTTCTTCTTGCTTTTGACATGATGCTAAATGCACTGGATGACAATCGTGGCGAGACGGTGGGATACTCAACTCATATAGATCTGTACCGGAGGCTATTCAGCGCTTGAAAACAAGGAACAGATGCGTCAATGGGCCCGAGAAACCTCCGCAAGGTAACCTTTGAAACTCGGAAAAGTATTGAAACCGGTTCCTAAAGCTCGAGGCAGGGTCATGTTACTATCGAGAACCAGGAACAATCCCGATATTGCTGCTTGCCCCATGAGGTCCGGCCTTTTCCTCATTGAATTTATAATCGTTAAAAACATCGCCGATCTTCGCCTCCCTGTCATCAGATAGCCGTAAGGTCTGGAACCCGGGATCCCGATAGCATCTTTTGCTGGCTATAACTCCTACAGGTCACAATTTGAGCAGACGTTAAGCTTAAGTGAGCCAATTGGGCCATGAGTACGGACCGGCCGAGCGTCAGACTTTGGCAATCCTACTACATGAGCTGTACCATGGACCCCGACTGTTTTATTAGTAGTTGCATGTCTACTGGTAGTAGAGGTTGTTGCATCATAGGCCGAGTCCCGGTTCAATGCCTTACATACGACATCCCACTGGCGCTGGGTTGGAAAGAGATAACCAGGCCAAGTTTCAACAAGGAACCTGACAGACCGTATCAGATAGGATATCCAATGGATTGTCAAAAGGAAGTAGTACACTGTCCATCGTGGTTGCCACCCACTGTTCTGCGGAGGCGAAACCCTTCCAAGGCGGCAGAGCTTCAGCCCTAAAGATCCAGATTTGGTACTTTGCTTAGTTATCACGGATATTGATCTCACGCCTGCGAGGAATCCACTCGGGCCTGCTGTAGTGCATGGGACCAGTTATTGAGCTCGAACAAGAGCACTGCACCAGCATTGAGGATTGACGATGCCTTTGAGATTCCTCGGTCTCGATACGGTGATTTGCAACTGGCCAGGCTCATTGCGATCGCCTGGATCTGCGATGTGTGGGGAACGCCCATTACGCCATCGCCGAGAAGCGCGCCCCAGGCAAGCCAGGCATCCACTTGGGGCCTCAGCCATCTCCACTTGGGAGCCTGGCCGGAGCCTATGAAGCCCCCCGTGCCTGTGGGCGGTGGGAGGTTCTGCCGGAGCAGGATATTGTAGTTAAAGAGACATCGAACACCCCGGCGAAAGACTGTTTCTTACGAATATCCAACGGGAAGATTAGTCTTTCTCTCCATTACCTCATAAACTACCAGATCTATTACCTCAATGGCGGCCCAACTCACCCTGCCCCAACTGCCTGCTAAGCATCGGGACCTGCCAAGCTGGATTCAGAACCATCCAGACACGCCTCTCAACCAGATTATTGCGCCTTACAATGACTATGACGCCGTGGTACGCAGGCTGTTTGCTCAGGAACGCTCACACCCGGCCTTGCAGGAGAACCACCTCAACATTGTGCCCCTCTATGATGCAAGAGGCAATGCTGATGTCCGCGTACGGGCTCGGGACTTGGCGTCAGAACCCTCGACAATCAAGGAACGGTACATCATGCCCTTGAAGGAAGAGGACCGGCGACCCAACGGTACCCCAGCGGTGGTCCCGAGGCTCGATGACTTTTGGAGGAACTTTAACATCTTTTCTGAGGGTGCATTGAGCGATCTGGATTGGAGCAATGTGGTCGTCGCGGGAAGCGCAGTGGTCACTTGCCTACTACCCGTACCTGAAGAGCACCGCGGCTCGAAGCGTGCCCTGCGTAAGTACTACTATGAAAAGGTTGCCTCGGCGTCGGACGTCGATCTCTTTCTATATGGCTTGGATGAAGCAGAGGCGATCGAGAAGATCAAGCAAATTGAGGATAAGATTAAGAATTCAATCCTCCATGAGACGACCACAGTGCGAACCAAGAATACCATTACGATTGTCTCGCAGTATCCCACACGCCATGTGCAGATAGTGCTTCGCATATACAAAACCATCGCGGAGATCTTGACTGGATTTGATGTGGATTGCGCCTGTGCTGCTTTCGATGGGAAGCAAGTCTTTGCGTCTCCGCGTGCCCTTGCCTCATACATCACTCAGATAAACACGATTGACCTTTCTAGGCGCTCTCCTTCTTACGAGAACCGTCTCTCGAAGTACTCGCATCGTGGATTCGAGGTATTCTGGCCAGAGCTGGACAGATCGCAAGTCGATCCGGTGAGCACTTCTGTGGCGGGCGTTATTGTGCTTTGACTGATGCATTCCGCCCATAGACAATCTTCGAACAAAGCTTCACCAGAGTGGTTGGCCTAGCACGCCTTCTGGTCCTTGAGAAGTTGCCCAAGTCGTCAGACCGGGAGTCTTATATCGAGCAAAGGCGACAAGAGCGTGGCCGGCCTGCTCCAAGATACAATATGAGACGGTATGGTGGTAATATCAAGGATGACTGGGTTGATGAGGTTCCAGAGTGGGAAGAGGGCGAGGAGATCTCTGACTATAATACATTTGTTAGTATGCAGTCTCTCTCCTCGATACTTGCGGCTAACCAAATGTGCCAGACCATCCCATACGGGCCCAGGTTCAGAGCTCGAAAGGTCGAGAAACTACTATATGCGAAAGATCTTTTGCTCAACGCAGAGTGGAACAAACCCAAGGACAGAGAGGTCAATCTTCACCGACATCCGGCGTTTTTTGGTGATGTCGCGGATGTAATACAAGATTGTTGCGGCTTTTGTCCGCAGCCAGAGACAGAGGAAGAGAAAGAGATAGCGGAGACAGAGAGCAAGCTCTATGTTTCTGGGAGCATCTCCTTTATCAAAGACGATCCCGGTCGTCAGGAGATTGGCAGCTTTAACCCAATTACGGAGACAGATTGGACTGGTGTGTGCAACCTTGCCCCTATGAGAGATCCAAGAGCTAGCTAACACGGCGGAAGAAATGGCATATGTGGGGAATACAGAGCGGTTGTGCCGGGCCATCGTGGATTGCGATAAAGAGGAAGTCGAAGCATGCCTCGCAAAAGGCAAGGTAGATCCTAACAACCGCGACTACACCGGAAGAACGCCATTGCACTTGGCTTGCTTGGCCTCGACACCGGACATAGTACAGTGCCTCGTTGACCACGGCGCAAGGTTGATATCTCGGTTGGCCGACGGTCGGACAGCGCTACACCTGGCTGCCGCAAGGGGAAGTGTGGAGATCGTACGAATACTATTGCGGAAAAGTGCGCAGAACGAAGCGGAGCAGAGTCAGCTTGATACACACCATGATGGGAAAAAGAGCGACAAGAGTGGGACTGAGGAGCCTGACTCTGACGGAGACCAAATCTCCTGCACCTCCGGTTCGTTCATCCATGTTGATGGGAATACCGACCCGAATTCGGGTGGTATCGATTTGGCCATGTCTGAGAATGAGATGGAGCCGGATGTTTACGACATCAATGTTGTCTCCTGGGATATTCCCACCTCGGCGCTACATCTTGCTATTCTAAATGGTCAGGTTCATGTAGTGGACGAGCTTGTTGCCTCGTTTGGTGCCGATGTGTTGTTGCCGGTTAAGCTGGTCCACACCTATGGCAATAGCCCAAGGGCTGCTATTCTGAACCTGGCCTTGGCACTTCGACTGCCTCGCGAAAAGGTTAACATGATGACTGAAAAGCTATTGCAGCTCGGTGCAGTTCCAACACAGGCAGACCTTCACAATGTGACCCCCCTGCACTACGTTGCTGCTTCCGATTATCCTGAACTCTTGGAAATATACCTCAACCACAACCGTCCTGCAACGTTGAAAGCAATAAACTATCTTGTACCCTCGGGTTCTGTTTGGAGGACAGGTGCTCATTCGGCTCTCACGGTAGCACTTTCTGGACGAAATGCTGTCGGTGCGACCAAACTTCTTGAGGCCGCTGCACAGCCTTCCATTGACTTTGAATCGTTCGTGAGGCCTGGACAGGGAGTCTATGAAAGGATCAAGAGGAATTCATCTGAGACAAACAAGGAGCTTTTCCGATGGGAGGTCACACAGCCAATCATCCTCGCAGTGCAAAAAGACCTACCGATGATTGCCGTTCAGCTCCTCATTAGTGATGTCGATCCGAATACGCTCACCCCTCAAGGGTATAATATCCTGGATAAGGCCTCTAGCCAAAGCTACGCTGTGGGTCAATCTTTACTGGACGTTGTTCGAGAGAAAATAAGGAAATTGCGCAAATACCACGGAGAGAAATTGAATGACATACCTCCTCTTCCACTGGTGCATCCTGATCGCTGTCTTAATGACTTGGAGCTTGGCACATACCAAATGTGGGCCGCAGAAAAAGCAGTACGCCTAGCGAAGATGCAGTATGAGAAGGACGAAAAGAAGTATGCAATGGCAGTAAGCAACAATGAGAATCGCAAAGGTTTGAAGCAGAAAATCTCAGCGGTCCACGCTCTTCTGGAAGAGTTCGAGAGGCTTGAGATTGCCCTCTTACAAAAGGGTGCTAAATCATTCTATGATCTCTTCCCGGAAAAGAAGAAACGCACCAGGAAGGATATGTCTCAACCTGAGCTTCCCAAAGCTGAACCTTTCGGGGTGGATTTCAAATTTTCTGTACCGGACCTAACTGACACAAAGAAGAAAGCATACTTAGAACTGTGAGTGATATCGTCCACCCAAAGCACTTTGTCAGCAAGCCTTAGATAACTGACGTCAACAAGATTTGAAGCAGCCTGGCGGGGCGATTTGAACACCATCAAGGCCCTCACACTAGTGGCCACAGGCGATGAAACTCATCTGAGCCCATTGCAGGTCGCTGTGCGTGATCAGAACAATTTCTCACCATTTTCCATTGCTGTACTACGTGGACACCAACAAGTCGCGAAAGCTATCCTGGAGATTGCACAGGCTCAATATAAAAGAAAAGACTCTGGCACTCGTGCACGATATGAGATGGACCTTGAGGCCTTCCATGAAGATGCAGAAATTCACATATATAGTGAGATCATCGATGACAGGTTCACCATTGAGAACATAGGAGAGACAGCCATGCAAGTTGAGTGTGAGATATCCCCTCTCCAACTCTTCTCCTGGAACTGCCCAGCCTCCATGTTTATCGACGAGGAATCGAATCTAGCCGATCTGGTTCATTATACGGTCTGGAAGAATGATGTGGACATGCTTGAATTTCTACTTCAGCTTGGGCAAGAATTAACCGAAAGAGACACGATGGTCGAAACTAAAATATACACTGTCTCGACAAGTGCGTTTCGACTCGCGATTGGAAAGGGTCATTTGGGCTGCCTGGAGGCGATCATTAAGTATACAGGAGCGGATCTCCCAATTGACAATCTGCTGCAAGGTTCTGGTATCGAGATTAAGGAAAAGCCGAGATTCTACCAAGGGCTGTCCGTTCGTGGGAGGAAGCGAGCAGACTGGGTCGCGGCAGGAGGAGGGATGATCAGTGAACGCGAAGAACAAGAGACGCCCTTGCTCACTGCCGCATTTTCCGGGTCCTTGCCAAGTGTGCAGTGGTTCCTCAGCTCAGCGCCAGTCAAGAACTATGTTGAGTTTATTAAGGGCCATGAACAGGAGGACAAGTTGAAACTATTATCAGAGTCAATAAACGATCTGGAAGGACCCCTCACGGGCTGGATCCAATCCAAGAGTATATGCCAATCCCACCGCCCTGTGAGATGTGTTTGCTGACCTAGCCATAAACAGACGAATTTATCCTGCACTGTACTATACTCTCAAAGCCTACAGAGGAGCCATGCCGGTTAGTCGAATACCTCGTCAAGCGCGTCCCGCAGTTCATCGAAACCAAGTCGGCTGCAGGGCATACGCCTCTGGCTCTTGCATTCTCTCTTGACCGGGTAGACTTTGCCCACATCCTTATCAAGGCTGGGGCCAACCAGACAACCCGTGATCGTAAAGGCAACAACCTGGTTCATCTGCTGCTTTCCGACATCAATGGCAGCGCTCGGGACGAGCCAGGAAACATGGAGAGGCTCCTCGCCTTGCTTGATACCCGATTGATTCCATCGCTACTGACTGAGCGATCATCGGATGATCCCGGATCACTGACACCCATCGCTCGCTGGATGCATCATAGTCAGCGGCCCTGGAGGAGCGGGACGAGTGGATGGGGATTCGACCGCCATCGGGAAACAAGCGGCAACCTAGCCGTAGCACGCTGTTTCTTGGAATTTGCGCAGCTAACGGGTCAGAAGCACCTGGACATGTTTGACGGCACTGGGAATACACCACTTCATGAAGCGGTCAAGCAGCAATACCCCAGGGTTTTCGAGGCTATGGCGGAGTACCGTCCGGATCTACTGTACCGGGAGAATGCCACCGGAAGCACACCCTTGGAGTTGGCCGTTGACAATTGGGTAGCGGAAGCACTGTCAGATCCGCCACCGATGCTGGGAGACGGACCGCAATCCGAGGCAAGAAACAAGGAGAGCAGTTGTGTACTGGATCGGCAGCCCGAGTCATTTGACCCGGATTATCCGACCAAGCCGGAGAGTGAGCGGCAAGCGATCTGTAGATATGCTCGCGAACGAGCCAGCACCAACCCACGCAAGAGAAAGCTGGTGAGCCTAAACGAGGCAAATGAGGTGGCCAAGAGACTTGCCGTGCGAAAGAGTGGGGAGACTTCTACCAAGGACAGCGATGTTGTGGCCCAGTGGTATTACCGAGCCGTGCGGTCCTGATGGGGAGATTGACAGATTACCGAGGCCAGTTCGATGAGTCTACACCTTACGATTATCTTCTAGACAAATAATAGAGGCTGTTAGAAAATGAGTATCGCGGAAACAGTAGTTGTTGTAAGAGCCGAGGCGGTGAGGACCAACCGGGGCAGAATGTCAACGGCCGCAAACTCCCCGCGGTCCTGCAACTTCTTCAACCTCGGTCTTCTATCAACAACGCATCATTCTTTTCCAAAATGACTGCCTCCTCATTCGTGGCAGATCCCCTCACCGTTCTGCCCCCCGAAATTGTCCTACGCGTGCTGGAATTTACCCCCGTCTCTGCCCTCGCATCCCTGACCGCCGTGTCCAAAGCCTGGCACCAATTTATCGACGTCACACATCGAGAAGTCATCTACAGTTCCGAACTCAAGACCACCCAACCTCCCGGAGGCGCCCGTGACTTTTCATTCCTGTCAGACAGTGCCACATTTACTAAACTATTCGAGGACACAACATCATGGAAGGACTTGTGCAAGCGCCAGACGCTGCTCTCCCGGAACTGGGCTAACGAGCGCCCAGTGACCCGGGAGTCGGTGCTGCAAGTCGGTAACAATCCCGTCTGGCGATTCCGTGCGGACTTCAAGCGCCGGTTCTTCATTTCCACATCACACGCGGGTGGGCTGAATGTCACAGATATGGACACGGGCCGGATTCTGTGGCGGCTGCCCTCTACGCTGCATCGTGATGAGGATGCGGTTCGCCCGTATGCGCATCTAGAATATCAGGACGGGATGGCCGTGTTTGATCGCGAGGGGGATGCGCTTGAGGTTTGGCAGGCAGACTTGGAGGGTGCAGCGCGCGGGGAGTTCCAGCGCATCGCGATCCTGGACCATGACTGCCAGACGAGAGGGTTTCAGTTGTCTTACTGGACGCTGTGTGTGGTTTCGACTCAGGGACAGGGCTTCGTGTATGATATGACGCAGCGACCTCCCACATTGACCACGCATCTCACCATCGAGGATGACGCGGTCGGCCATCTAGACCAGAGCGAGGACGCCGTCATTTATTCCATGGGCCCGCGAGGCTATCATGTCTATAACAAGTCGACCGGTGAATTCATGGGTGCGTTGCAACCATTTCGCTGCACAGACATGTACCATATCCTTCCCCCTGTCGCTACCTCGCCCTCCGCAATCGCGGCGCTGGCGGCCGCTGCGCGGCACGGTCCGACGCAGCATCTCTTCTCCCTCGGGGCGCCTCGCAAGGACTGTCTAGTGCCTATTGAGCTCGCCAAGGGTCCTCTTCCGCCACCGACTGACTTCGAACATGTCCGACACGGTGACGACGAATGGGGAGCTGGCATGCTCCACGGCGATCTCTTCGTTGGCTTCTCCCGCGCCGGCCGTGTCTTCGTGTGCTCTGACTGGCGCAAGGCACTCCATAGCGAAGCTGGTCTCACGACATATGGCTCTCTGATTGAATGCGAGTCGGATGGGTCAAACTTTGATCTGGGCGGCTGGTTGTCGGTGCGCAACCATCGTCTGATGTTTGAGATCCAAGATCGGATATACGTCGTAGCTCTGGATGATAATAACAGGATGCAAGATGTTGATTGTCCTGCACGTGCTTCCTACTCACTGCTCACTAGCTCTGTGCCACAGCTTGCCGTGCCCGTCAGTTTCATGGCATTGTGTGATGATGCGATCATGACTACCTACACTGTACGTCCCACTCCAAAATGGAAAGAGAATCAATGGTGCTAATATAGAAATTGCAGACCCTCGGCTTCCGTCAACCCCTTTCTGACGTCCCTGGTGATGCACCCCAAGAGCCACACGAGGGTCCCGCTCGCATATTCCCTACCAAATCCATCCGCATCGTCAGCTTAGCCCCCGACCTCTCTAACAGTAAGTCCGCCTCGGACTCCAATGCCGAAGGACCTCAGGACCAGAGGGCAACGGGCGGAGGACTGTGGGATTCTCAACAAGGCCAACCGCGGGCAGAAGATACCTGGCGCTCGCAGGCCGGGTTGTTGCAGTTGGTCAGCTTGCTTGGAGATGAGCTTGATGAGGAGGATGAGCTCGAAGCTATGGATGCGGATGGTGATGGCGACGGGTGGGAGGATGTGGATGAAGACGATGAGGAACATGGGCATGAGCATTAGCCTGCGAGCGTACAGGGGGAAGCCCAGGCTTAGGGCTATTCCTGCGGTTTGTGTCTAAGCTTGGGGATGTTTTCGAAGTGGACCAGTGACCATTGCGAGTAGGTTACGTCCAGAATAACCACGCATTGACATTCGATGTTCCAAGACACTACATGGGGTGACCGGGTGAGATGAAACTTGCCTGACATGCCTGAGCCAAGCTGACTGTCCGCCAGATCACAAGACATGTCATAGGCAGCTGTGACATATTCTTTCTAGGATGCCCATCCAAACGATTATGAAAAGGCCAACGAGGTAGCCCCGCTTAGATTTCCCCCCACAACACTAACCCGCCTCGTAGAACAGTTCTATAAATACCCTGATAGTGCACCGATGAGGAATATGTTGGAGGTGCCAGACCGACACCACATCAGAGCCAGAAAAATGAGTAGACATCTATACATTATCCCCTCCTTTTGAGCTTTCCACCACAGTATCTTACCATCACCACCGCACCATGTAGTGTTTCCACTATTCCGATTCCCGTGCGTACTACATAGTACACAGTACAAAGTACCTAGACCATTACTATTGTACCTCCCCACAACGAAAGTTCCCAGAATAAGCCTCCCCACTAAGCCCTCAACACGTTACAGCAATACCTACTGTGTACGGGATATGCACCCATACTAAGCCCCATGACAATGCATAACTCCTCCCCCACACGGCTTATGCCGCGAAAAGACACCATGACATCATTCAGTCCAGACGGGTCAACTTTAGCTTCACAAATGCCCTAACTCGGATCCACTTTTGGATCCACCCCCTGTCACTACCATCATCATCATCATCATCATGATGCAACCGCTCCGATCATGGCGCGGCATGGGATGCCTTATAAACTCTATCCAGATCTCTCTCTGTTTTGGGGACATCTTAAGTTTCAAGCTTTTGCCAAGGGCTCAGCAGTATTCTCTGGGATTTTGTACCGTCCAATTGATTGATTGATTGATTTGACTGTATCTTTTTTTTTGTCGTTATGGCTCCGAAGCATAAGGATCATATTCCGAGACTGCATCAGTAGGTTATCTTGGTTGATGGGTTGTGTGTGTAAAAGCTAATCGTTGTTTTGTTGAAGTCTCGGAAAATGGATGCCCTCGACTCTGGATGCGCATCATCAGTGGTTGGGGGGGGTGATTGCTCATGTTGATAGCAAAGAATCGCATGATCTGCATCCCGTTATTCAGGAGTTTCAGGATCTGATTGAGAATAATACTCGCGTTTACCTTCTCATTTCGTCCATGTTCGGGGAACTTCCCCGCAACCGAACCTACACCACTGATCCCACTGGATGTCCCCAAATGCGGGACTACAAGCATATGCTCCTCGTACTGAACCACCTCATTACCACGGCGCCCTCGTGGAGCGACTTCTCTCATCGTGTCGGGCTGGTCGGGCTACCGATTAATGCCGTCCTGGACTGGCCTATGGGCACACCGAGCGGCTACGCGGCGTTCCTGGACCCTGATGTCAACCGAATGATCAAGAAGATTCTCAATGCGTGGGGCGACTTCCTCAAATCCCCGGAATCTGCATCGGTGCTCGATAACTCCGCCTACGGGTGGTTCGGAGAGACCGCCAAGGCAGATCTAGTGGAGGTCGGAAACGTGCAGAAGACGAACCACTCATTCGAAGACATGTTCATCTGTGATCCGTCTGCCGAACATCACGGCTATACATCATGGGATCATTTCTTTACCCGCTTATTCCGAGAGGGGATCCGACCCGTTGCGTCCCCCAGTGATGACAAGGTTATTGCCAACGCGTGCGAGTCGCAGCCATACAAGGTGGCGTATAATGTCAAAGCACGCGATCAGTTCTGGATTAAGAGTCAGCCGTATTCGGTGAATGATATGCTGGCTCTTGATCCGCTGGCGGAGCAATTCGAGGGTGGAACGGTGTATCAGGCGTTTTTGAGTGCGTTGAGCTATCACCGCTGGCATGCACCTGTGTCAGGGAAGATCGTCAAGGCGTATGTGGTTGACGGGACGTATTATTCGGAGCCGTTGTTCGAGGGTCTCGGGGATCCGGATCCAAAGGAACATCAGCATGGCATTGATAGTGCCGGGGAGGTCATGTCGCAGGAATATCTGACCGCTACGGCCACGCGGGCTGTCATTTTCATTGAATGTGATAACCCGGATATTGGACTCATGGCGTTCTTGGGTGTGGGCATGTGCGAGGTCTCGACCTGTGATATCACTGTCTCTGAGGGTCAGCATGTCACCAAGGGTGATCAGATTGGTATGTTCCACTTTGGTGGTTCAACGCATTGTCTGCTCTTTAGGAAGGGGGTCAATGTGCAGGGACTTCCATCTCCCAAGTTGCGGCATAATGTGCCAGTCAGGAGTCAGCTGGCTGTGGTTGAGTGAGTGAGTGATGGTAGATGTAAATAAGAGTTGTAGATTTTGAGTTGATAGTACATATCTAATATATCTGCGTCCGTGCAACATACTCCGAGACCAGGGTTGCCCAAGAGTCAAAAGCAACCGGTGGCAATTGGGTGCGTTGTAGTCCAATAGCTTAGTTTGACAGAATGTGGGATCGCAAGATTTCATGCTTTCCATCAAAACAAGTCACGAGGCCGTGGGCACATGATCCACGACGGCTTTTCGCCAAACCGACCTCCTTTCATTTTCTCTCTCCTCCTGCTTTGCAACATCACATCTTCGCCATCAATTCGACCGGCTCAGCCGGCCCTGCACGGTCTGCAGCCCATTTCATTATCAACTGGATTACCCCGTCCATCTCTTCTCGAGTATTATCTGCGTGTATCATAAGCCGGACTCGACCTGTGCCCTTGGGCACACTGGGGTATTCCACCGAGTTCACCCAATACCGGGCTCTCCGCAGCATCTTGCATAGATTGTTGGCCTGTCCGGCCTTGGTGATAACTGGCACTATGGGGGACTTGAATGATCTGGTATACCATGTCTTCTCAGTAGGCAGATAAAGGATGCCTCGCTGCTTGATCTCTTCCCATCTAGGATGTCTCGTCAACGTCCAGTAGAAGTACCATATATTTTGCTGCAGACGGCTCCGGCGCTGCACTCCCGATACTTGATCAGTATTGCTAACCATCTTGATAGGAACTGTGGGACGAACCTTGCGTCCTTCTTCCGACGTCAGGATTTCATAGCCGGCTCGAACAGCGGCTACAGTCACAAAGCTTGGTGCAGTGGTGAATATGACGTTTCGTGCATAGTTGATGATGCCTTGCTTGATTGTCTCGTTGCATAGGACCACCGCTGTTGTGAGAGGTTAGCCACATCGGGACAGGAAAAGTGATGGGCCACCGCACCTCCTGCCGATCCCAGAGCTTTCCCACAAGTGTGTAGTCTGATGGCAAACTCGTCCTCCAGGCCGTATTCACAGAGCATCCCTGATCCATTGGGGCCAACTATTCCATTGGAATGAGCCTCATCGATAGAAAGCACATAGTTGCCTCGTGGCAGAGCGTCATATGCCACCTTTATAATCTCATGAAGAGGCGCCACATCACCATCCATGCTATATATTGACTCGACTGCAATAAACACGACCTGTCTTCCCTCGGCCACTTCAGTGCTCTGACTGTGGAGTTCCTCTAAACACTGTCGCAAGGAAAGGCAGTTGTTATGACAGAATGGGATGCTCTTCGCACGTCCGAGTCGCATCCCCTCGCGAATGCTAGAATGCACTAGCTCATCGAAGACAATGAAGTCTCCAGGCTGCGGAATGGACGACCAAATAGCCATGTTGGCATCATACCCAGACGGGAAGAACAAACCAGTTTCAGCGCCATGTAAATGAGACATGTCACGCTCAATATCTACCAAATACTGCTTTGTGCCTTCAAAGGCACGCGCGGCAGTACTTCCGACAGTGAAGTGAGGGTGTCTTTCAAGTTGATGCAGAAAGGCCTGGGTCAATATTCCAGAGCTCGAAAGGGACAGTGTATCGTTGGAGCCAAAGTCCACTGTCCCTTCGAACTCGTCGGTCGAGGCTGGCTCATACAACCGCCCCTCCCTGCGACGATGGTCCAGCAGAGCTTGGATCTTTCGACAAAGAATATCTTTTCCAGTACTCATATTGTGCGATACTTGGAGAGGATGGGATGATGCGAATGACTCTGACATGCCCGGGCCTTATATGCTGGGGATAACTCGGCGATCTTTTCCTTTCTATCGAGGTAGGGTCTCGATGGGACATGATTGACTGCGAGTTCGTTCAAGTTCCATGGCGTAACCACAATGTTCTAGGCCAGAAACCTGGTCTGTTCTGCAATTCACAAGACAATTACCCATCCCTGCGTCATTTTATATATCTGATTTAATATCCACTCTCTTGTATTGGCTGTCAAAGTTGTGGAGCTTCTACAAAACAATCCGATATATACAGTACCAACTCTATCTGAAGTCGCATGAGCTTGTTGGTAGTTCCTTTGTGGAAACAATACTACGCTCGTCCATGGGTCAAATACGATGAGTGATCTGAGCGCGGGTACAAGGGCAACTGCAGTCAACATGGCCACAATCGAGCATCTTCTCATGCTAGTTCATGCCTCATCAGGATATCCGCTAATGGTACGGTTATCGCCAACTAAAGAGTTTGGCGCGAACCAGATCAGACGCGGGCGATTGGTTCGAATCCGGTTTCTAAACTTTAAGCTCCAGGGCAAGCTTTCGTTCGGTGGTGACCTTGGCGCCCAAATCAAGGATTTTAGCGCGACTTCCCCATGTCATTGGAGCCGAACTCTGATAAATCTGGCTGGAACCTGACTAACTGTGGTCTTTCCAAGCCACTACAAGTCTACTCAATCATATCGGAGGGCTACAGCGCCGCTGACGACAGTTTACAGTGCAAATCTTGCTATGAAGGCTCATGCCGAATTGGTTAAGGCAAACTAGGCCCATCTTCGGGCATGCCTCGCAGTTGCCACGCGTGCTAATGCTTTATAGCCTTATGCTAGAGTCGGCAAAATCTGAACAGAGAAAGGCATCCGCAGAATGAGGCAGTCGGCTGACCTACCGTGAGACCTTGGCGCTCTGTGCACCATGGTAGTTAGTATATTTGCCTCGTTGTGGCTTATGTTGGTGTTTATCATTCTCGGCTTTAGCCGGTGCTATTGCCATACACACGATGTTCCGATTGCAGATCTTAGACCGTGGTTCATTTTAACCGCCGAGACAGCAGGGGGATATGGGTGATAGTGCTCAGCCGCAGATGACTTGCAGATTGGTGCGGTAACATTTATGCACTGTCCATGGAGGGCAGTCAGGCTAGGAAAGGTTGTCCGATTCCTTTTCTCCCCTTCTCTCACAAGTGATACTGCACTCGCCTTACTACATCCCTATGTCTACAGTACACACCTACGCATTCAGGGCGCAGCTAACGAATGTTAGCCAGGCTGGTATACCTCTTCATTTTAGCACTTCATTTTAGCACGGCAACTGCCGAAACACTGTCTATCGACTCTATGCACACTTGTACGTGATGACCTTGATTTCCCGAGTAAGAGTCCGGGCTCCCTCGCCCATGGTCAACTCCGGATCCCCAAGACAGTGATCTTGCCTATACCCCCAGCATGAGCACATGGTCATCAATTGATATGGATTGGAGTTTGACTCACCTGTAAAAGCTACACCGTCCCTTCGTTTCGACCTCAATGATAAGAGCCGGGTTACCACTATTCATCATTAGCGAATGACAGTCCCTGGAAGAGACGGAAGGAACATACGGAGCCGAATGCTTGACACACTCCCCAATATTAGACGTAGTTGTGTGCGTGCCTTGATTCGTGTAAATCGACACCTAGAATACTCCTATTAGTATCGAGACTGACCCAGTCCCCGCACATATTGAATATGAAATTAATACCTTGGAGAGCTCTGCTCCCATAACCGCCGAAGCAGAGAAAAGGAGCGTAGCAAGTGCAAGAACAGACTTCATTGTGAATATGTGGTGAAAGGAGTGTGTTTTATCTCAAGGAGCGTGGTGGTTGTATAGTAAGGAGCGTATGCGTTGGTCCCGGACATTAACTGTACCTCTGAGGAAATGGACTAGCCTATATACCCATCGTCTCACTCAACTATTATTTACATTATACAGAAATATCTCTCGGGTAAGGAATAATACTAGGCCCTGGATCAGATCTTCCTTGATTCGTAGTAATCCGTTATGTGGTCCCAAATGCCAAGCCGCGAGGGAAACATTTTTGTCTCAACCAACCCCCCTTCCATACAATCTTACTCTAAGTTTAATCTCTCCTACACCCACGGACCATAGCAAGTCATCCCATTTCGTTCTACTCAATCGACACACAGGACTTCCTCCAATCTATACAATATGTGATCTCACCGTCTCACGGCCCAACAAGAAACATTGGTGCTCCCCACACTAGATACGAGATACTATACATTCCCAGGGCTGGTATTTACCCAGGCATGTAGATCCTTCACTGCCCTGGCTCGGAACAGGGAGTTGTAATTCCGCTGCATGAGATGGAACGTGAATGTTCACCGCCTTGGGTTATTTACTACTTAGTCAGGACTCAGTATAGTAGTTAGTTAACTAGTACCTATATTGATGTCTAGATGGAGTACGGAAATATCGAGGAATCGTTCTATCATCCATCCTCACTTCCAACGAACGAAGACCTTGTAGAGTAGACTCTGCGCGTATTACTTCCCTAAGGAGGGGGAAAGGAGGGTTTATTTCAGCAGTACGGAGTGCTCTGTATTCCGTAGTGTGATAGAACAGGACACGTCACGTGGAAAGAGATCCTTCCTCGACTGATCCGATTCTAGTTCCGTGCTCTGTATACCAGTCTATAGGACTCAGTCCACGGAGTTACTGCTTGATTTTAGTCTGGAATATGAGGGATAGACATCTGTTTTTTTTTTTTTTTTTTTTTTTTTTTTTTTTTGCGGTTTATTTTAGGGAGTCGAAGGAGTTGTGTATGGGTGTATGTATGTATGTATGTAGAGTTGTCGACATTACTGGTTGGATGTACTCCGTACTCTTGCTTGGTATACTACGGAGGACTGCGGAGTACGGAGTAGGAAAGAGGGGGAAATTGATTCTGGGCTTGGTGATGTTTGGCGCGTAAGTGGGCCTGTCGAGTAGGAAGTGGAGATCGACGGGAATGTGGGTCATGTCCGTGTCAAGGATGGATGGGATGGGCATCTACGGGGATGAAGGGGGCAAGGAGTCTTTTCTTTACGGGGCGGACAGGGTCCGTAGGTGGCCTGCTTTTGCTTTCCTCTTTTCTGCTCCTGTCGACTATGACTGGTGGCATCCCCTGCCACTCACAACTATGTCTGCAATGTAGGTAACCTGCCGTGTACAATCGACGCGTCGTACGAACACAACATCATCCATCCCTGAGGTATGTGACCAACCCGGCATTTGTACTAGTCTTCCGACAGAGGTAGGGTATTACAAGCTCATCCTGCCCCTTGTCTCGTAGGGAATCAGGAGCACCAACAGCCCGGCGAGCAGGAACATGCCTCCACTGATGTACACCGGCACGGAGGTCTGTACATTGGCAACCATCGCGATAATCGGCGCCAGGATGCCCCCGATACGATTCGCACCGCCGACCAACGCGTTCCCCGTGCCACGGTGCTGCGTCTCGAAGATCTCCGGCGTGTATGCGTACAGCACCGCGTACAGCAGACTGCTGGTGAAGCTGTAGGCACAGTTCCACCCCAAGAGGGCACCCGAGGTGGTCGCCGTTGTGGAGGCGAGCAGGAACGCACCGGTTGATAATGTAGCGAGGCACAACGTACCCTTTCTCCCGAAACGCGGCAGCTCGACCATTACGCCACCGACAAGACTCCCGGGCACTCCGACCGCGGCAATGATGAGGGAGTTCCGGTAGGTGATGTATGTGGAGCCATCGCCGAATTGGACTCCCCGGGTCTGTTGCAGGTAGGGGAGAAAGTTGTTGTAGAGAGGAAAGCCTAACCCGATCAGGGCCCAGATGAGGATCATGAGACTCGTCGTCCAGGCGCGACGGGGGCTGCTGAAGAGTGCGCGAATGTAGGGCGCCGTGAGTGGCTCGAGACGCATGCGGAGCTGATCGGCTGCGCTCAGCCCACGAGGAGAAGTCGGCGCTGTTGGTATTGCAGTGGTGTCGGTGCCAGAGGTAGTACACTCGTCGAGCAAGTCTTCTACGGACAGAGACGATGTGGTTCCGTTTCGGCGCGCGACTTCATGGATGACAGCGACGGACTCTTCGTATCGGCCTTTGCCCATGAGAAACTTTGGGGACTCGAAAAGGGTGAAAAAGACCAATCGCGCCAGACACATGAGTAGAGCCAGGCCGCCCATCGTGATGAGAAAGTACCTCCAGCCCATATTGGAGGACCGGCTGCAAGTTTCTGCGGATGAACAGGTCATTTCCCCGATTAGAGGCCATGCGACCAGGTTGGCGAGCACCTGTGCGAGGGCCCAATTGATCGACAGCACAGTCAAAAGGTACTGGTGAGACCCGGGAAGAAACTCGAGGAAAATGGCCGAGTCGACTGGCAGGTTGCCTCCGACACCAAAAGACCACAGCGCGGCAAAGAGGCCCACGACGGCAAAGGACGGCGAGCCGGCCGCGACCAGGCCAAAGACCGCGGTGATGGCGATGGTGAGGTTAAAGGCCCATCGGCGACCGAATAAATCGCAGGTGAAGCCCCAGAACAGAGAACCGACCAGTAGACCAATGTTCTGGGCCAGAGAGAGCAACGGAGGCTGCGCGACATGGAATTCATAGGACACGGGGACGAGGATGAGGGAGGTGACGATGGGCCACAGGTTGTCGCTGGCCCAGCCGAACCCGATGACGCCAAACAGCTGCCATTGGTACCTTCCCATCCCAATGTCTTGGATGGCGCGGTTGAGCAGATCTGCCTTGTAGCGGTACGAGGCCGCCGCAGCATTGGGCTCTGGGGGAGCAGGCGTCGACTCCAGCGTCGACAACACCGGGTCCGTCTCATCCGGCTTGAATGAGGCCGGCATGGTTAGCTCGGAGGCCGCACGGTTGGCCAAAGCGGGGTGGAAGGTGAAGCTTATCGGGCGCAGTCCTCTGGTCGCATCCCAGCCGTGGATTGGGGCAGGTGAAGCTCGGAGAGCAACACATTCAGGGGAGCTGCGAGGAGCGCAGGAGTTGGGGAGTCTGGGGAATGAGTGAAGGGAGGCCGGATTGCGTCCCAGTGAAAGGAAGATAGTGAGTTAATGAAGAGAGTGAGACCGTGAGGATGACGGACTCGAGATGACGGGATCTGCAGGGTTGATGGTCTCATCCTCCAATCCCTGGATCTAGCCGGCCCCGGAAGCAGCCAATCACAATCGGGGACAAGATAACACGACACGAATTACTCCGTAGATACTCCGTAAGCAGGACTGAATAATGGATCCCTAACACTGATAGATACACATATATATACACCGCCAGTCTAACTCCCTTACAGCCGTCCAGTGGATCAGGCTGTCGTTGCAGCAGCTCCCAAGGAGCTGATCGGCGTCAACCCCGGGTAGAACGAGGTTGGCATGGTGGGGATGGGGATGGACTCGTCGGTGCCAAAGGCTGTCGACAGGTCGGCGGCCATGGTAGCAGCGGAGTACCCCGATGGCGCCGTGGTGACGGTCACCGTCGTAGTGTAGGACGTTGTGGAGTCACTGTCCTTCAGGCAGAAGCCGTCCCCGTACGCCGACTCGCACGTGTACGTCTGCTCATCGCCGCTTTCGGTCCACATGGCAAAGTCCTCGATGGTGATGTCGGTGCAAGGGGCCGTGTCCGAGCATACCACCTTGATGGGGCCGCGCTCGGCGCCATCCGCCTCCGTCCCCTTCCAGTTCTTAAAGGTGATGTTGCTTAGTTCCACCCCATCTCCAGCCACGGCCGTCATGCTGCTCCAGTAGCTGTCAATGTACAGCGAGTATGCATTGCCGTGCCCTACAAGGTTAGCCTGGCTCTGCCCTCTTTCTTGGGCCAGACATACCGATGAAGTTCTCCAAAAGAGTGTTGCTCACAGTCCCGCTGCCGCCATTGCTCTTAAACATATACATCTGGTTGGAGCTCCAAGTGTAGACGTTCCGGTACAGGATATCAGTAATGTCCGTGTCAGCTCCCAGAGACCCCATCGCACAGCCTCCACTCCAATTGCAGTAGATGCTCTCCACTAGGATGTTGTTGGCAGGGCTCTACACATGGTTAGGGATCATCCAGAGCAACTACTGAAGGGACTCTTACCTTGACCGTGACACATTCATCCTTGTTGGTTACCTCGACCTTGATTCATAGGTTAGCCGTCAACTCGCATCGTGGCATAGCTGGTGACATACGTCGTGAACCCAGATGTTGCTACCCCAGACATCAACCCCATCCAAGCCACCCGAATTACCACCCCGGATCGCCATGTTGTACACCTCGCCATTGGAGCAGGTATCCATGACGAAGTGAAAGGCGGGTGCATCAACCAGGATAATATCATGCACCGCGAAATCGCTGACATCCTGCAGCCGCAGAATCCGCGGCCCGTCGAGATCGCCCTCCCGGTGGTATACATATCCGAACCCCTGAACGGCACCCTCATCCGTGCTGCTGAACAGCTCGAAGTCAGATGTGTTCTCAACCAGGATCATATTACCGCCGTCTGTTCCTGTGCGGTAGATGACACCATCCAGCTGGATGGCCGTCGCTTTGCCGTCATCCAGAGTGACCCAAGTCTCCAGCGCATAGTTACCAGAAGGAATGTAGATCAGCCCTCCGTCAGAACACTCATCCCAGGCCGACGTTATGGCAGGCCCAAGGTCGGTTGAGTTGTCAGCCACAGCACCGTAGTCCAGCACGTTACATGTCTTGTGTGCAGCTTTGGAGGAAGCCGATGTAAGCGGACCAACGCTACCGGAGAGCTGGCCGTTGACCAGGAACGGGGCGATAGCTAGCGCGAGAAGTGAAAGAGCGGGCATGGCGAGAAGCTGATTCGCAGGCCTTTCTTTGGTCGGTTCTGAGCGAGAAACAATGGAGCCATTGCTGCCGGTCTTTTATAGATATCAATACCGCGTCGACGGCTTCTCCCACCGGAGAACCATAGCCCCTTTGCTTCAATATCATATCAGGTGGCCGCACAACATGAACCGGCAGAATAGTGGCCATGCCGTCTTCGTGGATATTAATTTAGACTTACGGTCTCATCCCGTTGGACTCCGTTCCTGCACCACCGCCGATCCCTCTCTTCTGGTGAAGCAGTGGTGTCAAGCTTCAGCTAAGCTCCCCCAAATCAGTCCCTCATTCACGGAGAAATGGCACAGTGAATGAACCCCACCGGCGCTCGAGCTGACGATGGTGGGTGCTCGGTTATTTTGAAGGGGATATTGCAGTGATGATCATGCCTGAGCTGACGTTGAGGGAAGAACTAAAGCCTCTAGTCGCGTCAGAAGGGTCGCTCGGCAATTCTCAGGTCGGGGTTAACCGCCCAGGAGTCTCCTGACTGCCTGAGCGTACACTTGTCAGTCGTCATAGAACCATGGCCATCGGGTTGAAGCTCACCGACCTGGAGGCATTGGAGATTGGGTTCACCTGGAGCTTTGGCAGAAAGTTGACGGGTGGAATCGATGGGTGGAAACCGAATCTCCGTATGATTGGTACCATACCATACCATACCGCAATGGTATTGGTAGACTTCGTACTACACGACCCGATACGCGGCACGCGATACAGCCATAATGTGTTAGACCGTTTCGAATACATCGTAGGGCATCTGTGGCGTCCGGCAACGGTGGATATCTCGGCAATTCTAACATTTACTAAAAGAAATGTCTATCATACCACAACAGTCAAGACAGAAATTATCTACCTCTTCGCCAACTCTGCTCCTAAACACCGCTCGAGCGTCTGAAACGCCCGCTCAACTTCCTCAGGGATATCAACATGTCCGATAAACCCCTGCCCCCGAGGCCCGTATCCATTCTCGTCATCCCTCAACCGCGGGATCTCTCCCATCAGGAGACCCAGGAAGCGTGGCATGCTCCACAATCCAACAGCCGAGACCCCTTGCACATCGTACATCAGCTCTGTCCCCTGCAGCTTAACTCTCGGTATAATTATCGGCCAGCTCAGTAGCTTGGGAGGAGCCGGTCCGTACGCCTTGTCAAATGAGGCAACCGTCCTCCGAGCCATGGTCGGATCCTGAACAATAATCATGGAACTAGGTGCCGGGATACCGTTCCTTTCCAATAAGGCCCTGGTTTCCGTGGCATTCCGTCCGCAATTCGTGGACTTATCTTCAATCAAAACCCTGCACCCGGCCTCCTGGATGGAAGCTGCATGGAAACACGCATTGAAGATGGTATACAAGACGTAGGCTTCCGCTTTTCCCTGGATATCTGGGGCTAAGTGTGCGTATTTGGGATGCTTAGACACGGCCTCATAGAGATGAGGTGTAGAATGCCCGATTCCCCCACAGAGCACTAGTGTCTTGGTTAGATGAGGGTTGCGTTGCAGGTGTCTGAAGACTGTTTCCGCGGGCTCTAGGACGGCGGATACGCAAACCACGATGCAATCCGAATTAACGGGTGGCTGGGTGGCTGGGATTTGTTCGTGCGCGAGAAATTCGGCTATGCGGTTGACATCTTCAGGCTTAACGACCGCCATCACCATTGATGGACACTGTGTGTTCTTTCACTTTGGATTTTTGAGGAAGATGTGGAATGGAAACGATATCTTGACATGAATCGGATGGATGGAGCCATCAGCAGCACTATTCTTCCGGCCCCTTTGATTGGCCCGTGTGCAGCGGGGTAGCACCTTCCCGATTGGGCCAGTCAGCGTTGTACTCAACCGTCTCCAGTCCGTCTCTCGGGCTCTCTCTTCCTCACTGTGCACGCGAGCTGGAAATCAGACAACGTTCTAAAACTTGTGAAGCTCTATGTGAAGCTCATCGAGTCAGTACTACAATCTCAGCTGCTCGTCTCACGTCGGGATCTCCTTTTGTCGACAACTCCCACGGCACTTCGGACGGTGGCCGACGTATCAGGCGCTCTGGGTAAGCTCTGGAGAAAATTGACTATTATAGGGGTCTGTGGAGTAGATCTCCTCTCGTTATATCATCCGAGAGGACCTTGATGTCCAAACCAAAGCTCTGTCCGACTGCCGGAGAGGCATCGGCATATAGTAAGTCCCAAGCAAGTATGCCCTCGCACTCAAGCACAGTCATTATATACTGATGTAGCATCTCATGCTTATAGGACTAACCTCGCCTGACTGCGGTCGCCTACGAATGTGCCAACAATCCATACAATGTTACGTCCCGTACGCTCCCGTCGCATGATCGGAACAATTACGCAACACCAGCAACAGTTGAAATAGCATACTCCGGGTGCATGAGCATCTCTCAAGACCCACTGCTTATTAGTACTGGCCAAATTAGCGGCTGCAAGGCAAACACTGTCTAAACCTTCGTTTGGGAGCAATGTCCATGCCGCAGTTCATCAGAAGGATTACATCCGAAAGCCTGCCTCCGATAGTGGTGACAGCACACGGCAGCGTAAGTTGTCATGAGCTGACATTTGCCACCTGGAAAGGCCCTTTAAAATAAACTTGCCGCAGTTTAAGCGATTACTCTTATGCAAGAAGTCATTCTACTACGGAGTAATGACAGAGGATACAGCTCCCATCACACCGGTGAACTTCATGACAGCGGTTCGTATAGCAGTAGCACGGCTGATAGTACTCTTACGGAGTACAATGGAGACAGTTCGTACGGTAGCGGCTCCCCTAACAGTAATCCGTGGGTGTAATAACTCAACCAGGTCTTTTGAAGAAGGAAATGAGTACAGTGGCGGCTTTAGCTATCAAATAAATGCCAGGCTAGTCGCATCTATATGTACCTCTACAGGACTGCGATAGGTAAGCACTGTTTGGAAGCAAGGCAATTACCGGCCTGAGGCAACAAGCCGACCATTGCTTATATCTCAATGTCTTCTCAATGATTTTGGAAGTCCCTTAGCTTACCAAAATCCCCCGTCCAAAGCGGACATGATCTTGCTGGCTCTCTCGTTCTTCTCATTCGGCCGAGATGAATGTTCGGGCCGGGCGGAACCATCCAAGCCCCTCGTGACTCATTGGATCAATCCTTATGGGGTATATTAATGAAACGCAGAGTAGAATTTCCTTTATGTCGAGGAAAAGGAGGGAAGTCTATGTGCTTGGACTTCACTGTATGTTGAAAGCGGGGCTGGTTCATGCAGCCGTGATTAGTATATATAACCCGCACCGGACAACTTATTACGGCTGAAGGACACTCGACGTGGTCCAACAGCAATCATGGCTGATCAGAATGATGGTATGGATCAATCTGAACTCACCAAGCATGACATGGGTTGGCGAAAATTAGTTCGTCACTTCACTCCATCGTACGCAGCATTGGACTTCATGGCTTCGGATGACATCAGCTAACATATATGTACAGGTGGTTTTCGGTTACCATGGGCACTGGGATTGTGTCTGTTCTGCTTAACACACTCCCTTATAACGGCCAATGGCTTTATTGGATCTCTGTTGTCTGCTTCGCTTTCAACGTCCTGCTCTTCATGACAGGGTGTATCATCACTTTCCTCTGCTACACGCTGTATCCGGAAATCTTCTTCGCCATGATCAAACACCCAGTTCAATCCATGTTCATAGGGACGTTCCCCATGGGGTTCGCGACCATCATCAATATGTTTTGTTTCGTCTGTGTCCCAGCCTGGGGTGACTGGACCCGAAATTTTGTGTGGGGGATGTGGATCTTCGATGCTGTATTCTCTGTCGTAACCGCCCTCTCCTTACCCTTCTTACTGTGCGCCTGCCTCTGCTCTGATATATTATCTAGTGGCTCTATTAACGTGAGATTAGGATGGCCCATGGAAGCGAAACTCAGCTCTCATCCATGACAGCCGTATGGCTCCTCCCCATTGTCAGTTGCATCGTCGCAGCCTCGTCTGGTGCCATCGTGGCCGATGTGCTCCCCAATCCACAGCACGCCCTCTGGACCGTGCTTGTAAGCTACATACTCTGGGGGATTGGATTACCTCTCGCTTTGATGGTCATGGTGATATACCTACAGCGATTGACGCTGCACAAATTGCCCCCCAAAGCGGTGATCGTGAGCGTGTTTCTCCCTTTAGGGCCCCTCGGCCAAGGCGGATTCGGGTGAGTGTTTACCTATCTTCAAAATCCAACAGAGATGCACATGCTCAACATATTACCAGTGCTATGAAGTTGGGTCAGGCGGCACAGGAGATCTTTCCCCAAACGCAGACCCTTGAGGCTTCATCCGGACCGGCTTTCTATACTATGGGTTTCATGGTCGCCCTGATCCTCTGGTCCTTTGGCTTGGTTTGGCTCTTCTTCGCATTAGCATCGATTGCAAGGAGTAAGAGCTTTCCTTTTAATATTGGCTGGTGGGGGTTTACGTTCCCTCTGGGCGTGTACGCCACCAGCACGTGTCAGATAGGCAGGGAGCTGCCATCGGAATTTTTCCGAGTATTTGGAACAGTAAGTCAACTCCTTGGGATGTTGGCCGTTCTAGATATTGATTTATTGTAGATTCTCTCATTTTGCGTGGTGGCATTGTGGATTGTGGTGAGCATCGGGACATTGCGGGGGGTGCTGTCAGGGCGATTGTTTTTTGCACCATGTCTGGCGGATTTGAAGGGAAGAGAGAACGAGAGTAAGGATGCTATGAAGGCAGCCTGATAAGAAGTTTGCCAGGGATCAGATGTCATGATCGTCTTGGAAAACCATGGGAAAAACGCACCCGCAACACAGGGCGAAGAGTAAGGGACGGGGAAGTAACTAAAAAGTGTAATTTAGTACAACAACAACAACAAAAAGAAAGGGGAGAAAAAGGAAATGTTACTAGCTATCCACACTAGGGGTTGTCCTCGAGGAGGCTTGTTTGATTCTGTCCACTATTATTTTTTAACGTCATTTCTAGATCTCGGGGAGGACTCGATGTCCACCAGCTCTAGCGCAGTTAACTGGATGAATGTGGAACGTCACGGCGAGCGACCAAAAATGCTCAGAATCTCAGATCCATCCCTGATCTCTGAACTACTAAAGTAAGCTTAAACGAAGGGGACGAGTTATCATAGGTGGAATGCGGATTTTAGCTGTCTGCGATGGGGTTCCTACTTTATTTTTTTAACCCTTTTAATCTTTGGAGGGTGTGAGGAATTCGGATTTTTGGGCCCTGGAGAGTATTATTTATTTTTATTTTTTATTTTCCTAATTTTTATTATTCTCGGTTTAGTTACGTAGGACTTAACTACCCTTTAGTGCAGAATCCCCAGGCCCCTCAACTCTTCGGCGGCGTCCTTGAAAAGAGTTCCAGTCCCTCTGCCCACCGGACTCTCCTCCATGCTGTTCTCTTTCTGATTCTCTTGCCCGCTGGATGCGATGCGCTCGTCTGCGCGCTTCAACCGACTTCGACCTCGTTTCTCGCCCGCTGGCGCAGGCGAAAAGATGAGTGCCCGATGGCTGCCTTCACCCCCGCCCGAGGCGGGGGAGCGCTGTGAGTGGCCAGCCGGGCGAGGGGTCACGTGCGGGCTCACCGGGCGAGAAAATAAAATCCAAAATTCGAAATTCCGGGCAGCCCAAAGCAAAAAATTAAAAAAGGCGAAAATAAAAAATAAAAAATAATAATAACAAAAAAAGGAACGGAGTCCATCAAGATCCCAAACAAATCATCGCGCGCGGCCATCTCAAGACATCAGGATCCATCGAGGCATCCCTTCCTGAGTGGTTTGGAGGTCTCTTGACCGGCATCCACGGCCTTCTTCGCTCCTGTTTCCTGGTCACCTTGCATTGCCTGTCGGGCGCACCCTTTTTCTTGCCCCCTGGGAGGTTTGGCTCTCCCAACACTTGCGCTCCGGGTCCGCGTGGGTCCGCCGTAGCAGTTGGACACCTGAGGCTACCAGGCAGCCATCGACCCAGTCACGCTTTCTCGATTCCGCTTTGGGGTCGGATCTGAATCATTTATTATTATTATCCACCGCAGCAGCAGCCGGTCGCACGGCTCTTCCCCAGTCCAGACCACGCGCCCTGGTGCGCGTCTCTCTGACTGCTGCTGCTCTACTCGTCCCTCGAATTGAATTGAATTGGCTTATCCACGGCCTGCATTCCCTTCCCCGCGGTGACCGCAAGGTTGGTGGTGGTTCGCCTCCTCGCCCCCCCCGAACTCATACCGTGTCGCCGTTGGGGTGCGAGACGCGGTGGTCACATGTCCGCCATTTGAGCGTCCCTAACAAGCAAAGTATTCAATCATTCCATCCATTCTGTCTCCACCGCCTCAGGCCTTGAGGGGATATCTCTTCCTCTCGCCGTCGCTCGGTCAAGATGATGGGCTTTAATGGTCATTCGTTTCATCAGCAACGGCAGCCTCAGCAAAATGCCCACCCCCAGCACCCCCAGCATTTGCAGTCCCCATCTTTGGCGGCCGCCGCCCATCCACAACATGGCACCGGCATGCCCGGGAATAACGCCTTGTTTCGGGGTCAATCGCAGGCGGAATTGGCGGCCCATTCCCCGGATCTCCGCAAGATGACCCCGTCCTCTACCGCCCCTTTAGTTGGGCTCCCCACGGGGGGTCATTATAGTCCGTTCCCCGGACATTACCCACCACAGGGCTCGTCAGACCTGCTGTCTCGTAATGCAGACTCCGTTGGTCAATTGAAGGACCCCTATCTATCCTTGCAGAGTTTGCAGCGGAATATGAACCCCATGGCCAATTTCCGTGCGCATCAAAACGCGATCAATTCGCAGGCTGCCATGTCTCCACATGCGCACGCAATGGGGCTCGCTTCCCCCCAGCAGTCCTTTGACCGATTGCAGCAGCAGCAGCAGCATCTTCAGCATCGACAGACTCCCCATGCACACCCGACGACGCAAACTTCTGCAGCTGCTTCGCCGATGCTGACAACCGCCCAACCCCAGCATGCCTTCCATCAGACTGCATACCAGCAGGCGCAGCAACAATCGCCTTACCAGCAAGCTCAAGCGTCACCGTACCAAGCGCAACAGGCGCATTATCAACAGGCACAACAGGCGCAGTACCAGCAGCAGCACCAACATCAGCAGTCGCCGTACCAAACACAAGCGCAGCAGTCCCCTTATCAGCAATCCTCGCATCAAACGTATCAGCAGCAACAGGCGCAGCAACAGGCACAACAGCAGGCCCAGCAGCAAGCACAGCAGAAAGCCCAACAGGCCCAACAGGCCCAGCAGGCCCAGCAACAGGCCCAGCAAGCTCAGCAGCAGGCCCAGCAGAAGGCTCAGCAACAAGCGCAACAACAAGCCCAGCAACAGGCGCAACAAAAAGCCCAGCAGGCGCAACAAGCTCAACAGCAAGCTCAGCAGCAAGCTCAGCAGCAAGCTCAGCAACAGGCACAGCAGCAGGCCCAACACCAGGCTCAGCAGCAAGCACAGCAACAGGCCCAGCAACAGGCCCAGCAGCACGCTCAGCACGCTCATCAACAAGCCCAACAGACTTACCAGCAACAGCAGTCTCGGTTTCAACAGCAGCAGGCCCAACGGTCCCCGTATCAGCCACAGCCCCAACAGCTTCAATTTCAACATGCGTATCAGCGGCAGTATTCACAGCCGCAGCCGCAGCCGCAGCAGCATGCCATTGTCCAGCAGCATGCCATGCACCAACATCAAGCGCAGCCGCAGCCGCAGCAGCATCATCCGATGTTGCAACAGCATCAGGTACAACAACAGCCATCACCTGCACAAGCGAAGATGCAACTGCAACAGCAACGCCCGCCACAATCCTCCACCCCAGCTAGTATGGCCGGGGCCGAGCTTATTGCTCCAACACCGGAGAAAACCGAGAGTGCTGGCACTAAGCAACGGAAGAAACCGTCCAAGCCTTCTGCATCTCCAGCGGCGTCTGTTACTCAAGTCAATGGGCAAGCTCCAGCTGGATATCCAGCTGCCACTACTGTTCCTGCTGCGGCTTCTGCTCCTGCTCCCGGTCATGGCCCGACTCTTGTTCCTGGTCACGGACCCACTCCTAATCCCGCGACTGTGCTCAGTTCTGCTCAGGGACCTGGACCTGCCACCACTGCTGCTGCTGTTGCTGCTACTGCTGCTGCACCTGGCGCAGAAGGGACTGCTCCAGCCACAACCCCGTCGGGCAAAAAGAGAGGTCGTCCACGTAAACCTGTAGTGCCCGGAGAGGAGAAGAAGCCCAGACCGAAGAAACCCAAAAAGACTCAGACGGTGACCACAACGGCACCAGATGGCACAACGACAGTAGTTACGGTTCCCGTAACTAATGCACAGGGTTCAGCTGCGGCTCCAGGTCTGAGTGGTCCTGCGCCTGCGCCTGCGCCTCCACCGCCCCCGATCATCGGGCCCGACGGGAATCCTATCCCGCAAAAGCGAGGCCGTGGACGTCCTCGTAAGTCAGAACAGGGCAACGTGCCTCCGAAGCCTAGGCCGCCTAAGAAGCCATCCAAGCCAGGCACCGGGCGACCTCGCGGACGGCCACGCAAGGCGGATGTTGAAGCGCGCAAGGCAGCCGAAGCAGCAGCAGCAGCAGCCGCCGCCGCCGCTGCCGGTGGTCAGACACCAGGCGAACCGCTTCAAGCTGGAGGCCAGGCACCAGCTGTACAGCCGGCGCAGCAACCGCGGGCCCAACCTCAGCCTCATGCACAAGCTCAACCGCAAGCCCGGCCTCAGCCTAGGGCGCAACCTCCGCAACCCTACCAACATCATCATCAGTTCCAGGTTACCCCGCAGCCTCACAACATCCACGGGCATCAAATGCAAGGCCAGTCCAAAGGCCAATCTCAGGCGCATCAGATGCATACTTCGAGCCAAGCTCAATTCCAAGCACTGCAGCACCAATTCCAGGCTCATCCTCAACCTCTTCCCAACAACCCCACCCATAACCAGAATCAAGCGCAAGCGCAGTCCCGCCCAACACCGAGTCAGCAGCCATCTCAGGCACAGGCACAACCTAGACAAGCTCAAGCTCAAGCGCAGGCTCAGGCTCCGACGCAGGCTCCGACGCAGGCCCAGGCCCAGGTTCAGACTCCGACTCAGGCACAACCCAGACAAATACAAGGCCAAGCTCAACCTCAGGCACAGCCCCAAGCACGTCAAATCCAGGCGCAACCACAGCCTCAGGTGCAGGCGCAGCCCCGCCAGATGCATCCTCAACCCCCGGCGCAACCGCAGGCGCAACCGCAACCGCAGGCCCTGCCCCGTCAAATACCCGCTCAAGCCCAGCCACAAGCCCAAATCCACCACCCCCAGGCTCACCATTTCCAGCCGCATCAGCTGCAAGCCCAAGCTCAGGGTCATCCTCACCCTCATCAAGCTCACGCCCACCCTCAGTTTCACATGCACCCCCATCTCCACCCTCACCCCCACGCCCACGCGCAAGCGCAAGCTGCAGACCCGATGAGCTTGAACCCGCCCCAAAAGCGCGGTGCGCCTGTGGATGATGACCCACGTAAACGGGCCTTCCTGATGCCTCAGCAGATGTAATTCTTTGCCCGTGACGTGCTGCACATGATGCCTACCTGCCTGCTTGATTGACACGCTAGATGCCACGAAACGCACTGATGTCGTCCCATCCGTTTGTTTTACTTCATTGTTAATTTTTTTTTAATTCCCGATGCCATCTCATCTTCCTGGACGTTCTTCTGGCGAGTCTCCATCATCTCACACGTTGTATCCAATTTTGTTGTCCGAGAGCTTTCATCTTTGAAATTCCATCCACCATCATGATTAACCAATAACCCAGTTCAGTTCCAGTTCCAGTTCAAATTCCAATTAAGCCTGCATTCATGTTTGCGTCGATCCCGTCTGTGATTTTCGTTTCATTTGCTGAGCTTCGATCCCTTCCATCTCCATGCAAAGTATCCATGCCAAGTACAGGTACATGAACAAGTACTCCACCACCTCCACATTTGCTCCCACTACCTACCTACCTACCTTCCTCCTACCGACCACCCACTTAGTTGGTTTAGTTCCACATAAAACATCCAACAACACCATCATTTCCTATTCCACTCTACCACCCTTCCGAGTTCCCATACCCCTGAGTGGGGCCCCCTATTCGTCCGTCACTCCGATCTCCAATATGACGCATAGTCAATACGTACAGCCAAATAGATATTTTCATGTAATCATCATCCCAGTTCATTGGTATTACTTTTGAACGAAGTGCAAGTCTTCGGTATTATATTAAGGAAATGAATGGGATTTGATATCAGTGATAACATGTGGTACGGCGAAGTGGGTCGAGGGTGTGATGGGGGATACTAGTGTAAGTGGACTGGTATGCAGTCAGTGACTTATGGGCTGGGTAGAGGTGGGTTGGGGGAGAGATGGATGCATAGGATGTATAGTGATGAAGTAAGTGGACAGTAGGTCAGATATACGAAAGTAAAGTATATTAGATAGAAGTAAATTCCCATAGTATCCCAGCTATCTATCTCAGTGACTCGATCGTAAATGACCTGTTCAATTTGAAACATTACCTGGAAGAATAGAAACTAGGAGTACAGAGTCACGACCAACGCTCCGATTTTCAGAAAAAAAAGATACAAAAAGGCACGGCGAAGTGGTATCCCAGAAACATAAACCGGGTATGGTGAAATCATGAAAACCGCGGACGCCGTGCACAGACCCTAAAAGAAAAAAAAAAAAAAAAAAAAAAAAAAAAAAAAAAAAACTTAGTGAATCCGATCAGACTCCATCAGCTCCCCAATCGGGGTTTCAACGCCATTAGCTTGCAGGTCGGACTCGTCTCCATCCTGGGGCAGGTCCCTCTCATCCGGGAGATCACTGGTATCGATGCCCAGGCTCGGGGCGATCCGCCGCACCACGCTGTTGCACTGGCGGAAGGCGCGCCGGGACGCCGCATACGTGAGCGCCATGTGGTGCAGCCAGTGGAGGGCCTTCTTGATCACCCGGGTCATGATGAGCATGTCCGAGAAGACGCGCCGCGCGGCGTCATCATCATCGCTGGACCCGATGTTGGGGGACCAGCTGGACAGGTGCAGCAGGATGGCCGTGGTGGCTTGCATGATGTAATGAAGGATGCACCACCAGGGAGTCACGGCCGTGAGCCAGACAATATCCGGCGTTTCGGGAAGGATGGACAGGAGGGAATGGGCGGAGCGGATGCAGATGAGAGCCATGTCGGAGCTGAAATGCGTGCGATTGTGCGAAGTGCGCCGCACGACGCGACGGACGGACGAAGGGGCGGTGGAGTCGAGGGACATCGAGCCGGGCTGCAGACCGGTATGTCCGAGACACGGGCGACACAGCGTGATCCGGGCGCTATAGTAGCTAACGGCGAGGGAGGTGCGTTCTCGGATCCACGGGGTGTGCTTGTCGTCCGGCAGGTCCAACTGATGGCCGCCGTCGGAGGTGAAGCGGAAGGCGTCGGGCACCTTGGTGACCCAGATGTCCAGGATGCTGCAGTATTTCCGGATCCGCTGCTCCACCTGGCTGGCCCGGTCGCGGAGCCCTTGAATGCTGTAGACCTTGTTGATGATCGCCTGCGTGATGGCGGCGAGATCCACTGTACAGTAGAAGAACAGGGACGGGCTCGGCTCGCACGAGGCCAGCCACGAGGCGCTGGCGCGCGCTTCCTCGTCCGTCTGCAGGAGCGTCAGCTTAAGCCGAGTCGTCCGGAGGGACGAGTCTTGGAGGAGCGGGAGGACTTCCGGTCGGCCGAAGGACTCCTCCTCGTACGGGATGGGGAGGGGGGTGGCGCTGAGACTTTCGCACACGCACGAGACGCGACCGGTGATCGCCGTGAGGAGATGCTCCAGCAAGAAGATGGACCACCACAGCCGACTGCGCGCTTCCTTGGCGGGGTACTGCGTCCGATCATCGACGAAGCGCAGATTGATGCCCAGGGACACGGCGGAGCGGAAGGCCATACTGGAGAACTTGAAGGCCCTGCAGCGGACGACAGATTAGCAGGGCCGGGGATCAAGCGAGCGACGACCCGCGGGGGGCGACTTGCCTGTTGATCTGACACACGCTGACAAAATAGAGCGCCACCAGAAACTCGACCTGGATTTGCTGCAGATCGGCGTGTTCAAAGACGACGGATTCGCCCATCGTCAGCTTCCGCGCCCGGTTCAGATAGACCAGGTCGTCGTAGTCGCCGTCCGCCTTGCCGGCGATGGCGCGACAGTACCGACAGCCAATGGCGAAGATCATGTTCAGGATGGCCAGCCACCGTTGGGGCGGCTTGATGGGCTGACTGAAGAACTGCCGGTACTGCGATATGAAGGCCGTCTTGCGAACGACGTTGAAGGAGGGATGGACCGACTCCATGTAGGCCGTGAAGAAGCGATTCGCCAACTCCTTCGGGGGCAGGGCGTAGGGATCCACCGCGTCCATCAACGGGATACTGAGATCGTCCAGGTAGTAACTCATCGTCGCAATCGCGGTTTCCTGCCGCTGCGAGGGATGCGGCGGCGGTTGGCTCCCATCGACATCGACCGACTCCTCTTTCTTCCGACTGCGCTGTTCGGCCTCGTCTTCGAGCCTCTGCATCCACGCCACCTCGGAGATTTTGCCAAAGAATCCGGTCGCCACGGACTTTTCGCTGCGATTCAGGTCTTCCTCGACCAGGTCGAGCGCATCCAACGACCCGATGGACGAGGTGGTCGAGTCGGAATCGCCATCATCGTCGGTGAGCGATGCCGGATCCGAGGCCTGTCCGGATTAGCCTGCCGTGCTCGCGACGACCCAGCACCACGATCGACGGACTCACCTTGAGCGCTCTCCGGATGCGTCTCGCCGCAGGGTCGTCCACCTCCTTCTCCAGGTCCTGGAGCAGCTGCTCGTAGCGCTCGACCTTTTTCCCCAGAAAGCCCAGCTGTTTCTGATCGCGGACTCGTTTGACATCGACAAAGAAACAGCTCACATTGTGGTCGATGCACTGCCGACAGATCGGTTTGTTCCCATCACACTTGATCTTCCGCTGTCGGCAGGGTTCACAGGCGCGCGCGGAGCGGCGGCGCTGGGACTGGCTGCTGGCGCTGGTGGTGCGCGGAATGGCCACTTTGGCCGCCAGGCCCGAGACCTCGCGTGAGGACGACGACGACGACGATTGGTAGGCATAGGGACCGGGTCGGTCCATATACTGAGGCAGCGAATACGGGCGAAAGGCGACGGGGGGCACGGCCGAGGGGCTCACGGGTTCCCAGGGCCACTCGGTGAGGCCTCGCAGGGCCGAATTCTCGGCTTTAATGGGGAGTGGGTTCTCATCGGCGGGATGAACCCCAAAGGGATACGATCCTGGGGGGCCCTCCATCACGAAGTGAAGTTTGAGATCAGGGGGGTGCAGTCCATCCAAGGGGCAGAGGGGATGGTCGTCCGGGGGGGGGAGGGGGGGGAAGCGGCCAGAAATCGAGGCCGCCAGGCAGGAGGCCGAGTCCCCAGTCCATGACGTCATGGACCATGCCGGCAGCCCATCAGCTCTCCAGCCGGGGGGAATCTGAATAATAGACTCCCCAGGGCGCCCGCCGCGCCCAGGAACACCGGTTCATGTGAGAGAACAAGTCATTCTGGTGGTATTAGAGCTTAAATCTGCTCGTAGATGGCTTACACACGCCCGACCCGGCCGAGGCGGAGGAGACGCGCATCACAATCGCCATGGAAAAGACCCCTTCCATTCTGCCACAATCCGGCCTCCGGGTCAGTACCGGGGCCGCTCCGGAGCAATTTCATCCTTGCCCAGGCTCAGGCTCTCGTATCGATCGAGCATCTCGAACAGGCTGAACTCCCCGTCCGATGCCCCATGGTACCGCTCGTCCATCTCCAACTTCTCCAGCCCCTTGGCATACTCGTCCCACTGCGAGGCCGACGTCGATTCTTCATCGAACATGGCCTTGAGATCATCCGACACCGCATGGGACTCCCGCAGCTGCCGACCCTGCGCTTTGGCATGCACCGCCTGCCGGAACTGGTGGAACAGCGACCGCCCCAGGGGGGACCGGCTGGCGACATTGGAGAACGCGCTGGCGAGCGCGAGAAAGTCCGGGTCTAGGATATCAAAGGACTCGAACTCGAGCAGGGTAAAGAGCGCCAGATTGATGGCGTACATGGCGAAATGGTGCGCGCGACTGATGCCGTACTCGCGCCGGTGGAGCACGGTCAGGGCCGCTATTGCACGCGCCGCCGACTGCACGATTCCAGCCGTGTTGTACTTGGGCAGCGGGCTCAGACCCGGTGGGCTTTCGGGAGTCTTGGGGGCCTCGGAGTCGGGCGTGGCTCTGGCTCGCTCGCTCCGGAAGGAGAAGATATTGATCACCAACGTGTGGTAGCGCATCCTGTTCCCATCCGCCTCTCGTTAGCACCGAACGTTGTCGCAAGTAATTAAGAACGCGGGAATCCAACCAAGGCATCCGTGCTCACCGCAGCAAAATGATGTAAGGTGGCGGCCGATGATACGGATCGAAAACATCCGGCAAGGTACTATACCAGCCACGGAGCCTCTCGTAAAGGGTCTCCTGGATCTGACGCAGGTACTCGACCGAAACTGCATTGACATCGATGCCGAAAAGCCGCTGCGATACATCGCGGGCAATCTCACACAGGTTGCAGGACTCGTTGAAGTAGTGGCTCAGGTAGGATGACCGAGCCGGTCGGTGAGACGGGTAAGGGTACCACAAACTCGAGTCCTCGGCGCTGTACCGGTTGGGCCGTTCCAGGTTGACCTTGTCGATGAGACTCGGCCGCAGGAAATCGGCATGCACCACTCTGTCCAAGGGGCGCTTAGTCCATGACATGGCACGGTGATGTGGTCGAGAGAGCTTACGTGTCAATATGAAACAGCCCCCAGGCCGTTCGCTTGATCGAGATATCCATGTCGTCCGAGATCTGCCCTGGATTCAAGCTGACTTTCCGTGGGCCAATCAGTCCGAGAGACTCGCCGGTCCAGATGGCTTGGTGGAGCATCCGGTAGCCCAGATCATCCTCCCCGGACATGGAGTACCTGCATCCTGCGTTAGACCGGACACATCCGATGGGATGGCCAAGCGACCAGTCGTCGTACCGTTCAAACAGCAAGAGCGTGCCTTGCAGGTAAGCGAGGCTGAGTTTCGTGGGTTCTTCCTCCCGCAAGCGTTCAGCTTCGGCCAGGAAATCGGCCCCTTTAGTCAGTATATCCCCCGGATCGACGTATGCCTCCGAGTAGTCCGAGAAGTGCTGTGCATGCATATTTAGCGAACATCCAGATGACCCTCCACAAAGGCCAGTGTACACACCCGGTTAAACCATAGATGTGATCACGAACAGAGGACAGAACCTACACATGCGTTCGCAAGCAGAGCGTTCACCAGGAATGGACTGCAAAACTCCGAGTTGATGGTACCCTTTCGCATATGCTTGAGGAACACGTCCCGGTCGAGAAAGGCATGGAACGGATAGTCCCAGGTGAAATACAGGGACACCAGGTGGGAGACAAGGTCGGCATCGCCGGTCACGGTCGTCCAGGGCTCTGCGGGGACCCTGTGGGGTACTTCGTTGCATAAGTAATGGATATCCATGACCTGGGGACGAAATGACGGCCCAGCGCCTTCGACATCGATCACCCGTCTCACCTCCTGCAACTGCCGCCCCGCCACGTCACTCACCTTGCTGTGTCCTTCAATTTGGCCCAGGGTATCGTCGATATACGTCCGAATCTCCTCGGCCGTGGCATCCTCCCGGATGATTTCAAGCAGTCTCAGCGCGTGGGTCTGATCCTCCGCGCGCATCACCTTCAGGAGATCGTTCAGCATATCCCGGTGATAGCTGAGCTCATCGGCCGTGCGCTTCGCAGCCACCCGGCGGCGCTGATCCAGCGTCTCATCAAAGATGCACTGTCGATTAAACGCGCGACAGTTGTCACACGGCGCCGTTCCCGAACACTGTCAGGGATCCCAGCCGCTGTCAGTAGCCGTGCACCGCACGGCTTCTTGCACATCATCGAAGGAATCAATCAAGAACATCACCATCTCACCGAGAAGAGCATAGGACGCGAGTCGCTAACAACAAGAGGCTGGCACTTGCCTTCCGTTTGGACTTTTTGCAGGCCAAACAGGCCATGGAGACGCGTTTCTTCGAGACATCCGAGGGGGTCCGAAAGCTTTCCCCGGGGGGGCTGTCCCCCGATGGTAGCTTTTCCGACTTGGAGGGCGAAGGGCCCGGAGCCAGCTGACGGTGTTGACCTCCAAATTCACTCATGTTGCGGGTTCACAGGGAAGCAGAGAGACGTCATCGGGGTCCTCTGATGGGTGGGATGAATGATAGAGGGGATGGCCAACCCCCCAACAACACGGAGTGGCGAGCCATATAGGCGAGAACTCGAGGAGATAGGGCCCGTCGCAAGCACATGCTCGTATAGTTTCCATCCTCCCGATGATTTACCTTCTTATGACGTAGAGTAAACTCGCACCACCTACGTTAGAGGCGCCAGGAAACCATGTCCGAGCATCGATGGAACGTGGGGCGAGACCTTGGACGGACGCTAGGGGGGAGGGGAGAAGTTCGGATCAAGGCCCAAGCAGCAGGATGAGAAAGCAGCGGGGGGCCAGCAACGAATTCGCAATTCGCAACCGAACCCCGCGAGAGCCCGCAAGGTGTCGCAACTTGTCAGGGACAGAGGACCGGGAAACAGACCTCCAGCCCGGCGGCGGAAGCCCCTCCCGGCCATGACGAAGGCAGGCACCTCCACGTGATCCAGCCCTCCCTCCAGTCAACGGTCCTGGTCGCCGACTACAGAACGCGAAAGAAACTCAAATCCAAGGTGAATAATATGAATTGGACATTACGTACGGTGATATCTCCTAACTAAACGGTCGCCCGCAATCTGCAGTTTCTCCTGGGAACCCCCTTTTGACCCAGCATTCCGGCGTCCAGGAGAGCCTCAGAATGCTTCCAATTAAAAGAACACTAACGACCAGGATAAATGGTCTCGGCGAAAAAAAAAAGAAGCAGGCCTAAACTAGTGGGTTTCTTTTCCTTTGCTGCATCCCCCCAAAGCAAATGCCGCCATGGCGAATGCGCCTCTAGAGATAGGACCATCTCCATCAGAAGCCGAATCCAGACAACGGTGGCCCCGCTTCGAACAGAAACTCTATCAGCCCCGGCAGATCATGTCTCGGTGTCATCCCAGATGAGACGGGTGCACACGACCGCCGGCATACAAAGTAGGAATTAAACGGCCGACCGTGGATGCACCCATCTAGTGTTCCAGAATGCGCAGGCTTCCCTGGACGACGCAGTTCTCCAGCACCGAACCCGGGGGAATGTCGATGGTGCTGCCCTCCGTGGCCACAATGATGACGGTTCCCTTGAGCTGCACGTTGCGGCCCAGGTTGACGGCACCGGTGATAGTCAGGTGGTCCAGCTCGACGATGCGAGGGATGCTGGGAATGCGCTTCTGGAAGTCGGAGACCTTCTTGAAGTCGGAACCGAGCTTGATGACGGGGACACCACCGAAACGGTTGGGGTCCATGACGAGCTGGCCGTGCTCCAGGCGGTAGAGATCCGACTTGACGAGCATCAGGTCGGAGCAGGTCTTGACGGGCAAGAAGCGGCGACGAGGCACGTTGACACCGTGGCCGTTCTTGAAGTGGCGGATGGCGGCACCGACGGCGGTCTCCAGCTGGTAGATGGCCTGGTCGGCCTCACCCTTCTTGTCGGCGGGGATGGACTTCTCGTTGGCGATGATCTCCATCTCCAGCTCGTTCTCCTCGACCACACGCTTGATGGCGCGGAGGCTCATCCAGATGTTGTTGGTGTTGAAGTACTTGAACTTCTTGATGGACTTGAACTCGTTGACGTGCTCCTTGGGCACCTGGGCGATTTCCAGGAGACGGGCCTTGCCCTCGTAGTCAATGATGGTACCACCCTTGACATCAGCCTTGGTCTTGTCGGTCAACTCCATGACGTACTCAGCCTTGGTGTCAACCATGTGCTGCAGAATGCGAAGATCGACCACGGCACCGAGGTTGTCAGCGTTGGACAGGAAGATGTACTCAACGCCACGCTCCAGGAGCTTGTCCAGAGTGCCAGAGTTGTACAGGGACTCGAAGACGTCACCGTGACCGGGGGGGTACCAGTCCTGCAGAGGGGCGTCGAAGGACTTGGGGGCGGGCAGGAGAGAGTCCTTGATGATACGGGGGTAGCGAGACTGGTTGAAGGTGATGATGTCGACATTGTGGCCCTGGTACTTCTTGATGATCGACTGGGTGTCCTGGTCGGTGTTGAAGGAGTTCATCAGGACGAAGGGCACGTTCACGTTGAAGGTGCGGTTGAGGTGCTCAATCTGGCGGACCGACAGATCCAAGAAGGACATGCCCTCACGGACCTCAATGACGGACTTGGGGCCAACACAACCCATGGAGGTACCGAGACCACCGTTGAGCTTGACGACAGCCAGCTTGTTCAGGAACTCCACCGAAGCCTCGCTGCCGAGCTCGGCGTAGTTAACCACCTGCTGGGGCTGGGGAGGGGCAATGCGGTCCCAGTTGACGACGTTGCCCTTGGCCTTGTCGTTGAGGAATCTGCGGAAAAGAGCGAAGAAGTTGTCCATCTCGGCCTCAAAGCGCTTGCGCTCGTTGGCATCGGGGACAGTCTCGGCAAGGGCGTTCAAGGCATTGCGCATCTGAGAGGCGGCCACACTGGTGGAGGCGTTTTCGAAGGCCTGGAAGTGAAGGGCGATTAGCACTGATATTCCCAGCAAGACAATCACGGCAACATGAGCCATCCTGGCGACATGGTCCTGTCGCACACGAGCTGCCGCTGCCAGTCGTTGGATGGGGTCATAATCGGAATCTGCCCAGAAGATCCATTGCCATAGCATCCCAAGTAGGCAACGTGGGAGCCAGTAAAGGGGTCCGTTGGTGGTAGAGAAAAGATAGCAGACTGATTTGATAACAACAAGGGGGAGGAGACGATGGTTGCATGAAAAGTGGTAAATGGCAATAGATGCCACCGGGACGATGCCAGGCCAACGTTCCAGAACCACGGTGCAAACACGAGGTACCCGCAACAAGAACAGAATCTCCAGAACAGCGGCCACATACACTGAATATGGGGCAGTGGCAGCATCGCAACTATGGATCCAGGAATCTGGCCCAGCATTGCGATATAATCTTGAAAAAGAAAGGCAAAATAGAAGCAGCAACGACAGGCGGGGTAGAACATGTGCACAAGACTCTCTGAGTCCAGTAACAATGAGCAAAATGAGTTCGTTCATAGCCATGATACAAATAGCTGAAATCCAGATAAGGAGCGAAGTGATACAGACGATGAAGCGTGATGAAGCGTGAACGACCAGCCAGGATCAGTTCTGATGACGGCGATCGCGCTCCTTCTCTTCTCATCCAACAACACTCTCCTGGTAGCATTTGGAGCGGCTTTCCGGGCAGCAGGCAACGATGTTCCCCATGGCGACAGGCAAAGAAGGAAAGATCAGAGTGCACCACTTACCATGTGAGACTGGGTCTTGCCGTGGTGCTTGCCGAACGAGGCGCCGCTCGTGGCGTCGCTCGCGGGAGCTCTGAGGTGACTGGGCAAAGCTTTGGCAGCCATTGTATGCGGAGGGAGGTGTGGTGGTGGGAAAAAGGACGGGATGGGATGAAAACACGGAGGTTGAGATACCGCTCACTGGACCGGAAAGGGTTAGTTGTCAACAGCACCATTGAAACACGGGCTGGGGAAGGAGAAGAATGAGGGGGGTCCGTGTAAATCTCCCAGTCTGCCAGTTGCCACGGCCAGCAGAGCGACGATCGCTTCGGGAGGAAGGATGTCGACAAGCTGCCGTCATGGGCAACGGCCCGGAGAGAGGCCATTGGTGCAACCAGGAACCACCGAGGCAAACACTGGATGATGGTGGAGGGAGAGGATGGATGGGATGGATGGGGGACGGAGAGATGGTACATACCAAGGCTAGGAACGGAAGTAGTGATGGGGAGAAGGAGGGAGAGGGAGAGTGGTGATGAAGAGCAGATGGATGGATGAGGGAAAGGAAGAGAAGAAGAGGAAGAAGAAAAGAAGCAGCGAGGGCAGCGGACGGGCAGCGCGAGGGCCAAAGATATTTATCGACGATGACGATGAATCCATGAATGGCTTTGGGATCATTTCGTTTCGGCGGGACGAAGTGGGGGTTGGCCGTACGGATTACGGGGCCCTGACCGTACGGCGGGCACTTTGCGGCCAATCGTCCGGCCAGGGGGAGGGGGGACCGACCAGGGGCATTACCATACGGAACAGGGCCGACGCCCAACATTCATTCCTTGGAAAGTTATTCTTAGCAGTCGCGGCCTCTCGGGGGGCCAGCAAGCTGTACTAACTCAAAGCTAATTACCTGATATCTGAGACCTCCATCTTTTTCAAATACCAGGCGACTGGGTATCTCGGTACTATCTCCTGCCTCCCCAACAAGCAAACTTTTATTCGATTATAGAGACAATATACCAAGAGTCCTTGATGTAGTACTCGATGTTCAGCAACCTCAAAAATACCAAACATGTCAACCCCTCCCAGCAATGCACACCACCATCATCTGACCTGACAGCTGTATTTTGAAACCATGCGCCTTCTAGACCCCGTCAGTGCCCCCTTTTCACTTTTCAGGGTTCAATAAATCGTCCCAATCCGAGCTGCCCCACTGTCCTCGTCACCTGGATTGCCCCTCTTCTCTGCTCTGCCTCCCCATCGTCGTGTGGATTAAATTGAGGCCAGCTTTGAAACCTCCTGAATCAAGGATGAAGCGGAGGGGAGACCGGAGCCAGTGGTCGACTCCGTTGCAGAGCTATCTATCCCACTCTACGCTGGACACTCCGATGCACACAGATCTACGGAGTACTCTGTCCTGATATAGGTAATGTGTATTCTGTATCGAGCAGAGTAATATTACATTGACCCCTCCTGCACGACAACAGTCTGCACCTTTCCTCTTGGCCCTGGTATACATCACAATTCGCCATCCATGCAGAAGCAGTTCCGTCCGAGCTGCCGTCATGCCTGGATGCCAGACATCACTAGAGGGCGGGAGGAGATGATATGCTTTCCTGACATCCATGGAATGGAGGCGATCCACCCGACAACAGCTGTCACATACTTGCCACCACCACCACCACCACCACCACCACTTGCCTGCTTAATATTCCGGAAATAATAATAACAACAATAATAAGACCAATCTGATGATGTACACAGTACTCCGGCAAGTCAGACACCAACTAAATCAAATCCAATCACCACATAGATACTCCTCCTTCTCCCACTATTACCTACATACCAACTCCATTTCTAATTATATCCATATCACCCCTCCTCCTTTTTCCACCGTCCCCTAATAATATTCCTTAACTAACACTAATAATAACAAAAAGATAGTAACCTATTCAACCAGTGGCAAACCCAACCAGCTCTCCCCTGAATCAATTTACTTTAGGAGGACTAGTACTACTAGCATAGTAGTATCTACACTAGTCGGAAAGCTACCTCTCCGTCCCACCAGCCCACTAGTACTAAGCAAGTAGTAGTTACTGACTACTGACCGGAGCTCAGACCACCGACCGAGACCTAACCTAACCAATCTCTCTACCTAACCATGCTGATGCATGATTGCCCTGGTAGACAGCAGCTAGATAGGTGGTGGTAGCTTGGTCCTCCTGTTCCAATTTCTTCCATCCCTCATTGGGTCGGGATGTCTATCGGTAGGGAGTATGTATGGCAGTCCAATCCCCTCAACCACCCTACATAATACATGAGAGGACACCTGCCAGCTGGCATACAGGAACACGTTGGCGGATCAACGTTCAAAGCAACTGAACCGGTGGCATCGGAGAGAAGGGCGAAAGAAGGTACTAGGATCCGCCACGATCGGTCGGGAGGGCCCGTCAGGATACTATCCATCCCTGGCCAGATCGAAATCGAATCGCCTAGAAAAACGGTTAGTGGCCTTGGGCAGGGAGACAACTGGACCGCGTATCGACTTCCTCCCCGGCTACCGGACGAGGTTTCAGGCGAAATGGGGGTGGGTGGGGGGGAAGGCCAAGTCAGCCCCCCTCCTCTCTCGGCCACGGACGGGCGCCCGGAGGGGGGGGTGACCTGCCACTCAACCCTAAAGCTCCCGAGCAAAGAGCAAAGGGTTGGTCGCCGTCGACCCCCGTGCTATATTCTCTAGCCGATCCAGCCTGTACGGGCAGTCAGACACAAGGCCATCTAGTCTCTACAAGCACTCTGGTAGCAAGAATCTTCCGATTGTCCCCCGCCCCAACCGGGCGGTATCCAAACACTACGCTAAGAACAAACCCCATGGATATCACATCTCATCTCGTCACGGCGAGGTCGAACAAACACAAGGGGACGGCAATAAGCAAGGGCAACAGTGAGATCGGATTTTGAAACAGCAAAGAGAGAGCAACATCAAGAAATATTTGAGTGAAAAAAAAAAGTAGAAAAGGTGAAATATACAATGAAGTCGTCAATGGCATGCACCTGGCGCCCCTCCTATCAGGCTCCGCTGACACTCCGCTTGCTGAGGAAGCTGCGGCGCCCTGTCTTCTTAGAGTCGGGACTGTCCATCACATCGGATGCCCCATCATTAGTGTTGGAGTGAGCCGTGCCAGGGCGAAGGTTCGATTCAGACACCGCGAAGCTACTGCGGAGAGTGACAGTGCCCGTGCCGACCTTGACCTGCTTGTCTTGTCCGGCCGTCGAGCCCTGGTCATCCACAAAGAGCGGCGCCTCTCCCAGCTGGCTGTCTGAGCCAAACGTGGAGTGATCCACCACCCGCAATTGATAGCTGGCGTCAGCCGTGGTGTTGTGCACCCGGCACGTCTCGTGCGCCGGGTCGAAGTAAACGGGACCCCCACCAGACTTGATGGCCTTGGTCTTCAGAACCTCCTTGCTCCCCTTGGGCCCCTGAGCCTTGACGAACACGCGCACATTGGCCGTGGGAGGGAAGCCCGAGGCAGAAACAACCGTGATGGTGGCCGTGCCCGTCTCACCCTTACCAGCGACGCCTAGCCGATCACCGTAGTGGGACGCCACGCTACGGCTGCGGGCATGCTGCAGGTTGTTGGGGGACGCAGCGGGTGGCGTTTCTCCTTCAACCAAGATAGCTGAAGGAGCCAGAGGAGCGGGGGCATCTTCTTCTTCCTGGGCCTCGTGCACACTAGACCCATCTTCGCTGCGGAACCGGGAAATCAGGCCGTTCTTCAAGAAGGAGGACCCTTCGTGCTTGAGGAACGAGGCACCCTTGATCACGTTGCCACCGACGAACCCAACACCCTTGACGGGGGCGCCGACAATCTTGCCGGGGGTCGCGAAGGTGCCAGCGAAGGTGGATGATCCCTGCCGCGAGCGAACCACATACGACGGCTTGAACAACAGCGACAACCGAATGGCGCCGGACTTCCCGTCAAGCGGAAGAGTAACCTCCTTGGTCACGAAAGGTTCCAGCGACTGAATGTCGAAATGGGTGCCACCCAAGTAGTCCGCCTTGTCACCAAAGTCCCAGTCGTACACATCCACCCGGCAGACGCTGGCAATCCGAGACTTGATATCGGTCTCGACATGTTCATTCCATGCGGGGTGGAGGGTCTTCTTTTGCACCTTGGTCTTGAAGATCTCCTTGTCGTTAAGGCGGAACTTGCAGTAGGGATCGCTGAAGCCGTTGCGATCGGCCGACGGCAAATCGGCAGCATCCAGGAAGCGGACCAGCAACGTTCCCATGTTGTTGATACTTTCGCTAGGGTCGAGCTTCATGGTAACGGGGATATACCGGGCGCTAACAATCACCTTGCTCACCTCTCCCTGGGGGGAACGGAGGCTGAGTTCCGTGGGCGTATACAAGATACGCTGCAGGGTAGGAAGGGTGTCTCCCGTCAACTTGGCAACCACATGGTCATCACTTTCATCCTTGGTGTCCTTCTTGTCGATGATCCGCATAGTGATCTTGGAGAACTCGAGCTCACGAACAAAGGCGTCGCCAACTGTGATGCGTTATTAGCTCAGCCTTCACACTACTCTCGCGGGGCTACATACCATCATCGAGCTTGGCCGACTTGGTGCGGATCTTCGGCGAGGAATAGGCAGGGAACATGTAATCATCCATCAGGACTTCGAGCTGAACATTGGGCCGGGAAAGCTGGACTTCGTGGACGTTGAACACGATGAAACCAGATTCTGTAATCGAATTAGCACCACGCGCAGGGTCAAAAGGGACGAGGCGAATTTTCGCAAGGCTAACGTACCGTATTTCACAAGGTCCTCCGCAGAGATGTAAGTCTTGGGGACCTCCTTGACCGATTTGATCGACATCGTTTCCGAGTCCTTCGCGGTCTGCGGCCTGGTTCCATTGGTGTCAAGGCTGGCGCGACTGCTCTGCGCTTCCGGAGTAGTACCATTCGTAGACGTTCCGTTGAGAGCAGTGGTTGCCTTGGAGTCGATGCTAGCCGACTTCGAGTGGCCAGCCACGCTCTTACGCTTGGATTCCGTGCTCTTTCTCGACAATTCGGCGCCCTCCGCATCACCATTGAGGTTCTCATCGGACTCTTCTTCCTCGTCCTCGGGGTTGACCACGGGCACAGCAGGGTAGAACGCGACGGTGTAGTTCAAGGTACCTTTTTGAGATTTGCCAATGCGAAGGCCACTGGAGACGAGCTGCCTTTCGTCGTCAACGAGATATTCGCCTTGTTCGTTCTCCCGCACGTAGTCGGAGACACGCAGATCCGTAGATCCCATCGTGCGGTCGCTATTCATGGATTCCTCATCCATGACCTCCAGGGTGATCTTCTCGTGAGGGCTGTGCACAGGAACATAGACCACCTCATCCCATTCGGGGTTAAGGTTGCTCCTGAAGGTGACAGTGCGTGCTTTCTGGTAGCCGGAGAGTAAGACACGGGCGTATGGATCAGACTTGCCCACAGTTTCCAAGTTCCGAAGATCGGTTCCACTCTTGAAGTGGAAGCGCATGACACCAATGGGATCAACATAGCCGGAACCGCCTGAGATTCCGCCCAGCGCAATGGGCTTCCACTCCAGGATCAGTTTGGCGCGGCCCGTCTTAGCACCGTTCAGCTGGAACCACTGTTGGCCCTTCTCCATCATCTTCAGCATGTCGTTCAGCTTCATTTGGTAAGTACCGAGGATAAGATCCCTGCCAAGGTCGCGGTCATCTTTGATAACCAGGCCGAGACGGGCACTCTTCCGGTCCGTAACCAAGAACTCCTTCGAAGCATTCTGGAAGATGGGGTTGTTCGTGCGCTTCAGCTTCTTGGTGATGTGAATTTCCTTGCCGTTCAACAGGAGGACGCCGTAAGGGTTGAGTTGGCCAACCATACTCTTACTGCCATCCAAGTCCTTGGCCTGCTCCACGGCGAAGCGAGCAATACCCGTGTTCATTTCCGGGGGAGGTTGGGTCTGTCCATTTTCAAGCTGCGTTCCCTCCAAGACAGGGAAGAATCGAATGTCGGCGTGGATGGCACCGCGGGATCTGCCGCTTGCCATGACTTCCAGATAGATGCCCTCGTGCTCCGCTTCCTGTTCCAGTCTATCCAAGGGGAAGGTGGCGGCTCCCAATTCCTTGTCCTTGCGGAACTCATTCCAATCGTACGGGATAATGGTCAAAGACTCCGCAAAGGACGTGATGATAACGTAAATCGTCTCGTTCCATCTAGGGCTATCGGTATCATGAATAGTTTTGGTACGGCCCAATTCAACCCGGTTGTTCAGGGAGACAACCGCATACGGATCGGGGGTACCGGCAAACGGATCGGGGTTCTTCAGCTGGCGGGCACCGTGCAGGGTGACGGCAACGACACCAATCGCTTGATCGATAGCGTTTCCAGCCAGCATCTTAGCAATCTCGATGGGGAAGACATTAGGGTCGTACATCATCGGGCTCAGGTTGTTGTGAATCTGTTCCTCAATGAAAGTCTGCAGACCCGGAATGAAGTTGATATCGAAACCGAGGGTGTCACCACCGAGCGGCTTGCAAACATAGTCGAGTTTAGGGCGTTCCATGAAGCACACATCCACACGCTCGATATGGGGGAAAGCAATTTGCAGCTTGACCTTGACGCGCATCAAACCACTGCAAGCCATATCTTCGACAATCACATCAAGACCCTTGCTCACAAGACCTTTACCCAGTCTGACTTCCAGAACGACCTTGGGGTTGATCTTGTTCTTCAGCTGGCGGGCGGTCAAGTCCATGGTGTCGTTAGGTGTGAAGCTGAACTTCCAATCCATGATGACGGTGTCGACCTCGGTCTTGGGATACGTCTTGACATGTTCCAGACGCGGAGGCTTAGAGCCGAGGACGAAAGTCTTCAGGCGCAGGCTGTCAATCATTGCAGGGGTGGAGGTGCTGAGGACCTGGTCAACCGAGTTGATGATCGTATCGCAAAGAACCGGAGCGTAGATGGGCCAGAACTTGACCAGGAAGCTGTTAATCCATTCCAGACTCTCCGTGTCGGTTTCAAGGCGTTGCTTGGCCATTTCTCGATTCACATCGTCTCGGAAGTTGCGGCGGACACGGCGAATCGACGTCCGGTAGTAGGTACTACAGGCGGCCATGACAACGAAAACCCAGGCCAGTCCTCCGCCCAGAACGGCGATAACCCAGGAAGCGAGGCAGGCGAAAATAATGACACCAGCGTTGTGGTACCAATCTGGAAGCGCGTCAGTCCCCTTCGAGCGGCCACTCGCAGAGAAAATGCGGGTTCTTCTCACCTCCGAAAAACTTGTCATCGAGTCTTCCTTCCAAGAAGGTCTGGTGGTCCAACAGAGTCCCTTCGTCCTTTTCTTCCTGTGTCGGCTGGTGTTCAAACTGCGGAGCCCATCCTGTCCGGTCGCGCGCCCATCGCAGGTCCTCTTCCATCTGAGGTGCACCTTCGGGCTTTTCCTGCAAAAGGTCGGTCGCGGACCTCGGAGGAGGCAGATCATACTGGTCGGGGGTGCCATCGTCCTGTAGAACACCAATTAATTCTTAGAGGGGTTCCGTGGACATCAGAGGATTCACACATAGGGCTCCGGGAATGAGACTTACCTTGTCAGTTACAACAGCCACCCCTTTCGGTTTGGAGTCGTTCAGGCCTGGAGGCAGGCGCTACAATGCGGCACGAGGTTCCGTCAGTTCGCCGACGCACTCGCGACATGCAGTCAATTCCGGGGGAGAAGCAAACTTACGGATTTTGCTGCGGCGGCTTTCTCCTCCGGGGATGCATCGGGATCAAATTGAAAGGCCGGGACACCGGCCTTTCGGGTCTCTTCGACCAAGGTCTTCTCGACAGCTTCGGGGTGGAGGTTCGACTGGGGGTCTTGAGCAGCCTGCTGGGCTACCTCAATGGCCCCCTGTTGCCTCAATTCACCCTTCTCGGCCTCTACGCCTTGCGACGCCATGGCTCTCTGGGGTGGGAGGGGGGGCGAGCCTCGGGTGAAGAATCACCTACTACAAGTCCCCAACCGGTACAACCTGGCGAGTCCGGTCAATGGAACTCTTTTTGTTTTCTTCCTTTGTTGGGGAGAGAGGGTGAGAAGATAATTAGGGGGGAATAAAGAATGTGAAATGGAATGGAGAAAAGGACTAAAAGTGAGAGAGGGGGAAAATGTGGATAAGGAACACACGCCCAAGAGTGGGTTGTTGGCGCTTTAGTGCTGGGAATCGGGATGGTTGCCTTGCCGTGGAAGACCTCCGCAGCGGGGAGGGCCGGTGGCTGAAGCACGGCAGCTCCGGGAAAGCGGTGGTGATCGATCGGGGCAGGGGATGATTCCCGGGGGAGCAGCAGAGGTTGAGAGGAGTATGAAGGAAATCGGACGGAATGGGTCGGAGAGAACAGAAAAGGCACTTACCTAAAGGTGAGGCAGGAGACGGCGATGGACCAGGAAAGATCCTCTACAGGAAGATAGAATGGGGAGAGGAGAAGAAAGGGGAGGGGATACGGAGGAGTGCTAAGTTACTAACACGACCGACAGAAAACAGCGCCGAGGATCAGAGCGGATTGAGTTTCCCAGTGCAGAGCCACTTGCGTCAGGGCGCCAAATCGTGGCTGGTGAAGGGCTGGCTGTCCATAATACTGAGATTATACTGAGATTACTCCGTACGTATGTAAGAATCGGGAAGAAAGAAATAAAAATAAACTGCTGGTCCCAGGAATGGCAGGTGCGCCACAGATTGGCCGATAATGGACCCGGGCGTGCTTTCCCTCGTCCCCATATCTCCTACCGATATAAATCATAATTGATACTGCTATGTAACATCCACAGGGACAAGGGACGGCTCGGCAAGCTGGCTGCATCTTTTCAAGGAAGATTACACGAAATGACCACCGGTGCAGCAACGCGGCCATGACATCAAAAGGTACAGAAGATCCGGATCTTCGAGAAAGGGACGGCGCCGATCCAACTCAGGGCGACCAATTCTCGTGGAGACGCAATTAGCCCATACCACTCAGGGCCACCACTGCTCGCTCTCCACACCATCCAGGTACATCCTACATCATAGGACTCAACGGGGGGCTCCTGGTTTCCAATCCGAAACCACCTCGACCGTGGATATCGTGTCACCGGCGCACCATCTCACCATCACACCAACCCCGTCACGATCGACTAGCGGGCGCCGGGCTGCGATCTATTGGCATCGGAAGGGCTGCACCGCCACCGATCTGGGTCCTCTCCGCGCCACACGCTTTTTCCCCTGTGTCCTCCGTCTCGGGCTTTGGCACTCGCTTCCTGGCGACTAACGTTCTGCACCTAACCCTCCGGGGACTTAGCTCAGACCAGCACACGTCCAGCTACTCAACTAGCGATTCCAGGCAATCTCATTCAATCTATTTTCCATTCTCCCGGCCTTCCAGCCCTCCAGCCCTCCAGTTCCTCGGAATTCCACGAGTCAGGCCCTCTTCCTATTCGTCAATTCTGGCCAGAGTCCCCCGTAGCTGAAGGACCCAGTAGGGCCAGTACTGCTTTAGTCGCTAGCCCTAAGGCCAGACTAACCTGCTTTAGGTGGTACTGTATTGATTAATCTGGTTCGTGGTCGTTGCCGCGATCAGGATCATGATCATGAGACAGATGGTAAGTCCAGGGCTGCGGTGACACTGCATGCATAACCTGCCTCTTCCAGCCTGTCAAGGGCTGAGGACATGCAATAAGAAGCGCGAGGAGTAATGCCGCTACCTAGCCTTTAGTAATCCGTTCGTACGGAGTAGTTAGACAGGGACGGAGTATCTCCCAGCTTCCTGCTATCGTCATCCCACGCCGAGCAGTGGCAAGTTACACGTGGCATGCACTGAAGTGTCCATTCGACCTAAAGCTAGACGCACCTATGAGCGAGATACTTACTTGCCAATGCAAACCACAAACCGGAGTCCTCCGTACGTTTACTGTCTATGCGAGATCAAAGAAAAAATGGATTAAAAAATGAAACACCCTAGCCTACGCAATGCCCGTAGATCCAATCTGGATCCGTGCTTGGATGTATCACTATCAGCCCAGTTTTCTCTGCCTAGATGAACCGAGCCATTAAACTTTGACATGAATTGTCTGATCTGCAACTCAGCCCGTGTCCGCTGTGCAATGCAATCTCATCACCGCCATACCTACCTACAGAGTTCTCCGTAGATACTCTATTCTGTACAGCGTACACAATGACACAAATACAATAATACATCACATCAAAGCAAACAAAATGAAACCCTAACGCCCGGCCAATCCATTATCCACCAGCACAACAAACAAACAAACCATCAAACAAACTAAAAAAAAGACACTACGGAAATGACTTCCACAGGGCACAGAGCCACAGACACCCAAACCCGAAATCGGATCGGGTAAATCGGGACAAGGTTCCCATCGCACCAGCCACACACATATCGGTACCACTGCACCACCAGAGATTAGAAACTGAATTGGAAGCAATCCCCGATCCTTGTCCTGTCGGCATTAATTCTTCTCTACTATACACCACACCATACTTACTGTTAGATAGTCCCTACAGAGCGAATGTAATCCAGGCAAAGCAAATCCCGATATCTTGCGTTCTTTAGCGATACAGAACAGCCCATTAGATTCCTATCGTAGTATAATCAATGACTTACATATCTACGGAGTACTATCTACCTATCTACTTCGTACTCGGTACGGAGTACAATGTAACTCTTCACCTATCCCAGCCCCCTCTCTACCGATTAAAAACCCAACCAACCAACCAATCACCCAACCAAGATTGCTATTTCCGCGGTAGGCGAAATCTCGGACTTTTAACTACGACTTCGCACTAGTACATACGTAGAAGGAATTAGGATGGATATCAGATCCCCACTGTTCGTTCCAAAGAAATCCGTCCCAGCCACTTCACAAACCGAACCGAACCAACCCTCAGAACTCAGAAGGAGAACTTAAACTCAATCGGGTAGGAAATAGGGATGGATGGATGTCTCCACGCGTCGTCATCAGAATTGATCTCAACTGCCAAGTGAAGAATCTGTTATCACTAGGAGTAGGGAACCATAGAACTGGAATTGTGGTTTGGGGTCATGGGTAGAGTTTTTTTTGGGGGATATCAGATCAGGGGGGTTCGGATTTATTCCGTGGTCATGTATGAGGTGGTGTGGTGGTTACTCAATCCTTCCTGTATGTACAGAGTAGAGATTGCATTGTGGCAAATTGAATCTCGTGTCGATGGAGACTCGGTTGATGTGGAAGGCTAAGCAATTTTAGTATGTAGTATCCAGATGGAGACACCGTGGTTATATCTACGCTGGGTTAGTTCCCTGCTTTGGTCCACCTACTCCGTACCTAGTACCTAGATACGGTGTGGCCGTGTAGGGCATCGGTCCTTGCAGTGCAGACATAGGGGGTTCGCCTATCCGAAGGTTTGGTTCCAGCACCGGATTGGGTCGGAGATGCCCATCAGCTGAAGGCTTAGCAGGCAGAACCTGCAAGGAGTGGATCGATCGATCGGTGGGCTCTTGCTACGATGGAAAGGATAAAAATAAATTCAATTCGGATGTCATTTCATGTCACTAAACACATGCATCGTAACCGCCGTAAAAAAAAATCAATGGAATCACCGTGCCGTCAGGACCGCTTTTTCAATGGCATTACTATATTTGCTTCGCTGATACTCCCGCTCTTCACCGTCCCAGACGAATCACTCCAGCGGCCATCAGCTTCTGGATCTTCATCCGCACCTGCGAGTTCTTCATGTGCTCCTGCAGAGCAGCAGGGTCGCTCTTGGCTTGTTGCAGAATGCTCTGCATGACGGGGTCCTGGAGGATAGACATGATCTACAAAAGTTAGCAAAGCCTTCAAGTCGGTCGGGCTGGCAGGCAGAATCACGTACCTCGGGATCATTCTGGATTCTCTCCATCGTCTGCTGCTCCGTCTCTCCGGCACGGGCGCTGAACTGGGCGTCCAGGCACTTCTGCTGCTGCTGCTCGATCTCACGAGCGTGTGTGCCATCGTCGTGCTCAGCAGCTTCCGTGCAGGCATCAAGAGCCTTGTTGTACTCCTTCATGGCTACCAAGGCCGCGGACTTGCGCATGTAAGCGCGGATGAACTTGGGGTCACGCTGGGTCGCCTCGTCGCAGTCCTGCACGGCCTGGGGGAAAGCCATCAGCTTGATGAGGGCCGCGGCGCGGTTGGAGTAGCCACGGGGGTCCTGGGGCGCCCGCTTGACCATCTCGGAGAAGGCATCAACGGCCCCGGGCCAGTCGCCCTCCTGGAACTTCTTCTGACCCAGCTCGCGAGCCTTCTCGGCCTCAGCGGGGTCAACGTAGGCCTCCTTCTCGGCCTTGGCCTTGGCCTTCTCGGCATTGCGCAACTTGGTCAGGACATCGGGAGTGCGGTGCTCAGTGAGCGCCTTGTGGTAGAACTCGATGGCCTGAGTAAGGTCGCCCTGCTTCTCGTGCGCAGTACCAATTCTCGCGAAAGCCCTGTGAACAACTGAATTAGTACGGGTGCCGCTTCATCACACCCACGAGTACTTACTTGGCAATAGCCTTGAAGTCAGCGCGGAGCTCACGGCCCTCCTCAACAGCCTTCTGGCAGGTCTCAATGGTACCCTCAAGGTCACCCTTCTCGAACTTGGCAGCACCAAGGTTGTTGAGGTACGTAATGTCCTTGTGCAATTCCCAGGCCTTGTTGTAGTGCTCGATAGCCTCGTCAAACTGTCTCTTCTTGTAGAAGTCGTTACCGATCTTCTTCTCGGCGTCGGCCTCTTCCTGGGCCTTCTTCTTCGCGATCGTCTCCTCGTCCTCGGGCTCGGGCACGGGCTCCGGCTCAGGCTCCTTCTGCTCGGCAGCTGCGGGGCGGACATCCGGCATGGGCACATCTTCTTCAGCCTCCGGGGCACCAGCCGAGCTGGCACCCTCGGGAGGAGCTCCGAAGCTCATGTCAATACCCAGCAAAACACTCATGACCTGCAGGAAGCGAGGGTCCTGGATCTCCTGGCCAATGTTGTTGGGGTTCTGCTGGATGCGCTGGAGCTTGGCCATGAAGTCGGCGTCGGCCAGAAGCTGGGAGGTCTTGGGGTTGCTGGCCAGCTTCTGGAAGAGCTGGGGATCGTTGAAGATTCCACCGAGTCCACCCATAGGGTCACCAGTGACACCGTCCGCCTTGGCCTCGGCATCAATGGCCCGCTTGACAGCATTGAAGCCGTTCTTAGCCTGGTCGTTGGTAGGCTCGAGCTTCAGAGCCTCCTCGTACGCATCGTGGGCGGCGACTGCAGATCCGTTAGCAAGCCACGTCCAGTCCCACCGCAGTGATGCCTCGACTTACGGAGATCGCCTAGGCCACGGTAAGCAGCACCCTTCCGGATCCAACCCTTGGACCAATCCGCCTTGAGTTCCGTAGCCTTGTTAGCATCCTCGAGGGCCTTCTCGTATTCGGATTGCGCCGAGTAGACGGCGGAGCGGTTGGAGTAGAGGATGTGGTTCGCGGGCTCGATACCGATAGCCTGGGTGAACTTTTCACTGTAGAGTCAATCAGCTGTGGTCCGTCACTGCGATCCCTTCCAGGGCCTTTCTTCAAGCGGGGTAAACCGGGGGGGAGGTAGCATACATGGCAGTGGGATAATCCTTTGCGGAGAAGGCTTTGTTGCCCTCGGACTTCAGAGCGTCAGCCATGCTGTAAAACTTCCGGGGTAGCGATACAAAGAAAGTGGGATGGAAGTGAGTGGAGGGATGAAGTGAGAGTCCGAGCGATGAGAGGGACGGGGGCAGCTGCAGTGGCAGTTAAACCGCCGCTGAACGAGCTCCGGGAGCTTCTCGAAATTTCCGAGCGGCCGTTCCAGCCTCAGGCGCTGACGAGGTAGCAAGGCAGTCAGGCATCCTTGAGGCTGCAAGGCAACAACCTGTCCAGCTGCCCGCCGGCCCTAAACCCTTCCGGGCCAGAGGAGTCCCCGCTAACCCAAAGGGAACGAAAAGCCGCCAAAAACATCTTCTTTTTTGGCCTGCAAGAGTTCGACTTCCTCCGCCATCCTGCCCTTTGCGCCTGCTTTTGCCCGTCCAGCTCTGGGGATTACTTTATCCCTGGCTTCTGCAGCGACCGTCCGACCTGGGAGGAGATCCTGATCATGCCATTTCACAAGCCTGTCCGGTGATAGTTTCTGTTCACGACTCTCGACAACGTCGTCAAAATGGCCTCCGCGGGGCCGTCAGGCGGCTCGGTGACTGAGCTGGCCGCTCGCCTTTACGATGCCTGCCTCAACCAGTTCCCCTCCGATCATCTCTTCTACCAGCAAGACCTCCTGGGTCTGAATCTCGTCCCGAAAAATGACCTGGCCCTTCTCCTGCAATGCACCCAATCCCTCGTCAACCAAAAGCTGTTTCGGCTGCTCCAGGGCAAAAATGACCGGTTGGCATGGAAGATCATCTCGCGCGAAGATGCTGAAAAGTAGGATTGGACCGTATCCGCCATGCCAGCAAAGGATCCTCCCACTAACACTGTCCCGTTAGACTTCAGAACCTCAGCCCCGACGAAAGTTTGGTATACAATGTCATCCATTCGACAGGACGTTCCGGTATTTGGGTCCGTGCAATCGGCAACCGTACCAACCTGCACAAATCTATCCTCGACCGCTGCCTCAAATCGCTAGAAGGGAAGAGCTACATCAAGAGCGTTCACAATGTCAAATACCCCAGCCGGAAGATGTACATGCTGGCAAACCTGGCCCCGAGTGAAGACGTGACGGGTGGAGCCTGGTTTACCGACGGCGTCCTAGACGAGAACTTCATCAACAGCGTCGCCGGATTCATTGAGTACACCGTGAGCCGGAAGAGCTGGTACGAGGTCCCCGCCTCCGACGGCCCTCGCAACAAGCGCATCAAGACCGCGGATGGAGGCATGGCTGTGAAACACGAGGGTGCCCCCAAGGAGTACCTCCCATTCCCGGCCGGGTACCAGGGCTACCCCACTGTACCCATGCTGACCGGCGCCGTCAACGAGAGTGGTATTACCCCCGTCCGACTGGGCGAGGAAAGCATTACCCAACTTCTCGAGATGCTCTGCTACGACAACAAGCTCGTCGCATTGAACAACGGCGAAGTCTACAGATCGGTCAAGAACCCGGAAGAAGTGAAATCACAGCAAGCGCGCAAGCCCCGAGGCGACGACGCCGGCATCGACGACAGGCTAGTGAAGAACGGTATGACCGAGGCACCCTGCGGGCACTGTCCGGTCTTCAAGCTTTGCGCCCCCGGTGGAGCCGTCAGCCCGGAAAGCTGCGAATATTTCGACCCCTGGCTCGAAAAGGCCCTAGGGTTCTGATCTATCTGCTTTCTTGTTCTGACTTCTTTCTCATTTTAACACCTCATACCAACAATCTCTGTATACAATTAGCGCGGCTCGCGCCCGATGATGTTTGTTTGCATAGCGATGGCGTTCATGTCTGATATTGGGATCGACCAAGGATACCGGTCTTCTTTTCTCAATGTCGGCAACCCCAAAAAATCATGGCTTTTATTTATGGAAAATAAAAAGGGAAGGGAAGGAAAAAAGGCTTTCGAGGGGGATGTGTTGGGAGGCTGGCAAAGAGTCTTGACTATTAAGACTTGTTTTGTTGTAACTAGGCCGGGTGTAGTGTATATTTCCTGCTCGGTAGGGCTGGTGGCATATCAATGAAGGAAATACTACTATTATATACTTTCTCTACCATCCGCTTTATCGCTGAATGCCATGTTCAGATTGAAGGGTCGTTAATATAGGGTCATTATAATACAGATAAAAGGGGTATAACTATATAACTAAGCTTGCAATTTGGCAGAACATTGAGGGCAGTACCATTTCCCGACTGGCTCTCGGGTCAAGCCCACGCACTTCCAGTGGAACCATTCGAACTCACAGTCCTCGTTATCACATGCAACCATGTCGCCGTGGCTGACGCTGCGACATGTGCAATACACCTTGGTATCTTCGTTGCCTTCGTCTTCTTCCTCGTCGTCCAGGTCGTCATCTCGTCTGCTGTCGTCGGCGTTCTCCGAGTCGGAGATGTCGGCGCTGCTGAGCATGGAGTCGTCCTCGTCCTCGTCTCCCCCAAGGGCAGACGGGGACTTTTTGGTCCCGCTGATCTTGAGGCGACCGCTTGCGCTTGATGACCGCTTCGTGTGCTTTCCATTGAGCCCGGAGGCTTTGATCTTCTTGAGTTGCTGATGCGGCGCCACCTTCTTGGTTAAGGCTTTCTTCGTCGAGGCTGACGAGCGCGGTCCAGCGCTGCCCGCACGACTAGAGGCTGGGGTTCCGGCCTTGGGTGTGCCAGGGCCTAGAGAGGATTGTCGGAGGTTTGAGGATGCCGCAGGGAGCGTGCCTAGTGAAGTATTGAGACGTCGCCGTTTGGTTTCCACTGCGCCGGCCGAGGACTCTCGCTGCTGTCGTTGGAAATGGATTGTACCGGAGGGTGTTGCCGGGGCGGAACTTCGCGCAGCATTCGGGGAGTTCAGCCCGACAGCGGCGATGTTCCGGCCCAGAGTGTTCAGTCTTTGAGTGGCGCCTAGTATGACATTGGCATTCGCGGAGCCATTGAGGGCGGAGGAAAAGGAGGAGTTCTCGACGGTGGAATCGGGGAAGAAGATCTTGGGCGGATCGCGATACTGATCTTTGTTGTTGAAGAGGGAAGGGAAAGGAGGGTCGTTCGAGAGCATGCCGTTGCTCTGCAGCTTGTGGATGGCGATATCCAACTTCCTGATGTGTCGGTCCAGCAACACACACGCTTTCTCACTCAGCTGAATCTTTTCATCCTGCAACTGTTGTGACTTGTCAAGATTCTGTAATATGGCCTTTCCGTATTGTTCCTCCTTCGGGTTGGGGGTTAAGCTGCCGTTTAGTTTGATGAACTTCTGGAGACTAGTGTCGCGGGAGTTGATGGTTGTGCGGCATTCCTGGATGATCTTATCCTTGGCTTGGATTTCCTCCATCAGATGGTTGATCTCAGCGGGGAGGTTCGCCACATCGTGGACGAACAGTTCCAGAACCGCCGCGGGGTCGTCCTGGCCCTGCGACATCTTGCGCGTTCACTGATTGTAGTTCCCGTTCCGGTCGGGCCAGATACGATGCCGCTATCGGGGGCTCCGGACCGCAATCGGATGGGCGTGGACGAGGATTTGCGAGATGAATTTCGGAATCACAGTGGGGTAAATCACAGCGAAGTCGTAGGAGATGGAAAATCGATGGATCTGTGCATGTGCAAGATGATGGCGCTGGGAACATTCATCGGGGATAAGGACGGGGCGCCGAAGGGAGCGACAGGATTGCCGGTTCTAGATTGTTCCGCTTCCGAGAGATCTCAGCCACAGGCAAGCCACATCTTGTACCTGGTTGGTCTGATTGGTCTGTTTGATGCAGCTGCATGGAACTGAAGAAACGTCCTCTTGGCCTTGCGACTGAGCACTTGAACGTCAATGCATCCTCTGTCATTCATACTACTAAGTTCACTAGTAGCTGCTTGGATCTCTCACCGGCAGGTAAGACAGCTAGCCCTTGAGTCGTTGATCGTCCTTCGATCAGCCACAATTGCTCTTCAAACAGGCGGGGTATATATCTGCCTGACGGCTCTGGCGGCGACGATTTACATTCTGCGTCAGTTGCAGCTTCGTGGCAGATCAACTTCTTCGTAATTCATCTGTAATGAAATGAGAAGTGAATTTCCTTGACTGACAGAGCTGAAACACTCCCGCCAGTCTTCCCTGTCGTTGGTCTATCTATCTAGATATCTACATGCATGTCAGCTGCAGGCGAGGCGGACTAGTCTGGACCCGGAGGAGGGGTACCCGAGGAGCTGGCCGATGGAGGCATGCGCGTTCAACCCACGCAACGCAGAGTATCGTCCAGGGGAGCACCTCTGCCACTTCTCTTATCGGCTCAGGATCTCCTTGTATACCGTTCAGAATTATCTAAACTCAACATGACGTGGACGGACCGAAACGGATGACGAAACTCACTGTGCAAACAGTGCAAACGACGTCACGCAGTCCGGCGATTCCCCGCGCAGGCACGAACTGGAGATTTCTCTTCTGAGTACTTTCCTCCGAGTAGTGCTTCTGCCTGCCTGCCTCTTATCTCACCCTCTCTTGCCCCTTCAATTCCCTCCTGCACATCCTTTGCCTCCCCTGGTCTGGTCAGAACTACCTCATCATGACTCAAAATGATACCGCTCCGCTCCCGGAGGGTATTTTCTCTCTGCTGGATACCGACTTGTATAAGCTGACAATGCAATGCGCCGTCCTCAAGTACTTCCCAGATGTTTGTAAGGGCTTGGGCCACTTCGCTCTCACTTCGTGGATAGGCTGACCGTTCCCCCCTTATGCAGATGTTACATATGGTTACACGAATCGTACCCCGCATATGAAGTTAACGCGGGGTGCTTACAAATGGCTTCTGGCGCAGATGGAGGGTAGGTGATTCACAGTGTACTGAAGAACTAGTTCCGACTGACTGATGCTTCCTTAGCGCTTGCCAATATTCGAGTCACGGACGAGGAAATTCAATTTCTAAAGCAGCGCTGCCCTTACTTCAATCACGCTTATCTGAGCTACCTGACCAGCTTCAAGCTCAAGCCCTCCGAACAAATTGAGATCCACTTCACCCCGGAACAGGATACTGGCAGTGATGATGATATGGGCAATGTGGACTATGTCATTAAGGGCCTGTGGGTGGAGACGATCTTGTACGAGATTCCACTGCTAGCTCTGACGAGTCAGGCCTACTTTATGTTCAGCGACAAGGACTGGGATTATAGCTGTCAGGAGGACAAGGCATTCCGGAAGGGCTGCGCCCTTTTGGAGCATGGCTGCATATTCTCCGAGTTTGGATCGCGAAGACGGCGCGACTACCATACCCACGACTTGGTTATGAAAGGGTTATGCCAGGCTGCGGAAGAGGGGAAGAAGCAGGGCTGGAAGGGCCAATTCACTGGCACGAGTAATGTTCACTTTGCCATGAAGTACGGAGTGGCACCGGTAGGTACCGTGGCCCATGAATGGTACATGACCATCGCTGCCATCACGGATGATTACGAGAATGCGAACGAGGCTGCCTTGCGGTACTGGCTTGGCTGCTTTGGCGAAGGAGTATGTCCGCAGATCTGGTATCACCACTTGCAATGGTTAACATCATCTAGGTCTTGGGTATCGCACTTACCGACACATTCGGCACGCCTGCTTTCCTCGACGCGTTCCGGAAACCTATTCCTGCCTTCACCAGTGCAGGTGTTGGCGCAGTCGCCACCACGGCTTCTGGACCTGGCACGACAGCAACATCTTCGATACAGAGTGAGGCCGACACTAAGCCCCCGATTGCGGCCCCTCTTCACGATGCCCAGGGCGGCCACTCTACCAAGACATACGCCCAAGTCTACGCCGGTGTCCGCCAGGACTCGGGCGATCCTACGTACTTTGTGAAGATGGTGCGGGATTTCTACGACCAAGAGGGGGTCAAAGATCCGAAGACGGTTGTTTTCTCGGATTCATTGGACATCGAGCACTGTCTGGAGTATAAGGTGATTGCTGAGGAAGCCGGGTTCAATCCCGTCTTTGGTGTCGGTACTTTCTTCACCAGTACGTCTGCCCTACGTTTCTGCTTCTACACCGTCAAGGCCCTGAACTAATCGTCTCGCAGATGACTTTGCCAACAAATCCGATGGTAAGAAATCCAAGCCGCTTAACATTGTCATCAAGATCGCCACCGCAAATGGCCGTCCAGCCGTGAAGCTGAGCGACAACATGGGTAAGAACACGGGTGACAAGGAGACCGTCCAGAGCGTGAAAAAGAGGCTGGGATACGTCGAGAATCAGTGGGAAGAAGGTGACGAGAGCAATCGGTGGGCTCGCAAGTAGTGCCATATACTTGGGCGCGTCCATCTCTCCAACAATTTACGGGTTGGCATATTGGCCACGACGCTATTTGCTTTCAGCATCATTTTATATACCTAGAATAGACGGGAATCAAGTGCTCTGGATACATATTGATGAATTATCACGATCGCAAAGCCATTATTTACACAGCCTGTCCGCCTATGCTGAATATATATAACCTATGTACACGAAATCCATCCCCCAACCTAGAAGACACACACCGACAAATCCCGCCCCAACGCCTAAAACAAGTCATCATCGGAAGGAACAAACCCCAAATCCCTGTCCAAATCCCCCGTGATATCCCCGTTCACATGACTACTCGACCTCTGTCCCGGCGTACTGTCATGCACATGATTCGGAAAGGGAGAAAACAGGTCCTTGTTATTGGTTAATGCATCCTCCGGGGCTGGACCGGTCCATCGGAGAAGCTCACTGGCCCAGTCTATGTCGAGGTCTGGGGATGGGTCGGGATTGGGATTCTGGGGAGGAAAGTCGGCGGCGAAGGTGTCGAGATCGAAGTCGAGGTCGAAGGGGAAGGGGTCGGTTGAGTTGATGGTGGTGTTGGGGTTAGATTGGGATCGAGTGTCGCGGGGTGAGATGGGAGGGTTGGTGTCGTTGAGAAAGTTGGCGATGGGATCGTCGAAGTCGTTGGGCGGGGTGGGTTCGGTTTGTTTGGGTAAGGGGTTGGTGGGATTGTTGCGGTTGTGACTGTTGTTGTTGAATGTGAGCGGGGGGTTGGTTGTGGTGCTGGTTCTTTTCGTGGGTGTGGGTTGTGTTGTTGGACTGGTTGGTTTAGAGGTGGGCTGTCTGGGGTGGGTGGCTGGGTCGGGCTCGTCTTGCGGAGGAGTCCAGTGATTGGAGACTCGGTCGTCCATTGATATTATCGTATGTGGGTTTGATATGGTGCTTTGCTTTCGAGGCTGTTCGTGGCTCATGGTGCCGGAGGTGTTGGCGTACTGCATGATTCGGAGAAAGGTGTTTGTACTGTCAGACTGGAGCTTGACCGCGGCTTCAATATTAGCGACCTCCATGTCCGCTGCAGGGTAGATGTCTTTAAGACCCTGCAGCACCTGGATGCACCGCTGGAAGTTGTAGATGCTGGTCTCTCGGGTTGCGGGATTGCCAGATAAGGAGTTGGTCAGGTGGGCCACGGCGGCTGGGATAATGACGGTCACTCCGGATTGAGGGAGGAATCGAGTGAGGTTAAGCTGATTGAGGCCTTGGATGATATGCGTGATACCCACAGCAGCATCGTGCATCTTCGATTGTGCAGTTTGAATCAACTCCCGGCGTGATCGTGACTGGTCCTTGTTGGACGTAAATGCCCAGGGACGATGCAGCGCGCTTGTGGTAGCATGGTATAACATTCGTACCATAGCACCATGGAGGAGTAGAACATCCTCCCCATCGTGGAAGTTTGTTCTTGACGCGGGGATGAACTGTGCGTCCCTTGGCAGAGCGCTCAACCACGACTCCAATCGCTGGCTGCATCGTGCCAATTCCGACTCCGAAGCCTGCCTGGGGACTAGACTGATGGTTGTGCGAGTGGTCACGCCAAACTGACACTGCGACGGGGTATATTGGGCGAACAATACCCGGCCGATACATTGACATAGCTTGGCCTTTTCAATAAACATGGTTGCCAGGCGCTTTTGATGGGAAGCATCCTCCAGCTGACGACAACGAAACATCTCGATCACGGTAGGGTGGTAGGGTTCGAAATCAAAGTCTTCCAGTCTCAACATGGGAACATTGCTAGTCCCTTCGTTCACCTGGGTTGGCCGTCTCAGCCCCATCGCAATAAGCCGGTCTCGTGAATACAAGCTCCACCAGATACGGGATCGCAGCCGCTTGGTCCTAGGGTCCATATTGGCCGATGAAGGGTCTCTATTCAACCCTATCGAGTGCGCATGTATATTGCAGAGACCAATCCAGTCCCAAATGTCTCTTTGTGGGTGGTTTTGGTGGTCAGACCAATATGTCATCAGCAGCAAAGTCTGTAGAATGACTATTCGATCGTCTTCGCAGTCGAGTGAGTAGAGGAGCTAGTTTGACAGTTAGCTACACACAACAACAATGGAACCAGTCCGAACATACCCTTAATCGAGTGAAGAACGCACTGCGAGCACTTTTTCGCGTTGCATATCCAGCTGCTTGCAGATGCTGCAGGTCGACGAAAGCCGTCGCCACAAACATCACTGCTTGAAAAAGCAAAAGGCTGATATTGCCATTGGGGTCATTTTTTGCGACACATCGAAGAAACTCCTGTAAATTTAACACCGGCATGAAGCTATGCACCCATTTGATATAGCATCGTAGTAATTCATTCCGCAGGCCACTCTCTGGAATCGATAAAGCCCCGCGGAAGCGCAGGAACTCCAGGTCTTCCGGTGAGATACGAGACGGGAGAGGCTTCAAGAAGCGAGGTTCATCGTCGAGAATGGCAATAAGAGGGTCGAAATCCGGGTCGATTAGATCGCGGACGGTCGAGACCATGTTTTCGAGTGGTAATGAAGACCGTACCCCACGATCCCCTAAAGTCCGCCATGTCCGAGATGGCCTGGAGTCATGTAACCAAGGCGCATGCGCATTGTAACTCAAACTGTTACTTCTCTTCGCCACAGGTCTATTGTCATCCAAGTCCGCACTGGGCGGCTTGCGTTTGGCGGTCAACATGCTGGAAAAGGCAAAGCCAGCGGCATTTGCAGTTAGTTGGAAGATCACATTCAGAGGGAGATAGATGGCCGGATCCAGCGGTTGCCTATGCAGGCCGCGAGCGTATGGGGCAGGCTGATAGTGGACAACTGGAGACCATCCTCCCCGGCACTAAAGAAGGCGGTGTTCGGGAGGCGGCCGGATGTGGGGGCCTTTGCGGGCTTCCCCGCCAATTTGATATCGACGATGCGATTGCTTAAATAATCACTGTCCGGTCAGCAAGTTATTTGCTGATTTGATGGGTCTATTGGGGGCCGGGGTCGAGTGGTGCTGAGCGGAATTGCGGAAGAATGAGATGCTATTCAGACTCCCGGTGTGGCGGCGGTCACCAGTTGGGCTCGCTGCCTCAGGCAGGATAGCGTTGGGGCGGATCTCTTTTTAGTCCTACTAATGCACAAGGCCTGTCTTGCTGCTTATCCATGCTGCACTCGATAGGGTACCTAGAAGGCACTTCCATCTGTACCGACTCTCCGGTTTATATCTCCGCAGAACAGACAGGATCATATAAATGCCTATAATCCATAGCTGGATATGTCGCCAACTCACCAGTTCGGCCTGGACTACGGATTACTCGAGTTACATGTTTGTTCCCTTATCCTTCCATGTCAACTATGAACCAAGGTCCGTATCTTTTCGAGAACAGGTCTATTCCAACGCCACATAATCTTGATCCTTCATGGACCGGACGATAATCCTAGTCACACAACGTTGTAACCCATATATGCCCGTGAAGCGCACAGTATAATACACGTATTCATTAGAATCGAATCGAATTCAAAAGGTAAAGTAGGGAGAAAGTTGCCCGTGCATCGTGATCAATATCGGTAGAATTTCCAGACTATGCCGACAATTTCATATCACACCGACAGGCGGACGCGTGAGGAATCCGTTTACATACTTCTTCCGTCAGTACTTGCTTTGCCTCAGCGGTAGCAAAAGAGGGAACCGTGTCTCAACTTACGGAGGCAGGAGGAGCTCGCTGAGGCTGCTGTGGAGGAAAGCGACGCCGGCCTGCAGACAGAACCCATTAGATCACTCTTCAATCCAAATCACTTGGGGCAATCTCCCCGGAATCTGTAGTACTTACGCCGAAGACCAGAATGCTTCTCACAATGGTAGCGTTCTCGGGGTGAGTGATTTCCTCATATGCGGTGCTGAAGAAGCTCTTCTGGGGACGGCCAGAGACGACGCGCTGTTTGGGAACCATTTTGTGAAAATGTGATAGAGGCGAAGTAGATGATGATGTCCTTGACGAAAATGATTCCTGAGATGGTGAGAGTGACAGATGTTTGATGCAGGGCGAAGCCGGAATGACGATGAACTCCGAGAAATCTTTCGATGCTTGGCGGCTGCGCCTTTAGCTTATCGCGGCTGCCGTATCTTCTTCGGAGCTGCTGCGCGACCAGTTGATCGGAGAGAAAACCGGAGAACGCACCCTGAGACAATCAATTTACGGACGGAGATTCTCCTGTGCATAATCGCATCTGTTTATTCAATTGAATTTTGTTGGTTCTCGTGTTGGTGGTTGGGTTTGAAGGGCCTTTTCCGCTTTGCGTCTCAGCCAGCGCAAGCCGCAACCATGACGAGCATAGATGAGCTTTTTAAGGTGAGCAATCTAGGGCATGTCTTGTTCAACCTATTCTGACGGATTAGAAACCATCCTCCGCAGCAAGCGCCAAGCGCAAACTCAATTCCGCGAGAGATCCGAGTACGCTCACCCACCTCCTACGTCCCTTGGCAGCAAGTCACTGACACGCGATGAAGCCGAGTTCTATAAGGCGGCTAAGCTCGATGCGGAAGACGATGTGAAATCAAAGGGAAAGGCGCCCATGGTGCAGGATGAAGGCGATGAGGAGGATGACTACGCTGGCCCCGAACTACCTCCCGACTTCGACGCCGAGGATATTCCCGATGACGAAGAAGGACGCTTCTTTGGTGGCGGCATGGAACGCCAAACAGCCCAGGCCATGCAATATATTGATCAGAATGAGGAGGCAGATGCTGCGGTATGTGACAATCGCAAGCTGCAGTCTATTGTGGCCGTTCGCTAAATGACCTATAGCCCGAGAAATTCGACGTTGCCTGGCTCCGACGGTTCGCGCTCAACTTCGAAAAGAAGATATCCAAGAACGCCGAACTCCGCGGGAAGTTTGAGAATGATCCCCAAAAGTAAGCAAAGAACAGACCAGGCTCCAAGGAATGCGCATTATACTAATGTCTTAGATTCATGGCCTCCGAGGCAGATCTAGACACTGAGATCAAGAGTCTCTCCATCCTGTCCGAACACTCCGAATTGTATAGCGAGTTCGCGAATCTGGGCTGCGTAGGCTCGCTTATGTCGCTGCTATCACACGAGAATGCTGATATCGCAATTGATGCGATCCAGATCATTGGTGAGCTAACGGATGAGGATGTCGAGGCCGAGCAGGATCAATGGGACAGCCTGGTCAACGCAATGGTATGTTATACTTCCCATTGTGCTCGTACAGACACTTACTCGTCTAGTTGGACGCCGACCTTATCGAGCTTCTAGCGCAGAATCTGACAAGACTTGACGAAGAATCCGAGGTTGACAGGGCAGGGGTGTACTATGCACTGAGTAAGTGATACCCCGCTATGCATATAATAGCTATGCTGATTGCGCTGAAGATGTTTTGGAAAACCTTGCCTCGCAATCCCTAATCGCAGAGAAGATAGGGCAAGACCCAAACCTGCTACCATGGCTTATCTCTCGTATACAGAAGAAGGAAAGACCAGTGAGCCAAAACCAGCAATATGCAGCGGAGATACTGGCTATTCTTCTACAAGCTACTCCCAAGAACAGGGAGAAGTTCGTTAGCCAGGACGGCGTTGAAGTCCTCCTTCAATTGCTTAGTGCATATCGCAAGCGTGATCCCGAGAAAGACTCCGATGAGGAGGAATATGTCGAGAACTTGTTCGGATGCTTGAACTATCTCGTGAATGAGGATTTCGGGAAGGAAAAGTTCTTGGAAGCTGAAGGTATCGAACTTGCGCAGATCATGTTGAAGGAAGGCAAGTTCAGCAAGCAACGGGCTTTACGACTCTTGGACTATGTCCTAGGCGGAATATCAGGTGCTCCTGCGTGTGAGCGCTTCGTCGAGGCAGCATGCTTAAGTACAGTGTTTGGAATGTTCAAGAGAAAGGTACGTATTCTCCCGTGGTGAAGTCACGGACGGGGACTAAACCCTTATAGCAAGACAACCAGACGACTGAGCATCTGCTGGGCATTTTCGCTTCCTTGTTGCGTCTACTGCCAGGAGGCTCTGCACCACGGATCCGCACTCTGGCGAAATTCATGGAGAAGGACTACGAGAAGATTGAAAAGCTCGTCAAGCTGCGACGGGAGTGTGCGTCGAGACTATCGCCGGTCGAGCAGGCTATTGAGAAGGAACGGAAAAGCTTCACGCAAGAGGAACAAGAGATCATGGAAACCGATTGGCTTTCACGACGGCTCGATGCCGGTCTATTCTCCTTACAGGTCTGTTCTCCCGGTATGCCCTTGTTTCCGTTGGATGTGCTAACAGTCGTCTGTAGCTTATTGATGTCATTCTGGCCTGGTTGGTGGCTGAAGACGACGGGGCGAAACAGAAAATCGTGGCTCTCCTGGCTGACCGCGACGAGAACTTGTCGCTTGTGCGACGAACACTACAAGGTAAGCTAAATGTCCCTACCGTCTTACGGCTGGCTTCCGAGTTCAATGCTAATCAGACGAATAGAGCAAGCGGAAGGGCTCTCTGAAGATGAGCCTGGCGAAAAGGACAGTAAGGAGATGCTGGAGACGTTGTTACAATTCCTGTAGTATAGTAACATACAATGACGAGAAGTCACTCGATGCACTACACAGTAGCAATCCAGAGCACGGTGAGATGAAAGTAAAGCAAGCAGAACAAAGCAAAACACATGATGTCGTTTGTTTGCTTCACGTGACATGCCCCATCGGGCCTAGCCGACCGCTTAGCGCCAGCAGGGCGGTCGAGGCTAGTGGCGGCTCTGTCCCAAGGCAAGATCCATCAGCGCCCGGAGAGAGTTGAAGCACCCCAGCTGCTTCCTTCACCAGCATCACCGGTGGCCTGGGCTCTCTCATTCTTCCATCCATCTGAGGCTCCCGGTTTACCGGCCTCACTTGTCTGATACAGGACACTCGCATCGGTGCATCCCATTGCCTCAGCTGCTCAACGACCTCGAGTGGCATCTTTTCCGCCGAGCGCGTCGCGCCCTTTGCGCTCACTGATATCTCGACTGTCGTTTTTCACTGCGTTTGCGATCCATATCCGTCAAGATGGCCGACTACGAAGATACCTACGAAGATGAGTACTACGATGATATGGATGAGGGCATCACCTCGGAGGATTGCTGGACCGTCATCTCGTCTTTCTTCGACACCAAAGGTCTAGTGTCACAACAGCTGGACTCTTTCGATGAATTCATTTCGTCAACAATGCAGGAGCTGGTGGAGGAGCAAGGCCAAGTGACTCTCGACCAGACCCTTCCCCCTTCCGAAGATGAAGTCGATCCCGTGGTTGTCCGCCGATACGAGCTGAAATTTGGAACGGTCATGCTCTCTCGACCGTCCGTGACTGAAGGTGATGGTGCCACCACTATCATGTTGCCTCAGGAGGCTCGTCTGCGTAATCTTACATACGCCAGTCCCCTCTATCTCGGTGTTACGAAGAAGATTATGGAAGGTCGGGAACGTCTGGTCGCCGACCGGGATGATGAAGATATGGTTGAGTCGAGTGAGGACAGAAAAGCCCATGGGACATACCTTCAGTGGGAACAGAAGGAGCTGCCTGCCGACCAGGCAAAGGAGGAGACCGTTTTCATTGGAAAGATGCCTATCATGCTCAAGTCTAAGTACTGTATTCTTAAGGACTTGAGCGAACAGGCTCTTTACAACTGGAACGAATGCCCTTACGACTCGGGCGGCTATTTCATCATCAACGGAAGTGAAAAGGTCCTGATCGCCCAAGAGCGCAGTGCTGGAAACACAGTCCAGGTTTTCAAGAAGGCGCCACCCAGTCCCACACCGTATGTCGCGGAAATTCGCAGTGCCGTCGAGAAGGGGTCAAGACTTCTCTCTCAATTGTCCCTGAAGCTGTTTGCGAAGGGTGACAGTGCCAAGGGTGGATTCGGACCTACGATCCGGTCGACATTGCCTTACGTGAAGACCGATATCCCAATTGTCGTCGTTTTCAGAGCCCTCGGTGTGGTCTCTGATGAAGATATCTTGAACCATATCTGCTACGACCGGAATGACACGCCGATGCTGGAGATGCTGAAGCCCTGTATTGAGGAAGGTTTCGTTATCCAGGATCGTGAAGTGGCGCTGGATTTCATTGCCAAGCGTGGATCTTCTCAGTCCAGTATGAACCACGAGCGTCGTGTCAGATACGCACGTGAAATCATGCAGAAGGAGTTCCTTCCCCACATCTCCCAGAGCGAAGGCAGCGAGACCCGTAAAGCGTTTTTCCTGGGTTACATGGTGCACAGACTCCTGCAGTGTGCCTTGGGTCGTCGGGATGTCGACGATCGTGACCACTTCGGCAAGAAGCGTCTCGACTTGGCTGGTCCTCTTCTTGCAAACCTTTTCCGAGTTCTGTTCACTCGAGTCACCCGTGATCTTCAGCGGTACGTGCAGAGATGTGTGGAGACCAACAGGGAGATCTACCTGAACATCGGTATCAAGGCCAGCACCCTGACAGGAGGATTGAAGTACGCCCTTGCCACAGGTAACTGGGGAGAGCAGAAGAAGGCCGCCAGTGCCAAAGCTGGTGTGTCTCAGGTGCTTAGTCGTTACACCTACGCCTCTACCTTGTCTCACTTGCGTCGTACCAATACGCCCATTGGCCGAGACGGTAAGATCGCCAAACCTCGACAGCTTCACAACACCCACTGGGGTCTGGTTTGTCCGGCAGAGACCCCTGAGGGTCAAGCTTGTGGACTGGTCAAGAACTTGGCGCTCATGTGCTACATCACTGTGGGTACGCCTAGCGAGCCTATTATTGACTTCATGATCCAGCGCAACATGGAGGTCCTGGAAGAATTTGAGCCGCAGGTGACGCCAAACGCCACCAAGGTGTTTGTTAACGGCGTTTGGGTCGGAATTCACAGAGATCCAGCTCATCTGGTCAACACGATGTCGTCGCTCCGTCGACGAAACATGATCTCGCACGAGGTCAGTTTGATTCGCGATATCCGTGAGCGAGAGTTCAAGATTTTCACCGACGCTGGACGTGTCTGTCGACCGCTTTATGTTGTCGATAACGACCCGAAGAGCGACAACTGTGGCTCTCTGGTGCTCAACAAAGAGCATATCCGCAAACTGGAGCAGGACAAAGACCTGCCTCCGGACTTGGACCCAGAAGACCGTAGGGAACGTTACTTCGGTTGGGACGGGTTGGTAAAATCTGGTGTTGTCGAATACGTCGATGCCGAAGAGGAAGAGACGATTATGATTGTGATGACGCCAGAAGACCTGGAGATCTCGAAGCAGCTTCAGGCTGGTTATGCGCTCCCTGAAGAAGAGCTTCACGACCCCAATAAGCGGGTTCGCTCTATTCTGAGTCAAAAGGCACACACATGGACGCACTGCGAGATCCACCCCAGTATGATCCTGGGTGTCTGTGCCAGTATCATTCCTTTCCCCGACCACAACCAATCTCCCCGTAACACCTACCAATCTGCCATGGGTAAACAAGCTATGGGTGTGTTCCTGACGAATTTCGACCAGCGCATGGAAACGATGGCGAACATTCTTTATTACCCGCAGAAGCCGCTGGCCACGACGCGGTCCATGGAGTTCTTGCGATTCCGGGAGCTGCCCGCTGGGCAGAACGCCATCGTTGCCATTGCTACCTATTCTGGGTACAACCAGGAAGATTCCGTCATTATGAACCAGAGCAGCATTGATCGTGGTCTTTTCCGCAGTCTCTTCTACCGCACATACACGGACAGTGAGAAGATGGTCGGACTGACGGTTGTCGAACGCTTCGAGAAGCCCATGCGATCGGATACGATTGGTATGCGCAAGGGTACCTACGACAAGCTTGATGAAGATGGTATCATTGCACCTGGTGTTCGTGTCTCCGGTGAGGATATCATCATCGGTAAAACGGCACCATTGGCGCCCGAGGCGGAGGAACTTGGCCAACGTACCAAGGCCCACACCAAGCTGGATGTGTCGACTCCCCTCAGGAGTACCGAGAACGGTATTGTGGATCAAGTGTTGGTGTCCACCAGCAACGATGATCTGAAGTTCGTGAAGGTGCGCATGAGAACGACCAAGATTCCTCAGATTGGAGACAAGTTCGCCTCGCGTCACGGACAGAAGGGTACCATCGGTATCACCTACCGACAGGAGGACATGCCCTTCACACGTGAGGGTGTGTGCCCCGACTTGATCATCAACCCCCACGCCATTCCGTCTCGTATGACAATCGCGCATTTGATCGAGTGTCAGCTGAGTAAAGTGTCATCTCTGCGTGGATTTGAGGGAGATGCGACGCCCTTCACCGACGTCACTGTCGACTCGATCTCCCGTCTTCTCCGGGAGCATGGTTACCAGTCCCGTGGATTTGAGGTGATGTATAACGGCCACACTGGCCGGAAGCTGGTCGCGCAAGTGTTCCTAGGACCAACCTACTACCAGCGTCTGCGCCATATGGTCGACGACAAGATCCACGCCCGTGCCCGTGGACCGACCCAGATCTTGACCCGACAGCCCGTGGAAGGTCGTGCTCGTGACGGTGGTCTCCGATTCGGAGAGATGGAGCGCGATTGTATGATTGCGCACGGCGCCAGTGCCTTCCTGAAGGAGCGGTTGTTCGATGTGTCGGATCCCTTCCGGGTGCACATCTGCGACGACTGTGGCTTGATGACCCCTGTTGCGTAAGTGGATGGTCTTAAAGAGATGCCGGCGACGGTTCTTGGGCTAACGATGATATAAACAGGAAACTCAAGAAGGGACTCTTCGAGTGTCGACTGTGTAACAACAAGCACCGAATCTCCCAGGTGCATATCCCGTATGCAGCCAAGCTTCTGTTCCAAGAGCTGGCCTCGATGAACATTGCCGCTCGCATGTTTACCAACCGGTCTGGCGTGTCCGTGCGGTGAGGGGAGGAAGGATTGTTATCCATGTACATCAGATTATTCGCTTCTGTGGTATCTCTTCCGTCCTCGGGCCTTTCTGCCTTTTCTCCTCTTTTCCCTTTTTTTTCCTAATAATTCTTACCCCTCAAAACCTGTGATCTCCACCGAAGACCAGAAGATTCGGCATTTCCCGGCGTACCAAGGACCAGAGGTTTATGATTTTGCTTTGAGCTTCTTCTATATGATATTCTTGTGCTGCCCATGCTTGGAGGGATGGCTGGTGAGCAGCGATGTGCTTGGCTTATGATTTGTCCCTACGGAATGGAATTTGGATCTAGTGAGGGGTTCCCCTGTACGTTCTGCACTTAAGTTGGTCATGACGGGGCCTTATCTGAAGGGATGCCCGCATGTGGGTGCCGTAGTGGTCTTTTCTCCTGGCCTCTCTCGACTCTCTGACCCCTCCACCCCTCTTTATTCCCGTGAACCTTAAACCCCACGGGCCTGCAGAATCGAGAAGTCGGTGACAGACTGTCCTCCCGCTGCTCCGTTGCGATTGGGGCCTGGGTTTCTATTGATAGGCGAGCCTCGGAGAAGGACCTCATGGAGGGCGGCAAGGGAAAGCAGCATCCCGGGCATGGATGGTGGGCAGACGGGGTGGTTGGCTGTCCGGTGGCAGGTTGGGGGGGGGACGAAAGGCCAATGGCACCGACCAATTACCCGCCGGCCGGGATGGGGAGGTCGGCGCGGGGATTTGACTGGCAAGGAGCAGCTGCAGGACCCTCCACCCATTTCCCAGAATAGCCAGGCGGGTGACAAAATGCCAGTAGGTCAGAAAGATCCCATCACACAGCTGCATGCCAATGCCAATGCCAATGCCGGGCTTCCCCCCCCCCCCCTCCTCCATCGAACTCCCCGTCGCCTCTTAAAAGGCTGGCGTAGCCGCCAGGGCGTCTTCTGCCTTCTTCCCTTTTTCTTTTCTTCAGCAAGCTTGTCTTGTCTGTACTGCCTGTGGTTTGGAAGTATCCCCCCGTGCACTGGTTGCATCGGTTTTGTTGTTGTTTCTTCACTTCAGTTTATATCTTAATAATCCTTCTATATTACCCAAAAACCCCCCCCCACCCCAAATCCCCTCCATACAATCACACGAGCTGTGCTCTGTGATTTCCTGCTGCTTCATTGCTTTGCTCTTGTTCGGATACTTCTAAACCATACAACCCCTTGACGGTTATATTTGTTGTCGCCGGTCGACATCCGTGATCCCGTCATCCAGTGCAGACGACTTGCCGGCCTTGTCGCTTTTGTCCATATCCAACTTCTATCTAATTTTCTGGTTGCGTGTCGAGGACTGGATCCTGTCAAGCAAAGCCTCGTTGTTATACTTGCACAGCCAACCAACCAACATTTCCAACAACACAAGGCTGGATTGAATCGACTCTGGTAGTCCTTCAGCTCCGCCTTTATAACGACGACTAATCCGCCATTGACACGACTTACCATATCATCTTGCTTCTGCATATTATCTAATTCTTAGTATAACCTGGTCAATCTCTCAACATGTCTGCTGTTCAACTCAAGTTTTCGCTGCGCACCTCCTCCAATGTCAAGACTGTCCACCTGGTCGGCTCCTGGGATAACTACTCCCGTCAGATCCCCCTTTCCCGGGATGATGGCAAGCCAGGCGCATGGATTGGCAAGTTCCGCTTCCAGACCTCCATGCTGAAGCTGGGTGGCCGCTACTGGTACTACGTAAGTGGACTGTTTTGTTCGATCGAATTGCACGCGCTAAATGGGTCTAGTATATCATGGACGGTTACCATGTCTCCCATGATCCCGCCGTTGAGTACACCGTTGAGCCCACCACCGGCCGCAAATTGAACATCCTCGATGTTCCCGGTGGCAAGAAGTCCTCTCAGCCTGCCCCCAAGCACCGCCGGGGCTCGGAGGACTTTGTAAAGGGCCGCGCTCCGTCTCCGTCCAAGATTCACCACCCCAAGCCATCCAAGCCCTATGCGTCCCGCCAAATCCGGGAGACGGACTTTGCTCCCACTATGGAGGACCTGACCATGCGGTTTGCCGACTCCCGGCTGTCCGATGAGTACTCGCTCTCCAACAGCCCGCCCAGCTCGGTTGGCTCGTCACTATCCTCCCGGTCATCCGGCAGCACGTCCCCATCGTCGCTGTCGTCGATGAGTGACCCACCCACCCCGATCTGCCACTGCGAGCGTTACGGAATCACTCGCAAGGGCGATCGGGTCAAGCTCGACTGTGGCGGCAGCCGCTGCGGCTATGTTACCGAGTCGTCCGAGGCCAGCTGCTCGGAGTCGGACAGTGATGAGGAGTACCGCCGTGCCCGCAGCGCCGTCCGTCGCCAAGGCATTGTGGTTCGGAGGTAAACCATGACAAGCGTTGGTGCTTTTTGCATTGCTTTACACAATCATCCCCTCATGGGAGTCGCTTCCCGCGCCGAAGGGCCGAACATGCCGGGCATCCAATGCCCGCCCTCTCTCGAGGGTTGTCACTCCTTTAGCAGTTACCTGCTGCGTCTATCACCGACGCTGCTTGCATGCAAACCTATAAAGAAAGAAAAAGACCAAAAAAAGGTGTTGTCGAGGCATCCGGGCCATGGCGATCTGCCGTGGACGAGCCAGATGTTGTATGTGGGGGAGAGGAAAATGGAGAGGAATGGAGGGGATGGAAGAACTGGAATTGAGGGGGTTGACGGAGAAAGAAGAGACCAGCTCCGCTCTATACTAGGGGTTGAAGGTATAGCCAGGCGGAGGAAGAATGAAACGAACGATGTCCGAGTCACGATAGTTACGTTGTTCACAAATAGGATACGAATGATGAGTGATGATCTTTACCGTATACTTTAGCTAAGCATAGTGAGCACTGACTGGGGGGAGACACTGGTGATTCGGCCTCCGCGTGGGCGTCTCGGAAAGTCCCTCCCCCGCAATCGGATATCCCGAGGCCTGCGCCTACTTAACCATCCACCGAGACCTGGCCATGGAGACTACCGCGGAACTTCACAGCCTGCAAGCCAGACACCATGCCTCCTCTCCCGCTGACTGTCCAGTACAAAGAAGCCAATGGCAGTACCATTACCACCGACATCTACCTCCCTCCACCACCGGGATCTACCCATGACGCCGTCAAGAAGTACCCTGTTTGTCAGTTATTCCCCGCTGAGATTGTCCAGTGGTATCGCATCCCAGCTAACCCAATTCTTCTCCCCAGTAATCAACATCCACGGCGGCGTGTTCATGCTGGGCCACTCGCGCATGGTCTCGATGCCGCAGATCGACGACTGTCTGGCCCGCAACTGGATCGTGGTGGTCCCGAACCATCGCCTCTGTCCGCAGGTGAATATCCTCGAGGGGCCGATCACGGACTGTCGGGACCTGCTCGCCTGGATCTACGATGGCCACATGGACGCCTTTCTCGCGAGTGAATCCGTGCAAGAGGTCCATGGCGCCCAATACCAGGTTGATATGGACCGCGTCATGGCATTTGGGACATCCTCGGGGGGCACTTTGGCGTTGTCTTTGGTGGGTGCATACTTACCTACCTACACTGCTTACCCCCTCTCCGCAAGCCTGAGATTGTTACTTACTGCGAACCACCCTCTAGGGCTATGACGTCCCCCGTCCAGTCTCCGCCATCCTCGACTTCTACGGTGCCGTGCACTTTACTCACCCCTTCTGGACCCAACCGCTCCCCGATGTCGCGCGTACCCTTCCGCCCCTGGACCCCTCATTCCTCAACCAAGTCTACGACGAGTTCCCCGTTCCGACGGATAGTTCCATCTCCCTGGAAGGCCAAACGGAAAGCGGCGCCGCCAAGGGACCGAATTTCTCGCGGCCCCGGGATGCCTTTGCCCTGACGCAGGTGGCCAACGGCACGGTGCTGCAGGCGTGCTATCCGGGGCGGGACGTGAGGGAGATTGACCCGGTGGTGCAAGTTAGGGAGGGGTTCCCGCCGACGTTCATTGTGCATGGGGATCAGGATACGAAGGTGCCGATTGAGGTGAGTCGGGAGTTGTGGCGAGTGTTGCGGGAGAAAGGGGTGGAGTGTGAGATGGTTGAGGTGCCTGGGGAGGATCATACGTTTGCAATGGGGATGAGGGCTGGGTCGCGGACGTGGGAACTGCAGCGACGCGGGTTTGATTTTTTGGAGAGGGTTATTGGGCGGGGATGAGGATGAATGAGAATGAGGTCGATTCGGGGGTTGTCCGGTGCGTGTAGATAATCGGTGGAGTAATCCGCAAGGCTGAACGGATTCCTTGGATAATGCGATCCACGGGGCCCGCGGGATCCAGCGACGCGAGTCGATGCCAATCGTAAGCAAGCATTTGCACCCCTATAGATAGATATCGTCAGGGGAGATGAATTACTCCGTCTGACCCGCCTGGCTCAATGACAGGCAGAGGGATAAATCAGACAAATCATGTTAACAATAATCAATAGGCAGTCATTGGATTTCCGTGCCCGGCATTCCGAGTTCCGACCTTCCGAGAGTCCTAAAGGGGAAAGAGAGGATGCCTGGCTGGCCCCCGGTGTGAACGAAGCTGATTCGCCAGGTCGGAAAGTGTGACTCAGGCCGCGGCGGGGGGGCAGTCACGGGATGCTATTTTGGGGATGGGTTTTCCCCTTCGTCGCTTGTCCACTCACCACTGTCCAGGACTCCAGTCACCGTGTCCCACTGTCCAGTGTCCACTGGTCCAACGCATCCCAGTTTCAGCCCTACGGTGTCAGGGCCCATTCAGAGTTTAGGCATCCTCGAATCGTCCCTCTCGTCTTACTCTCTTTGGCTTCCCCCCCCCCCCTCTTCTCACCTCTCAGCCTCCGCCGTGGTCCATTCACACGCCGGCCTCGGACCACTAACCTGCTTCATCCGCGCTATGCTGGGACTAATTCCTGCCCACGGAATTTCCTCAAATCACCGCCGGCCTCTCGCTGCACTGCTGCAGCCTTATGGCTCCCAAGGTCCCCCCCGGAGAACCGCACCGACATTTGGACGGTGGTGTCTCCAGCGGCCCACGGCTCCGAGTTACAATTTCCACAGGGCCAACTCTATCGCTGACCCTCGCCTCAGCTGAACCTGCCGGCCACACGAGGTCCAGCTCCCCAATGATGCCCGCCTGACTGCCGGCTGCAGGCCTCCTGCAGGCCTCCGCGAGTCCTCAGGGGCCTCAACGGTTCCATCCCGGTGGGTAACGGGGCCCAGGAAACCATCAGAAGCAGGAAATGCGTGGGCATCAGCTGTCATGGGCAGCGTGGCCGACTGCTTCCCGGGCTAATTCTGCACTACTCGGCCCTCAGCCCGACCAGCGTCCCCCCCCCACTGATCGACTCCGGTTTGCCCTACGAGTATTGCGCACGCCGAATAGGCCAATCTGCCATGGCTTGACGTTTGCCCGGCAGGATGGGTCCTCCTTCTTCTCCTCCTTTCCCTCTTTTTTCTTTTTTTCCCTTTTCCCCCCTTCTCCCCTCTTCCTGGGTTGTCTTCGCGGTTTCTTTCCCCTCTTCGCTCCTCTCCTCTCCTCCCTCCACCCTCCTTCTCCTCCCCCTCGCTAGTCCTGTTCGTGATGGACCGTGTCATTCTGCATCGTCCTCGGGCACAGAATTAAGGGTCGATTCGATTGATGGGTGCCTTGCATCGATCTCGGCAGTCGCATTCAGCATCAAGGGCATCTTAGAATGACCAAGTCGGGCAAATCCGCCAGTTCTAGATCGTTGGTCTGGTTGTCCCTGGGAGCTTGTCCTCTATCATGATCCTGGGTCGCCTGAATGGTCGGTGTTCTTATAATCGATTCCATCCGCGGTCCACTCCCCACCTCCATCGCACTCACCACCGTGCTCCTCTACCCTCCAGTCATTCCTTGACCAACACCATCATTCGTGCCTCCTTACCACGCCGGACGTTTCTCTCTTCGGTTCTTGTCTTTTCCATACCCCCATCGACAATCCCATCCGTCGTTCGACCACCGTCACCATGTGTTACCAGCTGGTGGAACGATTCTCGGCGTGTCGATGTCTTTACTTTCAACACGCGGTAGACCCGTGTGAAGCATATGGCCAGCGCGGCCATGTGGTGCAGGAGAAAATCGTCTTGGTCGGCTACACCTGTACCCGACACTCCTTGCGTTGCAACGGAAGTAGCACGCGAGACCCGACCCTGCCGGATTCAGGATACTCCAGCATCAAGGGTTAGACTATACCCACGGAAAATCAAATCCCAATCTCTGGATAACTGAGGCAGCAGTCGCGGGCCGTCTGCCTCCGCCGTCTGCCTCCGCCGTCCATCGAGTTCCTTCCTGTTCGATACATGCTTAGTTCGATTCGATTTTGGCATGGCCGGTTCGCCAAATCTTTTGCTAGATATATGTCTTTTATTGTCAGCGCTGTGGGCTGAGCTCTCGTCCCCATTTTTCCTCTGCTTTGTGTGCGCGTGGCCAGTCCGCCTCTTCTGCATAGCGTTGCGCTGCATGCCCCGTTCCGATCCGACGAGAAACGCGCGATGTTTGACTGGGTGGAGGGTTGTCTTGGGTGAAATATGGTAATAGAGGAGGATCGGGTGGGAATGGCCGTATCCGGGATACGTATGTGCTACCTACCATTATCTACGCATGATCTAGCTGGCCTACCTACCTTCGTTATTTAATTCTCTACACTTTGTTCTTTCCTTGATACATACTGCATGCATGGGATTTGGATCTGTGAGTCGGCGAAATCCGTTCATTAGACCAGTATCACATGTTGATATTCAGCGCGATCGAAGATCCCACCCTCAAGCCTACTACACTAAACCACTTTGAACGCCCATTCACTCAAATAATGTATCCACGTGACCATCCGGAACACGGAGAAACAAACACAGATTACTAATCCTGTACAAATGATGCATCACTCCGTACAGACTATCTAGATACATTGCAGACAATCACCCGTGAATAAGTAGATAGCTAGAACATAGATCCACTATCCGTGTCGCTTCCATCTCTCCTAATCACGAAAAATACACACGCAGCGCAGGCTAGGCCATATGTAGTAGTGCTCTGCTTCAGTGGTTTTGGTTTAACTAGAGAGTAGACTGCACTCGACTGGCTGTACTGTACTTTTCCTTTCCTTTTTGTTCCGTTCCGATTCTTCACGGGAATGGAATGGAATTGTCATTGCCTCTATCGGGTTGGTGATTATGAATAGGGAGGGTGGATGTTCGGAGATTGGAGTATGTATTCATTTGAGGAGTATGTATCTATGTATGTGTCCATGTATGTATGTATGTGTGTATGTGTGTATGTGTGTATGTGTGCCTGTACTCCGTACAGAGTACTGAGTCGGCATTACAGCCCCAATCATTCTCCCTTCCCCCCCACCCGCCTTCTCCAACACACACACACACACACACACACAGAGAGAGAGAGAGAGAGAGAGAGAGAGAGAAGTTGGGGAGAAGGAAAGGCGGAGGTATGTCTTTTATCCATATTGATTCTTCAGGAGGAGGTGAATAGACGGTATACTCAGTGAACACGAAGAAAGAATTAAACAAGGTAAAAAGGTTGAAATCTTGTCTGGTCTTGTAGAATGGATTGCTCCCTCCTTGCTTTACCCCATCATCCAGCACTACTACGAAGAGCTATAATATGCATACAGTATATCAAGTGAGATTGGATGGCCCGCCCAGCGCCACCGGTGTTGATGAGAGATAGGACACGAATGGGGAAAATATAAAGAAGCAGATGATATAAAATACAACGACACCGGGTAGTAATTTCTCGCACTTTTTTTTTTCTCTTGATCAGTTCAGGTAAACAAAGCTAGATGGATCCGAGGGCACCGTGGCTGAGACCCTTGGCGAGACCGAGGCGGAGGATGCGGAGGATGTCTTCGCCGGCGGCGTCCTCGGGCAGCCCGGCGCGCCAGTCCCAGCCGCGTTCGGTGGTGGCAGCCTCAGCGTCTGCGCGCGGGACGAGGACGCCTGAGCTGCCGACGGAGCCCGAGCCCGAGCGAGTGCGGGCGGACTCGATCATGTCGCTACCGATGAGGGAGAAGGTGCTGGATGCGGTGAGCGCGGAGACGGACTTCTTGAGCATGGCGCGCGGGGAGGGCGGGAGGACGAAGGAGTCGGAGGAGTGGGCGCGCTTTGAGGAGTGGTACTGGATGAGCGTGGAGCGGAAGCATTCCTCGCACTGCGCGTAGACGCGGGGGGTCACGGTTTGGAGGTCTTCGATGGCGGAGAGGATGGTGAATTGTTGGGAGACGGAGAGGAGCGGAGTGGGCTCTGCTTCTGGTTAGAGGCTGAAGATTCCAGGGGAAGGGAGAAGGGAGGTCACTGACGATCAATGAAGGGCAGGGCCTCGCCGAGCAAAGTCAACAGTCCGTCGACTTGGATGACCGCGTCGCGATCCGGGTCGTATAGCCCACCGTAGATGCTGTCGGCCGCGCTGCCAATGACCGCCACCAGGGCCTGCGCGGCGGCGCGCCGTCTGGCGAGAGGCTTGAACCGCGGGCGCTGTCCCTCTGGGAGGTTGATAGCCTCGTCGCGGGTCTCGTAGAAGCGACGGAGAGTCGCGTATCCGCTGAAGTAGTACTGGAGGATGGACGCGGCCTCCTCATCGGTGACGGCCACCGCGGACAAGCAGTGCTTGGGTTCCCGGATCAGCGCTTCCAGCTGTTCGTCCAGGTCGGTGGATTCAGGATAGGCGCGGGACTGAACCAGACTGTAGGAGATGAGCAGGTCGACAATCGACTTGACCTTGCGCCGGTTGTGTGCGCGCGCATAGCAGAGAAGGGCCAGGCCATAGTCTTGAGACTTGGCCACGGTGTCGTCGCCAAAGCGCTGATGAAATTAGCTACGGGTCCGAGAACCTCTCGAGCCGTGCCATCACTTACCTCGGAAACCTTCCGTCCCTCAGTGTCCAGATCGAGTTCGGAGCACAGCAGGACCACCTTATCCACCTGCTCCGAAGTGTTGAGGGGCAGCTTGTCCAGCAGTTCCGCAACGCTCTTCTGCATCTTATCGCGGTCGTCCAAGCGACTCAGAACCTCGATGGCGACCTCCCATCCTTCGCGGGCGCCCGATTCACACTCCACGGTGGGACGTTGAGACAAGCCCGATGCATAGGCGCTGATCACATCGTTCTTGTGGACACGACGCGAGGGCGCATCGCCATCCTGGCCATAGGAAAGGACCATCAAGTCATCCTCACTCAGGCCTGGCAACGACTTGGGACCGGCCCCGGGGTCGAGCCAGCCGCCAATGGATGCGACTTCGACGACAGCGGAGGACACGCACAGCGACCACGTTTGAAGCAATTCCAACACGCCTTCCACATTGCCCTCAAATACGGAAGCCAGCCCGACTTCGAGGCTGCTCAACGAGTTGACCTGGAAACCAGCGTCGTCGGGGTCCGCATTGGTGGCATGGCTGAAGGCCAAATCCAGGCGGCGGAGATAGGCATGTCTTGCACTGGCGGGCGAAGCTTGGAGCTTGGGGAGTCTGGAGAACAGGAGGTTGGTGCTGGCACCAAAGTCATTGTTGGAACTCTCCGCGTCGTCCTCACCATCCCACCACACGGTCATCCCCACCGTGGCTTCTATCCAGTCCTCCGCGTGATTCATGACCACGCTGGTGTCACCGAGGATGATGCGATACAGGGATCGAAGGTTCTGGTAGATTGTCCAAGGAACTTTGCTCTCCGCCATGCGCGCATTCTGGGCAAAGGAGAACATCGGCGCAGCAGGAGTGGCCTTCAGGCCAAAGTTGACTGCCTGGAAGCGATTCTCTGCGGCGGGAGGCTCCGGAGATTGCTGCTCATTGCCCTCGGCGAACTCCTCCAAGTCCGACACGGCGGCGATCACCCGTTTCCTATACAGTGCCCAGTCGGTGCCTCGGATGTCCCAGTCATCGTGTTGCACGCTGGGGCACGATTCGAGAATCTGGAGGGCCCGGTTGACGCACCGTTGAATGTTCTGCAGCTGCGCACCACGGTAGCCGGACTGCGGGATGCCATCCTCCAGAGCCGACCTCGCGTAGTTGAAATCGGCCGACCGCAAAAGATCTGCGGCCTCGGAGAGATGGCCCCGCAAGACAGCGGCAATGATGAGCTCCCAGAAGTTGGGGGATGCTGAGGGATTCGGCTCGACCTCTTTCAATGCTTGCAGCTCCGCTGTCAGAGGCATATGGTGGTCATCCAGCCAGTCAAGGAGGAGCTTGGGCAAAGGCGTGGGCGAGTTCGTCCGAGGGGCCGCCAGTATTAGATTGCGTGCGGGAAATCCTAGGGGATTCACAAGACTTGGCTTGGCTGCCAATTGGGGGGGATGGTGAAGCTGAAGGAGCAGGGAAGCCAAGAAAGTTGCCTTCGCGACGTTCGAGGCATGGTCTCCTGGTCCAATGCCAGCCCCTGTATTCTGCCCCGGGCCATTCGGGCTTGTAGACGTCTTCCACGCAGTCACCAGTCTGTCGCAAGCATCCGAGAGAGCGACCTCAAAGTCGGCGCCGTTGATCTCGGACTGCTTGACTTCGTCGTACATGCGACAGATTTCGTCCTCCGTGCTCATGATAAATTCGCTGGACTCGTTCACGGCAACCACGCGCGATCGCGAAGCAAAATTCCGCACAATCGATGGCATAGCGGAGTCTTTCTTGGGCGACAACTTCCCTTTGCGCAGAGGCGACTTATTCGCCCACTGCTCGTCGAGCTTTGGCCGCTTGGCGTTGGTTGGGTTGGAGTAGATCGACTTGCGTTGACCGAGAGGGACGGGTGGCGCGGTGATAGAGTCACCGAGCTGGGAGTCCAGAAAGCTAAAGCGCGGGGCGGGATTCTTCTGTGTTGCAATTCCCATATCCATTGCGTCGCCCGTCTCCTCGGCTTCTTCCTCCGGCAGCACTTCCTCCTCTCCTTCCGCATCTTGATCGGCATCGTCGTCCATTTGCGACTCCGCGAAGCCGTTGGATTTCCCGAAGCTGGTCGACTCGGCGAATCGGCTCCCATTGGTGATGCTGAACAGAGATTGTGATGCGGCAAAGGACTTGGTTTGCGTGGTTTTCTTCCCACGTGGGGGCAGGGCAAAATCGGCGGACGCGATGGAGGAGCCGAAGATGCTGTCATTGGGGTTGATGTTCCCGGATTTGGTGAAGAGAGATCCGGAGCTCATCTGCGAGCTCCCGAAGACGCTGCTGGACGGAGGGTGGCCTTGCGGAGTGAACGAGTTGGATGCGGAGGGCGGAGCACCGGCCGGCGTTTCTGATAGATTGCTAAACAGACTGCGAGAGTGGCCCGGAGTCGACGGTGGGCTCGACTCGAAGGGCATTTTGAACGACATTCTGCGATTGGAGGGGATTGATGGTTGGGGAGCAACGGGGGGTCTGGATGCGAAAAATAAAGTGGAGAGCGAGGAAGGACTTCCCCGGGTCGGGGTCGGACAGGTAAGGTAAGGAGGGGAGGGAGATGAGGATGCGCAATCGATTCAATGGGATACCATCAGCAGGGACGGGAATACAGGTCACAGACAAGCAGCCGGGCAGAGCGAGGGAGAAGCGACGAGCTCCGAAGCCGCGGTGTTTCTACAGAGTAGATTGCCTCCATTATTGAATCCAGAGACGCGCCGGCCGTGGGCGGTGAGCCGCCGGTCAGGTGTGGTCAGCTGATGCAGTCACGTGAAACAGCCGGGGCTCGGTCAGATGATGTCACATGAGGTGCCCGATCGAGACGGTCGTATCCGCTAAGCAGCAGCCGGGATGCCGATTGGGTTCGATCCACGGATGGGCCGCGAGGCTCAGAGGCACCGCCCGACGATCCCACGCTGAGCAGTCCAACAGAGACCCTGAAAAAGGGTCTCAGGTTAAATTGCGCCGCGGAGATTGAGCCTTGCCCGATGTGAAGTCAACATATAAGGATCAAGACCCTGGGATGGCGTCCAAACTTCCCCCTGTCTGTCTCCATTAACTAGGACACTCTAAGCTGACTCCACCATGGCTACTACTTACCAACAACAACCTTCTTGGGTCTCCGATACGACTACGAACCCAACATGGGAACCTAATGCTTCCCATCTCTACCAAATTTCCAACACGGCGTTCCGGCACCATTACAATGTGACCACCGCCACGGGCGAGCAGCTCTACCGGGTGGAGAACTCCTCCCTCACGCCCAACAAGCCCGACCTCACATTTCATGCCGGTTCCGACAACAATGGCCCTACGGTGGCAGTGTGCAAGTTCCTGCATTTCTCTAGACATCTTAAGGTCGGCCTGGGGGATCCGAGGGACGTCAATTCCATAACCTACGAGGATCTGCTTGCGCAAGACCACCGGCACGCCAAGTATCGCTGGCAGATGACCATGCAGGCTGCGAATGGCTACGAACGGCAATCATTCCTCTGGACACGAACGCACAACGTCGGGGTCCAGGAGGATAGCAAGACGAACAAGTTCAGCAACCGCAACTTCAAATTGGTCGAGGAACAGACCGGCAGGGTCGTCGCGGTCTTTACCAACTCGGTCTGGGCGTTCAAGGACACGGGCAGGCTTCAGGTATACGTTGACTACGGACGGGATTTCGATCTGATGGCACTGACGACGGTGCTGGCATTATACGAGAAGGCCCGCCGGCGTCGAGACGCATCTGCCGCCAGCGGCGGCGCTGCCGGGGGTGCTGGTGGCGCCTAAGTTGGGATGGATAGGATGACTGTGTGATTCGAACATGCGACGCGAGATACCAGATTGCTCTTCCTGTTATATGTTTGTTTTAATTATGATACCCGGCGAGTTAGGGTCCAAAGAATGAAGCCATTGGATTGATTGTAACTACCCAACTAGTTAAACCCATTTTGATGACGTAAGACGCCTATCCGGGCGCTCTTGGCTCTCCAAAAGGTTGAAATGCTTCTGCCTTTCTCTTCAGCCAGCGATCCTGAGCGGGGTTTGCATCCGTAAGAAGCTAAATTTGAGCTTGAATCCTCCCAGGGTCGAGCATGGCCAGGAGTATCCACTGCATCGCATTCAATGGCATTTCGAAGATCCCATCGGAAATCGCGCCACGGCTGTTTGCAATGCAAACGACGGCGCGTGAAGGTGTGTAGCATCTCATCTCCCACCACTCCTATTGGCCTCCTTGCTGATCGTCCCAGTGTGATGAGCAACGGCCTTCCTGCTCGAACTGCTCCAAACGCCAGTCGACCTGCGAGTATGATTCCAGCACGTCACTGCTATGGACCAACGAAGAGTCCCAACCCTGTCAGCGGGCCAAAAAGGCCACCCGAAAAGGGGCCCTGCAGTCGGAGTCCCCGTCGACCACGACAGCCAACTCCTTCAGCTTTCTAGGCAGATGGGGCGATGAATTCGCCGCCCCACAGGCGGTCCCCAGCCTGAACATCACCGATCTGGAGTTGATGATGCAGTGGTGCAACTCAACCTACAAAAATGTGTCCCGAGGCGAGAAGACGGACCACATCTGGCGCGCCCGGACGCCCGAGGAAGCCCTTGCGCATCCGTTCCTGATGCATGGGTTACTGGCGCTCTCCGCCCTCCACATCGCGCAAACAAGGCGGGATATCCAGCAACGTCCAGCATACCTCAGTACCGCGGTTGCGCATCAGACCCAAGCACTCGCTCTGTTCCGGGACCTATTGGGCGATATCAACGCGTCCAACGCAAAAGCTATGTTTGCTTTCGCCAGCGTCGTCGTTTATTACACGTTCGGCCTGCCTCATTCGCCCGAGTCCAGTGATCCGTGGGCCATTGTGGATGATCTGATTCAGATTTTCACGCTGGCGCGTGGCGTCCAACAGGTTCTGGGCGAAGCAACACCGGTTATTCAAGCCAGTGAATGGGGGGTTGTTTTGCAGGTAGGTGACCTCGATGAGGGTTACCTGAAAGACGCACGATCCGCTCTGAGACGACTACAGGAGGTGAACAGTTCCTGCGGTGCTCAAGACCCTACCCACGATGCCGCCACTTATCAGCATGCGCTTGAGCTACTAGCAGACATGCTGGCAATGGCGCGCGGTGGTATGCCCTCTGCCTCGGCTTCCGGCCGCTGGGCGATCCGGCAGAAACCCGAATTTATGGATTTCCTGCGAGAACGTGAACCGCTGGCCTTGGTTATCTTGGCATATCACTGCATCATCTTCCATCACTCGAGGGATGTCTGGTACATTGGGGATCGGGGCAGCAGGGTGGTTCGGGCATTATGGGAGGTTTTGGATGATGAGTGGAGGCCATTGCTGGAGGGGCCTATGCTGGAGATTTTTGGAACGACCCATCCGGTTGATCCTAACTGACCCAGTTGGTTCAAAGATAGATGCGTGACTTCATTACACTAATACTGACGGGACGACTCGGAATGACAAATTACTCTATACAGGCATGGACATTTCCTCCCCCTTCAACGGGCTGACGTTCCCGCCCCGGAGAAGACGCTTCACTTCGCTGGGATGGATCACCACGAAGACGGCCAGCACCAACAACATCAGCAGTCCATCAAGCAGGTAGATGAACACTTCGTGCTGCAGAAGGAACCCATCCGAGCCCTCCAGATACTCGATCACTCGAAAGACCGACCGGACGAGGATCAGACCGCTCGAGCTGTACAGGGCAAACATGTGCTTCCTCCAGGGGATCTGATCACTCCGCGACTCGTCGGTTGGGTGATTCGCGATCCGGATCTGGAAGACCAGGGCGCTCACGACGAAGAAGCCGAAGAAGACGATCTGCACGAACAGCCCGCCGACGATGATATTCTGTCCCATCGTGGGGGATCCATTGACCATGATTCCGGCGCCTATGATCCACGTCAGCCACCAGTCATCGATTTCATACCCAGCAACGCAACTCACCCGACGCCTGCATCAGAAAGCTGAGCACATCCCCCGCCACGAAGATCTTGGTCATCCAGCCCACCCGGATAATGGCCAGCTGCTCCGCCTTGACGAGAAGAACGATCCGTCCCAACTCCATGTATATGCTCGCGGCGAAGAGGGCGGGCGCGACCAGCAGCAGGGTGCTCTGCATGATGTACGGGCCGAGAGACCAGTTGGGGGATTGCGCTGCCGACAGGGCGCGTCCGATATATCCGATTGCCTCGACTGGATGGTCAGCTCGTGCATTCATATAGTATATACAAGTAAATGAAGGGAATCAATCACATACAGTATCCTCCGATGACGAGGGGAATCACAAACCACGTCCGGGTGCGAATCATGCGATACATGTGCCAGAGGGTGCTGATCATGAAGAGCGCGGCGAAAATAATGGCCGCGGGCATGGACGGGTCATACTGGTAGGCCACCCAGCCGGTTGCATTGGAGTCGGACATTTGCGAGCGTGGAGTACCAAGTCTCAACAAGATATCGACAAGCAGAGGTCACAACGAGAGATCACAACGAGAGAGAGATAACAAGAATATTACCACAACACACACAACCACCACCGACCAGCGAACCCCATTTAAATACACCTCCCTCCCCATCGCCACCTCCATCCCATCCCATCACCTAGAATACAAGATCTTCATCGGATCTCGTATACCTCGTACCTTTACCCGAATCGGGTAGAGCAAACCCTCGTCTCCACCGTCGGAATCGTGCCGAGAATCTCATTCTTTTTTTACTTGGTTCTTCATAGAGGTAGTGGGGACTAGATTCTTATTTTCATTCTATTCCTTAACATTGTAGATACTCATTACGGAGTACGGAGTATATTTTGGTTCTTTGCGGAGTGGGAATGGGCCTACCGTCCTCCGTGTGGGACTCTGACTACTTACTCATGTGTATCTTATCTCCACATCTCGATTCTTATTTCTCAGTCTGAAAAAGTCCGGTCCGTAGTGACTGAGAGACTAGATAGGTGGTAGTAGTCGAGTCTAGCCTTTTAGATCATTCGAGAGAGGTATGTCTGTCAACTGGATTATTCTCTACTACACGTCAAACCTACATAGAGACATGCGTGATAGGCCTTAGAAGGAAACTATGCTATGACTACCAGAAACTAGAAAGAAATCGAGCTCCTGTCTGGGAGAGTAGGCGTGAACACAGAGGATGCGGATCGGGGGTGTCTGTGACTACTACTACTACTAGAAAGGATATATCCCTTCTGGCTACTAGTATATATGGTATGGCAAACGTCTCAACATCTATTTCTGATGGGGTTTCATGTATGGTTTGGGTGTCATTGGTGTTTCTTGTCCAAGTGTATTAGATTTGTCTACTGCGCTACATGCAATCTCCATCTTCCATCGTCTATACAACTACAATATACTCCGTATGCTGACAACCCGACTCTCTCTCCCCTCCCCCTCCCCCCGATTCTCCAACACATACCGAAACCTCGCCCTCCCCGCCTCCATATCCCGCAACGCGGCATTGACCTCCTCCATGGGCCGTCTCTCCACCCACGGCACGACGCCCTTCTCCGCCGCGACCTGCAACATCTCCCTGACATCCTCTCTCGACCCCACATTCGACCCCGTCACCACCACCCCCTTGGCAATCAAATCCCACGCCCGAATCCTCGGCAACGGCGTCTCCGGCGCCCCGACCAACACAAACGTGCCCTCGACCCTCAACAATCGCAAATACTTCCCCAACGGCATCTCATCCCCATCCACCGTACAAATCATCACATCCACCGTCCGCGCCCACCGCCTCTCCCACCCCGTTTCCTCCTCCGTCGCGATAAACTCATCCGCGCCCATCTTCTCCACTACATCGACTTTCTTCCGTCCCGTGCGCGAAATCCCTATCACCCGATCACATCCCATCGCTTTGGCGAATAAGATTCCCAAATGGCCCAGCCCGCCAATCCCCACTACCGCGACGGTCTTACCGGGGCCGGCACCGTATTTGCGTAGCGGGGAGAAGACCGTCACCCCGGCGCAGAGCAGTGGCGCGGCTGCCGCGGAGGGGATCGCGGAGGGGATTCGGAATACGAAGGCGGCGGGACCGCGCCAGGTCTGTGCGAAGCCGCCGTAGGTTTTGGGGCCGGTGCGGGAGTTCTTCTTGTCGTTGGCGGTGGGGTCGGGGTATCGGCTGTTGTAGGTGGCGATCATCCGCGGACAGTAGTTTTCACGGCCGGAGGCGCACGCGGTGCAGGTGGGTTGGAGGCATGAGAGGGTTTGGGCGCCGATGCCGACCCGGTCGCCGAGGTGGAGAGGGGAGGAGGAGGAGGAGGAGGAGGAGGAGGAGGTTTGGACGGCAGAGCCGATGCGAGTGACAATGCCGATGATCTCGTGCCCCACGACGCAGGGGTAGTCGGTGGGACCCCAGCCGGAACGGAGGGTGTGCAGGTCCGTACCGCAGATGCCGCAGTGGGTGATTTGCACTTCGATGTCGGTGGGCGTGAAGGGTTTCGGGGTGAAGGTGGTGAAGGTGAGGGGGGTGGTGGGTGAGTGGGCGACCCAGCCGTGGAATTGGTCAGGCATGGTCGTAGTGGTTGTGAGCGAAGAGACAAGGAGATAGAGTAGATTGGTTTTGCACCAAAGATTAGGGTGGTGACAGGATAAGGCAGATGAGGTGGAGGTGAAGTACTTCTACGAGCGGAGAACGCGGAGAAGCGCCACGCGGAGATGCCGAGGTTCATCCCCCGACTCTGGGCCGAGTCGGTGGATCGACACCACATGGGTCGGACATTTGATGTCTACTGTAGAAGGCTGCATGGAACCATGAATTTGAACCCCTCCTCGTATTATGTAGAATAACGATATACTATCGTAAGCGCACACCAGCGGGATGTGGTAATGGTATCATGACTACTCGGCTGCATCCTTAGACGCCTCTCTCCTGGCACCATCTCTCCACCTCCCGCGCCAACTTATCCTTTTGATCGCGCACCATTTCCATCATTGGCTCCACCTGCGTCTCATACGCCTCGTAACCTGTCTGACCATCCGGTCCCTCGCCATTCCCCTTCTGCGGGGCCAGATACGTGTCGTAAATCGAGATCATCAAGTCCATGACGGCGGACAGTTGATTCGGGAGCCACTGCATCTCGTTAGAATCACTTGCCAGTTGCCACACATGATACAGAATCGAAGCAGAACATACCGTCACGATCGGACTGCCCCCCGTGGCAGTCGGGTGCGGCGTACGGCGGATAATGTACTCCCGGGCAAACAGCCAGTGACGCCACCGGAAGCTCCGTACATGGTTGAGGGTCTTCAAGAGGAGAATGGCCGTCTCGGTGTCGGCGAGTGCAAAGTTGCGCACCCCCACCTCTTCCGACTTCGAGTTGATGTGCGCGAGGAACTCCCGGTGGGGAAGGGGACGGTAGGCTCGGAATTCGTGAAGTACCTTGGTGAGTGGGTTGGAGGGCATTGGGATTTGACAGAGGTGGTCGAGCAGTGGGATCTGCGTATACTCGTGAGCTTGGCTTGTTTTGAAGGAGAAGGGTAACCCTACCATGCTGTCATTCGCGCCACTCTCGCCCCGGAAGAACAGAGGCTTGTTGTCGAGTACTCCGTCGTAGACGACCCCGTTGGGAAACATGGATTGGGAGGTGATGCCGAAGATGAAGACGCGGAACGAGAGGTAATCCTGCGGCTTGGAATTGGCCCACATGTCTGTCATGGTTAGCTTAGCCGAAGGAACTCTGAGGATAGACATACCCTCCATGGCTGCTTCAATCGTTTCCATCGACGACAGGATCTCGCGGAACCCATCGTTGACCACCGAGCGCGGTCCGCCCTGTTCGACCGTGTCGACAACCTTGACGGCTCCGCTGATCAGGCCGCTCGAGAACTTGACCATGTCCACATGGGTCAGGATGAACCCGGCTTCGGAGCTCTTGGGGTCGAGTCCGTTCTCAAAGGCCCGCACCAGCCGGAGATTCGGGTAGACCAGGCCCTTGGATGGTTCCTCGAGGGTGTAGTTGAAGAGGGAGTAGGCAGCGGCATAGGACAAGAAAGGAGGAATGTCCAAGCTAGACTTGGTTAGTTGAGATCTAATAGTGGCGGGGAAAAGCAGAACATACAGCTGCGCACAGCGATACATCGGACGGGCGACAGACCTGGGCAGCAGCTCTCGTCCCAGCCCATAGCCACCCTCCGGGTTCTTGCACCAGTTCTCCCAGCATGGCTCGAGGATATATGCCGATGCGAGGAACGAGTAGTCTCGGAAGAGAGCCGCGATCATGTACAGGTCTGGAGAGCCGTCCGCGGTGACCTGCTTGTCGATCTCATCCGTCAAGTCAGGCAGCTCGGCAAGGACAGCCGGACCCAGCTCGTACGTGGCAAGCAGACCCGGAGTGCCATCGAGCTTGAGGACGGACATCCGCTCGAGCAGGGACATCAAAGGCTGGAAAACATCGGGCAACTGGGTAGGGGCGGTGGCATAGGGAAGGAAGCCCGTCGAGGTGGTGATGGTGAAGGGATCGAGGGACCGGGGCAGGGTAGAAGGGTCATCATGGATATGGGGGAACCGATCCAGAGTGCTGTTGGGCAGGGGAACCCTAGAGGGAGACATGATGTGGATAGGGTGGTACAGAGGTCTAGCACGAGAAGTGGGCAAGTGGATGATGAAGCGATGACGATGAGAGCCAAGGTTGGTAGGGACACGAAGTCAAAGAAAGAGAAAAGAAAAGAAAAGGGGAATCACCCTGTGGAAGTGTTTGGGGACTTGAGGAAATCTGGGAATGAGAGCTTGGAGAGAGGGAATTGGCGGGAAAGCAGGTGATTCTTATAATACTCTCGAGGCCGGTATCAATTCCGGCCTCAAAGGCGCCATTACGAAAGAGGCAGGAAAACTGCGTGGAGCCCCCCAGACTCAATCATGATAACGTAGTATGATACATGCTGGTCCAGTCCAGATGATATATTGGGGTTCTGCCATGAATCTGCATGGAAACAGCACCCCTTGCAGGCCGGTCTGTCCGTCTCAGGCATGTCCATCGACTCTATACAAACTCTTGGCAAATGAGGGCACGCCAGAATCACGGGGACGCGCTATGCCCGATTCAGTAGGGTATCCCAGTGGCACTCGCTGCTCGTTCTCGGTTCCCGTGACCGGGGGATGGTTAAGACGCTGACTACAGATAATACTGGGCCCGTGCTAATGATGAGGCTCCTTTTCCGCTCCGAAACCCCTTCTATATAGGGCCATACTTGCCTGAAACGACCGTCCTCTACATCCTGACCTGCTTTATACTTCACCAACCGCCAAGGCTTGATGTCATTTGACCTGCTGATGATTGGCCCGCATCCCTGGATCGGGCCCCTTTAGGCTTCCTTAGTTGCAGGAGGCCGGAATTGGGCCGGCCTCCGATGATAGCCGGCCTCTTTTTATGTCGGTCTGCTATCGCTCCTATCTCGGACCTCCGCCGTCCACCCGTTGTGCTCAGCTGATAAGGATGGCTATGGACATGCGTGTCTGCAGTGCACTGCATGGGTCTCTCAAGCAGTTCTAGAATGTCACATTACGCATTGTGGTATGAGTTGCATTAGTACTTTTCAGCTTGTTCTTATTTGGTGGTACTCCGTATTGCCATTGCGGTTCTCAGTGTGGCACTACACTGGCTTGAATACATCGAAGAAAGATTAAGTATACAGAGCTGGGTGTAAAATATTGATCTATACTGTACATTTTGGGTATATTCTACAAGCATATAGCCATCACATCTCACGCGGACAACGATACCTGCCGTATCGTTAGGCGAAGCTTCGTCACAAAGGCACGAGCATACCACAAGTCCATGAATCGCAGAGACCGCGGCATATATCACGATTTTTGCCCTTGAGGTGTTTGCCCTCCACTCGTCTCGTCAACGCTGGGCGAAACCTTCTGTAGCTTCCGGTACTCCTCTTCCAGCGCCCTTTGCATCTCAAACTCGGCCTGTCGCTCCCGTCGGATGCGCTGTTTCTCCATATCCTGCTCGACTGCCTTGTGCATTGACTAGATTGCGAGAAACATTAACTGCTGTAGTTGCGTTGACCAAAGGATACCGCCGACGTACCACTTTCTCTTGCTCTTGGGCCCAGTGCACAAAGTAGATGATCCCCGCCGTACCAAGGCCGGTCGCGGCCAGCGTCAATTTGGAAGCACGAGACATCTTATCGGGGTATTGATCGCAGTGTTCGTCAGGAAATCAGGAGCAATTGACGAATCCTCCAACCGAATGTGCGAGTGGCATCATGTCCAAATCTGCATCGGATTATCGGTGATTATCAGCGATGGCGGTGTTTGGCGGCAGAACGGCCGACCGCCTAAGGGGTCATTCGTGGCGTCGGGGAGGTCCAACGGCGCATCACAAGCTTCACGACTCCACTACTGTTGCAGACGTCGACGCTCTTGTTTTAATCAGCGCTTGTATTAAAGAAGCTTACCGTAAAGATGGTGAGGATCATATGTTGCTCTACTTCACGTTCACTATACTGATCCGCTCCGACAGTCCGCTCAGAACTCCGCAGGCATTCAGACCCTCCTCGATGTAGGTCACATCGGGATACACTGAGTGAGGTATAGTGGTTGACTGTCTATGTGTTAGGCCGAGAGAGAGGCTCAGAAGATTGTCCAGCAAGGTTAGTCATCCGTTTACTCGAATCCTCTCGAACCATCAATCAGTTGCTGACGTGTCGCATCATCCAGCCAGAGAATGTATGTCATCAGGCACTCGATACCCACCCCACCAGGTTAACGCTCTTTGTAGACCGCACCAAGCGCATAAGGGAGGCCAAGTCCGAGGCGCAAAAGGAGATTGAGGAGTACAGAAAGCAGAAGGAGGAGGAGTTCAAGAAATTCGAGGCTGAGGTACGACATGCCATTCTACAATGCGGGGTTAACTCGGCAAATATGGCATCTGGGTGAGGCTGAGGACTAACAATACACTTTTCTAGCACTCGAGTGGATACAAGAAGGCCGAGGAGGATGCAAACAAGGAGGCCGAGGTGAAGCTCCAGGAGATCAAGGACGCTGGCAACGAGAAGGGTGCCAAGGTCACTGAAGGCCTCATCCATGCGCTGGTGGACGTGAAGCCCGAGGCGTCGGAGAAGATCGTGGTTAAGGCATAGAGTGATGATGCCAATCGTTGCGGCGGCAGCATGAGGGGTTTTGGTTTGTCATTTGCTTCAGCCTGTGAATATAGTTCTGATCCTGCTGTTCGAGCATTACATAAATTCCATGTCGAGTCCTGTCTAAAAGGGTTATTGAGCCACACCGGAGGTTGCCTAGAATCCTGGTATTCTCATGAGACCGATGATGGTCGGTATGTAAGCGCCTAACGCAGCAGTTCCCAGAACGTAGCATATAGGATATCAGAATCAGCTCTTCCAAAGAAGAATGGCACAATTTCAAGGTGACTCTGTTGGTAGTTGCAAGCTATGGTTATCGACAGCCGGCGTGCATGATATCGTGGCCTAAGGCACCCACCTGTAACGAGTAACCGTTGCGTCATCAGGAACACCAGGCACACGGCTGGCACATGTAGACACTGCTCTGGTCTACACTCAAGACCTGGTGGAATAAACATAAAATGAGATGTGCTGTCGCCGGCTTTCACGGCGCAAAGTGCATCAATTACCTATTCCAATCCCCCTCTGTCAACTATCCAGCTCAGCGGTGTCTTCATTCCTCTACGCGTAGGCACAACCCACAAGAGCCCAACGCCCCCGATGCTCTCGATCCGCGCCTGGAAGACCTGGGCAAGGTCATTAGAGATGAATATGCGATAGTTAGGGAGCACTACGGTGAGTTCCATCTCAACCTGGCACAATACCAGCCATAACCCCCATTGTACTAACTGACCTATCGCTGGCCAGATACCCCGAAGCACCCAGTCGTTCTCGCACATGGACTCCTTGGATTTGACGAACTACGTCTGGCTGGGTCTTTCCTTCCTGGGGTTCAGTACTGGCGTGGGATCAAAGAAGCTTTATCGATGAAAGGGGTTCGTGTCATCACAGCAACCGTGCCTCCTTCCGCATCCATCGAATTGCGCGCTGAAGAATTAGCGAGGGATATCGCTGCCGGTGCACCCGGGGAACATGTCAATATTATTGCGTAAGTATCTTCCTGCGGGCTTGAGTAGTTTTGGTCTGACCTAGAATAGTCATAGCATGGTAAGCCCGGCGTCTACCCGCCGTCCAGAGGCTGTTATCTAAACTGGCTATAGGGGTAAGATCTGGAAAAAGTCGACTGGCTCTCCTGGCAGCTGTTAATTGGTGTTTAAGCGGGCTTGATTCTCGATATATGATTACACATTTGAAGCCTAAAGACTTCAAAGTCAAATCGTTGACCACAATTGCGACTCCCCATAGAGGTATGCAATAGCACAGGTGTCCGAGAACAATCACTCAACTGGTTCTAGGCTCTGCTGTTGCCGATTACGTCCTCAAGCAAATAGGCGGTTGGTTTGCCCCCCTTCCATATCAAAAAAGGTCTAATAGAATCCGCAGATGATCGTCTTACCCAGCTATACTATGCGCTGGACCGGCTCAAAGTAGAAACGGGCGCATTCGCTCAGTTGACGCGTGGCTACATGGCGAACACATTCAATCCTACAACACCAGACATAGAGGATGTCCGGTAGGTCCTCATTGGCCGATGGTCCTGTCGGTAGTAAGGCTGAGTCGGTGCAGATACTTTTCCTACGGGGCGGCAATGCAGCCAAGCTTCTGGTCCGTTTTCCGTCTGTCCCACCGTCTCCTCGAACAAGTTGAAGGGCACAATGATGGGCTAGTCAGCGTTGCCAGCAGCAAGTGGGGAGGCGATCAAGGTTACAAGGGAACCCTTGAGGGCGTAAGCCACTTGGACTTGATCAACTGGAGCAACCGACTGAAGTGGTTGGCTGGGGAAATCACGGGCAACAGACAAAGGTCCGCCAATGGCCAGACTTCACCGCAATGGTCGACAGTGGGCTAATTGTCCTATAGGTTCAACGCCATTGCGTTTTACCTTGATATTGCAGGTAAGGCGTGAGGTCTCGGCGCAGCATCTAACCCGGGCTAATCTCGTACCAGACATGCTCGCTAAGGAAGGCCTCTGACAACGGCCGGGCGCAGTCATATTGGAAATCTTGGTGCCTAGAGGCGTACATAGTACTCGTAGGTTTTGGCAAGTAGCCGAATAGATGAAAAAGTGGGCGACACCCAATGACACGAGTTCCATGACCGATGCCACTGCCATGGCTCTAGCGCCCGTGACGTGGCGGTGCAACGGCTGTCCCAAAACTCAATGAGGTTCTCCGGGTGGCTTAGCTTAACCCCGGGTCCCGACGCATTAATGCGCAACCCGCGCAAAGGCCCAAGACAGGCCAGCCCTGCGAGAAGATCACCATCCAGTCTGTGTGCCCGTCGGAGGGTGTCATCGACTCATCGAGCCCACCGTATGATTAAATCCCGGCCCACGAAAAAAAAAACCCCCACTGTTCTCCGGTCAGCGCATCCGGATTCCAGAAGATTGAACAATCCATCATTATAAATCGCCCGTTCGTTGAAGGCTTGAATGAAAGGTTCCGAACGCGCCGAGAGCTCCTGTTCGGGTGCCCCACGCCTTGCGCTTTTCGTCCCCTGGCTTCAACGTCATTTTCCAGCCTGTAGTCCTGCCCACCTTTCCGTCCTCGTTTTCTTCTCCAGCGTCCCCACCGTGAGCTGGGTTATATTATTCCTTCTGTTCCCTGATCCCTGGTCACTGATCCCCTGATCCCCTGATCTTCCCCCAGTAGACTGTTTCTTTCCTCCAGCGGCCTGATCCGTTGAACGAGCCAGTGCACCCGCCTCGGGCTTACAGGGTGGTCGCCATGTCTGTAACCATCCATCTGGACCGACCGCACAAGCACTTCACCAATCTCGATTTCCTCACGGGAAAAGTGGTGCTGCAATTACCGTCCGAAGCTGCAATCGGAGGCATTCAAGTAAAACTAGAAGGCGAAAGTCGGACACGCCTGGCCGGTCCGCGATATCCACACTCTGAGCAGTCGGATAAAAAACGTACTGAAATTGAGGTTCACAAGGTGCGATTTCTGAAGCTTTCCGTCCGGGTCTTCTACTCTATCGCTATCCGATGTGGTATATAGTTGGTCTTGCTGCACGCAATGCTGACCGTCTTGTATAGATACTGTACAAAGTGGTCACGGTTTTCCCCACAACAGCGGTATTCAATTCAGAAGTTCCGGACAAGGCCTATACCTTTGCCAGAGGAACATGGGAGTATCCCTTTCAGTTCAAGGTAATTCCAGTCCTTCTGTTCCTGTCCCTTGGCCGGTATAGCTAACCTTGCCTGCCAGTTCCCGTTCAACAATGCCTGCAGCATGCACAATAGCATGCTCACGAACCTGAATATCTCGGGGCTGAGGGTGGAAATGGCCAAAGACACCACTCGACATGTGAAGAAGACCCTCCCTCCCTCGCTAAGCGGCTTTCCGGGAATGGCAGATATCCGGTACTATGTGAAAGCGACTGTTATCCGTCCGCAATTCTACAAAGAGAACATCAGAGCGGTAGGTTGATGTCCTGTCTCCGAGAAGCAATAGCTGCCAGGATAGTGTCAGAGCTGATGATTGGCTTCTAGATTACCAACCTCAATTTCCTCCCCATCGAGCCACCCAGGACGGGCAATCCGAGTGAAGAGACATATGCAAGACGACAACATCAATTTATCAACTCCCCGAACGTATCCAAAACGAGAAGCCTTTTCCAGAAGATGTCCAGCAGTTCGCTTCGGGACGCCGCTGGTGGTTCTCCTCGTGTATCCGCCGACCTACGGCTCCCCAACCCCTCAATTCTTACGTGCAATGAGCCCGTACCAATGCGAGTAATTGTCAAGAAACTGTCAGAGTCATATGAGACCATTTTCCTGCAGATGATCCAGATCGAGCTCATTGCTTATACCAATATTCTCGCCCATGATTTGCGACGCACCGAAACTGGAACCTGGGTCCTTCTAAGTCGGAGTAACATGAGCATCCCTCTAGGAAGAGGCGGAGACCCCGCGGATACCGAGTACACGATCGACGCCGACATGTGGAATCGCATACCGCTACCCAGCACGGTAGCGCCATCGTTCGAGACCTGTAATGTCTCGCGAACCTACGAGCTCGAAGTCCGAGTGGGCCTGACTCACGGAAGTGTCGGGAACATGAAGGTAAGCTTCAATTTGCACATTCCAGGATGCTTTACTCACTGCTACCAGCCTCAACTTATCATTCTTCCGCTACGAATGCCCGTGAAAGTCTACTCCGGCATTGCTCCTCCGAAAGCACTCTTGGAGGCCATGGCTGCCAACGGGCAGGGTAAACCGACAGTTGCTACTTCCGACCTCAACGAGCCGATGGATAACAGCTCACGCCCCCCAATGCCTCCTCGGCCTCCCAGGCCTCCAATGCCATCTGGTGCAGATGAAGGCTACGAGGATGCACCTCCCAGTTACGAAGATGCGATGGCTGAAACTCTTAGTCCTGTGGATGGCCCCCGTCGAGAGTATAACCCACCAGATGCCTCCTCTTCCGATAGATCTGTTGAACCTGGGGCTGATCCGAGATCTCCAGTTGGAAAGGAACCTGAGGCGACCACATTCTACGGCAATCAGGAAGCGATTTCCTCTGTGGAGACTCTCGATATGCTCCCTGAGACTCCGCCGGAATCTCGGTCCGGTTCACCCCCGACCTCTCCAGTTGCTCGCCAACAGAGCGTGCTCAAGATCCACAAGGCTCTCCCTCTGGAGGACAATCCTCCAGAGTATCAGTCAATCGCAGGACCCAAACCCCAATCGCCTCAGAACCAGGTCAATCGTATGCCGTCCCAACCAGGGATTCGGCCTATGAATCTGGGGGTTCCCAACAGGAAACCGGTTCCCCGGAGTCCAAATAGGGAAACTTAGTCCCCAACAGCAGCTTTCGAAGTTGCTCTTGAGGCATTATAAATCTTAGGGCTGATCGGTCATACCCTTTTCTGGCCCAAATTTGCTAATAGTATCGCACGCATCGTGCTGGAGTTCATGGGGCCTTCAGTGAAAATTCATGGACTATACTTTAATATTCGATACCACATGAGCCATATCTTTTCAATGTGCAAGCGATCTGGATTCTTTCGTTGCTGGATGTCGAAAGTCTATTGCTTCAAATGGTGAATAGGATAGCTAGAACAATTTCAATTATAAGTAATTGCCTGGAGTGGTAGTCATGGCCAATGAAAGACTCGATTTCGGTGCCTCAGGTGTTAGACCCCAACCGGGCTTAGCGGCCCCCAACCCGACCAGAGCTGCTGGTCGCCGTCACGTCTTTCCTCCCGTCACTTTTCTACTTGCTCTGCGCTCCGCACTTTTCTGTCGCCCGGTTCCAAGATGATTGCTGCATTTCTAGCGTTCAAGACGATCATGTTGTGACCTTGCATTCGGCTGCAACTCCTTCGTGCTTCTTTTCAATCCTTGCACTTGCACTTAGCTCCGACGCGATCAGTCGGGAAGCACTTCGTTCTGAAAAGCACTACGCGCCGGTTTCCTGCATGCCTTTCTAATAATATTCTGCGCCAACATAATAATTCTAATGAGCTGCTGCTAGTGGGGTTGGCCCAAAACAGGAGCAGTACTTCTCCCAGCATTCCACCATGCGTCTCCATCTGATTATCCAGCGGCATGGCCTGCCCGTCACACGCATTCTCTGGACAACGTCACCGCCGTCTGCTTTTGGCCACAATGCGCCCAATGCTTCGTCTATGCTTCCTGCCACGTCCTCTGCACTGGCTTCAACGCGTACACCTAATGCGCTGTATTCCAATGGCGGATACACGATCGCACAACTGCTGGAGGATGTCAATGAGGTCGTTCCGCTTGAGACGGAGCCAGCTTTGTTTGACAGTGAATGCAGCGGACAGTGGGGTCTAGAGGACTATGTGGTCGAGGTTGGCGGCTCCGAATGTTTGCACTTTATGGAGGTGGAAGGTCTGCTGCGGGATGGCGATGAAGTCTTGTAAGTGCTGTCACCGGTGCCACATTCTCTTGCTATTGGCTTTCGGTCCATTTCTACTGTTGAACTTGGCTCATGGACATCTTCTCCACAGGATCCGTGCCCTCCAGATGTCGGACCTCCGAGTCAGACGGCTTTCCGGTCGTCATCAAATATCCTCCGACGGCAAGCACCTTATTGATGGTGTCCCTTTTGGCAAACCGTTTCTGAAAAGACCTACGGCGTCACGGCCCGCGATTACGATCCCTCCAAGGAAGAGACGTCGCACTACCGCTGCAGGTTGGGACTACGGGTCACGCTACGAAGAGGAAGACACTGAGTGGGCGCCGTCCAACCAACTGGGCTTCACCAAAGAGCTTTCGGTTGTCAAGTCAGATGATCCGCCGCAGCTGCAGGAAAGAAACCAGAATGAATACGTAGATGCGTATCATGATGATTATGAGGATTACCACGAACCCGAGGAGGACGGGGACGACGGCACGGTGATCCGACACGCTGTCAACGAAGCATCCAATGACCAAGCTTCGGAGAGTGACTCAGACCTGTCAAATGTCAATGATGAAGACTTGGCGGAAGAAATAAAGGGGCTTGAGGAAGACTTGGAGATGTCGCCTATGCCCATGGCAGAAGACCTCGATTTAGAGCACCCCGGCTATCCGCTGCGCTCCAAACAAAGTGCTTCTCAAGCAGCACCGAGAAAGAGTTCTCTGGCATATCCTTCGAGCCAGAAGTCTCCAGATCCAGACCACACCCGCCGCGATTCGAAAGTGGTGACATTTCAAGACCAAAAAGTCGAGCCGACTGTGGTGACAATGGAAGACCAGAAAGTCGAGCCGACCGTGTTGAAACCGGATGCTGTCCTTACCAGCAAAGCAGGCCCAGCCCCCGAGGAGCCCATTGATTCTGCCCAAATCTCGAGCGACAGCAGCAACTCATCCGAGAGCGACTCGGGTGATTCTAGCGACTCTAGCGATTCCAGCAACTCCGATGACTCCAATGACTCTAGTGACTCCAGTGATTCCAGTGACTCATCATCAGATGAAGGTTCGACTGACGTTTCGACTTCCAATTCGGAAGATGACTCAAGTTCCGATTCGGACGACATATCCACGTCAGAATCGGAGGACGAGCTTTCAGACTCAGAAGCGGGAGCGCACACCAAAACCATTCCACCTGGCGCAGGGTCTTTGAGAACCAAGAAAAGCAACCAGCGAAACAAAATGCGACGCAGATTAGCAAAGCTCAAGGAACTTGGTGCTCTGCCCGCGCAGGCCGACTTTGCTGCTCTCCGTGAATGGGAAGACGCCCATGGGCGTTCCTACTACGTCTCCGAAGCCAAACAAGATGCCAAAGAGCAGGAGCGCGCCGAATTTGAAGCGAGGCGGCAGAAGCTGCTTCGCGATCTGGAATCTGGAGGGATTGATGTGACTGTAGTGTCACAAAAAGAGACTGCTTCCCCACAGAGTGCTGGTGAAACTGAACAAGCCCAGCCTGCAGCGAAAGTGGCAGCAGATGATGGAAAAGAAGCGAGCCCACCTCCCAAGCGGCGTACTCTCGATGTTGCCAGCTCCAGGCGATTGCTTTTCGGCTCCCTGGGGGTGAGGACTCCACGAACCAAAGAGGACGAGGAGGCTACCCGGAAAAAGCTTGCAGGAAAGATCAACCCTGCTCAAGTACAGAAGCCCGCGAAAGAAGACACACCCAGCGTCCCTGAAAGCGACTCGGACGAGAATTGGCAAGACAAGTTGATTCTCCGGGCCATCGAGTGCATTTACGATGATATTGACCTGACGCCTCCACCTTTCCCCTTCGAACAGCGTTGGGACACCGAAGCCGGTGAGATCATCAGACAACGCAAAGGTTGGGGCAAGAAACGGAAACGGCGGCAGCAGCTCCAAGTCTACAATGGCGACGAGGAGGATTATGGGAATAGCGGTTACGGCTATTCTACGGGCGACATACAACTGAACTACGACGACACGGAGCAACCGAATGGAGATGTGGAAGGGGTCGAGCATGCTGCAGAGCCGACTGCGGAGGACCAGACTGAGGACACGGCAGATGATCTCCCCGCGCTGCCTAGTGACCCGGCTTCTCTGCAGGACATGAGTGTGAAGGATTTAAAGAGAGGCTTGGTATTTGCCTTCCGGCAACTGGAAATCTCCAAAGCCACGAGCTGGCAACCCACGGTATCTGGTTATCGAGTAGCCAAGATCCACGACGTCTTCGAGGACAACATCGTGAAGATCCGGATGTCCAAGCGGGACCGAAGACAGGCCCGGGATGACGAAGATTGGGATGAGGAAAACGACCGGCCTCAATACAGTGGGTTTGAAATGCCCGGTTTGGACGAGGACGAGGATGACGGCTTCCGGGAATTGTCCTTTGCCGATTTGATCGAGCCCAAGCTTCTCCGAGCTGCTGACGCTGCAGGCCTTGGGGATGCTGGGAAACCCAGCATGTCAGTACAGTAATCTCCTTTCACTCGTCTGGGGTTCATGCGCTCACCCGCCCAAGCTCCCGTGCAGCAGAGGAGCGCTATCCGCCGAGCCCCAGACCGGCTCCGAACGAGGCGGCAGCCATGCGCGACTACGAGGATGGTCAGCCACCAACGCGGGATACAGAAAAGGAACGGGCTGACCGGGATGCAAAGCCATTGAACCAGGAGATGATTGATACCGCGGAGGAACCTGCCATGGACTCCAGCCCAATCCAATCACCGCAATTTGTCGGATTCCAGTCTCCCCGCGCGGACTTGACTGACGCATCGAACGCTAGTCACGAAGAAGAAGCCTCGGAATTTGCTATCCCTCCATCCGGGCAAGACACGCAGAGTGGCCGGAACGGTCGACAGCCGGATGAGAGTGGCCTGGAGATCAAAGACCCTCCCTCGCCATTGCACTCGACGCATCTCCCTGTTGACCCCGACGAGGGGAACGAGGCGGCACCCCTCTCGGACGACGACCTGCAAATGATTAGTAGCTCGGCCAGTGTGATGTCCTTCAACTGTCTGATGGAGAAGTACTTTCCCCCCGCCGTCAAGGGGAAGGCATCGACTCCGCCTACGAAGCAAGAGCCCGAGGACAGTCAGGCACCATCGTCGTCGCAGTCATCCACCTCTTCATTCGTGCCTAATCCATTCTATGAGGTCGACAAGGCCGAGGAAGAACGGCAGCGACGACGAGCGGCTCGCAAAGGGCGACGCCATGGCAACCCAAACGGAGGAGACGGGGCCCTGGAGCTGGGGTCTCTGGCACGGTCGGTGTCTCCCATGGCGGACCAACGCCCCCGGGTGAAGACGCCGCCGGCGGAGGAGCCATCATCGATCTACGTTGTCCCGGAGAGCGTGCCGCCTTACGAGGAGGAGCCCCAGCAGTCGGCCCCCCAGTCGCCGGCATCGCAGGTGTCTTTGGTGGACCTAACGCAGTCGAGTCCGGCCCGGTCGCCGGGTGGGAGTGATGGGGACTATGCACGATCGCACCGACTCCCCCGAGGGCCCGGGTGGGTGCAGAAAAATGTTCCCCGGACGCGACGGGTGACGAGGCAGTCGATGGGACGACGATGAAGCGGATTATTGGTGTTGGGGGATGTATGACCATGTTGCTGTATGTATATAAGACCCCGATGGGGTAATGCATGATGAACCAACCTCTTTACTCCCTCGTATGGAATCTCGGAAGTACTACGTAGTATACAGTAGTCTGTATCTGGTATCATTGCCTGAGGACCGACGAGCCCCACTCGAGCTCGAGGGCCCCACTGGCTGGGGCGTCTGACAAAACCCGCCTGCTGATTGGCCGAGGGGGTCCATTACCGCGACGTCATCGACCGAATCATTGCATCGATTCCGGTTCTTGGACTACTACAAGGTCACTTTCTCGGAGACTGTTGCAAGGGAAGAGGAGGGATGGGATGGGCTTCCGTCGGATCGCTCATCTGGGACAGCTGCCTATGGGGCTCCCGTTATGTCATGGCCGATCATGTCGAAGCCGTATATAAGCTCCCGCGCAGTGGCCTCATGGCTGGCCTAGACTAGATACCAATTTACTACGTACTGTGTATTGATAGTATGACCTGATTGCTGGCCAGGATCCCCCTCATGCACCTACCCCTCCTCCCTGCCCGTCAGAGCTTCCTTCGTGCTCCAGCTCGTTGGTCCCGGTTGTTGGCTGCTGGCTGCCCCTCTTCCTGGTCCTCGTCATCCGTCGTCCGCATTGCCTACTGTCGTTGCGGCTGTCGGAATTCTTCGTCCTGTCGCTGTGTCTGCTGTTCTCATCCTTCCTCATCTGCATCTCGGGCTTTTACATCGGGACCGTGTGCTTTGTCTTCCTCTATCTCATCTAAATTGTCTCCCGCGTCCTGCTGCTCCGCCTCTGTGCGTGCGTTTTCTACCACCAACCCCGCCAAGATGGTTCAGGAATACAAACTCAAGAATGTCACGTCCCTGGCGGACGTCAAGGACCTCGACAAGGTCGAGTGCGAGGTCGACGGCATCCAGGATGGCAAGGTCCTCCTCGTCCGGTACAATGGCCAGGTCCACGCCATGACCTCCAAGTGCACCCACTACGGCGCCCCCTTGAAGCTGGGCGTTGTCGCCCCAGAGGGTAGAATTACCTGTCCGTGGCATGGAGGTAGGTCGTTCCTCGCATCGCAGAGCGCGTTCAATCATCTAACAGTCATCTCGGGTAGCCTGCTTTAATGTGGTGAGCGGCGATGTCGAGGATGCCCCGGCTCCCAACGCGTTGAAGAAATTTGAGGTCTTTGAGAAGAACGGCGCCGTCTACATCAATGCCGAGGAGTCGGATGTCAAGGCGGCGCAGAGAGATCCTGCCGTGAAGTGCAGTGCTTCTCAGCAGCAGAAAGTCGTCATTGTTGGCGGGTAAGTCTGGTCATCCGTGGACTCCGATCGGAGGTTGAGAGCAGCAGTAGTAACTGATGTTCGGTCCTTACAGTGGAAGTGGCACCTTTGGTGTTGTCCAGGCGATCCGCGAACACAAGTACAAGGGAGCCATCACCGTCATCACCCGGGAACCGAACCTCATCATTGATCGCACGAAGCTGTCCAAGGCGTTGATCGCGGACGCGGCGAAGATCCAATGGCGTCCAGAGGAGTGGTACAAGGAAGCCTCCATTGACATCGCTCATGATGATGTGACCGGCGTGGACTTCGAGAAGAAGACCGTGACCACCCAGTCCGGCAAGTCATACCCCTACACCAAGCTGGTTCTTGCAACGGGAGGTGTGCCTCGCACCCTCCCTCTGGACGGCTTCAAGGACCTCGGCAACATCTTCGTGCTCCGCACCATCCCGGACGTGCAGGCCATTCACCAGGCACTGGGCGAGCAGAAGAACAAGAAGGTCGTCGTCATCGGCAGCTCCTTCATCGGCATGGAAGTAGGCAACTGCCTCGCCAAGGAGAACGACGTCACCATCGTCGGCATGGAAAAGGCCCCCATGGAGCGCGTCATGGGCGAGCAAGTCGGACGCATCTTTCAAGGGAACCTGGAGAAGGCCGGAGTCAAGTTCAAGCTCTCCGCCAACGTCTCCAAGGCCACACCCTCCAGCACCGACTCCAGCAAAGTCGGCGCCGTCCACCTCGAAGACGGCACCGAACTCCCGGCTGATCTGGTCATCCTCGGCGTGGGTGTCCGCCCGGCGACCGATTTCCTCCAAAACAACCCCTCCATCACCCTCGAGAAGGACGGCTCCATCCAAACCAACGAACATTTCGCCGTCCCCGGCCTCAACGACGACGTCTTCGCCATCGGCGACATCGCCACCTACCCCTACCACGGCCCCGGCGCCGACCAAGACAAAGGCACACTGACCCGCATCGAGCACTGGAACGTCGCCCAAAACGCCGGTCGGGGCGTAGCCCGCGCCATTGTCCACACCGGATCTCTACAAACCCTCAAACCCAAGGCCTTCATCCCGATCTTCTGGTCCGCCCTGGGCGCCCAGCTCCGCTACTGCGGCAGCACCGTCAACGGATGGGACGATCTGATCTTGCAGGGCGAGCCGGAGAACGCCAAGTTCGTGGCGTATTACTGTAAGGGTGATACGGTGGTGGCGGTCGCGACCATGGGCAAGGATCCCGTGATGGTCAAGTGTGCGGAATTGATGCGTCGGAAGAATATGCCCTCCAAGGCGCAGATCAATAGCGGCGTGGATGTGCTCACTGTGGGGGTGCCGGAGTCCGTACGCATATAATGGAGTACTACTGTGATAGGGATGAAAATATGAAGTAGCGGTAGTAATAATGATTATGTTGAATATTGAGTTTCCTCAACCTGACCTCGGTTGTATGTCTTAACGCATTATATATTTCCGGATCGGTCCCATCTCATTCAACTTTCTGTCAACCAACATCAACTAGAAAAAGGTGACAGTAAGCATCAATCACAGGCAACTCCAAGATCTGCCATACTATAAATCAAACATTAAAAAATTTACTGTCTATCCAGTACTTCCAACCCTAAGCAATCACCTTGAATGAAATAGACATTTTGATTCTCCCATCTAACGCCAGACGTGGACAAAGCTGAATACAATCGAAAGAAAAAAAAAAAAGATAAAACACAGAATATATAACATGGAGCGTACAGCACATATCAACAAGGGTTCACCACCCACTCACTCCTTCGACTTCTCCTTCTTGGACTTGGACTTGGATTTCTTCTCCTTGACGGGCTTCTTGGTCGGGGACTCGAGTTCGATATCCACGACGGGAGAAGGCGCGGATGAGGTAGAAGCGGATCGGATAGCCAATGCTCCGGACATGGATGTCGAGGATGGTTTTCTTGGTGTCATGCCAGTAGAGAGGGAAGAGGAAGAGGAAGAGATACCGGTGCGCTCTTCCTCGAACAGACGTCTCTCTTCGTCCTCGTCCAACATCGTGCCCTCGATGCTGATGAACCCGCTCTCCCGCTCCGAACCGGGAATCACATCCACGTCCACGACCCGGAACCGAACCGTCCCGCGCACTCGGTGTCCCGACACGGACTGGAAATAGCCCTCTGCGGCGGCGTCCTCGTCCTCGTCGTTGGTGTTGGTGTTGCCGCCTTCGGTAGTATCGGTGTCGGCGAGGGGGTTCACGTCCGAAGCGAGAGCGATGGGGCGGAAGAGTTCCTTCTCCGGGTCGAAGGGTGTTTTGTTCTTTTGTTGGCTGGAGGAGTCGCTATCGCCTTCCTCTTCTTCGTCTGCGGGTGCGGTAGAGGATGATGATTGTTGCTGCTCCTCCTCTTCCTGTTCCTCGCCCGGAGGAATCCACTTCCAGCTCGGGGGCAGACGTTTCCGTTCAATGCCCACGGAGAACAGGTTCAGGACGATGGCGCCCAGGAAGCCCTCCGATTGCACGTTCACCCAGCCCTCGAGGATCTGGCCGCGCTGGGGTCGGAACACCAGGAAGGTCGCTGTGAGGTACACGTAGAGAACACCGTATTCGCCGGCCGTGCGGGCGAGCGTCAGTGGTTGCGGGTGGGGGTCCTCGGCGTTGACGACGCTGGTGGATTGCGGCGCGGTGCTGGAGATCGAGGCGTTAGAGTAGGCGAGGACGATACCCTTGAGGGGTGCGTAGTAGGTGAGGAGGAGCGGAGAAAGATGCTCTGCAAGTAGGGAGGCTAGAGCGTGGGTGGGCGAGATGGAGATCGGGGAGAGGGGGAGGTAGAGCGTGGCGGTTGTGAGGGTGTAAGGAGAGTCGCTGGTGGTGGAGGAGGCGGATACATTGGCGGTGGTGCTGGTCTTGCTCTTGGAGGACTTCTTGCTGCTCTTCTTCTTGGTCGAGTCGGTTTCATGCTTGCGCTTCTTCTTGCTGGGCGACGTGCTGTCCTTGTGTTTGCGCTTGCGGTCCTTTTCGGGGGATGGCAGCGTGGCGGGCCCCGTCGGGGTGGGGTCGAGATCCATTGCGTCGAGGGCCATGGTGTCAATTGGGGTGGTGAGGCGCAATGGAGATGGCGATGATGCTGGTGGTCTGGGTTTTTTTTTTCCCTCACTCTCTTTTTTTTTACTTTTCGGACGGAGCAGTGGAGACGGGCGGTGGGGTGGGCGGTGAGCCCGGACTTCTATACGGGGATTCTGTAGATCGTCTTGAACCACCAGACCTGCTCAGGAACTCTTATCGTTGTCGCTCGTTGTTCTTGATGAGGGTGGCTTTGTTGGTTTGATGGAGGCTTGATTTGACTTTTCCCCGTTACGATATTGTGTTTCGCTCATGTCGTCCCTCCTCTCCTTCTTTGGTTGGGCTGTCCTTCCAAACGTGAGTACCGTGTCCATTCCCGTTAAGCGCTCCGTTGCGCAGCACCAGATGGTCCTTCAGTCAGTTATTAACGACATTCACAGTACGTCACCTCCATCGTTCAAAGCGTCTACTATGGCATCACTATCCGCGCCGGCGATCCCCGCCCCCAGCCCGGCACTCCGCGCTATGCGCAACACCGTCGTCGCATTTACATCCTGGTCGTGACCAGCTACCTCCTCTACACCCTCTACGAGACTTTCCACCGCGTGCAAGTCGCCGGCGACTTCTATCGTGCCCTGGGTGTCTCGCCCCTTGCCGATGAACGTTCCATCAAATCGCGCTTCCGTCGCCTCGCCGCTCAACATCACCCGGATAAGGTTGGCGGCGACGTCTCCGACGGCTACTTTGTGTATTTGAAGCTGGCGCAGGATACTCTCCTTGATCCCGCCAAGCGCGTCGCCTATGATATGTATGGCCCGGATATGCTGAAGTGGGGCAGTCAGAAGACCTTGCAGGAGTTCGTCCTCGCCGGGTTGCAGCGGTCTCTGCCGAAGTATCTGATCGGATTGATCACGATTGTGGTGCTCCAGTTTACATATTGGTCGGAGTGGGGGCGTTATGTGAGTTCCTCCTGGTCTGGCTGTTGTTGTTGCTGGGGTTGAGGTCGAGGTTAGGGTTGGGGCGTGTGATTGATGGCTAACGGAGGTCTCTAGTGGCGCTACTTCACCTTTGCTGCGCTTCTTACACTCGAATCGATCCTACTCACTCGTCCTGCGGCTTTCGTGGTTCCCGGGGGATATATCCCTCCCGGGTTGCACGGCCTACTGGGACTCTCGTCCAAGGGCGCTGAGTTCTATCTCTTGCCGTTTCAGATTCTGACCCTCGCCCAGCGTGCCTCGGTCACCCTGCATATCTTCATCTCGCAGCTCACGCCGCCGGAAATTAGGAAAGGGTCGTCTGGTCCGGGTGAGCGGCTTCATCCACAGACCATCCAGCGGCTGGGACAGTTGGTGCAGCTCTCGCGCGCGACGGACGGCGAGGCGACCCGGCTGATGCAGTTGGGATTCGCGCCGTTCAAGGGCGACCGGGAGGGCGTGACCACGCTGCGGAAGGGCATGAAGGAGGCGCTGGTGCTAGGCAGTGTTCGGGCCAGTGCCGGGGTGCAGCAGGCGGTTGCGGAGGTGATTCGGCGGAAGAAGCAGGGGAAGACGGATTGAGTGGTGGACTTGTAGCTATTTATTTTTATACTTTCTTGATAGCAGTAGAATACATACAAATATATATGTCTTGTATAAATTGATTGGATAGTTGAATTGTTTGTGTACACTGTCTTTCGATTTGGGTAGAATACGAAGCGGCACTGGGATGATGCAGGAAAATGCCATGAATCCCGGCACAAGATTGAGCCATGAAGCGATGCACCCATCCTTCCTTCCTTCCTTGGCTGAAGGTTTAAAACCGTGGCCTGTTTGCCTGCGTCAGTCTCAAGTCTCCGCCACCTCCATCAATCCTCTACCTATGTACATACGTAAATCTATTTGTAGCATAGGTTGCAGCCTTGCAGACCCTCTTTTCCCATATATTAACAAATAATATCGAGGTGACGCCGAGTAATCATCTAGATAGATAGGTGACTATATTGCAAGTTGGCAGTGCCCAGCCGATCGGGGGGCCAGAAACCACTGGGATCAGAGCTGAGGGAATTAAATTGTAAATTGATTTTCTGGATCCCCCGGCGACGGTTCCATTGTTAGTTACTAACTACGATGTATGGTTATTATTGGTTTCCCCCCCCTCTCCTTCTCCTCCACCACCCCCTGGCCGGCAAGCATTAGTCCGGTTACCTGGGTACGGGTGGGATATGTACCTAGAGTAACTAGTTACTAGTCACTAGGTACTTAGGGACGGAGTAGATAGCACTCGTGCGTGCCCTTGGACTGGGATAGATACTACGGTCAGTGGGAGGGATGAAGGGAACGGAGGAAGGCGGACGAGGTCATTTATTTAGTTGTTACTAGGCATTCATCCTGCTTTCCTTGTTCTTGTTTCTGTGCCTGTTCCAATAGTTGGGGTGCATATATGGTTGCTACCAGCTGATGATGGGGACACCGGGACAGGTGATGCATCAGGTGAAGAGGGATGGATCAATCTCATGCCTTGCCCAAGAAAGAAGGCAAAAGAAACGAAACGCCGGCTTACGAATGAACGGATGGCGATGGAAGGCAGACCGGAAGCGGTGGTGCTGTTCGTCGCAAAGTCTAAGCGGCCCAGGCGGGACGGCCGATCCATATTTTTTTCCTGGCGCTCGCGATCCTCGATAGGGATCGGAGGGAACACGGGGGAGGGAGAGAATGTGGCTGGTCGAGGGCATTCAGAGGGGATTCAGAATTAATCTGATGGATTTGCCTCGTGAAGAGGTGTTGGGTGAGTTCTTCTCTACGGTAAAGGACCGTATGAGACGAGATTTGATGGGTATGGGTATCGGTCAGATGTTCTTCCTTCGAGGATACTAGAGACGGACAGACAGACAGACAGACAGACAGACAGCAGGCAGACAAGCAGACGGACCGCCGGAGAGCAAGCGGAGGATGGATGGTTCTGTATGCAGTAACTAACTAGTAGTCTGGCCGGCCGGCCTTACCGCCCAGACGGCAGTGATACGGAGTTATACGGAGTTACCATACGGATACCGGCTGGGGACCACTGATTGGGGCGTATCCGACGACGCAGAGACGCGGCGGGAACGCGCCCGGGGGCAGTACGGTCGGTACGGTCAGATACGCAGGGCGGCGAGGCCCAGCAAAAGAGGAGCAGGCCGGAACTGACCTTCAGCTTCTCTCCTGGACTGACCGCACCGAAAAGTCTGGCTGTCGTTCCCTAGACGAGCAGTGAGAAACACACACACACCACAATGAAACCACCACACGGCGCCTCGACATCCCCATCCATCCCTTTCTTCCCTCCCCCGTCTTCCTTCCTCCCTCCTCCCCTCCTCCCCCTGTCTTCTTCCTCATTATCATCACCACCACCACCCTCACTCTCACTCTCACCACCACCGCCGCTATCCTCCTATCCTCACCACCGGAGTATGTCACCAGCGCCTCACACCTCCTGTCTCCATCAGCCCTGCCAGACTTTCGCCTCGCCCTGACCAGGTCTCGCCGCCGCCTTCGCCCACTACGAACCACCCGGTTCCCTTCCATCCCACCAACCAATCTCTCGACACCCACGTCACGATCGTCATTTAATTCCTCCCCTCCCCCCCAACTGGCCTTGCGGCTTTTTTCATTTCACCACCTCACGCTCGGCTGCATCGGTCGCTCGTCGGTCTGTCCCCCAACAACCCATCGGGCCTTCTCTCTCACACCCACGGCCCTTCCCCCATCGTCTGAAGGGCAACCACCCACCCATCCTATCTCAACCCCATCGTCCACCGATTACTAGCACCAGCCATCATGCCGGCCGCCAGCTCTGCCAGCTCCACCACAAACGGTCGCTCCAGCCGATCGGGGGCCTCCAAGAAGATCCTCGTCCTCAAGCTGTCCTCCGATCTGTTAAGTCAGTTCGTGACGCCGCCGCCCGAGGTAAAGGACCGGAAGAGCAAACGGGCCAGCGTCAGCAACGTTGAATCCCCCGTCAAGATCAGGGAGCATTCGTCCCCGGCCTCGTCATCAGCCGAACCACCCATCGCTCCGTCCTCCGTGGACAATGCATCCGACGCTGCCTCGACCCCCGCGGCGGGCACCTCTGCTGCAGACACACCTCGTCGCAAAGGTGTTCCTGGCCCTAAGCCAGGCACCAAGCGAGGCCTGCATCAGACGAGTGAGACTACCCCCAAGCCAAGAGGCAAGCCGGGCCCGAAGAAGAAGCCTAGATTGTATGTTACTTCCCCCGATAGACCGTCTGTGATCCATGTGCTAACTGTCTGTAGGGATGACGGCACCGTCGACCATGCCAAGTTGGTGGCTAGCCACAAGCTCGGTCCCAAGGCCAACCTGGGCGCAATCAATGCCGGTCTGCGTGCTCTAGATCGTACGGGGGCCCCGTGCCGTCGCTGGGAACGCAAGCCGCTCCAGCTGAAGAGCTTCACGGGCATCCAATGGATCTTGCCATCCTGGCGAACTCCCCGGCCCCTGAAGTCGGAGGAGAACGACGAGGCCAATGGGATGGCTCTCGAGACGGGCGACAGCGACAGCAAGGCCAACCAGAGTGCCAGCGGCGTCCCCAGCGAGAAGAGTACCGGCGAAGGGGATCTCACACCGGCTCCTCCCAACCTCACCGAGGCCTCGTCCCCCGCCATTGCCATGGCTGCTTGATGGGTCTCTCGATCCACCCACATATCGTCCTTCTTCCTGTACATTATTTTCGACACTACTACCTTTATTCCCTTGACACTCTGGTGATGCACTGCAATGCTCTTGTTTTTCTTTTGTTACTGGATTTGGCGTTAGGTCTAGGACGGTCACCGGACTTTTCAGCGGGTCACTCGCATCAGGGATGTACTTCAGGCTCTGGCACGGGGATGGGAAGGTGCTTATCCTGCACATTTGATGGGCTTTCTTTGCGATCTTTTGTTTGCTGTGTTCGCTTACTATCTACCTCTGTTCTGTATCAGTAGAGATGCCGGGGACGGCTTTGGGTGCTCTGCGCAGGGTCTGACGGACCCGGGTTGGGATGTTTTCCGCGATTGGAAGCACGTCGGCACATGGATACCAATCTGGACTGGAATACCAACATGCGTTGTTCAACATGGAATTGAAGAAAGATTCAGCAGCGCCCTGCAGCACGTGCTCGACCAATTTTTTCTAGCGGGGGTCCCCGTAGTCCTAATGTAGGGATCAGTCATTCCCCGAATTGTCTCGAATGTGTTTAGAGGCACCACTCCTGGCTATTCGGCGTGACGACCACGATGAGATGGCGGCGTCGTCCATGACCCCTGCTGGGGAAGACCCGGGGGTGATACAATATGGTCAAAGCCCATGTAACATGGACGAGGTCAAAAGCAAAGCCACCACCGTAGGCAACCTCGTAAGGGACTACAGACCTCACGACGACTGTCGGCCAAGTAATCAACCGGAAGGGTGTTGTCTACTTCACTACTTCAAGGATCCCAGCCGGACTAGGACTGGGGGTGACTTCTGGGGTGCCCCAGGGAGCCACGGCCGGGGTATTACACACCCTGCATCGTGTTGACTCCATCCATGGATAGGGAATGAGCACGGCCGGGGGGGGGG